CACATTCCAGTATTTTAATCTGATCCTGCATTTGCGTTTGCTTGATCTGATTTTCAATGTCTTCATAATCTGTTTTGCTGTTTTACAAAATGGATAGATGTAAAAGACCAAAAAAGAATGGACGTACAGTAATTTTATCTGCGTAGATCGTTATAGCATGAGATTTTTTTAATGGTATGGTTTTAAGCAACAACAAAACAATCTAAACTGTAGCATAAATAATTAAATATTATATAGAATTGTCATATATTTTGTATCTAATGGAAAAAAATTTACAAGACACGATATCACATTATAACAAAATCAGTTTATTTTCAAGATAGTGGTCGATAATACTATAGTTTACAAATTCAATTCGATTAATCATCTCACTTTAGTTTTTATTAGATTAATTTTGAAAAAGATAATATAATGAACGGCTTAGATTAGCATTTTTTTGGAGCAAAAAGTAATGCGGCTTAGATTAGTTTTTTTTGCTTTTTTTTGTTAGTAGAAAATCTAAAACCTATTTTTTCACATCTAAAAACTAATATAAGTTTGGCTTCAAATCAAACTAGAAACCCAAAACCTCTACAAACATATTTATCCATAGTGGAGGTGATGTACCAAATACCAATTCCATTGAATTTTGTTATTAAAGAAGTTTCGCTCTATCATATCTCTAACACTACCTCAGTAAACCATTTTCTTAATTTATATTGAAAACCCATATACATCTAATTTCGCAACTCTCAAGCCCAAATCATCTTGTAATTCATATTGGGCTAATAATAGTTTGAGAACAACTAACATTTTTTTTATAAAAAAAACTTTGGTAGTGGATTAGCTCAAAATGATACTAAATCAAATTGTCTGCAAGTTAGTAGTATCTAGAGAGGTGTCAAGTTTCAAAAGCAATGATAAAGTACGTCATTATGATAACATCAAAATTCAAAAGTATGGACCGAGCAATAAGATAGAGATGACCTTAAGTCCATAATCGAATTACCTTTTATTAGCAAACTGTCTTTATCTTCAGTGCGATTTATCTCCAAGTTTCCCTCTCTTTCATCTTTCTCAGTATACCAAAGTGAAAATTTTAGTATATTGAGGTTTCCTGATCTTTCTATATTTTGCTTATGGTGTCTTGTGATTATTATATATATTTTTTTTTTTGGTAGACCGGTTCGTTTGGTTTTTCTTGCATCGATACTATAACCGATTTTTATTCTTTTAGATTTGTTTTTTTTGCTGTAAATAGCTTTTTACTTCCAAAAAGTCTCACCTTCTGTCTTTTGTTTATTACCTTATGATAATTTCTTTTACAATTTCACCTTTTTAAAATGTTAAGATCCCCAATAAATTATACTGTTACTCAAAAGCAATACCTTTTAAAATTGGGTTCCACAAATGAGAGCATATATCTTTATTCCATACGTGGGGAACAGAATTCAAACATCAATGCCTACACATGATGTCGGATCTATGGAAAATGACTAAGCTAAATAACATTGACATTCAAAATCACAATAAACATTACCATTGCCATACAAGAAATATTATGCAGTAAATAAATATAATAGCTTGAGTTTTTTTTTTCTTCTTTTTTCTGTGTCTCATGGAACTGTAAAAGTATTGTTCACCAAGTCCGTAGACATAAAAACAAATTTTATGGCTGTTTTAGCACTATTCTTCATTCATTTAAATGATACAATTAAAAAGAATCATATTATTTACGGTATAAATAAAAAAATAGTGATTCTAAAGAACAACAACCAACTTGGTAATTTAAGTAATTATAATGCTCAATATTTAATAGATTTGAAAATTATTGAAGAATACAATATTGCTCGATGATTGATTTAGCTTTTTATGTTTTCTATAGTACGTATTATAAATTAACCAGAAGGATATAAAGAAGAAGCACCACTATAAAGTTTGAATTACAAAGGACTCCAAATACGAACGAAGCCGCACTTCCCGTCCAAGTACGTCGCGACTAAAGCTTGACCTGCATTTTTTTTTTTGAGGGAAAAGGGAGGGGGAGGGTGTATTGTATATATGTATTTTACTTTGATTCCTCAAATATGATGATATTGTACGGCATATATAAAAATACTATACGAAACAATTCGAACCATAACCACACGCATAGATAAAACAAACAAAACCTGAGCCCATGAATCAAACGGGTTTTCCAAATTGACCTCTTTTTCATTCAAACCGGAACATAACGTGTTCTAAAACTTCTTCTTGTAAACATGAATTTTTACATAAATAGCACATTATCTTCAAAAATGTTTGGATAGAGTGGGAACGTATATTATGTATAATAATAGTACTTTAAGTTATGACGTCTTGATATACTAGATCCATGATTACCCAACTAATGAGCTTTCTCTTCTCATATGGCAAAAGAGTACTGTAATATGATTCACGCAAAATATCGAAATTTCAAAGCTAAAAATATTTAACATACAATCAGAGCTGATTATTAGTTTCAAAAGTTGTAAGCTATAATAAACCATTTAACCATCCGAAGTTTCAAAAAATAGTTAGATTAAAATACAAGATATATATATATATATATATAATTTTAGAATATTAATTATATATGTCCACCTCTCTCTTTTTTTTGCTAACTGGTAAATATCATATAAAATGAAGGTTTATGATTTACAAAAGAGCAGAACCTAATACATTTGGTACCTTAGAAAAAATAAAAATATGCATGTCCACCTCTCGTATGAAATACCATATATATATGAGGTGCACCAAGCTCACCCCATGTGTTGGATAATTTAGACTGATCTTTATGGATGTTATTAGTTATTCGTTTCTTTGTAGCTGTATAATTAATACTAGAATCCTCCCTAAAGAAATTCCAAAAAAAGAGTAGAATATTAAGTTTATGAAAGTTGTCGAAGTACTAGTTAGGAATCCTACGTGTTGGAAGATAAGTGGGTGACATTAACCCACAAAAAACCAAATAAACTAAGTGATGAGAAGGTTTGAATCTGGTCGGCGATGGTCAAAGGTCAGCCTCATGGCTTCTCTTATCTTATATGATATGGTCTGATTATTATCACTCATAATATCGATCTGTATATGGTCCTCGTCAGATTTCACTGAATTATTATTAATTTTTGAGAAATCAAACAATACTTATTATTTGATTACTCTATGTGCGAGTTTATTTTTTCTCAAGTTTTATAGAATGTCATAAATCGTAAGCTTGATTATTATTATTATTATAACTAATTAAATAATGATCAAAAAAGATTTTAATCAAATGGTTAAAATATTCGCATTTACGATATTGATTCTTTAATCGAAGTTCGTCTCACTAAATCATTTTAAACTGGTTTTTACATATATGTTTTTTTAACTAATCTTTTCAAATATGCTATTTTAACGTTTTTCAATAATTTTTTGTCTTTAACGTTCGAACTCGATGAAATTTGTTTATCCCAAAAAAAAAAAAAATCAGATGGAGGAAAACTATGTATTTGTCGGATTCACCAGATAGTATAGGAAGGTAAATCTGACTTTGAATGTCGAAGCTTCAATGAAGCTAACATTAGGACGTGTCGTTGTGCATGTATTAATGTATACGTACATACATCATATCTATATCCTCTCAAGAATCAAGATGATGATGTGGTTACAAAAAAAAAAGAATCAAGATGAACGATGTATATATTTATTATTATTAGAAATTTAGAATAGCGAAATCTGACAAAATCAAAATAGTAATGATAGGTTTGGAAATGTTTATATATTTAAAACAAAGAACTGTACGTAGTACGCTTTTCTTTGTGGATCGTAAATAGTATGATCCTTTATATATATACAGACTTGAGACTACAGTCCTTTCGTTTCATAAGAATTAATATCAAAAAGATTTCCCACAATTTAGTTCATCAATTAAGTTGCTAACTACCCTTTCATATGTAAGAAAAAAAAAAGTTAGAACTATATGTTATAGAATCATCATTGATGTTGTAGGTGGGCTGAGCACAACTCTTTTTATAGTAATTTCGTTCAGACCTGTTAACGAAGTGAAAGCCCAATAAGATCAAAGATCGACAGGTCCATGCGCGAAAAGTAAAACGAAGTCGTTCGGGGAGATGACTTTTTCGTATCAAAGGAACAGCTCGCCACTTCGACATGGATGGGACAGTTCGTCACCTCGACATGGATGGGACAGCTCGTCACGTCAATGAAGATAAAACAGCTCGCCAGCACGACGTTCTGATAGACTGTCGGTCAGGTCTATCTACCCGGCTGCCCAAGCTACCCTGACCGAGATGTAACCTAATTTGAACACTATAAATAGCCCTGTAACTTCATTTATTACGGGATCCGTAATCTGAAATAGAGACCAAAATACTCAATATTTGTGATCACTAATTCTTACTTTGCAAAATAACCTCGCTGAAACTACCTCGAAACATTCATATCGACCTCGCCGTTATTTAACAAGAATCTCCTAGCTCCACCTAGATATATTTTTACTAAAGTGACTTCGTGTGCGGATATAATACAACAATTGAAATTTGCAATGAAATTTGCACTGAAATTTGTATGACATGTTAGATACAAAACTAAAATTATAAGCATCAAATATCTTTTTTTTTTAAGGACTAGCTATAGCTATGAATTAAATTTTACTTGACGGCAAGATATACGTGATTAAAATAGAACTTATTCAAAATCTATGACTAAAGAGAAGAAATAAGAAGAAATGATAGGAGATGGTAAATCAAAAGCGTGCAAGAATTATAAGTATTATGATATGATTGATAGATGGGCTCCAACAATAGATCACTTGTTAACAATGGCGAGCAAAAGGACAAATTATTCCACGTCATCTCTCACCCTCCATTCCACGTGCCTTTATGTCTTTTCCTCTAATTTTTTTCTTATAACCTTTCTTCTATATTTTCTTTTGTATATTTACTAATAAATTTTCTTATAAATAGGGTCTTTTTCTTCTCCAAACCTTCCAACGAGTCATACATAAAGCTGGCGTTATATCACACACCAAAGAAAGAAGTTAAAAAGAAAAGATAGAGCGTTGATAAGTTTTGAACAAGAAATGGAATGGAGGGAATGTTATTTAGATGTGATCTTGGTGCCGCTAGGGCTAATGGCATATGCAGCTTACCATGTTTACTTGTGGCACAAGTTACGTACACAGCCTCTCACCACCATCATCGGTACTAACGCTAGAGCTCGCCGTTTCTGGGTCGCTTCCATCATCAAGGTAATCTTCTTCAATATATCAAGGTAACATACACATAAATATGTTATTATATATGAATTTAAGTTGAATTACTATATAGGACAACGAGAAGAAGAACATCTTGGCTGTTCAAACGCTAAGAAACTGCATAATGGGATCGACTTTAATGGCAACAACATCGATCCTCCTATGCGCGGGTCTAGCTGCGGTTATAAGCAGCACATACGCAGTGAAAAAGCCTCTAAACGATGCGGTTTATGGAGCTCATGGAGAGTTCATGGTGGCTCTAAAGTATGTCACAATCCTCACCATCTTCCTCTTCTCCTTCTTCTCTCACTCTCTCTCGATTCGATTCATCAACCAAGTAAACATCCTCATCAACACCCCTTTTCCACCGGAGGAGCTGGAGGAGGAGATGATGATGACGGCGGAGGAGTACGTGGCGGAGTTGCTAGAGAGAGGGTTTGTCTTGAATACAGTGGGAAATCGGTTGTTCTACGCGGCGTTGCCTTTGATGCTTTGGATATTTGGACCGGTGCTTGTGTTCTTGTGCTCGGTCGTTATGGTTCCTATTCTTTATAACCTCGATTTCTTCTTCTTCGGTAAAGAAAGGCGAAAACTCGATAGAAAAACTAGTTTTGGATCCGCGTAGAATCGAGTTTTTGTTAGTAGAGCAAAGTGATGGTACATAAGATATTGTCGTCCCGGGACAATTGGACCGATGATCATTTTACATGGCCGTTGCAGATTTCGAAGATTAGTTTAGGTTTGGATATAAGATCTTTTGGTTTAAATAAATTTACTAATCATATTATGCGTATTATGAGAATTATCATATAGTATAAGCGTTAGATTGTGAAAAAGTATGAATACTATTTACTTGAGATTTTTTATTTTTGTAAAATGAGAACTTTAAGGTATGTGTGGTGTGGAATAATATGTCACGTTTTGGTTTGTTGAGAATTGAGCGTTATAATTGGCATTTCCATGTGGGTTACTTTATAACGTATACGCGTATGAATATATTATACGTTATATATATATTCCGTTTTGTGTTTATAACACATGTGACATGCCCTACGTCAAGTAATAGTCCAAAAAATGTGATGTACATATATTTCTTCCGTGCATCACTATCTCTCTCAGTTAGTTGTTATGTTTCAGGAACCAGTCGTCACGAACCTTTTTTTGTTTTTTTTTGTCCGTCACGAACCTATATAAATTCTCCAACGACAATGTAAAATAGATATTATACCAATACACGGCTGTTTTTTTTTTTTTTTTATCTGCGTAGTATGGAATCAGAATGTAAAACTAGTTTAGTTCAGATTAGGATGCAAATTATATCCATTTTTTGTACACGAAAAGATTTTTAGAGTTGTTTTGAACTCGTAAAATTCATGTTTTTTATTCTAATCTGACCCAACGAAAAGCTGTTTCGCACAATTGCACTCCAAGTATTTACAGTTTTATCAATGGAAATTTACATGACAGGATTTAATGTTCTACGCGGTATGTCTTTTAGTAACATATTTCTAATATGAATTTCATAATTTTAGTGCATTTGGTGGTATAAATTTTTTAAAATTTATAATAATCTAAAATAATACTCCTTCCGTTTCACAAAGTGTTATTCTGACATTCTTCACACAAATTAAGAAATAAGATAAAAGATCTTTTATACTTTTATTAATTTGCAGAAAATAATTCTTAGAATTATATTTATAATTAATTTTTTAATTTATTGAGGTTAAAAATGATATTTTATGTTAAAAATTACATTGAAATTCTAAAACGATATTCTTTTTGAAAAAAAAATAGTATCACGACGTTCTTTGTGAAATGGAGGGGATATCAAATTTGAAAAAGAAAAATGATTTTTTTGTGACTTTATTTCGTTTTTTAATAGTATTAGTTAAAACTTAAAAGGGATTTTATACACGTGGATCATATACACGTGGATAACCCTAGCTTGCGGTCTTCCCCCGTCTTCGGTGCCACTGTAAACTCACAGAGCCGCCGTTAGAAGCTCCGTTCTAATTTCAGACTTAGCGATGGAGCACATTCTAGCCACAGCTGAGAAAAAAGTAGGTCTCTTTCCTCCTCAATACGTCTTTAGGATTCGAGGGTCAATGTGTTTTAATTCTCGTGGTTTTGCGTTTGGTAAAATTGATGGGATTTAGGTGCTGGTAAAGCTGGTGAAACTAGTTCAGAAGCTACGTCTAGAAGGCAGAAACGTAGGATGGAAGGAATTTTTAAATGTTTACGACAAACAGGCAGGATCGAGCTTGAGTGATCCTTCGAGGCGGTCTAAAGATGTCCTTGTTGCTTTCCTTTCCACACTCGAGAAGAAACAAGATATAAAGGTCTGTTTTTGAATAATAAGACAAGCACACACAAGTGGTTTGATTATTTTAATCTTATTTAGATAATTTGTTTAATATTTGGGTTATGGCTCAGCTATTGGCAAGGGTTCTTAAACCCAACCCTTATCTGGCTGAGGATTTCAAACAAGAATCTCCAGATGAGACTGCTGAACAAGTGAGAAAGAACATTCTTTTGTGGATTAAACATGAGTTTTAATTGTGTAGTGCAAATTAGTTTAAACATAAATGTTTGCTAATGCAGAGGCTAGTTCGAATGACTATCACGGATGATGAGTACCTGTTAGACTACTTGTTCCCATCTAATGCTGAGGTTTGTGTGATTCATCCAATTTATATTAGTTTTTATCCTTCTTTTATAGGGAGTGGAGAAGCTAATCAATCATCTTTTGAATTGCAAAAAAAAAAAAACAGGACTGGTTGGTAACGGGGACTGGAAAGAAGAAATCAGAAGCCAAGAAATCGACCAAAATCGAAATGGTTGCTATTGATTGTGAGATGGTTCAATGTGAAGATGGCAGCGATGCTGTTGTTAGAGTTGCTGCAGTTGACCGTGATCTAAAGGTTTATTAATCTTCTAAGTGAACATCTTCTTATGTTTTTGTTATTACAGAAACCGTTTTGTCTTTTAATCTGAGAAGCCATGAATCAGGTAATTCTTGACGAATTTGTGAAACCGGATCAACCAGTCGTTGACTATAGGACCGATATTACTGGACTTACTGCAGAGGATGTTGAAAATGCTACTACTGTATCTGTGGTAGATATACAGGTACATCACATTGTGTATATATATATAGTAGTTTCTTCTTTCGGTTTCAACACATTGTTCTGATGTAATCTAAATGATTAATTCTGCAGGAAAATTTGCAGATGTTTCTTTCTGAGGATACTATTTTGGTAGGTCAAAGTTTGAACCATGATATGAAAGGTATCCAAAAAGTGGTCGAATTGCTCCTAATCTCTCTTTAACCCTGCTTTCTTACGGGTTTACTACTTTGATTGCTCTCAGTATTGAAGATAGATCACCCAAGAGTAATCGATACTTCACTCGTGTTTAAATACAAGTATCCCGGTTCAAGAAAGCCTCGAAAACTTCAAAGACCTTCTTTGAATTATCTGTGCAAGGTAAGAAGCCTGTAAAAGCTTAATTTCTCTGTTCTTGCTGAGATATCAAATCCGGTATATGTAAATGACATTTTTTTTTTTGGTTTGTTTCCAAGTCTATATTGGGATATGAAGTGCAGAAAGACGGTGTTCCCCACAATTGTGTTGATGACGCAGCAGCTGCTATGAAGCTTGTACTTGCTATAGTAGAGAAAGAAGTAGAAACCTCCGTTCCAGTTACTAAAGAGGTAAGGTCGATTTTTGACAAACATTAACAGTTTCATCTAAAAATTATGTAACACATACTTTTGTCTGCAAATCAACATAGATGTTGGAAACTGCGAAGTCAAGACTCTACCTTCATAGAATTCCTCACAATGTTCCAACTGAAGAGTTGATTGAAGTTGTTTCTAGGGAATCCACACCCAAAATTAAGGTATGAATCACCATAACATGTACATAATCTCATATCCTCAATAGTTTTTTTTTTTGTATTCACGAGGATTTGTTATTTTTAGTTTGGGAAGCCATCGAAAAAACAAGGAAGTGGCTACTATAGTGCGATTGTTGTTTTTAATAGTCCAGCAGAAGCAAATCAAGCTTTTGAAAACATTGATGGAGACTTGGGAAAGGTATTTTTGCATTCATCTCTCTACTCATTTTCAGGATGTGAAGCAAGTGAGTGATATATATTCCCCGCCTTTTTCTTACAGGATTCGGCAGGTTTGACGCAAAAGCAGGTTTTTCTAAAGCAAAGTTCAAGCTCAGGACCTAGATTATACTTTCACGTTCGTAAAATGGTTGAAGATGATTCTGCTAAGGAAATCTCTGCAACAAAGAGAAGTTACCAAGAGGAGAAGAAGGCGAGTTGTAAGAAACAGAAAAGAGAATATGATTCCGAAGAGACCAGAGAAGTAGATGTCAACCATTGTGGAGAAGAGAAAACGGAGGAGAAAATAGAGAAGCTACGTGAAGATGATTTGATACAGGAAATTGAAGAACTGAAGCAGAAACTCAAAGCTAAGGATCAGATGATAGATTACCTCAAAAAGCAACTAAGGAAGAAGAAGAAGACAGTTTCGGTAAAATGATATAACCATGTCCACAGCCCACAGGACCGTGTCTATGTCATGGATTGAGATAACATTGGCCTAATTTAATACAATATTTTTAAAAGTTATTTTTTACAAAATATAGTTGAAGTTTAAAAATTTCTTATAGTTGAAGTTAAAAAAATTCTAATAAAGTTTTTTTTTAAAAAAAAAATTCATATATAAAAGAAACATTTTAAAAGGAAATGAAATTTTAAAATGAACTTAGATTATAGATATTAAAAAAAAAATTAATATTGCTTGTTATATAAATTTTCTTTCAACAAATTGCTTATGACAAGTCCCAATAGGCAATAAGTCAATAATCAATTTGCTTTCAAATATATTTTCAAAATTAGTTTTTCTTAAAAAAATAATAAAAATAACAAACGAAACGAAAACCACGTTATCGAATTTACGACTTCACAAACGTAATCTATAAAACAAAGTTTTTCCAAAGAAGTCAAAATATCAAACATGCATGATTTATGTATCTTAAAATCAATGCACACCAAGTGTCTACTGACCTAGCGGAGTAGAGTTTTCATGCCGGACACTCTCAAAGGGAGAACTGGTAGGACTAAACAACCGATAAAACCATATCTAAAACCACACTTATTTGTTCTGCTCTGAGGAGACCTCCAATGGTGAGCTACCCTATGACTTATTAAAGATGTTGCAGCCCTTGAAGGCGAATTGAAATGAGGTGATATTCTAATTGGCTACCACAAATTAATGTCATGTATCTGCCGGATAAAGCTAAGTAATCAAGCTTAGAAAGGTTATTGTCAAGGTAAGGATAGATTAGAGAGACCACCAGACACAGCTCTGAAAAGATCCAGCGGTACTTACTGTCGTTTAATTTTTCTGTAATCTTAATCAATATATTAATTTAATTTCCCATGTTATACAGTTTGTGTCTTATTCGATCTTATATCAAGGGCAAGTCTGTGTTGGATCAAGCGTAAACATTGAAAATTATCAACGTGCGGTGTTGCTTTAGAGAGAAAAACAATGATTCTTAGCTCTTAGGCAATGTTATACGTTGCAAACTTGCAATTCGGTTGAAGAATAAAAAAAAATAACCAGTACTGGAAAGTTAGAATAGAAGTTGCTTGATTTAACGAGAAATTAAATGGCACCATTAAGCATAAACAGGCCACGAAGCATGGTGTGCATTGATTATAGATTATAATACACTACATCTCTTATATATAGACTAATATTAGCAAAATCATTTTTTTTTTTGGTCACAAGATAATACATTCGATTAAAATAGATTCGCTAAAAGCGAATTTTCAATATCTAACCAGAAAGGCACCGACGTGCTCACATAAGAGAAAACACGATTTCGGGTGCGAGCGCTCCTAGCGAGGAAGTCCGCTTGTTGATTTCTGGTTCTCGGCTCAAATACAATGTTGATGTCGGGGGAAAAGCCTCCAAGTTCCTCAAGTTCTTGCAGCTCTGTTGCAAATGCTGACCATTCTTTTGGTCTAGTAACCATTTGTACTAACTCATGTGAATCTGTAACAAAATAATTACAGTACCAGTTGTGTCTATTTAGACATCTGAAAGCCCAAATTAGGCTGAGTAGTTCGAGATGGAGAGGAGAGATTCCTCGGCTACTTCCTTGTAGTCCTAGGAGGTCTATAGATCCATCTTGAAGGTGCAAGATCCAACCCACACCGCTTGTGGGATTATCTTCTTTCCAAGATCCATCTATTCGACAAGTGAAAATTGGTGGATCCATAACTTGAGAATCTATATCTTCCGTTGAAAGATCAATGGAGTCCGTATCTTGGTTAGCTGAGAACCATGCTTCACTTTCCCGTAGTGCAAGATCAAGTGTTTCAGATGGAGATCGGTCTTGTCCATTGTATAACTTATCATTACGTGCTTTCCAAATATACCAAACAAGCTAAGGGAACACCCTAGTCGCCTCTGTAAAATCCTCTCTATTTAGGATGTTTTGTAATAGGTAATCCACATTCTCGTAGAGATTTTGTGATGGGAACACCTCTGTCGCAGAGGGAATTGATGATAGGATCCAACATTGGAGAGCTGGTGGACATAAAAATATGGTATGATTGATAGTTTCTTCTGCCTCTCCGCATCTAGGACAGATGGGATCCGTTCCTATATGCCTTTTGGTTAGGCGCTCATTCACTGCCACCGCTCCAGATAGCATTTTCCATAAGAAGTAACACATCTTTTTTGGTGCTTTAAGCCTCCAAATTTCTCTTTTTAGGGGATTTAAAGAGGGTTGTTGGCAGATGAAAGCTGTTTCTTCGTCTAACTCAGAGCGTGCTAATTTGTAGCCCGATCGTACGGAGTATGCTCCCGTTTTTGAGAGATTCCAACAGTATCCATCATCATTAGGAGTGTGACTTATGTGGATACTGAGTATCAAAGGTATATCCCCAGGGTCTATGACATCCCGGATGAGGTGAATATCCCATGTTTTTGTGTCAGGGTTGATGAGATCAGAGACTAGTAAAAGAGGGTCATTCATCCCTGAGACACTTTTCGGTGGACGAGCTAATGTATCAGGTAACCATGGATCTTCCCAGACTAGGGTTTGGGTTCCTGTACCAATAGTTCTGCGAGCACCTTTTAGAACTAACTCTTTCGTAGCGCACATACTTTTCCAGCCATAGGATGGCCTGAACGCTTTGGGGGTTTTAAAAGAATGTGAATTCTTGAAATATCTGCCTTTTAACACTCTAGCCAAAAGGGAGTTTGGGTGTTGTTCAAAATGTCATAATTGTTTAGCCAATAAAGCCTGGTTAAACTCTTCAAGAGTTAGTTATGAACACTCTGCAAAACCATATATATATGAAGAATCTGAAAATGATTTTAATAGAAGACAAACAATAATTAAACATTTCAATATGAGGGAAACCGCGTCACGTTATTTAGTCTAGATTATACGCCTAAATTGAGTAATGGCTTAGCATAACAACATAACAAACGAAAATGTATATAGACTAGCCACTATGGTCTTAATTAATTTATCTTTAGACAGATCAATTAACAACCGCATCACTTCTCCGAGACAACCAGGCTGATAAGTAATAATCAAGAATGATATCACGTTGATTCGCTAGCTAGTTCAGTATTTTTATTTTTCTGTTTACTGATAACCAGAAGCTAGCTTCATTTCCAATTTCCACTTCCTTATACAAAGGATCAATATTTTTTGCTTAACGATAAGTTTCACCGTTTTTAAGAAATATGTATTCGACCATAGCAAAAGTTAGTTGAATTAGGGGATCATCTCTTGGTGAAAAAACGAATCAAATATATATATATATATATATATTTTTTATAGATTACTCGCAAAATGAGATCTAACACGAACTCATTTACAAACTCAACAAATAAAACTGTACACTATATCAATCATTGATTTACTATAAAACGTCACTTAAATTGCAAACTGCATGTATTTCCACGTCTGATATCGATTTTAAGAATTTTGTTCTCATTATGATCAAGATTGTGGAAAAGTAAACATATAATTTCTTAAGCAAAATGATCAAAGCCTGAAAAAGAAAAACAAGAATTCTTGACTCTTGACAAAGACAAATAGTAATATGCAACTACTAGATTTTGGTCAAAAAAAAAATGCAACTACGAGATGAATATCATCATTTGACTTTTATATACATGCAAAACAATGTCACAATTTACTGGAATTAATAAAGAGCGATTCCGATGTCATAAAATAAAAAACGATCAACCTTTGGATTTGCGCCACGTCATTAATGTAAAAAACACAAAAGTAGCTCTGATTATGCCGCGTGTCGGTCACGACATTCCCACGAAGCCATCCATTAACCTCACGTTGTCAAAACACAAACCTTCTCTCTCTCTCTCTCGTCTTTGTCCTCTTTGCACGCTGTTTCTTGTTTTTCAAATTAGGTGAAAAGAAATTCTACGGTCCATGGTCAAAAAACCCTTCATAAATATATAACCACCACCCACACAGAGAGAGATCGGAGAGATCGAGAGAAGAAACGTTTCTCTTGTTTTGTTGTAATCTCCGTCCCCTTTTGTTGATCGTCTCCAAGTTTGGTGGTGAATCTAGCTAGACATGGCTGCCGCGAAGCTCGTGGCTTTGTTACTTCTTGCCTCTCTTTTCACCACCACTGTCTTCGCCGATGCTGGAATCGGCAGTGATGAGCCGGAGATTATTGACGCCGCTGGATCCGACGGCTCCTCTAAGATCCAGCTCGATCAGCTTAACGCTAAGATCCGTTCCCTTGGTTAGTTAACGAGCTGCATTCTTCAGGCTCCAATAATTGCAAGCTTTTTATTTCGATTTTTAAAGCTTTAATTCGTATACTTTGACATTTTGTGGATTCTGCAGAATTTGCATGCTATTACTGTTTCACTTCGTTTGATGTGTTTCTGTCCTTAGAGCATTGACTTAAAATTGGTAGCTTTTGGATCGATTTCAGATGTGAACCGTATAAACTCAATGTATCGAATTTGCTTGCGTGATCCCAAATTCGTTCAGCTTGGAACTTGTTACAGCCTTGTTTATTTGGTGAACGCATATTTTGGTTTATGAGCTTGATGTTTTCTTTTACTTTTTGTTGTGAAGAATCCCAAATCGATGAGAATACCCGTGAAGTTAAGGTCAAAGACGACTTAGTAGCAGAGAAGGAGAAACTTCTCAAAGAAAAAGAAGACAAGATTGCTTCCTTGCAGACGGAAGTCTCATCACTACAAGTATGGATCTTATATGGTTTCAGTTTCACTACTTATTTGGAATGTGTCGTGAATTGCTTTTCATTTTTCTTTTACATGTTTGGCTTACACCTGAGCTGTATGTTTTCACTCGTTTCCAAAAAATAGGGATCATCAGATTCTGCAAAACAGTTGGGAAAGGCTCAAGCACGAGTTGTTGAATTAGAGAAGCAGGTGAGACTTTAAGTTCGAGAAATCAATGTGTTGGTATGGCTAGAATATGCAAACGGCTATCTAACTTTTGTGATGCTACTTTTGCTATTCAGGTAGAGGTACTCAGGAACTTCTTGGAGCAAAAAAACAAGGAGAAAGCTTCCACAGAAGCTCGGACTAATGAAGCTGAGAAAAAACTAAGTGAACTAAACTCGAGCCTAGACAAAGTATGTTTCTTTACATACCTTGTTTAATTTCTCTTTTCACTGTTTCATTTATTCTCTGAATAGCTTAGTTGGTAGTGCTTAGGGACGTGGTGAATGCTTATGTACGTCTCTATATTTATTTCAGCTTTAGCTAGACATTGTTTAGGCAGAGGTCAAAATGTCATCATGCTCTAAGCCTCGTCATTTATATTATGGTCTTCCCATTGCAGTTTCCACTCTCAGCTGTAGTGTATCCCTTTTTGTTTTTTATTTGGTCGAAGCTATAATAGATCCCTATAGGATAGCTCCTGAGTTGTATGGACATTCTGTAGAAAAAGTTTCGTGAGGCAATCTGAATATACCATTAGAACTTTTTTTGCTTCCCTGCTTCTGACTATACCGTCGACTTTGCTTGTATGAATATGTACTTTTGGTTTGTGCCGATTTTTTGTAGTATGTTTAATCGTAGTATTTAATGTCTTTCAGCTTCAGAAGGTAAACGAAGAGCAGAAGAACAAAATAGGCAAACTTGAACGTGCTATTAAGATAGCTGAGGTAGAGTACTCTCTTTTATTAAATGAGACTCCCTGCGCTTTTGGTTTCTGCCTCATGTTTTGCTTTTTTCCAAAATTAAATTTCAGGAAGAAATGTTGAGGACAAAGCTTGAAGCAACCTCAAAGACCAAGGAACTTCTAAAGGTAATGGTTTGTCACTAGTTTTAAATTTTATTATCTCTGCAACTATTATAGTATTACACTTCTCATTGTTTGGAAAATTAGCGGAACCTGGAAGTCAGAGTTGAACAGAAAGCTAACGCCAATCATTTTTTGTGTTCAGGCTCATGGTTCGTGGCTTCCCCCTTGGCTTGCTGTTCACTGGTTTAATTTTCAGGTATGGTTAATGCAGGTACTTTTTACTGTTTTATAACATAGCGTTTTCTCGCCGCAATTAACTCGGGGTATTTTCATGTACCCATAGACTTATGCCGATACACATTGGGAGGCCCACGGGAAACCCGCTGTGGAGACAGTAATTCTAAAGGTGCTGTTTTAGATTTCGGTCCTATTGAGATTTCTGCCTCTTAACAGCATCAGAACATCTGTCTAATGAAGCTTCCTTATGATCTATTAGGTGTCAGAAGCTAAGGTTCAAGCTCAGAAGTGGGCTGAACCACATGTGGAAAACGTTAAAACTGTAAGCATCTTATTGGCAATTTATTTTGCAGTTACATATATATCTTTGATGAGTAACCAATCACTTGAGTTATAATTGGCTCTTATATTATATGTTTTTGGCCGCACTACATGCAGAAATATATTCCAGCCGTTAAGGAAACTGTTGCTACTCATGTTCAGCCACACGTTCGAACACTATCCATCAAAGCTAAAGAGTGTTACCAGGCATCCAAGAATGCTGTTTCCCCTCACATTGTCACGGTTCAAGAACTTGTAGACCCTTATTATCAGGTATAGTGTCTTTATCAGTTTATTATTTATACCGTCCATTACACATTTTTCAGCTAGTATTTACGGATATAAACTTAACGGATGTAGTCTTTACCCTTTTCCAGGAGGCCAAAAAGTTTAGCAAGCCATACGTTGACCAAGTGGCAACGGCCACAAAACCACATGTTGATAAAATTAAGGTTGCCATGAAACCTTACACAACCAAGGTGATCATCGTTTATACAGAGTTCCTTGAAACCGCCACGACTTATCACCATCAGGTCTGTAACTAAAGCCCTGCTGATGTATTTTAGAAGTAATAATCAAGTTACTGCCACTTCTTGGATGGAACGATGAGTATCTTGGATTTTAAAGCTAAAAAATGTTCATGTTATCTGTGAAGGTTCAAGCCCATGTTGAACAAAAACTAAAGAGCCATGAGCTGTCGGAGGCTTTTGCTACCAATGAATTTGTTTGGTTTGCGGTATTTATCTTTACTTTCTTCTAGAATGTATTCTGAGATTCCAATGCTTTTATTTGGTACCTCTCTTAACTTCATATCTAAAATCTTTTCACTACAGGCGTCTGCGTTGTTGGCGTTACCCATCTTCTTGGCGTACAAAGTGCTCTCTTCCCTCTTCTGGCGAGTCTCCTAATTTACTTACTAAATTCTTTTTATGTAAAAGTTATGTCCAAATCATTGAAATATCTCATATTGTTTTGTTTATTGCAGCACAAAGACAAAGAAACCTGTTAAACACCCTCATCACCATGGTCGTCGTAAGACCAAAAGGGGTCACACTGACAAGTGAAATTCATTGTTTCAGTTCTTTTACAGAGAAGAATAGACATTACTAGAGAAAATCTAGCAAAGCTTGTGTATTTTAGTGTATTTTTCCATTTCACGTGGATATATTGGGATTTTTCTTTCACACTGTTCTTCTTTTCAATTTATCGTTTAGCATGATGTTTTTTTCTGAAACAAAACTCTTTTTGTTTAGTCTGAATCCTTTATAGACAATATTTGTCTTTACTAAGTCTTAATATTAAAGCTTCACCAAAGAGTGGAAACAAAATTGTTGTAGATTATACTTAAACTCCATAACAGCTACTAAGACAGTGGTACATGCATGGCCTCAGCTCCCAATACTGTATTTGTATTTGGTCTTTCCAGTTTCCATTCTTCTTCAATTTCATGTATCATCGACTTCACTTCAAACGCCTTGCCATTCATTAACAAGCAAATCTCGACTTTATGATTTTTGTTTAGTTCTATGAACTCTTACTCACCAGAGTATTTGATTATTCAAGTTAAATTCTCTTTTTGTACCTATAATTAATTTTCTCTATATTTTTAATAGAATGTTATCTGAGTTGTTTTAACTCTTTTCTTTCACATGTAGCTAATTTTGGTGTGATTTGTGTATGTGTAGCTAATTAACTCATACATTCAAACAAAATATGAATTAATAATAATTATCAGAAGAAGAAGAAACAAACAAATAGTGTGGAATTATGAGTTAAAATAATACATTATTGAAAATTGAAAAAAGAGAAGCCGTTCGTTCCTCATTTGGAGCTACAGTGACCGTTTCTAGTGCTTATTAGAAAGAGAGAGTCGCTTTGGGTTTGTGGAAAGACTCAGAATTTCGCTTAGCCCTCTCACTGACTGAATCTTTCTACGATTCTTCGATCTTTAGATTCTCCTCGACTGTTTATCTTTCCGGTTCAGCCTAATCGCTCACCGTGCACCTATTCGTATCCTCCGCTTCTTCCGTCGAGGGCCGTGGCGACTGCTCTTCGCCACCGGCGATTTGTTTTTGGTTCGATCTTTTTGATGCTCGTATTCTCTATTACGCTCTGAAGCCCCTTTTGCTGTCTTCTTTCCTTTCTATTTCTCTGAAAATCCTGTTTCAGAGGGCTGCAAATAGAATTATGTTGCGTTTTGCAAGTTTCTATCTTCATCTACGATAGTTTTGACGACGAAAGTGATCATCTTTGCTACGCATCGAAAATTGAAATCTCATTTTCTGGTTTGATCCTTTCGATTAATTGACTGAATCTTTTGATGCTGTAAATTGATATTTCATGGTTTTGTTTTTTCGAATGTCTCGATCGGCTTTGAATGATTGGTTATCTTTTCATTCCTTGATATTCTGTTAAAAAAAATGAATTTTTGAGTTATGGGTTTGTGGAGTCAAGCTGTATATTTTCACATTCTTCACATAATACATTTCTCTTGGACATCATCTGTATATAATAAATACCTTATGAGCTCTCAATGATTAAAGGTTTGTACTTCTTTTCAGGGAATGAAGATAAATATGAGTTGTGATTACAGTTAATGGTAGCTTAAGAGAAACTTGCGGTTATGTCAGAGTCTCGCCAAAGGCCTCCTTTTAAAGGCCCGAGATGGATTATCACTTTGGTCATTCTGGTTACAGTCGTTGTCATCACGGCATTCATATATCCTCCGCGGAATTCTGTGGCATGCTATATGTTCTCTGGTCCTGGATGTCCCTTGTACCAACAGTTTTTGTTTGTACCTTCAAGGGAATTGACTGACACTGAAGCTGCAGCTCAGGTTGTGACTAATGAATTAATGAATTTACCCGAATCTAAGATAGCAACTCCAAAGATTGCCTTCATGTTCTTAACACCAGGGACTCTGCCTTTTGAGCCTCTTTGGGAAATGTTCCTTCGTGTAAGATTTTCCTTTATTTCTCATTGCAATAAAAGTCCTTATGAATGCACTTCAATCTGTTGGTTTAAGCTAGGCGTTCGTACTATGAATCTAACGTGTCAAATGTGTTTCTTATCCGAGTCGGGTGAAATGGTGGTCGTTCTTTATTGTTGATTCAGGGTCATGAGAACAAATTTTCGATTTATGTGCACGCGTCTAAGAAAATCCCTGTACATACAAGCAGCTATTTTGTTGGTCGAGATATTCACAGTCACAAGGTAAATGAGATTTTACTACATTTTTCAAACGGTTTTTATGCAAAACTTAGACAAGTAGTGATAATAGGATAATATTGTGCAGGTTGCTTGGGGTCAGATATCGATGGTTGATGCAGAAAGAAGGCTATTAGCTCATGCTCTCATTGATCCTTATAATCAACACTTTGTGTTGCTTTCAGATAGGTGATTGAATAATTGTTTCTTTCATATAGTGTATCCCAAGGTCGTGATGAAATGCTCAATTAATCACTCTTTACCATCTTTTTTGTTGTTTACTGGCAGTTGTGTACCGCTATTCGACTTTAACTATGTCTATAATCACTTGATCTTTGCGAACCTTAGCTACATTGATTGGTAAGTTGTCATTTTGTGTCTACAGTTCACTCATGCGGTTGACTCTCTTTGATGTCTCGCTAATGTCCATCTCTCTGGTGGTATATATCCTCATCTTGCATGTTTTTCCAGTTTCGAGGATCCTGGACCACATGGAAATGGTCGGTATTCACAACATATGCTGCCTGAAGTTGAAAAGAAGGATTTTCGGAAGGGCTCACAGGTATGTGTTATGGACTAAGATTCCATATTTTCCCCCTTTTTTTTTACACAATGTTTATATTAGAAGTTTGTACAAGGAATTCAACAGTTCAGACAGAAAAAAGGTCATGTTTTTTTTATTGTACTCATGGATGCTACCTTAGTACATTTTGTATCTCCATGCTATCATCTTTTATCATCCCTCCTTTGCTTCTTATTCCTGATAATGATGGTTGCATTTTTTCCAGTTAAATCTATTAAAGCTTAATGTTTTGTTTTGCGTTTCTGTAACCATCTTTTCCAGTGGTTTTCAATGAAGAGGAGACATGCTATAGTCGTCATGGCGGACAGCCTTTACTACACAAAATTCAAGCTTTTTTGTAGGGTAAGCAAGCTTTCATTTTCATGGTTTCTCATATTAATTGATAATAATTTGCCATACCGTATCTTGTACTGTGTCCTAATATTCTATCTGGTGATAGCTCAAACTTAGTCATCTAGACAAGTTAGACTATGAACCACGCATTGAGATTTTAGCTTATCGGTATAGTCTTAATTCTGTGTGATGTTCAAACAAGACCCATCTGTTTTCTTTTCTTTATAACGATATTAGCTTATCGCTATCGACTATAAACTAACGGTTTACGTTTTCTCACAGCCGAATATGGAAGGACGCAACTGCTATGCGGACGAGCATTATTTCCCAACTCTTTTCAATGTCAGTGTACTGCTTGCTTGCATCTTTCTATTTATTACCCTTACGCCTTAACTTGTCATTTTCCTTTTCTCTCGTCATAAAATCTCTTTCTTTCAGATGATTGATCCAGAAGGAATAGCAAACTGGTCGGTGACGCATGTTGACTGGTCAGAGGGAAAATGGCATCCGAAATTATACAATGCAAGAGACATCACTCCTTACCTCCTCAGGAAAATCAAGGTTCCTCTTCTTCTTCTTCTCTTTTCCCACTGCTGGATTAGATTCTTCTTATCCTGCGATCTAAGTTTGCGGTTTTAATCTGTTATGCAGTCCATCCAACTCGCTTACCATGTCACAAGCGATGCAAAGGTAAAAAATCCGAGTCTTCTTCTTCTTCTTCTTGTTACACGTGGTTCTTGGAAAATCTGTCACTGATCCATAACCATTCTCTATGCAGAAAGTGACGACAGTAAAGCCGTGTCTATGGAAAGGAGAGCAACGTCCATGCTATCTATTTGCTCGGAAGTTTAATCCTGAAACTCTGGACCGGTTGATGTATCTCTTCCCTAACTACACCTCGCTGGTTTGAAAGGCTTATCCGACACTATTGTCTGGTTTAAGAACAGCTCTGGTATTTTTTATTTTGTTTATGTTTGCTAACAACATTAGCCTACGAGAAGTTGCTAGCTGATTACTTATAAAACTTTGTATTGCGATTCATCAGTAATATTTTAACATTCCTATATTGATATACTCTTATTATTTTTTTTGTAAAGCTAGAATGATGGTTATATCCACCAAAACTACAAGAAAGGATTGGAGGATACTTTAAGGTTAACAGCTTTTTATATCATAAAGAATAAAAATCTATTCTAAAGTTTTTACTTTATAGTGACTAAAAATCTGAAAAATATCCAAAAGTTACAAAAAACAAAGTTTCTGACTGACTTTTTGTTGCTTTCTAAATCAGAAGAAAGAAAGAAGAAAAAGTTATTCCTTACCATTGATGGTTTTACATTTTTTTTTTTTCTGGCTAAAACACAATTATGTCCATATTATATATTTTATGCAAGTGTTTACTTAACAAAAGTCAGTATTATTCCCAAACTATAAAGCTGGAATCTCTTTTTCGAATAACAAAACGACATGTAGTCATGCCTTTAAGAAGCATAACGACAAGGTGTTCCGAAGCACAGCACTAACCGCACTATTGGTTAATCACTACCGTTGATTCAAATTACTTTTCCAAGATGAAAGGAATAAACATAGAGGGATTAATCTACACCGTCCGTTGAAATCAATCTACATCATAAAGAAAAAGTAAGAAAGAGCGGTAAGAAGAGAGACGGACCATTTTCAGAAGCTTTAAGGTCGCCAACAGAGAAGATTTGGTCCGACCAAACCTTGTATTGTGTTCTGTGCAATGGCGCCGAGGAAGAGTAAGGCAGATGGAGAAGAGAAGAAGAAACCTGTGACGACGGCTTCGTCGAGAGTGACTCGGAGCATGGATCGCCAAACTCGAAGTGCGACTCAGCAAAACGGTGCTAAACCGGCTGGATCCGTCGCAAAGCAGGTGAAGCTTGCGTCGCCGAAGAAGACGAAGAGGAAGAAGGCAGCGATTGAGACTGTGAGTGCGAAGAAGGCAAAGAAGGAAGAGGAAACCGCTGAGGGAGTTGAGAAGGAAGAGGAAGAGGAAGAGGCGGAGGTTGAAGATCCTACGAAGCGGAAGATTGTTATAGAGCACTGGTAATATAATACAAATCTGTGTAATTGTATTTTCGATTTCTGTATTACTATCTTTTAGATTTCATGAGAAAATGAAGTCACTAGAGCAGAAATTTAGGGCTTTTCCTAGGAATTGAAGCTAAATTTTTGGTGTTATTGAATTGTATGTTTAGACTCTTGTGTCCATGTAGCAGCTAGGGTTTCCATTTCTGATTCTTAGGGTTTCGTCTTGACTCTGCGTAATTTTTCTTTGATAAGTGGTTTCGTAAAGTAAGCTGAGGAAATGAAGTTTGCACACTTCTTTATCTTTATTTTTTTGGTTCGCATTGTGTCCTTCACGTTTCAGAAGAGGATTATTGACTATCTGCTTTCTGTTTGTCTTCTTGTCTTTCTTAAGCTTAATTGCAATGTCTTCATATGATGACATGTGCCTTCTACAAATGGGACTGAAATAGTAGTTGCTTCTTCTTCTTATGTCCTGTTTTCTCAAAGAATTTTTTTTCTTTCTGTTTGTTTTATTTTGTTCAAGTAAACAATGCAATGCTTTTAAGACAAGGGCGATTCAGGTGAAGGAAGGTCTGGAGGGAGCTGTTCCTGGTGTCACCGTGACTCTGAATCCTGAAAAGGTAATTCTTTTACTGCTTATGAATATACTGTCAATGAATGCTCATTGTGTTAAAGCATGTTTGCCGCATTATGCTTGATAAGCAATCTCCTCCTTCGCTAATTCTTTCTTTTGATTTGCTCCAACAGCCAAGGCGGGGTTGCTTTGAAATCCGGGAGGAAGGTGGCGAGACATTCATCAGTCTTTTGGTAAATATTCCATTCTAATACTTCGACAAAACAGATGTCAGTCTGTCTTACTTCTGTCTACACTATGTTCTGTTTGAGTAAGGTTTATTGTCAGTATTATGTCTCATAACACAGCTTGCTTAAAACCAATTCTTATCCATTGTGAAATTGATATGATATTAACTGAAACAAGTAATCAGGAATGAAATGTGCAAACACATAAGTTGGCTTTTCGGCATTTACATTCAATGTAGGACATGTTATATATCTAACCAAGTTCGATCTTAATTTAGGAAAAAAATAATGAATATTATGTATCTCTCATTATGTAGGAGATGAAACGTCCATTTGCTCCAATGAAGGCACTTGATATGGAAGAAGTCATCGAGGACATCATAAAGAAATTTAAATGAGAGACAGCTACAGACTGCAAATAGGCCCTTCTTGTGCCGAATCTGTTCTTTGTTTCTGCTTCGAACTCAGTTTAATCAAGTAGGTTTAGTAGAAGACTTTCTAGAGCAATGTCAGATTTGTTAGGTTCACTACTTTTATTGTTTTGGTATGAGCACTGTAAGTGCAGTCTCGTCCTTTTGCAATGCATGATTGGCTTGGTTGAATCTGTGTATTTTGTGGGATTGCCTCGTTTGTAAGGCTAGTTTGATTCATCTCGTTGCTTGAATCAAACCGACGCAGAAGCGTTTATTTGTTGTTGCAATCAGATTCATTGCATTGGTTAAAGTATGTTCTAAGTTTTAGAGCTGTTTTACAAAATCCCAATAGGACAAACATCACATTTGCACTCAGGATGGCTGATAAACAATGAGCAGAAAGTCCACTACATTTAGATTTCACTTCTAGAAAATTACAGAAGAAATATTTTGAAAGTCTCACCTACCATTATTGTCTTCAGAGCAAATCGCCTAAATCCATCTTAGAACGCAGCAAAGCTAGCGAAAAATGCTAGCAAGAGAACAAAATCAAAGCTTAAACCAGCCTTACAAGCAGAAGAGGATGGTCCAGCCTTATCAGCAGCTTCTATCTTCAAATTATCAGCACTTGGAGTAGGAGCGGGAGAATCGACCTCTGGTGTTTCTGTAGCTGGTTTAGGTTTTGGCACAGCAGTATCTGAGGCATTGTCTTCATCAGCTGGTCCAGGAGCTGGAGATGGAGTAGTCATGGGAGATGGACCCGGAGACATTGCAGCATCCATAGGAGAAGGAGCCGGAGCTAAAGGAGCGGGTGGTGGTGGAGGTGGGAAAATAGCTAAGCTGAGTCCAGGAGCCACAATGGGCATACTAATCTGGATTATAGACAAGTTATATGGATTGTGGTATAGCGTCTTGACATACTCAGCGTTTAAAGGTGAGCCCTTCACTTCGGATCCAAAGTAAATTCTTCCTTTGGATTTGGTTAAGTTGATGAAACCATTCATCTCTTCACCCAAACCGGTTGTTTGGTATAAGGTAGTGAGCATTATGCTCTTTTCCTTCAACCCGTTAAGCTTGAGCTCGTCGTAGTAGTCAAGAATGACATGAGTCATGAGAATGTTCTTGAGCTCAATGTCGGATCTGTTAGTGATTGAGCTGATGGCGTCGTTGCTAACAGCGAGCACGGTTATGGTACGGTATTTGCTGATGGGTATAGTGAGCTTGGTCTTGATGAAGAGATCACTCATTGTGCTGAAATTGGAGTATTTCGCAAAGGCCCGTGTGATGTTACTCGCTGTAACGACCGTAGAGAAGACGAGTAAGAGAGTGAGGGAGAGGAGATAATGGGAGGCTTTGAGACCCATCTTGTGTGTGTTCTCTTTGCTATAGTGAAAAGCTAAACCTCAATGCCTTCACAAGTTTGGTATTTATGCAGAAGAAGAGAGGAAGTTGTAAAAGGAGAGATTTTCTCTGTTTTTGTTTATAAATCTGAACTAGTCGTTTTGGACCGAGCTGAGTCTACTCTTCTATTTTTAGAATGTAATAAGACTTGGCTGTTAGAGAATATGGTTTAAGGTTTTTAGGTTTTGCAATTTTGAGGTTTATGTTGTGCCGGAAAGTCGAAGTGTAATGGTTTAAGATTTTATGACACATGTTTTTTGGGTAATAAAATAATATCGAATTTAAAACTCATAATTTCCTGAAACCGTAGGCCATATTAGGTTAATAAAGTTTCTACCCGTTGCTCAATTCGAACTCATGATCTCGAAAACTTTCTAAGTTGCGAATGATTTAATGATTAATTTTGCAGATGATTTTTGGTTACTCTTATTTCTTCTTTCTGGTTATATAACAAAATTTTATGTTGAGTTGTGTTTCTTGAGTTTGAATTTAGAGAATTTTGCTACTCATAATTTATTCTACGATCAAAAGGAGAAATTTGTCTCCATGGTAATTTATATTTTCCTCTACAACTTATAACTTTACAAAACCTAAATTATATATCCGGGGATATTAACTTTTACGCTGGTTTTATATTCTTTAAATATTTAATTACAATTTCAGATGAAAAGAAAAATAAAAAATTTAAAAACTAGCTAAACCCCGTGAAAAACGCTAAACAATAAATGGATGTCAATTGATGTGTTCACATTAAATTTCGTTTATAAATCATATAATTTAGCAGAGGTTGTTAAAGTTAATGCCGCATGTATTAGCCACTTAAGTATATTATCATCCAAAAACGTAGAATATATTATATTCTTAGTATTCTATCTCACATATTAAATAACATGTTTTTATTTGTCGAACCGATATTCTATGTCTAACTAAATGGTCTTTTACATAGACACATGATAAAGTATAAACACACGAATATTAAAAAGTTTCGGCTTTAACAATTATTCGAATTGAGAGTTTATATTCTCTTTGTAAACTTATGAATACAACATCTCATAATTGAGGTGTTAATTTTTATTCAAAAGCGTCTACTTTTTCAATAAATCTAACGTCATGCGTCATGCTAATTACAGTTGCAGCTGTGGAAGTCGAACTCAGATCTGTGTTAATGTTTTCACTTTCATATGACCGGTTGAGCTATAAATTATAGTTATTAGCGTATTCTCTAATTGATATCATTATAAAAATGTAAATATAGAATTTGTTTTTTAATAAAACATTTACAATGATATTGACATATATAAATAAGTAAAATATTTTTATTTAGATAGAGTATATGGCAAAAAATTTAGTATTCCGTGCGAGTGTCAATAAACATGCACATGTCGATGGCGTTGCTACACTTATTTTCTCACATAGCACTATAAATATTTAGGTTTCCGAATTATCGTCAATTCATCTATAACTGATCTGAACGTGCATTATAAATTTTCTCGCTCAATGCGTTAGGGATTTGATTTGAGATGTTGAAGTTTCCATATTCAAACCAATGATATTGAAATGTTATACAACTATTATCTTAGAGAAAGAATAATGATATGAAAAGAACAAGTAACGACAAACGTCGACAAGGATGTTCAGGAACATTGATCGGGGATTAATGCGAGATTTAACCCATTAAAAGGCTACTCCTACACTAATAAGTATATATATAATCACAAAATATTTTTTATAAAATTCGAAAATATCATTTACAAATTACCAGGAAACGAACAGAAACTTGGCATATTGATTCACTAGTTTCGAATCAAGTTCGATGTATTTATATATATATATATGTATATAGTCTAATACGAGTATTAATAAATAATAAAATGTAAAATACCAATACTAATAATATTAGGGATCTAAAATTAGAACGATGTCATTTTCTTCACAGAATTATTCTAAGTTGTAAGTGACATAGCACCAGTCGCTCCTTCATTGGCTATTCGAGCATATCTTTCATAATAAGAATACCACTAAAGCTATATATATGTAGATATATATATATGCATATATATATATATATATATATATGCGTGAATTACATTTAAAGTAACTTCCATGAACGAGAATAAGAATTGTGAGAATGAGAAACAATAATATGAACTTTCTAAACAAAAAAGAATTTGCAAAGAAATACGATCAGCTTTGTGTGATATGATTGGTTATTCAAAACAGTTCAAATTCTATTAACAAAAGCAACGTTATGGATTTCACATTACAACTTGGACGGAAAAAATGGTTACGTGCGTTCTTAAATGATAACATGTTTTAATGCTCTTAACCGATTAAAAATCTGCTTGTTATAAAAAAAAGAGAGAAAATGTTGCGCACGTTAATTTTTGTTCAAGTTGTATGGTTTATCTTTGTTTTTGTTTGATTTCGTTTTCCTCAAAAGTTTATCCGAAAATCTTGGCATATAAACATGTTTGATTTAGATTCTAAGATATGTGATACTGCAAAAATAGTTTCAGTAGTATATATATATATAAATTGCTATACAAAATCAATTAACAAAACGTTCAAGATGGCTGGAATGTTCAACACGCGCTCGGTCCACTGGGCACTGGGTTGCAAAAGTAGAATCAGTTAAAGACTACAAATCAAAAAAATGTGGTGCAGATTTTATGGTTGAATCAAGGTGGGTTATAGCTTGTGTGAACACAAGAAGATGAGAATAATCTATAGAAAGTAGTGTATCTCGGAAGCCTCTAGAAACCATATATAAATAATCAGAGAGAATGATCTCAAAAAGCTTACGTATAATTTCTATTTTGGTTTTGAAGATTTTACCTTCATGACGCTGACACTACAAGAACAAAGCAAGCGATAAACGGATAGATGCAACTACATAAGATATCGATGCAAGAGAATAATACATACATACATATATATATATAGACTATAGTTATATATTTGTATTGAATATTGACCATGGTCCATGATCAAACGTCAGATTTGGTGGAATGGGTCATCGATATGAGATCCCGTACGTGAATCCATACCGGCAAAAAACACTCAACTTGTCGTGGTTTGGGTTAGGCTAAGATGGGCTATAACCTTTTTGACATAAAAGCATAAATTTTTTTTTTTGTTAAAACAACACATACAGCTGATTTTAACATTAAAACCAAAGACAATGGATTGTAGAAATAACCGAAGACTCTTGAAACTTGTTTATTGCTTTTTCATCGCTAGTTTGTGAAACTATTTTTCTTGTTACGATACAATCAGGTAATCCAGAAATTTTTTATTGTGAAATCAGAAATGTATCTCAAAGTTTTGGACATTTTCCCTAAATCATCACAAATAATTAAGTGTGATGGATATTCCACCAGAGTGCATACAAAATTAGTTCATAATAAATTAAGGTTGATATTGTTTCACTAGAATTGATAAAATCTTAATTATTGTCTATTTCTTCCTCAAAACCGGTCGGTCGCAGTATGATCGTTAGATTAGCAAAAGTAACTTATCAGCAGCGGTTTTCAAAACATATATCTTCAAATATTTGAAATAATGTTATAAATAGATTACAAATTGCACGAGGGCAATGTCATGTAGTATATAATAAATATATAGATGTCACCTTAGGATGGACCTAAAACAGAATAGAAAGAGGAACAAATAAAAAGGAGTAAAATTTTGTGGATTGTGTTGTGTGTTGCGTTTGGAAGAGAATGAGGAGTGACTGAGTGTGGCTACGCATCATCTCCCACGAGGGCCTTCGCTCCCACTTCCCTTATTTCCCAATCAATGTCTCTCTTTTCTCTTTCAGTTATCCTTTGTGTGTACCTTTTGTCCATCTTTTCACAAATTCATTTATAAAAATGAAAATAGTATAGAATATTGCATTATTACGAATTCTTTCTATATACTAGACCCCCTCTAAAAATAGAATATGATGATGTTGAAGCTAGTCATTATCACATTGCATATGCAAGCGAGGACTAAAGGATATATAGGGGAAAATAAATTACTTTCAGGACTTTTCAAATCTTTTGATGGTTAAGCTATAGTACCCTTATCCAAGTTCTCTAATAATCTATCACAAAAAAAAAATCATTTTCTACCATATTACAACGTAAAATATAAACTCAGATGCAGTTCAAAACATAGATAAGATATTCGAAAACATTGGATCGACAATAGATTATGTTCATGATTCCATACATCACAAGCATATATATACAATAATAATTGGTATTTCATATTTTGTAAAGAGTGTCATTTTCTTATTTCATACAAATTAAGAAACTCTCCTAAAGCTTACAGATATTTTCCTATTTAATATACCACTAATTAAATGTAATAAAATCTGAATGCAATATTTATCATCTTAAAAGAAAGTTTAAAACATGAATTGAATGTAAGAAGTCATAATGGAATTATGGAAATGTAGACGATATTATTTTTGTAAACAAAAAAAAATATCTAAAACAACATTATTTGTGAAACAGAATGTTTTGTAGTTAAAATATAGTCTAATATACATATATATATATATATACTAAATTATTTCCCATCTTTTGTTCTTTACTTTCATGTAAAATATGATATTACAAGTAAAAGTATAAAATAGGGGAAAAAACTCAAAAAGGCAAGCCATGACCTTAATTAATAATCTTGACTAAAGGATCAAGTAAGGAGTAAGGACCATTTCATAATAATAATTCACGTGACACCGTATGTTACATGTCTACAGAACAAAAATAGATATTTTTCTTCTTAAAGTACAATAATAGAATTTAGGAGCGTTTTTATTTTACAAAAAAAGGGAATCAGAAATACTTCAATTATAACAGAAGCAATTTTAAAGACAACTTTTGTCCCAAAATTTAAAACTATTAGGTGGCATTCTTACGCCATGCGCATGGATAATAACCTAAAAATAATATTTTTTATTTGGATTAAAAATTAAGTTTATGTCATATTTTAATTTGTATAATTCTCTAATAATTTATAAGGATATTGCAAGTTCCATTACCTTTTGGCTACGTAACAATAAGTTGGATCTTAATCAACCGATGTTACATGAAGACGTGAAGTTGAGCTCATGCAAACTATAATAAGTCTTGCGTATATAATTATACATATTAATTAACATTACGACAGGAATCTATAAATTGTGAAATCATACCAAAGATTCTTCGACATAAAGAAAATAAAATAAAATTAATCACGCACACAAAAATATAGATATGAAAAAAGGAGATTCCAAGATGAAAACTAATTCCGCATCCCTGGTATGTGGACCCATTATTTTCTAATATTCTAACACGCAAATTCAATAATTTTCTCATATTATAATTTGATTTTTTTATTTTTTTATTTATTTTGGTATTTTATTTTATTTTTGTAAATTGTTTTTTAGTTTCTTCTTCATATCGAAATTAAATATAACATTCTTTCAATTAATTATTAAGAGATGGCCATAGAAAAAAAAAAGATACGGCATTTATTACGTTGCAATGATGGCAATCAATTTAATAAGCTCAAATACTATTGATTTACGTCTAGTTCGAATAAGAACAATAGCTTTGATTTGATAAATGTTTAAAAAAACAAACAATAGCTTTGAGTTTATGGAATTTGAGTTATTCTTTTGTGTCCAAATATGATTAATAACTGGGTGGAAGTTTGATAGATAAGATTCGTCCCTTTCGAGAATTCTGGAATTCTACATTTAATATTTATATATATAGAATCATAAATTTATCTTTTAACAAAATCATAAAAAATCCTTATATGAGCCACTAAAGTACCGTATATATATATATATAGCCCTGTACACGGCTTCCTTCTCCTCACCAAAATTAACAAGCTCATTGTGAAGAGCAATCCTACAAAACAAATCCACACACGCACAAAATCACAAAAAAACCTTAAAAAACCCTAGTTCGTAAACAACATACTATCATCACAATGTCTGGTGTGTGGGTGTTCAACAAGAACGGAGTGATGAGGCTGGTGGAGAATCCTTACAACCAGTCCGATTCGTCGGACTCTTCATCCTCCGGTGGTAGCCAGCAACAGAGAATGAGGAGGAAGATTCTTGTCCATCTTCCGACCAGCGAAGTTGTCTCTTCCTACGGATCACTTGAGAGGATCTTAAAGGGTCTTGGATGGGAGAGGTACTACAATGGAGACAACGCTGATCATTTCCTCCAATTCCACAAGAAAACATCGATTGATCTCATCTCTCTCCCTCGTGACTTCTCCAAGTTTAACTCTATTCATATGTATGATATCGTCGTCAAGAACCCTAACGTCTTCCATGTCCGAGACATGTAGTAGCCGGTCTTCCACATAATATTAATCATCCTCGCTGATATATCTATATATCATGTATATATTTGCAGGTTTTTGCTTCTTTTTTTTGCTTCTATTATTTGCTGTTGGGAGTTTGTTCTTGGTTTGTTTTATTTCCTCGGTGTGTTTTTGTGTTGGTCAATTTCGGGTGGTCTGCAAGTAATTATAGCCATTTTAATAACTCGTATCATTTTGTGATTTCAATGAACTTTATCAAAGTTGAATGTCATATGATGCGAGGTGTTTGATTTGGTAGCATGTTTGAATAAAATGATGCGTGGAATATATAACTAAACAAATCAGATATACTTAAGACAAAATTTTCTTGTCAAGAAATTGATATCTAATATATATAGCTTAATTGCTGTTTTTTTATCAAAATTAATTTTGCATTTATAAGGGATATATACATCCTATTTCATGAAAACAGATTTTGGTTTTTAAACCATTCTGGACTGATCGGTAAAGTGAAGTGATTTTGAGGACTGTTTATAAATGCACAGCCATGCTGAAATAAATAAACACAATGATAAATCGCAAGTACGACAAAATCTAAAGAAGGAAAGTCAAAAGATGTCCAATTAGAGAAGGGCCCCCAAGAGTTTGGGAAGACAATGGATATAAATGATGGGCGCACGTGACATCTCATACTTTTCTACAGGTGTCGGTTCCCCATTGCCCATTTACCCACTTTGTCACAGATTAGTATGATGGGTGCACGTGATATGTAGACTTTACATGGAATCTGGGCACGTGTCGATTCCCCAATGCCCATTTCCCCACTTTGTCACTTCCTTATCGATGTCGAACAAAACTTTCTTTCTTCTCCCAAAATAAATTCGCACATATCCTTTGCTTCTGTACACTGTTATATTCGGTACCTGATAATCGTTTCGTTTGAATAATTTTGGTATTATGGGCCTAAGATGCTGGACCGCTTGATTTCTCATCGGATAGGTAGGTTCTTGCTAAAGAATTTTTCAGCAATCGGATTATTGTCCATAATCGCTATTTGTGTATATGAGTTTACAGATTTAATCCCAAATCTCTTGACAACATCAACCCAATTGAAATGATCGTACAAGGTTTTCTTACAACCGAAACTGTCTTTTCAATACTATGATTATCAAACAAATTGACTTTGATTTCTTTTGGTTTTGCAAGGCGGCATTAATTGTATTACAAACAAATTTGTATATGTGAAAATACTTGATCTTTTTATTTTGGACCAAAAAAAAACTTGATCTTTTATTCTAGTTGGTACAAAAAAGCCAAACTTAGCTAATTTGTTATACTAATCAACATCGGGTTTCTATGTCTAGTTTTTGGAATACCATTTTGTGTTTGTGTGGATAAATATGTACCATGGCCTATATAAATGGTAATCATGATAAATTGATATTGTATACATATAATATAAATTATGAATCTTAAAGCGAAGTTTAAACTTTAAAATAATATCGAAAACATATGAAAAGATGGATATCATTCGTCCTTACAATTTTAAATGGATATATTAACCAAACAATATAGTCTCTTTGAACACATCTCTCTGAGCTGTCTTCATCATTTAAAATTAATCAAGACAAAATAAATGCATTACTAATAAAGACGTGATTAAGACTTGAGCTATAATCGATGATCATGCTCATAATAGAGCTAGTGGTCCTTCTAGTCTTAACCGATAGAGATCGTGTCATCGAGCTCGCAAGGGTTAAGAGTTCAACAAAGAAATTAGAGAAATTCTCGACTCCTCCAGACAAAAATAACATTTTCCTACACAAGACGTACGCTAAATGTTTGTGATACAAATTAACTTCTAATATCCTCATGATAAATTAAAGCATCTTATGTATTTTGGATAACGTAACATTTTTTTTTTTCAAACATGGTAACGATTATGTTTGGAAACTATGGATCAAGTCACTGGTGAACCTAAAAAAAATCAGATAAAAAAACCGTAATACATTCCGAGACGGAAGCAGAACAGTGGAAGAAATTAGAAAGACATAACAAAACAGATGTACATGAAAGTCATTTTTGTGATCATCTGCAACACAATATGACTATTTCTACATCATTTTTACAATATTTTGTTGTTGTTAACAGGTTTGCTATTTAATGCATGAGAAAGAAAGTTTAATGTTTGTGCTTTTTATAAATTTCAAACGCAAAATACCAAATACCAAATACAAACGAAAATTGTTTTACATGTTTGAGTTTAATTAAGTTTGCAGTGATAAGGAAATGATTTAAAATTTTTATTTATAGCCATTTAGAAGAACTCATATATGAATGGAAGCAAAGTATAGTTATTGACTGAGAGATTCCTGGGACCGTACTTTTAGGCTATTGGAGGAAATGGCCTAATTTAGATGCCACACTTTGTAGTGGGATGCTATAACAAATGGAATATATACGAACCTCAAGTCATATAAACATTACTAAATATTTTGAAATCGAAACAAAAAAAATATTACTAATATTTTTCATTGGTTGTTATCGAGAAATTTTAATATTTTTTTTTTGGGCAACTTCTATCATTAATTAGAGATAATCCATTGATTCGTATCATACAATACGAACGTGTTGTTAGCTTTTTTTTTTTTTTTTTTTTATATAAAGATGTGCCGTTAGTTGCCAAAACGTCGCATCTTTCGTGGCCATACATGGCACAACACTTTCTCCTTCGCAGCTTCTTTCTAGACGCCGTCGCCAAATATTATCACTACCTTAACTCCCAATCTCCCATTATATCATTATCGTATTTCTAGATTTTCTGTACTTATCCGTTATTGAATAGAATGTCGTCCACAAAAAAAGTGTATGTGAATTAGAATATATTACAACTGCGCCCCATATATTTCTTGACCAGCATATCTATCTTAGAAAATGTACAAACTACAAGATAACAAAATAAAAAGTTTTGGGGTCATTTTGCGAGAAATTCCATTTGTTGTGGGCTTTTTGAAACGTGAAGGTAATAAAGTTCTAGTTTATGGGAAATAAAAATAAAAGCCAAAATAATTATCTTTTGTGGTTGGCAGTCGATTATTCCATTTCCGGCAATAGTTTTATGTTCATTTTCTCCACCAACAGTTACGTATCCACTGTTCCTTCTTCTTCTTCTTCTTCTCCGGAAATCGCTTCGCTGCTGATCCAATGGAGTCAATCCACTGGAATAGCTTGATAAATCCTAAATTCTCCCTAAATCAGAGCCCTCGGAGGAGAAACCGTGCTGTTTTTGATCGGAGAGATGCTCCTTCACGGCGGGGCAGGACGTTCTCGGCTGTACGGACTTCTAACTTTTCCGTTACGGCGAGGGCGACGGATGTTTCCCCTAGAAAGAATTCTAAAGACGCGGCGGTGATGACAAGTGTGCGAGTAGGGAAATCGAGCACGGCGCTGGAGCAGCTGGATATCGAGCGAGGCGTTTGCGTGCCATTCCGAAAGTATTCCCCGGAGACTGTATGATTGCCTCTGAAATTTGTTTCTTTAGCTCAATTTTACGCGTTTTGTTGATTTTTGAGCTTGGTTAAAATTGTTCATCTTTATTGGATTTGCTTTGGTAGTGTCTTCTTAACCGAATCGACATGTTTGTATTCATATGAAATTTCACTGATTTCTCTTTTGTTTGGCGATGAATCAAAGGAAATCTAGCTAGATTATGCCCAGCTAAATTTACTTTCACGATTTTTCTTGTAGATTGTTTGAAATTGGAATTTACTGGTGTTTTTTTTTTGTTCCTCAGGTGAGGAGTAAAGTGCTGGAATCAAGAGGATCAGTCGTCTCTCTTGCTTCGAGGGGTGTGGAGATTGTCTGGAGTCTGGGGTTGTATTGGTCTACCTTAATGTATGATTTTTTGGTTGGAAGGGACGAGGAAGTCGTTCCGTTCCGTGCTAGGCAGCTTAGGAACCTTTTGTGCAACTTGGGGCCTTCATTTATCAAAGCTGGCCAGGTATGTGGATCTATGGTTTTTGCTATGTATTTGTTTATAATGGCATTTAACCGGGGTTCTCGGAGTTATCTTCTCTAATATCTATTACATGTGGGGGGCAGGTTCTGGCAAATAGACCTGATATCATCCGTGAAGACTACATGAACGAGCTTTGCATACTTCAAGATGATGTTCCTCCGTTCCCTAACGAGGTAAAAATCTTATCTTTTTGGGGAAATTGTTGAGCAAGATTTTTTTCTTGTTATCATGTGCCTTCGTGTGATGAAGCTAAGATGTGGAGGACTTTCTAGGTTGCTTTCCAAATCATTGAGGAAGAGTTAGGCCAACCTCTTGAGGCCCTGTTTAGCAAGATTTCTTCACAAACGATAGCAGCTGCAAGCTTGGGCCAAGTTTATCGAGCTACTCTACGTGCCACTGGAGAGGATGTTGCCATCAAGGTTCTTCGAACTATTCTTTGAAAATCGTGATATTTCGTATGGGATTATCAAACTGGACTCGTTCTAAAGTTTGGGTTTGACAATATTATTATGTATAATATACAGGTGCAGAGACCACAGATAGAGCCCATAATTTACCGGGATCTCTTTCTTTTCCGAACTCTTGCCTCATTCTTAAATGGCTTCAGTATACAGAAACTGGGTTGCAACGCAGAGCTTATAGTTGATGAATTTGGAGAAAAACTTTTGGAGGAGCTTGACTACACCTTGGTATCTCATTCAACTTTTAGTTTGACTTTATGCTTTTTTTTTTCAATGCGCAGAAATAATAAGTCTTTATATAATCCCGGTTAACCTTAAGTTCTTGCCTACAGGAAGCCAGGAACATTGAAGACTTTCTGGAGAACTTCAAAGATGACCCCACTGTCAAAATTCCTGGAGTATACAAGAATCTTTGTGGTCCGAGGGTTCTGGTAATGGAGTGGATTGATGGTATTCGGTGCACTGACCCACAGGTATGACTTTCAAATAGGGTCCAACCCAAAACAAATTTCTTTATACCCTCCTTAAAAGTAAAAAATAAAATACATCTTGAGTACTGACTCTTACTAATTGTACTCAGGCCATCAAGGATGCGGGAATTGATTTAAATGGATTCTTGACTGTTGGCGTGAGTGCTGCTCTAAGGCAGCTGTTAGAATTTGGATTGTTTCATGGAGATCCTCATCCTGGAAATATCTTTGCAATGCATGATGGGCGTATTGCTTATGTCGATTTTGGGAATGTTGCTGTACTGAGTCAGGTAATTTGCGTTTAATGCTTCTAAGGTATCTAGGAACCGTAATATACGAACATATGTCTCTTTCCTGTAGTGATTCTCACATCTGTATTTATAGACTTTGTCACTCATAGTCTAACTAAATCCTTTCTTTCTCAGCAAAACAAGCAAATTTTGATTGATGCTGTTGTCCATGCCGTTAATGAGGACTATGGAGAGATGGCCAATGATTTCACTAGGCTTGGATTCTTGGCCAAGGGTACTGATGTTTCTCCTATCGTCCCAGCTTTAGAAGCCATCTGGCAGAATTCTGCGGGGAAAGGACTTGCAGATTTCAATTTCCGAAGTGTTACAGGTATGTACTGTTTCATGCGATTTCCATACAAGATAAATTGATTTCCAAGCACATCTGAGTCTCATGTTTTTCTTGCAGGCCAATTCAACAAGCTTGTGTACGACTTTCCCATCCGTATTCCGGAGCGGTTCTCTCTTGTTATTCGTTCTCTGCTTACACAGGAGGGTATATGTTTCACGCTGAAGCCTGATTTCAAATTTCTCGAGGTGAAGTTACATTTTGATTCCTCTCTTCAAACATAGGGTTAGCACACATTAATCCTGAAGTGAGCAGATACTAGCGATATGTTCACTGACATTTCCCTTCCCACACTAAAAGCTGGCTTTTTTTTGTTTTTGTCTAGGTTGCTTATCCATATGTAGCAAAGCGCCTTCTAACGGATCCAGATCCTGCACTTCGGGAACGCTTGATACAGGTTAATTGATAATTCTAATGTCATCTCTCATAAATGGAATGTCAAATTGCTATCCCTGAAATCAGAGCTCTTGTTGCCACCGCCGTTTTAGGTTCTATTTAAAGATGGAGTGTTCCAATGGAAAAGGCTAGAAAACCTCATATCACTTGCAAAGGAAAACGTTGGCCAAATGAGTAGCAACCCTGCTATACGAGTTAAGCGTGTGTAAGTAACCAAAATTTTATATAAGCATTGTTCCAAAATCTCAATCGGTCACTCAGTGAAGATTAAATTCTTAACTCATGTTCTACGCATGGTATTTTCAGGGAGAGTAAGCTTGACTTGACAGATACCATTAAGGACGGAGCTCGTCTTTTCCTGCTTGATGAAGGCATTCGCAGGAAACTTATTCTTGCACTCACAGAGGACTCGAAGCTTCATGTAGAAGAGGTTCTTACATTATAAAACTTCACCACATTTTGTATCTGCAGCACGATATAGACACTTGGACCTCTAAAGCTAAAACAGTAACTCTAATTTTGTTCTTTCAGCTTGTGGATGTATACAAACTGGTTGAAGAAGAAGTAGATATTCCCACACTCGCTATGCAAGTCGTGCAAGGTAGGATATTCCCATCGACTTTCTTACTTATGATCCTGTAAACATGGTAATGTTTGGCCATTGATTTAGCACATAACAAAGTAGTTTTGTATGATTCTGAAAATCTCGTTCCTTTTGAATGCAGATTTACCGAATGTTTTCCGGGATTTCGTGCTGTCATGGAGCAACTCAGTTCTATCCGACAGATGAAGAATCGGGTTCGCACCTTTTTTTGTGTGGCTCTTTTGAAGAGGAAAGAGGTAATTTGTCAGGGAGTAGATGGGTAAAAAAACGTAGATTAATACAGTTTAATCTTCGGTGAATACATGTTACAAGTAGTAACTTAATACATACACACATACATGTAATTATATACAAGAGCACAAACTTCACTTGTTACTCTTTTAGTCTTTGACGTTGTCTAATGTAGTTGGATATATATACACTAACGTTTATTAATCGACGTCATCAAATCAAACCTGTAGTCTTCACACAACACTTACTATGTGGACTCGAAAGAGCTGTTGTTGTGTCTTGGCCTCGCATGCCGTATTTTTTTCACTTCATAGGAGGGATCTAAATTGTGCTCATTATTCACAACTGGGACTAAACCTTCAAATTAAATTCTAAATGGCCCACTAATGACCCAATTATCCAAATGTCAATTTCTTGTTATTCCCGTGGCGGCAAAATTTATTTATCGAAAAAAAGAAAATCTTTCCCGTGGCGCCAAAATCGTAGGAGAAGAGAAAGGGGAAAACAAATCTAAGAACATTTTTCGACTCTCTAAGCTAAGCTATGCAAGCAAAAATCAATTCTTTCTTCAAGCCCTCTTCTTCTTCTTCGTCCCCTATCGCCGCCTCAGTATCATCAGACACGGACGATGGTTTAGCCGTCTGGGAGAATAATCGAAACGTCATCGTCAATACTTACGAGCGTCGATCTGGGATAGTCGATAGGTATATGGATCATCTTTCGGGATTTGCTTCTCTTTAGAGTTCTTCGAATTTTCCTTTGTCTTCTTCAGCTTAAGGGTCTAGGGCTTCCATGAAAAAATCGAAAATTTCTCAGTTATGATCAATTGGGAAACTCCTAATTTGTGTGTTTTGTCAAGGCAAGAGATTAGAATTCATCTTTCGGACATTTGCCTCTGGGTTTTCGTTTGGAAACCCTTCTGTTTATGCGTAATGTGTTTTTCTTACTTTTGTAATATCTTGAATTGACATAATTTATGATCACGCTTTGGGTGTTCCAGAAGTGAAGTGCTTAAGGAATGCATCGGGAAGCCACTGAGGAAAGGATCTTCTTCTGCATCTAAAAACCTCAACAAGAAGCGCAATTATACCCAATTCCACTTAGAGTTGGGCCAATCCGATTTTCTTCTCAGACATTGCGCAGAGTGTGGAGCTACGTATGCTCCTGGAGATGAATCAGATGAGAAGAACCACCAAAGTTTTCACAAGAACTATATGCATGGAATCCCTTTTAAGGTACCTTATATTCTCAAGATATTATACGTTCCTTGATTGTTTGGTAAAGTGTCTGGTTTTTTTTTTAATTGTTCTCAGGGTTGGCAGAACGAGAGAGCGTTCACATCATCTTCTTTCAACAAGAACCGCATCGTTATGGTACTGGATAATGATTCTCCTGCACACAGAAACAAGGTTCATTTGTTTTATTCACCATTCAAGTTGCGCTGCTTACGGTTCTTCGTTTAGAGGTATTAACTGGGTATTCTTTTGTATCTGCAGGTGCAAGAGGTTGTGAAAATGATGGAGGTTGAGCTAGGTGAGGATTGGATTCTTCACCAACATTGTAAGGTATGAATCTCTCTCTATTGTCTATTCACGTCTTAAGAGACATTTCCGGATCAATTTTGTAGCTCATACATGGTTATTTAGTACAAAATTGAGCCACCTGAGATCTGATACAAAACTTGTTGGCAATACATGCTTTACTTTTGGCCAAATTAAAGGAGGAAAACCTTGACTTATTGTGATTTTCTTCCATGTCTATGATTTAGCACTGAAAATCAAATCAAGAACGTAGATTGTAAGAAAAAATGAGTTTCTTTGAATTCTTTTCCTGTCATCATTCACAAGAAACATGGTTATAAGCCAATGGTTTATTATAGTTTTTGGAGCCTCTAGTTACTTTCTTCGAACTATCATGTTATGTGTAGGTTTACTTATTCATTTCCTCTCAGAGGATCTCCGGATGTTTAGTTGCGGAACCAATTAAGGAAGCATTCAAGCTCATAGCTCCTCATGGTGATGAAAGACAGTTAAAGAAAGAGAGCTCCTCGCCTTCAACGTCCATTCAGTTTGGAAACATTGTGTTGCAGAGAGAAGTATCGAAAAGATGTCGAGAATCAGAAGAAAGAGTAGATAATGGAGCAATTGTATGTGAAGAAGAAGCTAAACCAGCTGTTTGTGGAATTAGAGCAATCTGGGTCTCACCTTCCAACAGAAGAAAAGGCTTAGCTACACGGTTACTCGATACGACGAGGTAAAGAAACTCTTGGCAAAACCCACCTGAAACCATTCCCATTGTAAATGTTCCATCATTTTTCAATGTTTGTGTGAAACGCAGGAAAACCTTCAGCAATGGGTGCGTTTTGGAGAAATCTCAGTTGGCATTTTCACAACCAAGCTCCATGGGAAGAGCTTTTGGTTCTAAGTATTTTGGAACTTGTTCATTCTTTGTTTACAAAGCTCAACTAGCTATACCAGGCCCAACACGGTAGAATGGTCCAATTAAGCTTTGCGATCATTTAGCATTTTTTTAACTTTTTTTTTGGGGATTTGCTATTTATAAGATACAAAAAATACATACATACTTTGGCCCTTATGGAACTGTCATAAGTTCAGTTTTAACGGAGTTGTAAAGAAAGTTGTGCTTAAACTTCGATCCAATTCCAATCCAAAACTTCAAATGAACCTAAAATAAATAAAAAATTCATAATTATGATTTTTAAGTTGGTCAAAGCTATGTCATAACTCATACGTTAACTATTTTGTTGTATGATTTTCATGAATAAGTAAATATCAAGAAGACTTTGTTGATTTATGCATTGCTTTGTAAATTTGATCCTAATTTTTGTTACTCAGTCAATGTCTCAGTGATTTAAAATTATGGTTAAAGTATGGGTTACTCAGATACTAATTAACAAATAAAAAATAAGATCATGATTTATAGACATAAATAAGATTTGAAAATCAAAGATTTAGAACCTTTTCTTATTTATTTAGAACCTAAAGTATAAAATATTATTATTAATCCCATTGAAAATTGTGAAAGTCGTCGCAAAATAATATAAAAATTAATCAAAGCAACCTTCATTTAAATATATGATTAAAATCATAATGATGATGTATTGAAAAGGTAAAAATGGTATGGAGATGAGAGAGAGAGAAAAAGGCTTCTTTCCCTACCAACTGCGAAACACTATCCCCACAAGAAACCCCAAATCCACTCCTTAGAAACTGCCAATCTCAAGGTCAGCTTCTTCCTCGACTTTTCGATTCGATCCTCTTCCTCAAAATTTCGCTTCTTCTTTCTCTTTTCTTCGATTTTGTTTGCTTATACTGATTACCAATTCGCTTCGTCTCTGTTGCTTTGGATCCGTTTTCTAATTTTGCGTTGGGTTCTGCTTATAGTTTTGGATTCAAGTATTGGTGTCCGATGATCGGTTTCTGAATCGTTTGATTTTGAATCCACTTCTCATTTCTGACCGTCTCTTTTAAGTTTGTAGCGACTGAATAGTTTCCAACGAATCTGAATTTGGTTTAGGTTCTATGAGTCTCCATCGAATCGTCTTTGCATTCTTAATTCGTTTATTATTTCTATCGTCTTGAGATTGTGATTGCTTAGCAAGTCTCGTTTACATGCATATTGCAGCTACATCAATAGGAACAGCATCCGGAGAAAATGACGACGTAGAAGGGTTTTCACTGAGTCTCTTTGAGTTCCCGATAAATCTGGAATAAGCTATTTTCATTTTGCATAATCTTATTAATGGCGCTTGAACATGTTTGTGAGAAGCGGCTTCAAGCAAAGACATTTAGCAGCCAAGAGTTTCAGCTAACGATCAACTGGGATGATTTAGTTTGTCCCATTTGCTTAGATTCTCCACACAATGGCGTGCTTCTCCAGTGTTCATCTTACGGAAATGGATGCAGAGCGTTTGTCTGCAACACAGATCACCTTCACTCAAACTGTTTGGATCGCTTCATAAGCGCCTGTGGAACAGAGTCACCTCCTCCAGCTCCAGCTCCTCCTGATGAGCCTCGGTCAAAGGTTTTAGAAGAGAGTTGCAAACCCGTGTGTCCACTGTGTAGAGGGGAAGTCACTGGTTGGGTCGTTGTGGAAGAAGCTCGTGTTCGTCTTGATGAGAAGAAACGTTGCTGTGAGGAAGAACGGTGCAGGTTTATGGGTACTTACAGTGAGCTTCGCAAACACGCTCAGTCAGAGCATCCAGATTCACGTCCCTCGAAGATTGATCCAGCAAGGAAGCTTGACTGGGAAAATTTTCAGCAGTCGTCTGAGATTATAGACGTGTTGAGCACAATTCACTCAGAGGTTCCAAGAGGAGTGGTGTTAGGGGACTATGTGATCGAGTATGGAGATGATGACACAGGAGATGAGTTTGAGGATGTTCCTAGCAATGAAAGAAGCTGGTGGACATCTTGTATTCTGTATCAAATGTTTGACAATATAAGAAATGCGAGGAATCGAAGAAGAGCAAGAATGAGTGAGAGCAGGAGAGGGAGTCGTCGCTCTAGCTATGATAATTCCAACTCTGATGACAGCTCTGTAGCATCCATAGAGTTCCCAGCTGGACATTGAAGCGAAGCAAATGAAGCAAGCAGCAGACCAGCTTATTCGTAGCCAGTGTTCTTGGTTTTGGACATTTCTCTTCTTTTTCTTGTTTTTTTCAACATAAATTTTCTTTTAGGTTTGTCTTGTGACATTTACTCGCAGTCACAACCTTGTACAAAGACATAAACGAACAAAAAAAATTGCTTTTTGGATATCGTAACCTGTTGAATGAGATAACAGAGAGAGAATACACGACCTTAGAGCTAGGATCAACTGTGAGGATAACATCGGACCACTCAACGTTGCCCCAAACCTGGCCTCCGCTTTGCCTTTCCAAGGAAATCTCGGCACACCAAATCTCCGAGCTCTTGTGACCACGACCACCAACAACCACGTGCACGTCCCAGAAGACGACAAGATTGTGACCAAAGTTGGTCAATCTGGCTCCGGGAAGAAACTCTTCAAGGTTTAGGCTGATATTGTACTTGATCTTGTGGCATGCCCAACTTAATGATGCAATCTCCCCTCTAAAGTGAGCCACTCTTGAACGATGAAGCCTCTCCTGGAAACTCTGCAAACCCCTCACCCTTTTCCAATCCATCCCCGCTTCATCACACCGATGATTCCAACTCCTCAGGCTCACACCAATATATATATATATATGACCGTTGAAACCACAACTGAATATCAACTTATCTATCACACACCAATCCCTTTTAAACGTAGGCTCTGAATCCAGATTCCCTCTTCCCCATTTACCTTGCCTCGGCAAGTAGTAGAAGCTTGTATTACATGAATCCACCACGTGAACCTTGTCATCTATCACCACACTGTCGTGTATCATACTCATTATAGGTAGTGAATCCGGATCCTCCTCAAGCGTTGGCTTATAATTTGGGAGGGCTTCCCAAGTTTGCGTCTTTGTGTCAAATACCTCTCCCCACTCGGAGAAATCCTCCTTGCGGTCCCTGCAGCCTCCCAACACGTAAATCTTCCCGTCTAGCACGCGAGCCGCCGGGGAAGTACGAGCCACTCTCATGGATGTCACGTGGTGCCACTTGTGAGTCGAACAATCGCACTTGGCAACGATTGTAGCAACGACGACGGAGATGCCTCCTCCTCCTCCTCCTTCCTCCTTTTATTATGCGGTGCCACTTCGATGCCGTAATGGAACATCGTCAAATCTCTCACGCTTTGATTAACAAGCGATATCCAGCATGTATCTTATATATACGTTTTGTTTCCCTCTTCCAGACATATTAGGATTTATTTACTCGAGAAAAAGGAAATTTGCTTTTCTTTTTTTTCCGTGATTTCCTCTTTATGACTACTAATGTTTTTTTGCTTTGTTTTTATCAGTGAACATGTAAATTGAATATATTGCTTAAAGCTCACGATTGTTACAAAAGTAAATGGAATCATCAGATAATCCAACACTAAGTGGCACAAGCTCAGAAACTAGTATGGGACATTATTAGGCAAGTTTCTTATGACATTACTCTTCATTGCGATCTTGGTACGCATTGTCTCGCCTCTCTTGTTCATCTCCTTGAGCACTTTCATCTTCACTGTGTCCTCTTTCGACGGCACCGTCTTCAGACCCAGGCTCTTGTACCTGAGAATTTACCAATTTGTGGAAATAGCATTAGTTAAGATTAAGTTGATGATTTTAGGTTTGAAGGATTAATGGGTTTGGAGACAAACCTTGAAGATAAAGAGGCAATAATCTGGTTGCTGTTTTGAGAAGTTGGGCGCGGCTTCTGTCTGTAATAACGCATGAACTCACGTGACCCAAGAGTCCTAGACGTAGTTGTGTTCTCGGATCTCTCGGTGATCACAAGCTCAGAACCACCAACGAGTTCTACAGCGTTGTCTGTTTCACCAGACACAACTATCTGGTCTCCAGCTTCATCAACATAGCTATATATATTCCAAAGGAAAATGCATTAAGATTTGGTATAAAAAAAAAGGAATATAGAGGTGAGAACAAGAATAACTGCGGGATTAAGAGAAACTTGAAACCTGCTGCTGTAGTCATAGAACTCTTCTAGTTCAGCATCTTCATCGTCATCACCATCACCATAATGCAATTTGCAATGACTCTTTGCTTCCATGTGCTTCCTTACAGCTTCTAAGCTGCTGAATGGACGGCACAGCTCATTGCAGTACAGACACATGAAGTCTCTCTTGACCTGAATGTACGACCCGTGAATAAGTACATAGCTGTGAAAAATCCAAAGCGTTACAACAATGAACACTGAATGCTAAAACTGATGAGCTCGAACCTTAAGACCGAGGTAAGTGAGAAGCCCTTCTGGATCCTTGAGATACTCAACGTCGGGAATAAAGAAACCATGATGCTTATGCATGTGAACCATACAGGTCTCTAAGTTGTTATGTTTTTTGTCACACATCAAACAGCAGGTTGGGTCCAGCTCATACTTGTCTGCATCATCTTCATCCATATCTTCTTCAGCAGATCCTGACTCATTTACATTCAACTTGGACAAAGAATCCGAGGCTTCTTGAGCAGCCAATTCGTCGTCTGAATCAGCCTCCACCCATTCATCTTCACTTTCTTCATCAAACGAACCTTTACGGCGAGGAGGAAGTGGCCTAATGATGGCTTTATCCTCCTCTCCGTTGGTTGTTGTCCCCTGTGAAACCCTCACAACGTGGCTCCGCGACTTAAGATGCTGCTCATGAGCCTTGGAGCTCCTGTAACCTTTACCACAGATTCCGCAACTATAAAGCATAGGTGCTTCATCTGATTTACCGTTCTCCTGAGCAAGAGCAGATTGTCTAGCCTCAAACAGCTCTTCTGTAACTCCAGGAACCCCAGCCACCTAACAGTTTCAACGTATTCAGAAAATTTCAGGGCAACAAGATCATATTAACTCGAGAGACTCTCAATTTCTACAACCTTGAAAACAATTCTCAATTTCGATGGAAAAGTTTTGTTTCTCTCAGATACTTTGATCTCATCCTAGGCAAGCAAATAATTCGATTTCAAATCGACCAACCTTGCGCTTGAGATTGTAGCGGTGCCAATCGGACTTGTAATGAAGCTTTCGCTCTGCTTCGTCGTCGAACTCCATGTTACACGCGTTACATGTTAAACCAGGCATCTCTCGATCACGATAACGATTGTTCTTGAGACGGCTCGTAGATGGAGGATCGGTGAAAGAGGGAAAACCCACCCGAAATCAATTGTGTTTAGTCTTAAAAGGGCCTCAGATCAGCCGCGTGTTATCCGACGGCTGCGATTCCCCCTCACCAAAAATCGACGACAACTATATTATAATCTATGTTATTTCTTCCGACGTCTTACCTTTATTATTACTTCCAAAAAATTTAAATCGGGTCGGACCAGTATCGACTACATCTAGCTGTAAATGATTGACCCGTTTTCCCTAAATTCGACCCGACTCGTATCCGTTACCCATTTTGCTAAAGCTCAAATCCATTAAGATAAAGCGATTGACATAGAGTGTGTTTCTTACTAAATTGTATCATGTTTTTTTTTTATGTCTTAATTTGTTTATTTTCTTGACCTTTGTATTTTTTTATAATCATGTCAAACAAATTTGATGATTTGTTGGCAAACAATTGTAGCCTATGTGGCGATGCCAAATCAAAGTAGAAGAGAAATTTTCAGTCTAGTTCTGCATAGATTCTTATCCATCCAACAAAGAACATGTTTAATTCCATAGAACATACCAAGTTCATAAACAAATTAGTGATAACTGATAAGATATATTCTATGAATATTTTATAATTGGCGAAAAAAGAAATGTGATAGGGGTATTTTTCATATTTTTATGAAGATTTAGTACATTTCTTATATAATTTTGTTTAGATATTAGATTAACACCAAACACCTAAACAAACTCATCTTAGTATAAGGCATAGAGCATAACATTGAAAGAGGAGAATCCAAAGGTTTGCTTGTTTGTTCTACCATTACCAAAGTTGCATAACTAAATTGAAGACAAAAGCAGAGATTTGCAAATGAATATTGACCAATGCACAATAAGTCACAAATAGATTAATACCTAATAAAAATGAAAATAAAAAATGTCAAACCTTCACCTTTTTGTTGCCAAGAAAAAATTTGATATATCTTTGAAAAGTCTCAATTAACAATGTTTATAGTAATCATAAATCACTAGAAACAGAATTTATATCAAAAAAATTATAATAACTGCAATTCAAAAGAGAAATTGTGTGGATAGTCTCCGCTTACAATATATGCATCAAATCTCTTGGAGCATCCATCATTTGATTCTGAAATTTTCATTATGACTAACTTATAACAAAAAAATTATGCGAAAATAGAACATTAAAATGAAATATTTTCATATCCATTAACAATTTTCAATCAAATCACCAATAAAACTAAACTCATGTTCATCACAAATCAATTCTATCAACAATTTTATCATAGTTGAAACGGACACTAATATGGCAGTACGAGACAGTGTTTGGAGACTTATTCAAACAGTTTTGAAGATCAAAGAGTTTTAACAACTAGACAAAACACATTGTCAATGGGTCTCTCATTCTTTAGATCTATATTCTGATTGATTAGGAAAAAATATTTATTATTACTTCAATAACTTTAAATCGGGTCAGATACATCGGAAGAACAACAAATAACTGATATGTTTTCCTTAAATTCAACCCAACTTATATCTGTTGCTAACGCTCACATCCACTAATATAAAGCGATTAACATATAATTTGTTTCTTAAAAAATTGTATAATGGTTTTTTTATGTCTTAATTTGTTTATTTTCTTGACCTTTGTATTTTTTGTATCAATAATTTGTTAACACAAATTTGGTGATTTGTTGGAAAACAATTGTAGCCTATGCGGCGATGCTAAAGCAAAGTGGAAGAAAAATTCTCATTCTAATAATGCCTAGATTCTTTTTTTTTTTCCTGCCTAGATTCTTATCCATCCAACAACAATTGAACTTGTTTAATTCCAAAGGACATACCAAGTTCATAAATAACAAGTTAGTGATAATTTATAACATATATTCTATGAATATTTTAGAATTGGCAAAAATAGAAATGTGATAGGAGTATTTAGTTTATCGTGTTCTTATAAAGATTTATTACATTTCTTATATAATCTTACTAATATAATCTTACAACCTTTTTTTCTGTTCTTTCTTTTCTCTTTGCCTAATTTTATTAGGGAAACAAATTTTAACCGTAGCCCTGTAATTTAGGAAACTAACCCTTCACTCAAAAATAAAAAAGAAAAAAAAGAAAGAGAGAGAGAGGGAGGAGAACAAGAAGACGACAAATAAACGAGAAATTCCTTAATTCCCTTTAACACTTTGATTATTTTTCCTTTCAACGAACTCTCGGCCTCCTCTCTTCTCCCATGGATTCCGTCTCCCGTTACGCCGGGCCACGTCAGCCTCGACCCGGAGGCAAGATTGTTCGGCCACGCCGGACCGCCGTCGTCAGGACGCCCTATGACCGCCCCGCTCCAAGATCCCGGGATCCTCCTCCTCAGCAAAACCCTAGTTGGATCTCCAGGCTCGTTTACAAGCCTGCCAGCGTAATTGCCTCCGGCGCCGGAAAATTTATTTCTTCCGTCGTCTTCTCTGAGTCGTCCTCATCTTCTTCGGAAGGCGAGGATTCATCTTCAGGTATGTGTTGCTTATAGAATTTATTTGGGTTTAGCAAGTTTAGTTTAAAGATTTGAGTTATTGTTAAGTCGAATCTGAAATCTACCGTTTTTTTCATTTCAAATGTGAATTTGATTTATTCTCGTTCCTTTAATGTGGCACTTAATTGCAATGAATCATTGGTGAACTACTGCATACTCTATTTCTCTTAGTTACTACTTCTAAAGCTTTAAACTTTTTAGTAATTCTCAAGCTCTATTTTTTTTTTCATGGACGGATTCATTTAGGTTCGACTCGTTATCCTCGTTTTTTTCTTCATATAATGTAGAGAAAACCGGCCAGCTTTGCATCTTCATTTTTTGTCTTTCAAAGTAGATTTTATATGTTCTGCTCCTTGTTTTCAGATATTGATGGTGATGAGGATGTTGAGAAGAACATTACCGATTTTACTGAAGATGAAACAATGGTAGAGGTACTAACCACCTTACTCGTTTTGGTGATATGCTATGCCATGTTTTAAGCTTGGTTCCTGTGATCTTCAGGTTCATTGTTCACAGAATTGATTCAGCTTTATTGGTGTAGTGGTTGGTGTTGCTAAAGATTCTAGATTGAATTTTTCGATTGTTTTATACTGAGTCTACCTGTTCACCGTTACGAGCTTTTTTAGTGTGTTTTGGTTTTGTACAAGTAAAGTTAGAAAGCTGACATTTTTCAACATTGTATTTTACAATGGAAACCTGATTTTAGTTTATCTGGAGTGAATATGATGTGTGCTTGTGTTAATAGGAACTTGTGAATGCCCAGCAATCAACCATCCAAAGACTCAGTTCTAAGCGTGTTATTGAGCAGCTTCTCATGCAAGAAACATTTGCAAGGTATTTCGCACTTTTAGACGTAGACATCTCTTACTTGAAAATATATCTGTGATATTTCTTTAATGACCTTGCTAAGTTATTGATGCGTATGTTGTTTCAGGGAAGAGGGCGATAGATTAATAGATATCATCAAGGCGAGGGTTGTAGATCATTCCAGTGTCCCCGCTTCTATTGAGGGGAGGCATTGTGACAATGGCTTGACAAGTGGTATGTAACTGATGGTAGACTGTGCAAGCAGACTGGATTAAGTCTATGTGATAACATCTTCTCCTTTTATTTTAGAAGTGAATGTGGGTGAAATGTCTAATAAAGCTGTCATGGAAGCAAAGAGATGGTTGGAGGAGAAGAAATCAGCATCGAATTCAAAGTCTAAAGTAAGTTCTGGAAACTTTGCTTTCTTAACTCTTGGATGTTTCGGCAGGTATGTAGTTGTTGAAATATCTCGTCTCTGTGCTCTGAGTCATTGCTTTCTAGTATACAACGGTATATCTTCTGTTTGTCTAAAATCCTATGTGTGATTTGTTGTTCAATGCTTTTCCATCTGACTAGCAACGTAGACACATCTTGCGAAAGTAACTTTTTAATGATTTCGAGTATGACCGTCTATGGGAATTAGTTCTGAAATGCCCAGAGAGTTGTTTTTTTTTTTTGGAGAGAGGGCGAAGACCATATGCTCGCAAGAATTTTTTCAGCTTCTGATAGTTTTTCGTCACCAGTATTCCCCATTTATAGTTTCTTCTCCAATGTGCTTTAGACAACGATCTCCATCTCAGCCATTATTTTCAAACTCCAGGCAACTGAAGATGGTGCTGGATCACCTGTGGACGTGGCCAAGTCATATATGCGTGCTCGTCTGCCATGGGGATCTCCGGCTGTGAACAATTCAGAGTTTCGGTCACCATCACCAGGAGGGATGCCATTTTTTAAAGAAGGGACACCATTTCCTTATAGTGCTGGAAACTTATCCTCTTCCAAGGTACAGAAGAAAGTTTTCCAATATATTATGCAGAGCATACTTTTCTTATAGTCACGAGGCATTTGTGTGATGCTACTTCCAGTTTTCTGAAGTTGTTTTCTTTTTGTTCATGTTAGTTAATCACGAGGCATTTGTCATTTGTGTGATGCTACTTCCAGTTTTCCAAAAGAAAGTTGCATACTTAGAGTTTTGTTAATGGCTCTCTCGAAGTTATGCATATGCATTCTGACTTTTGGTATCAAAATGCAGCTGAAAAGGAGATCCCGTTCTAATCCGTCATGGAATATTCAAGATGAAATTCGCAAAGTCAGAGCTAAAGCAACAGAGGAAATGCTTAAGAGTGTATCACCCAGTAGTGTAGCCTCGTTCGAAATTAAAAACAGCCCCTATGTTTTAGATGCATCTTTGAATGTTGATGGAGGTGTCCAAGGTTTTTTTTTTTTTCTCTATTCACATGTGATGAAGCTGAAAGTTTCAGTTCTGGTTACATGTAGTAACTCTTTTTGTTTCTGTTCTTTAGCTGTGCGGAATGAGCAAAGCGGGGTTCTACCAAATTCAACCATACCTACCTCTGAACAAAATAAGGTACATTACGTTTTTGTTTCTCAGTAACAAGATGGAACATGCAGGTTTAATCTTTTATTTTTTCACTTGTGTGCTTTTCTTGATTGAAGACTACAGAAGCGAATCAAGCCGTTGAAGAAACAGGAGTTTTAAACCCTAGATCTCGTTAGTTTCTCCCTTCATTCATTCTTTGTATTCACTCTCTCATCTTCGATTTCATATAGTCTGTCTCATAGATTTAACGTTTTGTGCTAAGGTGGAGCTGGTTTGGACAAGACATTTATCTCCACAGAAGGAGTCAAGCTATCGAAAGATACAAATACCGCTCCTCAAAGGTTTTTTTACTGTGCATATTTTATCAACGTAGATTGTACCTCGTTTCTTCTGGACAGATCATTTTTTCAGTATATCCATCTTCTCAAGTTTCTCAACTGTTTTTGACAGTGGAAAAGGTCTAGATGACTCCAATGATCCAGATGGCGACTTTATCCAACCTAGCTCAACTATTGGAGGCACCACAAATGGTAACACTTTGGATTTTCAAACACCTTGGTTTTGGATGATGTTTAGTTGAGCTTTCTTTATTTAGTTGCTCTTTTATGAATGCAGCTGTCTTGGCTCTTGGGGCAACTTTGGATCCAACTGGGAACTTTTGTATCCCGAAAGATGTTTTTGAAACATCAAAAGAAGCTGATCAAATAGGCGCAGCATCTCCTACTTCTAACGGTTTCCCATCTTCATTGCCTAGGTGAAAAACTGCTCTTTTCGAAATAGGGGCTCCTTTTTCAGGGTTGGTTTGACATAAGATGACATTACGTCCTACTAAGCAAAGCCTTCATTTTTCAGTTCACCAGTGGCTATGGAAGGTCAGCCAAAACCCAAACCGCCAGATGAAACCGAGGCTTCTCAACCTATAGCTGAAACTCTTGGTGATGATCTCACAGTAGGGAATGGCTCAGATGGTGTGATTGATAACGAAAACAATAACAGCGACTCAAGCGCCTCACATAACAGTTCAAGCACGCATGAAGAAGAGTGGCTCCCAGGAGACCAATCTCTGCCTAACTCAAACTCAGCAAGTAGCAGCCCGGGTACTACCAAGGTCTTGGCATACACGAGAAGAGGAAGAGGCCGAGGTAGAGGGAGAGGCCGAGGAGGTCGAGGCAAAGGACGGGCCAAATAAAACTGTAAGAAGAGCTGTACGCAACAACTCAATGCAGTAGGAGAGTATTTATGAGGTAGGATTATGTGACGTCTCTTTTAGATTTCAGTCCCACTCTCTTTGTGTTTGGTCTTTTATCACTTCGTTATCGCTTTAGGTTTTCTTTTAGTATTCGAGTTAGGAGGATTTGTCTTCTGGAGCTGTGACGAATTTGTGTCTCTGTTTTTTAATTTCTGAATCTTTATTGTTTATGTTGTAAGTTTGAAACTTGTTTCGTTCTAGCTGACAAAGCTTTCCAGTTTGCAGTTCCATTTTGAACTTATTTTTCTTTGTTCAATTCCAAATTTGAAAAATTTGCTTGACCAAAAAGCCATCACCTGACTTTTGGGAAAAATCCCAAATCACTAACACTCACTTCCTTCAACCTTGTAAATAGTCAATGTCAAATATAATACTTTCAACACAAATTCCGACATTGTCCGGTAAATTACCTAGTTTCAGTATCAGATGAGATTACTGAGATCAGAACATTGCAAGATGAAGTTAAAATGGGTTCAATCTAGTGTTACAATTTCACATGTCAACTAGATTTGATCCAAAGTACAAAAACGCAAGCAGTACGAGCAAAACCCAATAAGCAAACTTTTTATCAATACAGAGAGAGAGGAGAATACAGGAAAAAAAAAACAGACAGAAAAAAAAAGGAAGAAGAAGAAAACGAACAAAACCCAATAAGTAGCGATCGAAGCTATAAACACAGAAGAGCGAAAGCTCGGGCATTCACATCTGAAAGCAATACAAACAAGCCCACGAAGAAATTAATCAGAGCGAAGCACAAGAGTAACAAAGGAGTCGAGAAATCATTGGGTTGGTCGGGGGAAGTTACTTCTTTTGTTCGGTTTTTTTTTTGTATCTTGTCTGAATAATTCTGGTCAATCTTAGCAAAAAGGTTACTGCTCAAATCAATCTTGCCAACACTTGGTGTTTTTCTGCTCACAAGCTTTGGGTCCCGCTTCTCATTGCCCGCTTCCTCCATCTTCAATTCGAAATTTCGTCTTTTTCTAGGCAATTCGAATCCGTTGCTCTGTTCTCGAGCTCGAATCATTTTCCCAGCTCCACTGATCTCGATTGGCTCCAACCGAAATTCCGGGGATTCTCCACTTCTTAGCTTCCGAATTGGGCGTGAAAGAGAATGCTGGATTTTTCTGCTCTGGTGCAGTCTCGTCTCGTGAAGCTGGTTAAAGGGTTAGTTGGTGATTCTTCCTTCTAAGGGATTTGATTTGGTAACTTTGAGCTAGGGTTTGTTATATATATCGTGACACTGAATCAGCCGAGGTTGAATTTGAAGGTTCTTGGTGTGAGCTGGATAGTGGATAATGATCTCTAGGGTTTTGGTTTTGGGGAGATGAGATTTGGCTTCCTAGATTTACTTGTTCTGGGTCGTTTTGGAAATGAAACTGGAGTGTCCTGTACTAAAACGCTTTCAGCTAAGTTCTTGAGATGCTCCTGGATTTGAGTTTGACAAGTTATAAGTTAATGCGTTGGATTTGTTGGTGTCAAGGATAACTAGACGCTGAGAGGGTGCATTTTGTGCACTCCTCTGACTTTTTCATCGGGTTTCGGATTTAGAAGAAAAAGAAGAAGAAGAAGAAGAAGAAGTACAAAGAGAAATATGCAACGCCCTCAAGATCCCAGGATCGATCTAGCTGAGCTGAAAGTGCATATAGTGAAGAAGATTGGAGTGGAAAGATCAAGAAGGTATTTTTATTACTTGGGAAGGTTTCTGAGTCAGAAGCTTACTAAGAGTGAGTTTGATAAGTCATGTCACCGTCTTTTGGGGAGGGAGAATCTTCCTCTGCACAACAAGTTGATTCACTCGATCTTGAGAAACGCATCTCTGGCTAAATCCCCGCCTCCAGTTCACAAAACCGGTCACCCTGACAAAGAAGATGGGCCTGAACAAAGCGGATCTCTAATCCCTAACCATAATAGGAATGATCCTGTTTGGTCAAATGGGGTGTTTCCTAAGGTTCGGTCTGGAACGTGTGTTGGGACGATCAGAGATAGGCCTAGTCCCCTTGGACCAAACGGAAAGGTTGAAAGTCTGTTGCATCAACCACTTTGTAGAGAAGACAAGAGCGGTAATAGATACACCGAGAACGGGGATTTGGGTCCTTCTGCTTATCAAAGATCAGGTCGATATACTGATGAAAGAGGAGGTGCATTTCTTTGTCCTGCTGAAAAAACGAGAGTACCGGATAAAGGTAAGGTCGCAGCTCAAGTTAGCAGAGATGATGAAGCTCAAGAGGAGCGAGGCAGATTGGTTATTTCCAAGAGTCCTGTAGTTGCACCTCTAGGGATTCCATTCTGCTCAGCTAGTGTCGGTAGGGCCCGCAGAACAGTTCCAGTCTCGACCAGACCTGACTTTATCAGTTGCTATGACAGTGGTGGGTTATCAGACACAGAAATGCTTAGAAAGCGGATGGAGAATATCTCCGTAGCACAGGGTCTTGGAGGGGTTTCAGCGGAGTGTTCTAGTATGTTGAATAACATGTTGGACGTGTACCTGAAGAAACTGATCAAGTCATGCGTTGATTTGGCTGGAGCTCGGTCCACGAAAGGAAACCAAATTTTAGAGAAACTGCATAGCCGAGACGAGACTGTAAATGCGGTGCGGCCGAGTAGCAACCAAATGTCTGACATAACGCAAGAACAGCATTCGGTGTCTTTGCTTGATTTTAGAGTTGCAATGGAGCTAAACCCACATCAACTTGGCGAAGACTGGCCATTGCTTCGGGAGAGGATTTCCATGCGTTCGTTTGAGGAACAAGAAGGGGTGTGAAGATAAATGTTTGGGATGTTGGATGTTGCAAAATTGTCTGAGTAAGCTGCTATGGTCCGGAAAAAACTGGCCACTGGTTTTGGTAGCAAAACGATTCTAAAGCCTTGCCAGAATCCCAAGATGGACCTGCTGGCTTAGAGACACATCTATGTCCTGCAGCCGCAGACTCGGGGCAGGTTAGTAGATGTTTCAAAATGCAGCTAAGCCCGAAGAGCCGTGTTTCAATTGAAACTACGTGTTGTTGTAAGAGCAGTAGTGATTTGGCCATCCCAGTGGGTTTCAAGCTCTGTGTATAACACGCAAGCCGATAAGGGAATCAAGAGAAAGTTTTGGCAGAGATACTGTGGGTTTTGAGGCGGGAGCAAGGTACAAACATCCATGTAATAGCTGCAGTATTGCTGTGTATGTAACATAGTCTTAGAATTGTTTAGAATTTATATCTTGGAAACACATTGACAACACTTTTACATTTACTTTTACATTTTTGTTTTCTTATTTCAATGAAAAAAAAGTGTTACTTTCAATGTATTCTCTCATTTTTTACAGTCATCTGCTTGTTTTCTTGCCTATTTCTATTACTCTACCATTTACTGTTGGTCTCTTTTGGCGGAAACTCGTGGCCCTCATTTAAATGCAAATTTGAAACGGCTCATGTTTCCTCTTAGTTGGTTTTTTCATCTTCGTTTCTGTTTCATATGTCTGTGAGGTTAATGGCTATCATGCTAGTGAGAACATCGGTTTCCTATAAATCACACTGTTCAGAGCTACCAAGCAGGGGAATTCATTGTTTCTGTAAACCAAAACTCCATCTTTTGACAAAAGTGCTGTATCTACCCTGTAGTAGTAACATATGAAGTCCCCACTTTCTGGTGAGTCTTCTTCATCATATATCTATTTCCAGACAGAATTATTGTCTCACTCAAAAGCTCGTTATATTCTCTTTTTCAGAAGACGACGAGATATGTTTTGTAAATATGCAGAAGGCGACTCAGAGATCCAAATAACCAAGTTCATTGTTGCTTTTCAACATATTGTCCGAGATTCAGAGTTTAAGATGACATTTTTTGTGCCTTTCTTGCTTTACATTACGGAATTAAATAGGAAATAGGCGAAAAGACGAAGAGAAACACATGCGTGTTGTGTTACTAAACAAAAGATATATAGAGAGAGACGGAGCCGGTGTGAATTGGTATGTACACAAAGGAAATGGTGAGGCCATGTTTAGACGGATTCCATTGTTGTTCACAGGCTTTAGATGATAGAAATACTACGACGAACAAGGAAGAAGAAGAAGAAGAAGACGGTTACTTAGAGGAGGAGGTTTCTGCAGTGGCTTTGCAGATTGGGCACCAACTCTTCATCCGCAACCACTCTTGCACACACTTCAAATGGTATGTGTGCTCACAGTGTAGCCTCCCAATTTCATCTCCTACTGTATACTCTTCCTGATAACCAAAAAGATCAGAGTATGAATCTATGGAAAAGAGAAACAAGATTTCTGGTTTTTCTCATATCCATATCAGTTCTATATTCACTGTCATGATCATCATCAATGAAACGCCAGTAATTTATCAAAGATTTCCATTAAACTATGTGACGACACCCGCAAGACTTTTCTCAAACAATAAGCAAAGCTTGGTGTTGTTCACTTCGCACCTCATGGCAGATTTTACTTGAGATTTCATCAAAGCCAAAAGACTTGATTCTAACTAAACAAAACATGAAAAAGGAGACGGACCTGGCAAATAGTGCATTTGGCATCTTCTTTGTGATCACAAGGACTTTTGGTGATAGACCCATAACTTGAAGGTTTCTTCTGATATATGCTTGTTTTCAAGCACTTTGATATTGCTTCTTCTGTGAGAGCAGTGCTTACTGTACCAATTCTTTCTTCTAGAGCTAGTAGTTCCTGTAATCATGCACTCAAAAGTGTAAAAATACTATGTTCCAAAGCATGACATGGGTTTGAAAGATGTAAAGACAAACCTCATATGACATGTTATCGATGTCCAGCCTCATGTCTCGGTGTTGGTCATATAAGCTTAGTCCACCGAGAAGTAAACCTGTTTCCATGATAAGAAGTTCCTGCTAAAGGAGAGGAAATTTTATGAGTATAAAAAAAAAACACATTACAATATCCGAAACACAACAAACGTGTGAAACTCTCACTTCGTAATTAAGTTCAATATCTTGTTCGATCCTATCAAGTTCTGGCAAAATCTGCAAAATAAAAACAGGATGTAAAGTTGATGATGCTCAGACAAGATGTCAAGTTGTAAAGTAACAAGCAATAGTTACCTCAGAGATCCCATCTAAATCATAACTGCAAAAACTATCTGGACTTGATAAGGAACCAGAGAGACCAAATTCTGGAAAACCAGAGAACAGCTCCAAAGAGACAGGAGAATTGAGATTGTTTGATGTTTCAGTGTGAGACATCTCTGTTGTTGTAATAGAGGATAAACCATTTCTACCATTCCCTCGGTTTGAGAATCTAATGCGGCTATTATTTCTATTTACGGATCTCTGACTGCCAACTGAAGCAACATCGTTGTCATCATTCAAAATGCAATGTCTTGCTCGTCTGCTTTCTGAAACAGAACCTCTCGGGTTAAAACCACGACGTCTGTCTTCAACAGGAAGTTCTGTTATGTTTTTACCCCTAGCTGAGGAGCTAGAACTGCTTTCTCCATGAACTTTTCTCTTATTGATTGTATCTACCTTTCGACTTAATCTTTTCTCCAATCCAAAACCACTTGGGATGACACCAGATAATAAAGGGCTGCATCCTCTATTAGCAGATGTTGACTGGCCAGAGGGACCAGGGTGAAACTCTTGCTTGCTCAACCCAAATCTCTGCCTAAAACCTCTCTTAATTCTTGAGCTTGATGGCAAGTTTGACGATTCCGCTTCATGTGTTTTAACCTTTGCATGAATAAATTTGTTGTGAGCTCTTGGTTTATCTCTTCCACGGGAGGGTTCCAAGATTTCTGCTTCTATCTCGTCCTCGCTACCCCTGCTGCTCTCTGATGAATCCATGGCTATCTGAGACAATGGTTGCTTCTCACTTTTCACGGAAGAGGAGCTAGAGCCACAAAACTTAGAGGAAGTTCCAATTACTTCCTTCCCATTTGGCAAAGAGCGGCTTGAAGGCAACACTGACTTCTCTTTCTTCTCTGAAGAGCCAACAAACCGAGTAAACTTCATAGATCTTTTCTCATCGCTGCAAATATTGCTGTTAAATCTATCTTTCAAAAGAACACCAACCCCCTTCTGAGAGTCAGGTCGCGCCTCAATGGCTTTTTTACCCGACCACCGATCCATGTAATGGATGCAATACCTGAAACAAAAATATCCTTTACCTTACCTTAGTTTATCACAAAACATTTATCAGTCACTTTAGTCGCATAAAGGGGAAAAATTCTTGAAGCAAAAACTATTCATGTGGACTTAAAAGTTCTCACAGAAACAGAAAGAACAATGATGTTCAGATTAAAATATGTCTAAACTGCTAAAATCTGCAGTACAACAATTTTCACCAGACATAAAAGCATCATAAGAAAAATACAATGTTCTAATCAAACTTTTGTAATAAAGACTCAACAATCAACAGCCAAACTTAAAGAGCTTCAATCAAAAAAGTCTGTCCAAGTTTATATCCGAAACAAAAGCTTTATCATACGTTGATGGTTTCCTAGATAGACAAAGCATATAGTAAAATTGAAAACCTTTCATAAGATGATCCAAAAGAAATCTATTTTTCACTTGTCAATATAGAATCATCTTGACAACGAACTAATTTCAAACTTCTACGAACATGAACTAGTCGAAAACAATCAAATTTCTTGAAAACGAAGAGAAACAATTCTAAACAAATTTCAGTTTTTAGACTTCTCTGCTAATTTGAGCCAGAAAAAAAAAAAACAAAACTACTCTGCTAATATCCTCCATGTTTTGTCTTTTCATAAGTGATTCGACTGAAACAAAACAGAAAATGTTTTATTTTTTTGCCTGTTCCAAACAAGAGATCGAAGAACAATAATATCATTAATTTCCAAAACATCAGAAACACACAAGTCAATTCGACCGAAAACATTATTAAAAACGACGTTGATTATTCAGAAAGAAAAAGAATTTACCAGGGAAAAAGAAGAAATCTTAGAAGCTTTAAGCTCTTTATCTTGTTGGATGATTACTTTCCGAGTTCGTCCTATCTTCTTCCTGGAAATGGAAAAATGAATAAAATAGAAGAGCGTTTGTTCTTGTTGGCGATATTTTTTCTTCGGTTTTCAACTTTAGTAAATTTATCTTTTTTCGAATTAATGATAAATCAAATATTTATTTCTATTCCATAATAACCTTAAAGCAAAAAATCATTTTCATAATTGACGATATATTATCAAAAAAGAATCTGAAATGACGAAGACGCAGAGATCCTCGCCGTCTATAATGGGACCGGAATATCTGACGGTTGGTAGAGATTGCGACGTCTCTAGGTAGTGGTAGAGAACTAAAGATAATAAACAAAAGTTAATTTGACCAATTAACAAAAGAAAAACAAGAAACTATCTTTTGTTTGGTCAGAAGATGAAAAAAGAAAAAAACATCATGAGAATTCGAAGACCCCTCTAAGTATTTGATGACGAATTATGCACGACGAAGGATAATGTATTTTAATTATCTGTCCTTTATTTGGGCAACAAACCTCTAGCCTTTATCCTTGATTTTGTATCTTTTCTTTTTTTTTTCTTTTACTTAATTATAAAGTTTTTTTTAATACAAAAAATGCTTTATTATTGGTGTTTTTTAAAAAAAAAAATCGGGTAATCAGGTTACTTGGGAGTGCAACAAAAATCTATAAACTAGAGAAAATAAATAATAATTTAATATTTGGTGGATCCAATGTAGAATAACATTTTAGTTGAGAAAGAGTATGTGAAAAGAAATGAATGGTTAAAATTTGATTCGAAAGAAAATGACAAACTATGTGAAAAAGGGTGAATAGAGATCCAATTCCAAAGAGGTGTACACCGTTTATTACAAGACTTTATCAAAGTCAAAACATGAGTTATGGGGATTCGTAGAGGAGGAATCGAACCTATAACCTGCAACATCACTTACTTCTTTCTCATCTTTCAAAATCCAAACGTTGAAGAAACTCAGCAAAAGAAAAAGAGAGCATCGCTCTTAAGCATTAGATACAAGATAGGGTGTTTTGAGTGCATGGATCCTACATTTTCTATTTCCCTGCACAATACCATGCAACACATTCTACTCCCTGCTTCATTATTCACATATCCACAACACACAACAAGAACCTGAACAAATATCTATAAACGAGACGGCTTACTTGGGTTGATGAGCATGAGGAGTCATGCTCATGCACTGGCCTGGCCTCAAGCTCTCTTCCGGTCAATGCCAGTGCTCTGGAGTAATTATTATATCTATGTAAATAGGTCTATGAATAACAAAGCAGCTGATACGGAGCAAGTGAAGGCTGTGCTAGCTGCTCTATATCCACATGACGTGAGAGAACCCGAGCCGTCACCACGGTTTAAGATAAATGTGCAAACCGGTTAGGCTTAGTACGTAACTTCATTATTTGCAAATAAGCCAAATTAATTAGTGGTTGATCCTCAATTATATTAAACCGGTTACTAACCTTCTAACTAAACCAATTTGCGATGAAAGTGCTCTATATTCAGACCTTCAACTAACAATTCGAGACTTTTTCATAGGACTTATATGAGGGATGTGATGCAAGAAGGAAAAGACGCATTTTAAATCCTAATCAACCAACACACACAAGTATTTCGAATCCTATACACCACTAGCACGGCAAACAAATATTCAATCCTGCTCTACTTCTATTTGAAGCGTTAAGAGATATTGCATTTTTACAAAAAGTAAGTTTTATGATATTTAATTTTATCTGTTTATTTATTTATTTTTTTGCCAATCATGAAAAAATTGTTTTTTTACCTCTGATTATAGTCGTCAAGTACCTTTACGTATGATGGATCTGTTTGAGAAGAAGTTTGCCTAGTACGGAATCAGCTGATTAAATCAAATTTGAGATGAACGTTTTCAAAGAGAGGATGGATGAGTATGTCTAGGGGTGGATCCAGAACAGAATTCTGTATGGGGCAAAATTAAAAACACAATTTTATAATATTAAATTTGCATAACAAAATCCAATTAATATATTAACCAATATAAGTTTTTTTGAACAATGATATTTTTTTAATTTTTGAAATTCAGAAAATCATAAAAATTGTGAAAATACTATTTCTAATGATTTTTAAACAGACTCATACATAAGAATATATAATGTTTTAATACTTTAATATTTTAATAATTAGTTAACTTTTTAAGAAGACATTTTTTGGCTTCAAAGAAGGAAAAAAGGTAAAAAAATGATAATTATGAAAAGAAAACATGTCAAAAGAATTGAAATACTGTGCCATAAGGTGAAAACAGTGTGCTATAAGGTGGAAAAAAAAGCACACACAAAAGAATCAAAGAAAAATGGAAAAAATTGGTTATCCAACTTTTCACCTTGAGTTTTGCTTAAGATATCCGCACCATATAATCCTAGAAAACAACATATACAAATGTTAAATAAATAACTTTACTAATTAGTATGAGGCAGGTTCACACCTTTTTACAATGTGGATCCACCCCTAACTATGTTCATATTTATTTATTTTCAGTTATGTTCATATTTTTTTTCCAATTATGACTAATTGCCATAATTATCAAAATTACAACATTGCTCGTGGATCATCAATGTGGTGGCGGTGATGAAGCTCCCTTCAGCAGATCAATAAACTCATAAAGCACCAGTTGTAGTAGCCAAAATTTACATAATGAATTAATACAATATTTGTGCACTCGATATTCCACACCTAGTAACAATTGCTTAATGCTTAGGGTACTATATCTTTCTAATCAAATATTTATATATTTTTTGGCACACACACAAAAAAACAGTGATCAATCTATATTATATATGTTTTCAGATGTGGCTTTTTCATCCAAGTTGGTCCACCTCTACACAGTGAACAAAAGCAATAACAAGACAAGTTTCCATTGGAAAATTAGTTTCATTGTTTGCATGGTGACTCTTTTTATTTTTATTTGGCTATATAACTCTTTGGTAACCAATGTCTTTGTCGTTTTTAAATTGTTGCGGATGAATATAGCATAAACGATTTGGCATTTGATTACCTTGGAGGCCAAAATAAAAACCAAGTGTTGTTCCTCCTCACTTGTGGCTCTGAGGAGAAACTCAAATCTTGGGACTTTACAACGAGTGAACCAAAAAATGTATTCGTGCAGCATCCATCCCTCTGCCATAATGTCTATGAGTTTACATACTATGTTTAAATCAGAGGTAACACATTTAACACTGAACATATTTTGCTTCTTTGTTTAATACTATTTTCTTCCTTATTTTCTGATTTATTTATGTGTGGCAAAATTGCGTGTCAATAATTTCCCACCAGACATAAAAACATTATTAGAAGAAAACGATGTTCTAATCAAACTTTTGTAATAAAGACTCAACAATCAACAGCCAAACTTAAAGAGCTTCAATCACAAAAGTCTGTCCAAGTTTATATTGAAACAAAAGCTTTATCATATGTTGATGGTTTTTTAGATAGAATAAGCAGATAAAAAAGAAAACCTTTCATAAGATGATCGAAAAGAAATTTATTTTCACTTGCCAATATAGAATCATCTTGATAACGAACTAATTTCAAATTTATATGAACATGAACTAGTTGAAAACAATCAAATTTCTTGAAAACGAAGAGAAACAATTCTAAACAAATTCCAATTTTTAGACTTCTCTGCTAATTTGACCCAGGAAAAAATATAAAATACTACTCTGCTAATATCCTCGATGTTTTGGCTTTTCATAAGTGATTCGACGGAAACAAAACAGAAAGTGTTTTATTTTTTACCTGGTCCAAACAAGAGTGAAGAGCAATAATATCATTAATTTCCAAAGAGGTGTAAACTGTTTATTACAAGACTTTTCAATATTGATCATCAAAGTCAAAACATGAGTTATGGGGATTCGTAGGGAGGAATCGAACCTATAACCTCACTTCTTACTTCTTTCTCATCTTTCAAAATCCAAAACGTTGAAAAAACTCAGCAAAAAAGGAAAAGAGAGCATCTTTCTTAAGCATTAGCTTCTAACCAACCATGATCATCTTGGTGTGACTCTGACCCTCCAGCTTCAATAGAAGCTTCTTCCTCACCTTTCCCTTCTCCACCTCCATACATCTTCCTTCTAGCTTCCTTTCGAGCTTCCCTACGAGCATCTTTCTTAGCTATATTCAAGTCTTTGAATCCTTGTTCGAACTTGGCTTCATCCTCTGGAGTGAAAAAGGCTACTTCCATCTGACCTAGCTCTGCGTATCTTTGCTCCACTTTGGTTTTCCAGAAAAGACCCATCTCAGTGTCCATCTTCTGGTATGGTGTTTTGAGCAGGTACTCGTCTATTCCTCCAGCTTTGTCGATGCAGCGCAGAGCATGTGTCGTGACTTTGACTTTGATGTGACGGTCGAATATGTAGCTGAACAATCGCTTCTCCTGTACGTTCGGTTTCCAGCATCTTCTTGACCTGTTCTCAAATCACACCACAGAGATTAAAAAATTCAGAATCAATGAGGGAATTAGATGAACACTTTGAGCTCGAACCTACATTTATTTACAAAGAAATCAAGAAAATGATTTCCGCCACATAGAGGTACATGGATCCTACATTTCTATCTAGAAAGTGTGGATAAATTTCTTCACACCATGTATGATGCATTGTTCAAATATTCAGAATCTCTAGAAAGGCATGACACAGATGCAACGCATCAAGAGATAAACAACATAAGGAACTGTTAATCAGCTAGGAATTAGAAGCCTATTGAATAGTTTCAAAAGCAAATCCAGATTTCATTTCAACAGTCTAAAAAGCCCCTAAAATCAAGAAAGCATTCCTAAAAAACCAACAATTAGTTTCATTTAGAGCAAAATCATCACAAGCTCTAAAAAACGAAATTCGACCATATCAATTTCTAAGCAAACACAACCTTTAGTTACTGATAAACACTTGTATATAAACACATCGAGAGAGAGAGAGAGGATAGAGTAGGAGACTGACTTGTTTCCACCGTCTTCGCTGACTCGGTTTCCGTACTGGATATGGCGGCCGGCATAGAGGCCGCGTTTGGCTCTGCCCATCACGACTTTGGAATCGGGAACACAAGCCTTGAGCTTCTCTTTCAGCTCCGGCGTAAGATTCTCCGGTCCCATTTTCTTCACCAGCTTCTTCATCATCTCCTTCCCTCTAAACGCCATTTTCGTTTCTTTCTCCGAAAATCACAGATCGCAAAACCTATTCTCTTCTCTCTGTATGTTTGGTATAACCTGTAGATGGAGAAAAAACGGTTTAGTTAGCGATTTCAATAAAACCAGACGAAAATAGCCAATAAACTCTGGTAGGCTATTTCGCCTCATCGGGTCGAATCAAACCACAGTTGAGAATAAATTATTATTTCAACACAAGACGAAGGAGAATAATAAAAGAAAGCTTGCGGCAAGAGCTAATTGAGACTGGGCTTGGGCTTAGGCTTGGGCTTGGGCTTGGTTATGATTGTCTGAACCAAAAATCATCGCTGATTCTCTCGATTCCTTTCTCTTCTCCTTCCCGATCCGAATCGCCGCCTGGCTGAGTTTATCTTCGGTAATTCTCAAGAGCTGTTGTTTCTTTTCAAATCTAGTATTGATCCGCACAAATTTGTTGGGTGTTTTTTTTTGGGGGTTCTGATCAGCTGGAGGTTTTGGTTTGTGGCGTAAGTTAAAGCGAATCTGATTGTAAAATAAAAATAAACCATTTTCCCTATTTAAAAAGGTTTCAATAAAGAATGGATTCCATGAGCGCTGATCTGAAACGGGGTTTGGAAGCTAGTCTCCTCAACAAAAAAAATCTTTGATGTTGGCTGTTTTGTGTGTTTCTTCTAGGCTTTAACGTTTAAAAATTCTTCTTTCATTTTGTTGCAGCTTCGATAGAGAACGCTGAGTACTATCTTTCTGAGTTCACCAAGTTTGATTCAAATCTTCATTCAAGCCTCATGTTCTACCTTCTACGAAGGCAGATATTCTTCAAGTTGCTTATCGAGTAGGCTTTTTGCTAAGGTTTTTTGCCTATGTTTATTTGCCAGCAGCATATATAAAATTTTGTGACTTTTTTTTTTTTTTGTTTTCCGTAGCCACAAGATTTTTTAAAGCAGGAATGATGCTGCTCTTCGGTGATAGAGCGTTAAGCGAAAGAAAAATACCAGAGACTGAAGATTTTATCGATGATGATATCAGACGCCTTACAAGTATAGGCCTTAGAGCCGAGGATCCCATGGCTGGGAGATCAGTACCTTTCGATGTCGCTCCGTTTGCAAATGCTAGCACGAATGAGATGCTTCAGATGATGCAAACCCTAGTCGCAATGAATCCAGATCTGCAGAAGAAAGACATTTCATCTCAGATGCAGACATTACCTTTCTAAGACGACAATCATATATGATAAATCTTAATGCTACTTGCTATGTACCACCACTAGTAGAGTCATTTGCTTCCCTCTCTTCCATAATTTCTTCTTCGTATAGCTTGGTGTGGCCGGACCAGCAAAGCGTCCCTAACTGTAGCCTTTGGTGGTGGAGAATTGATCTAAGCTCTGGTTTTCATGGCGACTAGATTGTGTAATTTTAGCTACGAATTACATGCCCCATGTTTTTTTTTGAAAAGCTAGATAACAAATCACATCATAAACATAGACCACATGATGATATATTTGTGTTTGGTAAACATTTCTTCCGTGACTGGGTTGATTTGGGAGGATCGACTATAAAATTCACCCTTTTAGCTACGAATTATTTCTTTATCGAGAATATCATATTAACATTACTTCAGATGTTTGAAAACCAAAAATCATACATATTTGGGGAAAAAATAAAAGATTGATCAAGTGCATGTAGAGAATATTCAAAAGGGTGATTGTCCAACAATATTACCAGGAGGATCATAGTTACAAATGATAAATGTGTCACCGGTCTTGCAAAAACCAATGGCACAACCAATCCTCAAACTCTTCTTCCACACAAGTTGCGTGTAATGCAAACAATCTCTACTCGCCTTACATCGGTAAGTTCTCCGGTCATAGTATTTCCTCTCCGAGGCCCACGCAACCACCGCATCCCGTGGGGTCCACCCTTTTCCGCTTCCCCAAAAGAGATTCTCACCGTAAGGTCCACCGGAGTGAATAAGGTTGCAATCTCCACGGCGGGTTCGAGCCCACCGGTTGGCGTAGCGGGCGATATTGTTGCTCCATTTGAGAGGAGGGAGACGAAGCTTGGCTCGTAAGGTGTTGTGCTGTCGGAGAAACTGTTGTTGAATCATGGTGTTTCGAGTTATTAGGGTTTTGTATTGAGAAGAACTTAGTGCTGATGTTGTTGGTGTTTTGTTGGATAGGTTTTTGGAGGAGAGACAAGGAAGTGGAGTGGTGATCATAACGATGATGATGATGAATATCAAAGTTTTGTGTTCCATTTGGGATATGAGTTAGATGTGATTCTGCAACCCTCTAGATCTAGTACTCCATATATATACATACACCATTGTTTATATTTTCATAAAGTATTTGTGTAGTACGTATATGTATGTATATAAATATTACACTGTATATATATATATATAATATATCTGATCAACAAAAGAATCTAAACACATGCTAAGTTACTAATGTGCAATGACATGCAAGTGCTAATCATTTTCGGTGGAAGAACATTGATTATTTTTAGGAATAATTCTTTTCAAACAAAGCATAGATAGATAATAGATTATAAAAAGCTATTAAATCATGTCTCTATGAGGTATTTTTTTACTGAATGTTTCTTTTTCACTGGTAAGAAACATTTATCATAACAACGGTCAACGCCAATATATCCCAAGCAAACAGTCGATAAATTATGTGCAACAGCCGAATAAAGCTTTTACTATAAACTCTTAGCTATTAAATTTAAACCTAATTAACACTACAAGAAAACATCACATATTCCTACCAAATATTTCATCAGAAAATCTTAGGAAACCGGCTTTTCCTATCAATTTCCTACCAAATATTTTTGTAGGTTCTATGCCAAAATCGTAAGAAATTTCTTACGAAAATTTTTGTAGGAAAATTTTGGCGGTAGGATATTCGTAGGAAAATACCTACCAAATTACTTCCATCTTTCTACGAAATATTCCTATCATTTTTCTACCACTTGAGATTTTGTAAAAAATAAAATTAATTTTATAAATTAAAAAATTAAATTAATTTCAGAAATTAAATTTAAACTAAAAGATGAATTAACTATTAATTCGATTATTAATATATATATATATATATAGAAACAAATTAATTAAAAGAGAGATGAAGATCTTATTTATAGAGCAGCTTCATCATCCAAATTGTCTCAGATCATCGATGTGGAACAAAACCAAAGTTGAAATGTTCCTACAAAATTTCTACGATTTTCTTACACATAATATTTTGTCAGAAATTGGTAGGAAATTTCCTACGAAATACTTACCAGTATAATGGTCAATTGTATCATATCACTTTCTTTTCAAAGTTTGACCGCGTGGTAGGTTATTGGTAGGAAATATCCTACGAAATTTCGACAAAATTCTTATCACTTTTACTTTTTATCAAAATTACGTAGAAAATTGGTTATAAAATTTCCTACCAAAAATTTCGTCAAAATTTTCATAGGAATATGAAATGTTTTCTTTTGTAGTGTAATATGCCGAATATACGTCTCCAAATCAACTTAGTGGTGCTTGTTCCTAAACAAAAATTTCTTTTAATAATAACTTGTATTACAAACTCGTTTTGATTTTATATATATATATATATATATATAAAAACTAAGTAATCTTTAATCTATGAAACAGTTAAATTACAACATGTTTGCTATGCAGATTTATCAGGCGGATGCTGTGTTAGAGAAACGTGATGCCTGGACTTTTTCTATCTAATTTATTCGTTAATGATCAGCTTACATTATGAAGCTTGTAATCATTGGGTTACATATTGTATAACACTATTATAAGACCAAATATCAAATTACAGTTACTATTGTATTTAGTGAAATGGACTTATTTTGGAAACAATTAAAAAAAACATTGAAATAGATGTTAGAAAAAAAAAATTAAAAAAAAAAAGATTGGACTGGGCTTTTTGGCTAAACATCTGAACTGGGCTTTTAATTAATCAATATTTGGGCCTTTAAGGTTTCCAAATCTAACAAGAGGAAAATCAGGATCCGATTTCGACGAGTAAACATAAAGACGATTTCACCATAAGTACATTTCATCTCACTTTGTGCGAGTGTCTGTTTCCCGAGATCCAAATCTCTCTTCGATCCAAAGTTTTGCAACTCCGCCGATCTCCTCCTCTCTCTGGATCTCCTTCCTTGAGGTTCGTTTCTCTCTTAACCTTCGACATATGACGCAGATTTTATCGAGATCGATCCCCTTTTGCATTTCCTTTTGTGAAAATCTACAGTGCTCGATTTTCTGATCTACATTGCTCGATTTTCTGGGTGGTGATTTGTTTGATCTTGTTGAAATTTGATCCGATTACGTTAGGAACCCGAATTTCATGTTTATGCAGCTGAGTGAGACTGTGAATTATGTAGATTCGATTACCGCTCTACAAATCTAGGGAGTGAAAGCATAGAGATGGCATTTGTTTTGAATTTTCGGTTGATCCGAAGCTATATTGTTCGAAATTGATTCATATTAATGTTTTGGTCGTAGTTGTAGTAAGGTGATGTTTATTGCTGGATCTGAGGATTTAAATTTTTGTCAATGTTTTGCATCTTTCTATCCCTGATTAAACATTTCCGAATTTGATTCTGCGATTACGATGTTTGCTCATGAACCATAGATTGGAGAACAGAGATGCGATCCTAGCCAGTTTTTGTTTTTTCTTAAAACAATAGATTTTCGAAATACAGAGACATGCTTCATTCATTGTATGGAAATTTAAAGAGGTGTAGGTTATTTGCTGGATAGCTATGAGGATACTCTTAAACTTCTTGTATAGAATTTCTATGAGCATGATGAGGAAACTAATAAGGTTCTTTTACTCATTAATTCAAACTTGAAACCGCAAGAAATATTAACATTTTGCATATTTTGTTTGTTACTGTGTGATCTGTAGCTCATTATGTCTGTAAGGATGTGAAAGTCTGATTTTGGGTTCCTGTTCTCTCTATTCACTTTCTATCTATCTTATGTTACAGTGGTACTTTTTCTTGCATGATTTTCCTTTTCATTTGAACTCATAAGCTCTCTCACTTTTTTTATGCAGCACCCAAAAAGATGGACAAATCTTGTACCTTGCTTGTACACTATGACAAAGGGACTCCAGCAGTTGCCAATGAAATTAAAGAAGCTCTCGAAGGAAATGATGTTGAAGCGAAAGTTGATGCCATGAAGAAGGCGGTTATGCTTTTGCTGAATGGTGAAATCATGCCTCAGCTTTTCATAACTATTATTAGATACGTGCTGCCTTCTGAGGACCACACAATCCAGAAGCTGCTGTTGCTGTACCTGGAGCTAATTGAAAAAACGGATCCCAAGGGGAAGGTGCTGCCTGAAATGATTTTGATATGCCAGAATCTTCGGAATAACCTACAGCATCCGAATGAGTACATTCGTGGAGTGACACTGAGGTTTCTCTGCCGGTTGAAGGAGATTGAAATAGTGGAGCCTTTGACTCCATCAGTGTTGCAAAATCTGGAGCATCGCCATCCTTTTGTTCGTAGGAATGCAATTCTGGCCATCATGTCGATGTATAAGCTTCCACAAGGCGAGCAACTCTTCGTGGATGCACCTGAAATGATCGAGAAAGTTCTATCAACAGAACAAGATCCGTCTGCCAAGAGAAATGCATTTCTGATGCTCTTTACCTGTGCTGAAGAAAGAGCAGTGAGTTACCTTCTGAGCAATGTTGACAAAGTTTCAGACTGGAATGAATCGCTTCAGATGGTGGTGCTTGAGCTTATTCGAAGTGTGTGTAAGACTAAACCAACAGAGAAGGGGAAATATATTAAGATTATAATATCTCTGTTAAGTGCCACTTCTTCAGCAGTTATCTATGAATGTGCTGGGACGCTTGTTTCTCTGTCATCTGCCCCTACTGCTATTAGGGCTGCTGCCAACACCTACTGCCAACTTCTTCTTTCTCAGAGCGACAACAATGTGAAGCTGATTTTGCTTGATCGGTTGAATGAGCTTAAGTCGTTGCACAGAGATATCATGGTTGAGTTGATAATAGATGTGCTCAGAGCACTCTCAAGCCCGAACCTTGATATCCGCAGGAAGACACTTGACATTGCCCTTGATTTGATTACTCATCATAATATTAATGAGGTCGTTCAAATGTTGAAGAAAGAAGTTGTGAAGACACAGAGTGGAGAGCTTGAGAAGAATGGAGAGTACAGACAAATGCTTATTCAAGCAATCCATGCTTGTGCAGTTAAGTTCCCCGAGGTTGCAAGCACAGTGGTTCATCTTCTTATGGATTTCTTGGGAGATAGCAATGTGGCTTCAGCACTTGACGTGGTTGTTTTTGTTAGAGAGATAATAGAAACAAATCCTAAGTTAAGAGTTTCAATAATTACCAGGTTGTTGGACACGTTCTATCAGATCCGCGCAGGAAAGGTGTGCCCTTGTGCACTTTGGATCATTGGGGAGTATTGCCTATCACTTTCGGAAGTTGAGAGTGGCATTTCAACCATTAAACAATGCCTTGGCGAGTTACCATTTTACTCTGTTTCTGAGGAATCTGAGCCAACTGAGACGTCAAAGAAGATTCAGCCAACCTCTTCTGCCATGGTGTCCTCCAGGAAACCGGTGATTCTTGCTGACGGAACTTATGCAACTCAGAGTGCGGCCTCTGAAACCACATTCTCCTCACCAACAGTTGTTCAAGGATCACTGACTTCTGGAAATTTGAGAGCACTGCTTCTGACTGGTGATTTTTTCCTAGGAGCAGTGGTTGCTTACACATTGACTAAACTTGTTCTTAGGTTGGAGGAGGTTCAGTCGTCCAAAACTGAAGTGAACAAGACAGTCACACAGGCTTTGCTGATCATGGTTTCTATGTTGCAGCTTGGTCAATCTCCTGCTTCTCCACACCCTATTGATAATGATTCATATGAGAGGATTGTGTTGTGCATAAAATTGCTTTGTCATAGTAATGTTGAGATGAAAAAGATATGGTTGGAGTCCTGCCGCCAGAGTTTTGTCAAGATGATTTCTGAAAAACAGCTTAGAGAGATGGAGGAACTTAAGGCAAAGACCCAAACAACTCATGCTCAACCTGATGATCTCATTGACTTCTTCCATCTAAAGAGCCGGAAGGTAATATTACTTTCTAAACTATCCCTTGCTTCATCGTTTTTATTTTTCCTTATGAATTTTCTGTGGCAATCTGTTCCGTTTTTCTTTTACAGTTCATATCCGATTTTTTTTTTTTTTTTTTTTCATTTTCAAAGAGGGACAACGAACGTTGGTTATATGTTTTTTTATATATATTGCTGTCGCTATGTCAAATTACTGATGATAAGTTTCTTTCAGGGAATGAGTCAACTTGAGTTGGAAGACCAGGTACAAGATGACCTAAAGCGTGCAACCGGAGAATTCACCAAGGACGAGAACGATGCTAATAAACTCAACCGCATTCTTCAACTCACAGGATTCAGTGATCCAGTCTATGCGGAAGCATATGTGACAGTCCATCACTATGACATCGCACTTGAAGTTACAGTTATCAACCGTACAAAGGAAACCCTTCAGAATCTGTGCTTGGAGTTAGCAACCATGGGTGATCTCAAGCTTGTTGAGCGTCCTCAAAACTATAGTCTGGCACCTGAAACAAGCATGCAGATAAAAGCAAACATCAAGGTCTCATCCACAGAGACCGGAGTCATATTCGGGAACATCGTCTATGAGACATCAAATGTAATGGAGCGAAACGTGGTGGTCCTCAACGACATACACATTGATATCATGGACTATATCTCCCCTGCTGTTTGCTCAGATGTTGCTTTCAGAACCATGTGGGCAGAGTTTGAATGGGAAAACAAGGTAATTCGCCGAAACCTATGACACTTTTAACCATTTTCTTTCTTGGGTTTTTGTTCGAGTTCGGTATATCCATTCCCGTTTTGTTCTCTACATGTCAGGTTGCTGTGAACACGACGATTCAAAACGAAAGAGAATTCCTCGACCACATTATTAAATCCACAAACATGAAGTGTCTCACTGCCCCGTAAGTTTGAGGTTCTTCTAATTGCTTCCACATTATAAAACCGAATATGTATCTTAATTACTAATAATTTAAATGATTGTCTATTTGCAGATCTGCAATAGAAGGCGAGTGCGGGTTCCTTGCAGCAAACTTGTATGCAAAAAGTGTGTTTGGTGAGGATGCTCTTGTGAATGTGAGTATCGAGAAGCAAACTGATGGAGCACTGAGTGGTTACATAAGGATAAGGAGCAAGACGCAAGGGATTGCTTTAAGTCTTGGTGACAAAATCACCCTCAAACAAAAGGGTAGCGCCTGAGAGGTTAGCTTAATATAATTAACCATCTTCTCAAAACTTTTTCTCCTCCTTTTCTTATTTTCCACTTTTAATCCATATTGTATATTAAATCCACACACTCCTTAACCGGTATAATTTTTTCGGTACTCTACCAATTGCTTCTTATAGGCTTGGAACGGCGGCGCGCAAGATAACAGGTTTAGTATTACGTACGTTTCTCACGCGTGCTATTTTTTCTTGGTTGAATCTGTTAACTATATGGAGGGGAGAGAGGCGTTTAAGCATATGTAAAGATTGATCGGTTTACTTTCCGGTATGGTACCGATGGCTATATGTGTGTTTTTCTTACAGTACTTGACGATTTTCTTTTATTTGTAATTCCTTTTTTTCCTATAATGCCGTTTGTATTGGAGATTAAGCCGTGAATTTCCTGAAATTTTTAATCGAAACTAGAGTCAAACTTTCATGGTTTTTCTTCCCTTTTTGAATCTCGTTATTATGTTTTTTTTTTGTTAAAGTAGAATCTCGTTATTTCTAAATACTCTGTTTTGTTCTTTCTTGGACTTTTGTTCTTCTTTCTTTTCGTTACTCAAAAGCGTTATTATTGCTTTCATGAGTGAGTTTGAATTTTTTGATCGCCTTTAAACTTGAGAATAAAAATGTATACAACTCGAATGCTTTTATTGCTTTTTAAATCTTTTTTTTTCTGGAAGAATTATAAATTTTAGTACCCTACAGTCTACAGAAAGTCTTTTTGTTTTAGCAACATGTTATCCAGTACTACTTTTTAATACTTAACTGGTGCATGCGATATATTGTATATAATTGTTTTTGTTTTTTTTTCGCGTTTCTCCACTATAGTCTTATAGAGTTATAGTAGCTAATATCAAAAATGTTTAGAGATGCAATAAAAAACAAAAACAAAGCAGGACCACTTCTGATGGCGAAAAAAGAAAGAAGAGAGTCAGGACCAAGTGTAGTTAGAACGAGAATAATTGTACTCAGTTTATATGGAAAATAATAGTAATAGTTTATGCCTCGATTACAATCCCAGCTAAAAATGTTCCGGATGAGACACTGAGAAGAAGGATTTATGCATCGTGAAATTTATAGAGGGTGTAGTTAACAATTGATGCCAGAGAGTTAAAAATGAAGGAATAATATGCCAAAATCCTGAGATTTGTAAATTTTATAGAATATCAGTTTAAGTAGTTGGAACAATATGACTCATGCAACGCAATAATTTTCGGACACCTTATCCTTACTTCACAATCGTACCTAACCTAACCTAACCTAATTTTATGAAACAATTTTTTTGTTTTCAAGTAATGTAATGGTAATTCACCAAAGATATACAGACAAGAAGTATGATCATACTGTTAACTACTTGAGAATAATCAAATCAAATTTATTATTACAATTAAACTTGAAGTAAATTTATCACAAAAACGACAATTTACTTAATCATTCCATTAAATCTTCTAGCACTTGACAAAAGAAAAAACAGAAAGAGAACACAAGAGGGAAAACAAAACAAAAAACAAATGGATTATCGATCATCGTCTTGAAAACTAGTTAAACAAAAACAGCTCTGAGTTTGAACCATAAAATCTCTATCATTACTATTCGTCAGCTTAATCCTCTTCTCTTGCAGCTTACTAGTTTGATCATCGCTACTGTCATCATCATCATCATTATCATTAAAACTATTGTACTTGTGATCCTCTTCGTCAGATTCTTGTAAAGCAAGTAAAGGCATGGAATTAGGGTTAGTCTTGGAGTAGATGCTGAAAGAGGACAGCGATGATCTTCTCCTTAACTTGTTAGCAATAAGTAATCTCCTTCTTTTGTTCAACGGACTCTCCACTTTCTCCAGATCCTTTGCGTTGCTCGCTTCCATTAAATTCCCAAATGATTTCGATTTTCCTATGTAATGGTTTGATAATCCTCGCCTGTACAAAACCGGACATAACCTTCAGAACTTTTACTAAACCAGCTCTGAACATGTAATAACATTCATGCTATTTAAAAAAAAAAAAATTGTAAGATATAATTAACTGCTTAAGCTTAAGCATAAATCAATATCAAGATCATATATACAGGTTGATCTACAAAATCAAACCCGAGAATCTAAAACGAAATTCAGGGATAGATAGACAAATTATTAAACAGAGTACTAGTTATTTACTTTTTTCAGGTAGATAAAGCAAAGTTTTTTTTTTCTCGAAATCGAAGAATATATTCAGGCGAGAGTAAAAGAACCATTAGATTCTCTCTTTTAAAAAATTCAAAGGATGATAAAAGAAACATACTTAATCGGAAGAGAATCTTCCAGAGAGGAACCGAAGGAATCTAGCCATCTCCCTTGCGAAGAAACGGCGTCGTCTTCCTCCTCGTTTTCGCTGCTCCCTCCTGACACTCCGACCGACGAAGAACTCTCCGATAACTCCTCCGGCGGAGACTTTACACATTTTCTTAACCCGATCCGGCTTCTTCCGCCGCTAGATTCCTCCGTCAAGAACAGAGCCGCCGGTACAGCCTTATCCTGCGCCGCCGAACCAATTCCAAACGTCGAACCTGCCAAAAACTCCATTTTTCCCGGCACGGCGATTTCTCAATTCTCCCTAGCCTTCTCCTCTTCGACCTCGATTCCTCCTGTTTCTTAACCAACGGGGCTCAGCTATCATCAATCGGCGATGCGCGCAGGTTAAGAGCTCCAACAGGCGCAGGTTAAGAAGTAATTTCCAGAGAGAGAGAGAGAAAAGCACAGAGATTCCACCGATCGGAGAAGATGGGAAAAAAAAAAGATAAAGAAAGATCAAATTTTCCCGTATAGGAAATAGTTTTTTATTTAACGTAAAATACGAGTGTACGTATTTATATACGTATGACTGACAGTATATGAGTCTCTGTGTTGTATACGCACATGTTCCAAAAATAGTAACCGAGGGAAGGACGCTAACGGCGACTTTGACGTTAGACACGTTTACGATGACGTGACGACAGCAGATTGGTTGGATGTCGGAACATAGCCGGACGTTTCGGGGTTACTGTCTCCGTTAAATACGATGCTGTCGATGGAACCGAAAAGTTAAGTGGTCGTTATTACACCCAACTCAACCTTATCCAATTCCCCTTAATTATTACTAGTATCCTCTTTTTCTTAATTTATAAGGATACATTAAAAACCATTATCAGTGAAACCAGATAAGATTAAAACTAACTGATACTGATGTCTACACGGTTTTTATAATAACTCCCTTCTTACAACTAATCTCACTTGCCACAAAAATACAAAAAAAAAGACATTGACAAATTAGTTGATTACTTGAAGCTCCTCATAATCAAGGAAATATTCAGATTACACCTAGCACTTCCATTTTCCAAGAGAAATAACGTCTCTCACGTCAAGATCAAAGGCTACAATATATTCCCCCCAAAACAAATTGAAACAACCACTTTTAACTTGCGTTACAACGTATGAGGAGTAATAAAATGTATGTATCAAGAAATAGTGTGTGAACAAATGTACGTAATAATAATATGCATAAAATTTGTGTATTGGCTCTAAAATATATCGGTTATGATAGTTACAACAGACGGAGATCGAATACTAAAAGTAGTTATAAACAAACAGCATCATATGGACATATGGTCAAGCCCAATATAGATATAGCCTATAACTGATGTGGAGGATATGGTCCATATCAAATAAAAAAGTCAACAAAATAATATAGATGACCGTGAAAAGACTATCTGGAAATGGTCCAATTTGGGCGTGGACACTTTTTAGCCCAATATCCATCTAGTTATATCCGCTAAATTAAATGGATATTGTGGACTGACGTGGACGGGTATGGACGGCCCAATTGACAGCTCTAGATATGGAAGGATGGTAGTTGAGTTTACGCAATTATGAGAAACCATTGGAAATAAAGAAGTACATGTATAAGGCCCATCTGTTAGCTCGCCAAAACAGAGTATCAATGTACAGTAAAACCTCTATAAATTAATAATGTCGGGACCATGATATTTTATTAATTTATCGTGATATTAATTATTTATAAATTATTAATTATTAATTTATACAGATAATGTTTGTGTACTTAATTAATATACATTTTTTAATTCCTTAATTTTTTATACTAATATTCCATATTTTTATGTTAATATATGAAGCAGCTTTCTTCAATTTATGTTAGTATTCCATTTTTTTTAATTTCTTAATTTTTTCCTCTACATTCATGAACTTGAGGTTTGATTAATCATCTCGGTTATCGGAACAAAATAGATGTTAATACCATACTCGACTATCCTGGTGAAAACGATACATGCTTAGAAGTTCAGAGTTTAGAAGAGATTGTGGCTACTGTCTTTAATGTTGATGATGAAGTTGAAGATGATGCTATGGAACCTTTGACAGCAGTTTCGCGTAAGGAAGCGATTATGGCTTCAAGAACTCTTCACAAATTTTGGATGCAGACTGAGAAGACAACACCAGAAGTTGTTGATGCAATAAGAAAAATTAGAGATGGGTTTCAACGAGATTCCAACTTTCAGAAAAAGCAAACAACAATATATTCATATTTTTCTAGATTACTTTAGATATATTTACCTAAAATTTATAATTATTAATTTATGTTTTTGTTGGGACCATATTTTTATATAAGGGTTTTAAAAAAAAAATATTATCTTATTATTTTATCGAATTTGATGATTTTTTACATTGGCCCAATTCGGGACCAAAGAAATTTATTAATTTATAGTAATTATTAATTTATCGAGTATTAATTTATAGAAGTTTTACTGTAGTTGATAAATTTGCAGTTTAGCTCCTGTGTGGCTCAAATCCTAATTTATGGACAAAGGGTATCAATTTAAAAAAGTTTTGCTTTTTTCATTGATTTGGTATAGAATTTTGTTTATCAAAAGCAAAAATCTTCAAATTATGAGTGAACCAAAAAAAATTGTTGAAATTATTGACTAGAGATAACAGTTTTTAATAATAATTCATAATATGTCTAAAACTCACAAGTAGGAGGAGTCACACTAATCTTTATAAACTTTTATTTTCCTACAATCTGTTTTTTTTTTTTTTGGTTTGACATCAATCTGTTTTGTTTTTTTTAAGTGAACACGAATCCTCTCTTTCTTTCTCTCGCTTGCCCTTTCATGGCTACCATTCTCAGCGTTGCTCGTCCCTCTCACTTCCCTCTTCCCGCTACAAAATACCCAAAAATCTTTCTTAGAGTCCCTCTATTTACGTCCCTGCCACTTCCATCCTCTTCTTCTTCTGGCCTTACTTCTTCCTTCCTGGTTAGAAATGAAGCATCTTTGTCTTCATCTTCCACTCCAATCCAAGCCCTCACAGCAGAAGCCGTCGACTCTTCGGCTTTAGCCTCTTCTTCAAAGCTTGTACTTGTCGTCGGTGGCACTGGTGGTGTAGGTATCATCTACTCTTCTTCAATTTTTGAAATTGGGATGATGAATTTCTCCAATTTTTCATCTTTATTCTTAAAACTGAGTCTACTTAATGATGGTGAATTCTGTGTCGCCTCCTCAAGAACCAACCAGTTGTCTGATGTGTGCAACTTCTTTCTTTGTCCTTTTTTTGGGTATCAGGGCAGCTTGTGGTAGCTTCGTTGCTCAAGAGGAATATTAGGTCAAGGTTATTACTACGTGATCTTGAGAAAGCAACTAAGTTATTCGGTAAACAAGACGAAAATGCATTACAGGTTTGGATGCTATTTTCTACTTTATGAAACATTTAGGACCCACTACTTCCTTCCTTGTTAACCTCTCTCACAAATCCTGTTTAGGTAGTCAAAGGGGATACTAGGAATGCAGAGGATCTTGATCCATCCATCTTTGAGGTTCGTCTTCTTCCATTTGTTCATCATTTCCTCAATTTTGTAATTTTGTTTTGATGCTTGGATTTCAACTGGTTTTGCTTGCTTAACATTGTTGTTTAGGGTGTGACACATGTGATTTGTTGCACTGGGACTACAGCATTTCCTTCTAAGAGATGGAGTGGAGAAAACACACCTGATAAAGTAGGTGAGAACATTTCTTGAACGATAGATCATTTCTACATTTTGTCTCTGTGATCTTGTTTTGTAATCAGTGATCCGGAATTGCATGAAACAAAGGGTCTCTTACATGTCATGTCATGATTGATTATCCCTTTGGGTACTGTGTGGTCCTTTGTGTTCAAAAGATTGGGAAGGTGTGAAGAATCTCATTTCAGCATTGCCCTCATCGGTAAAGAGAGTTGTTCTGGTTTCATCAGTAGGTGTGACAAAGTCTAATGAGCTTCCCTGGAGGTGAGACTAAAGTATCTCTGCTAGTTGCTTATGTTACGCGATGGCAATCCTTAAAGTTGAAATAAGAATGTGTGAAACTGAATATATTTCCTCAATCTATGTATAAATTATATGTGGAGTGTATGTTCTGTTTGACAGTATCATGAACCTTTTTGGAGTTCTTAAGTACAAGAAGATGGGGGAAGATTTTCTTCGGGACTCGGGTCTTCCATACACCATTATCAGGTTTGGAATGAAAGAGTTACCTACCCTCTTTTTCTTTACTCCAAAATGCAGGAAACATTTGGTTTAGTATATGATTATTTTGTATACCAGACCTGGTAGATTGACTGATGGGCCATACACATCATATGATCTGAATACTTTGCTCAAAGCTACAGCCGGTGAACGGCGTGCAGTTGTTATTGGTCAAGGTAAACTTGAGATTCTTGGATGGTCTTGTAGCATGAAAGAAATTTGAGATTGCTTGCTTTACATCGCCTGATTTTGCAACAGGAGACAAACTTGTTGGAGAGGTAAGCAGACTTGTGGTGGCGGAAGCTTGCATACAGGCACTTGATATTGAATTCACACAAGGCAAAGCTTATGAGATCAATTCAGTTAAGGTATCTCGCAAACAGTTTCCATGAAAAGTCTGGTCTGGATATATCTAATAAACTGGAGTTGCTAGTCTGATCAAGAAACATGTCTTAAGACTTAAGGGATGGGTGTCCTTGGAGAATCAAGGCTTTAGCTGATCGTTGGAAATGTTTTGAAAAGATTATTTAGTTTTTGATATGTTTGGGAAATGTGGTTTCAGGGGGATGGTCCAGGAAGTGATACGGAGAAATGGCGAGAGCTGTTTAAAGTTGCAGAATCCAAATGATAAAAGAGGACACTGAGAAATGTGTACAGAGCTGCTGAAGACGACACATATGCCCGATCGAATTGTGTATACACACATACTCTTCTTTTGGTCTTTGTAATAATTATTTCCAAATAGAAGAATTCTTTAATTAATTCATCTGTATAGTCGATGAATATATCGACCAATCCAAATATTAGGTTGCACATAGGATCCTTCCTAACCATTTTGATACAATCTCAATCCCAAATTCAGATTCCGGTTAGACCAAATAGCGACCCGAGTAAAACAAACCTATAAACAGAGAAATTGACAAAGGAATAGAGAAACTGATTTTGCTGCATCTTACTTTATTGTCTTAAAATTCATTAAAAAAAAGTCACAACACTGAGAACAAGAATCAAAGGGACAATTCCCACATTTTATGATCCTGTTCTTCTGGTTAACACATTAAATAAAATAAATCTAAACCCGCTTGATCCCTAACATGAAATCTTATGAGATTAATGAACTAAGGGGACTTGATCAATGACGACTAAAAAAGCTATACCGGATTGACAGTATTTATATACGTATAAAGAGTACCTCTGCTTCCAGGAGATGGAAGAGCAGACACAATATGATCACATTTTGAGACAACAATCGAGCTGAGCACAGAACATGGTTTCACTCAGACAACAGCGGAAGTAGTGCGTCTAAGGTCCACATCGTTCTTGTGTTTCTCACTCGGCGGTGTTCCTTTGAAGCTTCCATATCTCATGGGCTTAGGTATGTAGAGAGAGCTCAGCATCTTCTCCAAAGCTACAACAGTGTATCTCACATACTTGCTTGAACTCGCTTCTTTCTCAACCAATGCCCCATAGTTTTGCATATAGCTTCTGTAAACCGGCACAATAGCCTGAACTATCTGCTGGCACACTCTATCCCTCAAATCTTTTTCCGGTAAAACCCATGTGGATTGCTTCTTATACATCTCATCAAATGCATCATTGAATGATTTCAGTCTCTTCTTGACAAGATCACGAGCCGTTGCATGTCCACCCGAGAATATGATCAGTCCTTCTCTGCTCAAATGGCTTGGGAGCTTACCCCAACTGTCTCTAAGGAAGACAGTAGCGTAATACTCTTTGTACTGATCATGTTCTTTCAGCCATGAATCTCCTAACTGATCTCCAATTCTCGTACCTTTTAAGTTCTTGTATAAATGCCAGTGATTGTTCATACCGAAGAAATGAGCAAGCGTTTGATCCGGATACGCTTTCATCCACGCGTCCAGGTTCTGCTCTATGGCTTTGATTATTCTCAAAATTTCAACCATAAGCTGATTATCTTGGAACCTTTCCGATCTCCAGCTCTTATGAATGAGCAGAACCTGAGTAAGCGTTGACTTGTACTTATCTCCTATAAGTTTATTGCAGTAATCAGTTACAAAACTGACTAATCTAGGAACACCACCGTCGCTAGGAGGTGGAAGTTGTTGCTGAATCTCTACCTGAACCAGAAGCTCCCAGAAGATTTCCGCTGCACCATCGATTAACTTTTTGATGAGATCCCTCGTGAAGTTTTGGATCTCAACACAAGCTGCTCCACCAAAGAGACGGTTGAAATCTGCTCTCAGCTTGTTCAAAGAAGTAAAGATATCTAGCAGCTTCAGAAGCTTGATTGGATCTTTCTTGCTATCAGTCACAGTTTTCCCAAACTGGAGAAACGCGAGCATACCCGCCTGAGCAGCAATCTTGGAAAAGCAATCCATCCAAACATTCAAACCCACTCTCTCAAAGACATCGTTGCAAAGCTTGAACTCTGCTTCAAACAGATGCTTAACCGCAAACTCTAAATGATTCCCCCACTGAGCTATATACCCTTCTATGCTCTGCACATCGTTGAACTCGGATACCGAGATATCTAGATAATCTAAGTCAAGTGCTTGAAGACTAGCTCTAACATTCAAGCTCCTCACTTCTACGTATATCGAAACGCACTTGTCGAGTCTGTTATTAGCTCTGAGTCTCCCGAGAATGGCTTGCAGTTTATGGATTACAGTCACAGGCAACTGCGACGGTGCAATGCAAGCTTGTTCGCCGAGCGACGATGGAGACGCCATCGGAAGTGGAACACTGTTATCCTTCAATAGCCTGCGGAACTCGTTTTCCAGCTTGTCTAAAGCTGCATCCCTAAGCCCGCCATCAAGACGAGCTTTTTCTTTCTCTCCACCACCGTTTTCTTGAAACTCCCTAAGCCCTCTCAAAGACTTCTTTAGATTCGACAGATACTTCTCATCAGCAACATTGTGATCTTCCAAATACTCAACTATATCTTCCAACCACTGGATAGCTAACCCGCAATTCTCCCCTAGAAACTTCAATGCTTCCTCTAAACGCTTCAGAACGGCTAAATAACCAGAGAGATCGTTCTTGGGATCTGATAACAAAGACTTCTCAAGTCCATGGACAGCATCAAACACCTTAAGCACAGCGGCTGCAGGACCAACAGCTCGGTTAATGTGACCACCAACCGCCACAAGAGCTTCTCTATCAGCTCGTATCGGCCTCACCGCAGCTTCAAGCGACGGCAACCTCTGCTCAATCTCATCAAACCTAGGACCGGTTTTCCCCAAAGCAAAACCAATGGCTTTAGATTTCTCTAGGCTCGATTTCAAATGCTTTCTTGCAGCTATTAAGCTCTGAATCCCTCGATCCACCCCGCCAGATTCCGCCATTATTGAATTCAATAAGAATTAGAAACAAAACCCTAGAAAACCCAGAAAATCTCACTCCACGAGAGCAATTAGCTTCCAAACTATATTACTAATAATAAAAATGAAGACTTTCGAGATAAACGATTCAGAATCAGATGCCAAAACCGTTTTGCATCAACACTTTCCTCTCTTTGATTCGTCTCCTTTATTTATCACTCTTCCTTTTTTTTTTCTCAGCCAACTTTCAGTAAATCAAACCAGACCCAAGACCTACTTAGCAGCAAAAACTACCGAGAAGAAACAAACAAACAAATCCAGATACAGAAATTTCCACAGCTACCAAAACAACCACTAAATCTTTTAGCGAGAAATCGAAACCCGAAACTCTCCAGTAAAGAAGTCACTTTTATAGGGAGACAACACAAACGAAAGAAATCAGGTTAGTGATAAGGTCTTCTACTGTATTAGTTCGCCCGCGCAGAGTCGATCCGGCGGCGAATATAGAGTTTTCGCGGAAAAATCGAAACGGCGTGAGTTTCTCCAGCGAAAGAGAGATACTTTGAAAGAAAAGGAAATAAAAAAAAGGAAATCGGAAAGAGAAAAAGAGAAACTTTTATTGTTTTTCGACAGTTTTTTTTTTCTTCGAGATGCCCGACGAAAACTGCCAAAGTGCATGACAGTCGAGCACAAGTTTTCAAAGTATCACTTGCGACTTCGGTTTAAAACTTGCTATAAAGAAAAATGTATAAATCAATCAAATGATCATAACACAAACTTTTCTGTTTAATAATTAAAATTTTTGCTTAATTTGTGTTATACTTTGAGAACACTTTTAAAAAATGTGATCAGGTTACTCGAATCTTTTTCTCCTTTACTATAGTTTTTCTGAATTAGTTTTATACAGACTTGTGATCATCTACTATTAATGGTAGTTTACCAATTACCATATTCAGCTTTGTGGTAACGTAGGAGTTAAGCCTAAACTAAATCACTTGAACTTCAAACACATAAATGAGATTTTATCTCTAATTCTTTTCTCAGAAAAAAATCGCAAAAACATCTGAAGTTGTTACAAACTTCCAAAGTAAATTTTACATTTAACATCGATCTGTAGTCTTTTTTAACTCGTGATGATGATTTTTTTAAAAAAGAATTATAACCGGTTAAGTTCAAAAATAGAGTTACAATAAAATAGTTGAATTGTGTACTCCATGAAAAAGAAAGAAACAAAATATTCATATGATAGTGATAACCTTTTTTCACCCATTTATCTTTCATACAGTATTCATGTAATTGGTATACCTGGTACGACAAAATTATTTTGCATCTCATTTTGTTTAGTCTGAATCAATGTGATTTGCCCAGCCATAAATCCGCATATCCTTTCGTTTTCTTTGCATTTTTCAATATACTAGCTTTCAATATTTTTATTTATAAACCATATCTTTTCATTATTTCAGCACAAATAGAATAGTTTTATGGATAAACCAACTCATCAAAAATATTTTTACGAAAACACATCGAACAAGAGCCTTTCACATGGGAATCTGTCCGAAAGTTCAAAGTACGAAATATCATGACGTGAAGTATATCAGAAATCATGGCTAAAGCAAAACTATTTTCATTTGTAAATATCAAAGTAGAGTGAAAAAAAAATGAAGAAAAAGATTTGTCAGAGAGCAATATGTATAATAAAATGATCAAAATGAAGATAATCTCGTCAGTCAAGTTGGTTCACTCTAGATAATATGGAAAGACCAAAGAAGAATTTCCGTCAAGCAAAGATAAATAATCATATCACTATTCTTATACAAAGGATAACAAGTCAGAAGATATGTTTCTTCATTAAAAAACTAAAGAGAAGATATGTTTATATAATACGGCCAAGTCGTTGTTAAAGATAATTTAGATGCCTCGAGGGAAATAACCAGCGATATCATTAGTCATCACCGACCTCATCAACACAATTGTTCCATAACTTCTTGCTCATTTGGGATTCCTAACGCGACAAATTCAACGTGGAATTCTCTAGTCACATGACTCTCATCCATCACGTAATTCACTTCATCTTGCAATGTCTATCCATCTTCTAGATGCAATCTTTGATCAGCTTCACTCTTTGTGTCAGGTTGACTTCTTATTTTATTTTTTTCTTTTACTCCTCCTTAACGGCAAAGCCTATCGTTCCAAGCCCCGAGGCTTGGCCAATTGTGTTGTTAGTGTTTGACCTCTCTAGGGAAATAGATTGCCGTTACTTCTTTGATGATCCAAACGAATTACATGAGCCGACAGTACCAAAAAAATCATTTATATAATGATCGATGTGTACCAAACAGAAATTAAAGCGATTGCTACTTGTTGACAAGATTAAAATTATTTTTGAATAATACTTATGTTTCATAAGAAATGAATTAGAGAATTTGTAATATATACTCCAAGAGAGGCTTCTGACTCTCAGGCCGAATTCAAGGGCGAGTTTCAACTCATTCTCATAACTGATAAAAGATGTAGCTCATGGTCAACTTAAAGTATGTTTCTCTTTTTTTTTTAGTCTATCAAAATTCTAATTTGACGGTGTTCTCCTGCATCGCGGACTGGTTATGACAGAGGGAGTATAATTTTGAAGTATATCAGAAATCATAACCTTATAAGGTGTTCACAATCTTTGGTTTTGAAATATTTTGCTGATAGAGACAGAGGAACATTTGTGGGGAGCAAAGGGCTTACAAGCTCTTTGAGAATCTCAAGTGAGGATTTTTGTACCACATGATTTGTTGTGGTCGTCTGTGCGTACATGTTCTTGTGTATCCAATTTTTGTTCGTGGGACAAGGTGTTAATGATCTTTGAATTTTCCTTCCTAACAAGAAACTGAAACTTTGTCACATTAAAGTACATGAGTTTTTCGTACCCTTTAACATAGCGAGAACCTGTCCATCTCTTATTTTGTATACAACGTGCCAACGTGTTTGTTTTATGAATTGATGTTGAAAGTGAACATTATATATATATATATATATATATTATAAAAATGGTGAAATATTATCAATGTTTCATTTTTAAAACAGAAGTCTTTGATATAAATTAGAATTGGACACAAGAAATATAGATAATAATTGTCAAACTATTATTGGAAGAATTTTTTTTGTTGTCAATTGAAACTTCGTCCAAGCTCAACAGCAGCATAAATTAACATAGTTGACCCGTAACTTGTCTTGAACTCACGTAAGTTTATAAATTGAATTCACATTTATTAAAAAAAAACTCAACTTCATCATTCAACACCCAAACCCAACTAACTCATTAAAAACTCATTTGACTTTCTAATCATTCACCCTTAGTCAACTTTATTTTTAGAATATATCCAACAACCACCAAGTCATCTTTATTAATAAAAATAAAAAATAAAACAGTGCATCGTGAAAAAAATGAAGAACATAAGTCAATATTGTTGGTATGCAATTAATTCCATAACCACTACCTTATACCCATATCTGCTGATTATCTACCAGCAATATCTATATATAATGCACCACAAATATAAATATATTATGATATATTTATATATTTCAGACTAATTTTTTCTAATCAAAACATTTTAGTACAAAAAATTTACAAATCAATCCCTCTAGTGCTCAAAAAAATAAAATAAACAATACAAGTCAAAGTTATGCGGAGGCAAACACCAAATCATTAACGCCTGAAGAAGAAATATTCTCCTGCATCGCGGACTGGTTATGACGGTGCTCTCCTTCGTAAGTCACGATAAGCATCGCAGGATCATCCAATGCTCGTTCCACGTGTTTCCTCGCTGGACACCCTCTAAACGTACTGCACTTGTAGTAACCACTGGATTCAAACAACTAAACACCGTTAGATCGCGAAATCAAACAAAACAAATGTCTTAATTAACGGTGGATAATACAAGGGTGTACGATAGTTACCGTGGGTGTGGTGAGCCCTTGATCGGTTTTTGTCCGTACTTCCTCCATGAAAACTCGTCCGGTGGAATATCGGCGATCTTTGCACTTATCGCCGGTACTCTCACGGTTCTCCTCATCCGATTTTTTCTGCTTTAATAAATAAAAAAGAAAATGTTAATTAATCGTTTTAATTAAACAAGGGAAAAAAGGTTTTATCGTGCAATGATTAATGAGCTGCGTGCATAACGGGTTTCGAAAGTCAACGGTCAAAATACGTTTTTTTTAACAAAAGATTCCCCTTTTATTTTTAAGGAGCAACCAGAACCAGATCAAAACCGGAAACGTATATTAAACCGGGGATATATATCTACCTAATTGAATTATTATGAGTATTAATGAATGATATAGCGACGGTAAATAGTCAACTAAACGTTGAAAATTCGAAAAAATTAATAACGGAAGTGTGTTGTGTACTGGAGTAGTTGTTAAAGCGACAGGAGGGTGACGTAACAATACCTTTTTTTGCAATGGCACTTGCCGTGGCCGGAGCCGGAGATCTTGCCGGAGAAATCCTCGGAGTGCTCGTGCTCGAGGCATCTCTTTCTGTAAGGATGACCAGCCAACGGTGGCTTTCCGGAGGAGTTAACCGGAGCTGACCCGAGGAAGATTGAGGATCCCTTGGAAACGCTACCGTCGCCGGTTATCGCCGACGACATGTACGAAGAGTTTAAAGAGACACTGAAGCTTTCCTTGGCGAATTCGAGCTCAGAGCTCTTGGATTTGGATCCGAAGATGCTGGGTTTAGTGAAATCGAGTGTTACGCTCGGCTGATTCGAGTGAACGAAGCTCGACGGAGTAACAACAACCGATGGTTGTGGAGGAGGAGGAACGATTTGAGAGAGATTCGCCGTCGTTCTCGTCGGAGTCTCCGGTGGGGCAGCGATATTAACGAGCTGACTCTGTTGTTTCAGAGGAGAAGAGTGAACCGGAGCGCGTCTGAAGCGGGCGCGACCGGTACGGTTAAGGAGAGAAATGACGGTTTTGAATTTGGAGACGGTGAAATCGGTGAGCTGAGAGCAGTCAACGTTGTTGTTGTTGTTGTTGTGTTGTTCGGGGCGGTTAGAGAGGATGCGAATCAGGTGATCCATACTCTGTAAACCTTGCGATGCAGCCTCCTGGATAGCCTTTTGATCATCCATCATCTTAGGGAAACGCATTAGATCGACGGCCATGATGAGATCTCTTGGTTCTTCTTATTTGTGCTGAGAAATCAGAGAGATTTTATGGTGGAAAGATGAGAAATGAGAGTTAGGAAAGATGGCGTGATATATGGGGAAAAGTTAGGGGTGACCGGGTCAGGTTGTGGGAGATTTTTTAGTCAAACCGGGAAGGTTTTGATCTAACGGCTGTGATTGCGTTGAGGATTTCCACGGAATAAAGCAATCAAAGAAGTTTGGTCTCCTCAAGTTCGAGGTAAACTGGGCTCCACCTGGCATCCGAATTTTATCGTTTCTTCAATTTCAAGATATTTTCAACGAATAGTTAAAAAAGTAGAGAGGCAGATAAATTAATACTCAAATTTTTTCATAATTACTCAAACTTTATCTTTCTAATTACAGGCATGGAAATAAGTTTCTATAAATCTATGCAAAATAGTAGTACAATATAATACAGATTTTTTTTTTTTGGTCAAAAATATAATACAGATTTAAAACACAAAATGAGAACAAAATAGTACAAATTATAAAACTGATGATTAAAATGTCAATGATTCATTCACACAATGGAGAAAGAGAGGCCAGCTGGATTTTGGTTGAGGCAAGAAGGGAGGAAATGTCAACGAGACAGGGATGATTAGTTATGAAATAATAATGGAGATATTTGACTTTCTTAAGTTTTAATTATATTTTATGTTTGTTCCAATTTGAATCTTCTTCTATATTCTTTCAAATTCTACAGACTCTATTTTTGTCAACTATATTTACAGTTAACTAACTCTCATAGGTTGCCTATATAATTCGATGACTCTTTTAAGGGGTTTCCATAACAATTAAAATTTGGTGCAAGACTTTTAGTTCTTAATAACAATATTTTTTCATAGCATTCTAGAAACCCTCTACACTTGACATTATAATAAGCGATGCCTTTTATTAACTTCTAAATCACCTAATTATTCTACAATTAAAAGTCATTCTAATTAAATACTACTAGGCTACTAGCAATCAAGGTTTGACTAAAGATTTTAAAATTCTACTTGAACAGCGATTAATGCATACAACAAAGAAGGGGAAAAAGCTGACTATTTTAAAATTTACAAGTTGTATTAGCAGACGAATAAAAACAAAATAAAATAGTGCTATATAATAAAAAGATTATCAATTTTTTAAACATAGAGCCATTGACCACCTCGGTAACCGGGTGGTCCCCTTTACTCGTATATGAACCGTCAGATTATCTAAAGAGTTGATCCAACGGTTGATCTGTGAAAATTAGTATTGACTATGTTTATGATTTTATGAACCTAAAAAATCTCCAGCCAGCTATTAGGTTCTTTCTCCTCACGTGTCGACTTTCTAATGTCTCATACATATATTGAAAATCGTTAGCTGTCCCGTTTCTTTAATAAAAAACGAAGAAAAAAGCCAAAGAAAAAAATTTGGAAAAGCATAAAACTAGGACGAGATTATTAGATAAACGAATAATATACAGTGTATACTAATTATTATTGCAAAAAACGAGTCCTAGAGTACATTAACTGGGAATTTACAAAATGGTATAAAAAAAAGAGTTTATCTAGGTAGTAGACGAAAATTTAAGTTAAATAGCTTATCCCCATAAATTACAGAGAAAACCAATATACATTTACTATTTTCTTAACTCCAGAGATGAGAGAACATCAGTGATTATACATTTCTATGTTTATTTTATTTTATTTTGATAAGATGAAGCTGTTTGTCAATGCGATTTATTTGAGCACTCCAGATTTGGGGGTATTAGGCTACCGGTTAAGAAAACTATATGATTAGCTATGTGAATAGAACGTGTTTGTGTGTTGCATATAACGTGTCATTGATGCAGAACAAACCACGGGTTGTTATTAAAAATACCTTTTTTTGGGGTCAACGATTAAATTATAACATGGGGTAGTTGACCCGACCGAGTTGTATTATTATTATTGTCGTGCACGTCTATCATTTATGTAGTTAAATTGCAATGCAAGAAAATCTTAGTTGTTGTGATCTTCTTCTTTTTTTTTTTCTGTACATAGGTGAGACTAAATAAATGATCACATCCAAGCTAGGATATTAACTCAGTTCTATCTTCATTCATACAAAATCAGAAGATAATTATTACTAATCTTATGCCCTTCTAAAATTTAATATTATGTTATATGGTAATCTAACTGTAGAAACATACTTTTTTAACAGTCGCTGTATTAACATACTTGGAAGTAATCATTCTTAGTAATGGAGAAATATATATATGAAAATAATGACTGAATGCGCAAAATAAATTAAGATAGAAATCATTCTTTGGGAAATCATTTCAATTTTATATTCTTTTTCTTTATAATATTTACCAAGATTTTCTAGGTGAAAGAAATGTGTTCGTTACATTGCATGTTGTTTCTATACAATATTAGTATATTACGTAATGTCGTCACTTATCAATTATCATACTGAATCACTGATCGATTCGAAGCTTCGTATTTTAAATGTGTCATTGTCTACGTACGCGTTCTTATTATTAGTGTAAAAAAAAAGTTATTGGATGGTCCATATATTATTCTCAAAATTAAAGTTAGTGGGAATCTTAAATTTTAAAACAAGATATACTCTATTTTTAAAAAAGTCACTGTATAACTCGTAAAATCGATAATCATGTACACTATAATTGTGATTAATTCGAATGGGATCCTTCTTATCGAACCCATTAATTCCACGATAAAGCCAAATGTTTTCACTTTATGAAAGAAGTCAACGGAAATATAATAGAGATGGATTTATTCTATATATAAACATTGACTGTCTATTCACATGTACACACGGATTTAACACGTATTTGAGAAACAAATGGCTCTTATATCTTAACATTTACGTTTTGACTACAACATATTCTCATTTTTTGTTTATGCCAATCATACATATAACATATTCTTAGTCAATAATATATTCCACTACTGTTTATATTGAACGTTACGTATGATTTTTTAATGATTCTTTAAACAATTTTTTTTTAATTCCGACTGTAAATAGCTAAAGATGTTATTTCGTAATTAGAGTCATCAGAGAGAAATATGAGATGATAAACAAACAATTACTTGATTTAAAAAAAAAGAAACAAAATCATTTATAGTACATCATTTTATTTCATGTTTCATAATTTTCTTTTCTTAATCGCGTGCATCACAGAACATCTTCAATTAGTTCATTCTCTGTCGTCGGTGGTGTTCGAATCCGGGTTCTTTTCAACTCTCCTTCTGAGATGGCTCTGTAATATGCCGGCTAAACTATCGACACCGAATAAGTATGTTTCATGTCATAAACTGCATGTAATTATACTTAATACATGCATGTATTATTTTCCCTACCATAATATGCATGTTGTCGGTTCTCACAAAATTAGTTTCCGTTATGATAAAACTAAAATAGATTTTCGAAGAGATGGAAGGGAATATATAAAAGAAAAGGTAAATTTAGAGTGGAATCCAATGTGGACTTCAACTAGATGTTTTATATTTCCCATTAATGTATTTTTTATTATATATTTTAACTTGTATATAGATTGTAACGTTGGATGTCGAGTTTTTTTTTGCTTTATATTGTTCTCTTTATCGTTTAAACAAGAAGCTGCACATGGTGGTCTTGGAAGATGAAATATATCATATATAATATAATCCGTATACAGTAAAATAAATTAATAGCCCATGACAGAGAATTTTTAAAGTTTATATTGTTTGACTTTATCTTAAACGTATAATCTTATATAAAAGTTGCTCAACTTTCTCCATAAACTTGACACATTAGTATTGGAGAGGTTGACATCTATCACTTAAATTTTAATATTAAATTTTAAAGCACTTAAAAAATATAAAAAATTTGTTTTATTAATTGACTCATAATTAACATTTATATTAATATTAAACAAACATTTATGTTATAACTGATTAAAAATATTAATAGATATGTATTTAATTTTTATATAACTGTATATTACTTAATAATATTCTAGATGTATTTTAAATTATTTTTTAAGATTATTTATAATAAAATACTAACAAGTAACAAATGAAATGATGATTATATTTATTTTAATTTTTTATTAATTAATTATTAATTAATATTTTGTGTAAATGTTAAACAAAAATTTATGTTATAACTAATTAAAAATATTGAATGATACTTATTAATTTTAATATAATTTTAAATTATTAAATAATATTCAACATGTATTTTAAATTAGTATTTTAAAATTTTTAGAATAAAATATTAACAAGTAAGTAAATAACAAGTGATGACTATATTAATTCTTATAAAATTATATTAAATTTTTTTAAAAAAAATTGATAAGAAAAATCCGCACGTAACGTGCAGGTGTTCACCTAGTTATAATAAGAGAGAAACATCTTAAATAAATATCCGTATCAAGTAGATAGTTTGATTAAGATTTGATTCTGGTTCGACAAATATATGAAACATGCTCCATGCATATGCTATCATATGATTCATATCTTCAATATAATAAACAAAGAAGCATATATTTCGTTATCATGGCCGGTTCGATTAGTTTAATTAAGGTGCCTTGTCTTGGTGCTGTGACATTTTAATTTGTTTATGACCACATTTTCAAATGGGCTGAAGCTAAGATAAAAGAGATTGATGATGCCAAGTCACGTCATGTGATGCATTATCCGGTTTTAGTTTGAAATCCCAAGAATACGCATTATAAGAACGGCTATGGCTTTCTCTGCTACTTAGAGAAGAGTTTTAGTACAAATCATGCTTAAACCAAATTTGTTAAATCTTAGACATGCCAATAGTAAAAGAACTAGTTGGGATTTTATTTACTACCATCAAGCATTCAAGCTCACACAATTTGAACTGGTTCCCTATACTTGATATGTATCAATTACTTTACCGTTTACAATCCGAGTTTTCGACCATGATGAATTTATTTTTTAAGTTTTATCATATCCACCACGATTGTTGTTTGAAGTTAAAACTGTATACAACAAACTTAATCGTCCACATAAGTTAAATAGTTGTCCACAATTCGAACCTAATCAGGCTTAGCCATGTAGTCCGATTGACATAGTGAGTTTAGCTGTTTAGGAAATGTTTAGCAAATTAACTTCAAAAACCGTGAAACTATAATTTACACTAACAGACTTTATTGATTTAAAAGGTTTTTAGTCACACAATTCATTTCAAGCATCCTTTAGAACCAAAAGCCCAATTTTGTTTTGAACTATGAAACATTTTATCCAAAATCAGACCGGACCAAGTGTCGGGTTTTTGCCTAAATTGACTTGTTTAAAGTTTTGGACGCCGTGGTACAAGTAAATCCATTGGGGGAAAAGTTTTTGTTTATTCTGGTCGGTCGGGTCGAGTCGGATTGATTATTACCCGACCCAAAATGATTATCCTTGTTTGCTTGCCTTGCCAATCGTTGGTTTCCAAAATCAACAGAACCAAAAATCCGTGGTAAGTCAATACTCAATCCTTTGGGGGATTATTCTGGTCGATCGGGTCGGGTCGAGTCGGTGTGATTATTACCCGACCCAAAATGATTATCCTTGTTTGCTTGCCTTGCCAATCGTTGGTTTCCAAAATCAAAAGAACCAAAAAAAAAAAAAAAAATCATGGCGAGACTCTTCGTCTCTATCCCTATGCAACCCAAACAAACGGCCTTCTCGGCGTTTTCTCAGCCGTTATTTCCGCCGCCGGCTAAAAATTTTCTCGATGGATGTGGCGATGGAGTAGGCGGAGCCGGGGGATTATGTCTTACACGGAGAATCAAAGACTGTTCCGTCGTGGCGCGAGCAGGGCCAAGTACGAGTAGCTACTTGCTTGCGTTCGCCATTCCCGCTACTCTTATCGCCGCCACCGTCTTCACTTCTATCAAAATCGCTGATAAGCTCGACGAAGATTTCCTTGAAGATGTAAGATCGTCGTTTCCACACAAAAAAATTTATAATACCTCTTATTAGTCTGTTCTAACTCAAGATTCGATTTTCGTCTGGTTTTTACCTTATTTGTGTGGTAGGTTCTTTTAGGTCTATGTTTTATCTCTGTTTCGGAATAAAGTGACGCTTGTTTCAGTGTGCTAGTTCTAGGATTTGAGAATGTGGTGTAGAAGGCAAAGCTTGTTGTAGCTTGTAAGTATTTCTGGAACAGAAAAAACGAAATTTAAACGGAGAAATTGGTGGAAACAATGATTTAAAAAACTATTCAGTAGTAGTAACTTTTGAATTTGGGTCTAAATTAGTTATACTTTTGTTAAAGTTCTTCAATTTATGTTAATAAAGCATGATACGATTGAGAAATGCTGCATATGCTTCTCTTAGAAAATAAGAGAGAGTCACATCCTCTTAGTCCATTGCATTCTAACAAAATGCAATCTCTGTGATAAATCACTTACAACAGAAAGTCTCTGCTTTTCTCGCCTACAGTGTTAATAATAATCACTAGTACACAAGGAGCTGTAAAAAAGCTGACTGATCCATATGGTCTGTAAAACTAAGAGCATATATGATTCTTCTTTCTGCAGATTGCGTTGAACCAAGCGATAAAAGCAGCAGAAGATGGAGAAAATGCTAAAGGTGAAACCTCACTGGATGATTTGATTAAAGAACCCGTGCTTCAACGAACTCGTAAACGGCCTAAACGTGAAGTTTAAATAAACACATAAATATGAAAACTTCTTCTTAAAGAGATTCTTCCAAGATCCGATGACTGTGTACTATGTTGTGTTTGTATAAGGATGTAAGCTTGTTGTAGCCTTCCTGGTCCCATTTATAGTTGTAGTTACTGAAAATTACAATACCATTTGATCATATTTATGAAAAAAAAAAAGCAATTGCCTTATGACAACTATTTCATAGAGCTGAAACAATGACATACTTCAAGTTTTTAGCAGATTCTGTTCCACTTCTTGTGTCCCGAGCTTTCTTCTGCGGCAAATTTGTAGTTATGGAAGAAGTAGAAGGGTATCTTTGTTATCAGCTTCGAATGGGTTATGAATTGGGCTTTGAGGCCCAATTTGAGTTTTCTTTTACCGGATTGGTTTTGAACTTTTGAAGTAGTGTGTAAGAATTTTTCTCTTTCCCTTCTCTTCTCTTCAAATCGACGTCTGTGTGAGGTTAAATCGCGTCGCGTTTTTATTCCACAGTTTTTATTTTTTTTTTCCTTTCATTTTCAAACGAACAGAACACACCAGCTAAAGGCAATTTGCGTTAGATCTAAGGAAAGAGCGACGCATAGGTTTTCAAGCAAATTGTCTACGTCCAAAGAGAATTAACGACGCGACGAACAAGTCGATTTCAGTCTCCCTCTGTCCGACCGATCGAGGGTATGGTTTAGCTCAGTTTCGGGAATTTTTAGCGTATTATCGAATTTATCTGTGAAACTTGATCTCTTATTGCTGTATTTGGATAGGTTTGGATTTAGCTTGTGTTTGTTTTTGATTGGTGTGTGAATTTCTATTGAATCTGGAGATTGGTTTCCGTTTAGTTGCCGCACGATCTGGGTCTAATTTTGTTACTTTTTATGCGCAAGCCTATTTATTTGGTTTTGATTTGTGTTGTTCCAAAAAGGAGGGATAATTAGCTGCTTTTGGTGCTCTGTGATTTCATTCATACAAGTTTGTAAAATTAGCTGCCTTTTTTTTTTGCTGTTGCATTCTGCGTCATCAGAAAGTACGAACCATGTTGATCCAGACTTGTTGTTGATCCACGAAGAGTCATTTTGGGAACATAAACTGAGTGAATCGAATGGACAAGAAAAAGAACCGTGCTGATCCACTCGCTGCTGGGCGCCAGAAGGTTAGTGTCACTTTCCTTAAGCCTACCTCTTCAGAATTTGGGTAAATTTTGCTTTATTATATTCAAATGTTAGTAGGAAGAGAGAGGCTTCTACTATGTTTCATTTCCTTCTTGAATACTAGCAGACGAGTAGGAAAGGTTTCCGTTATGCCAGCTTTTCGGTTAAGTTCATAGTTTAGAAGGAACAATTAATAGCCTGTTTTTTTTATAACATGCTATATTTGATTGCTTGTATTCCCTTTGTTAATTGTTATGTTTCTTAACTTCATTTCAGCTTCAACAATTTCGTCAAAAGAAGGCTGACAAAAGCACTGATCATAAAAAGGACCCCAAGGGCAGTACAAGCCAAGGAAAATCCTCCAAAAAATCTAGTAAATCTGAGAAGCATGAGCGTAAACCTGAAACAAGTGCTGTCTGTAACGAGGCAGAAGCTCCGTCAAATGTGGCTGCAGGAGGATCTACATCTCATCTGAATATTGGTGACGAGGTTGTTGATTCTCCTCAAACTTCTGCAAATGCATCAGCTCACGAGTATGTTTCAGTCCATGGTTCATCATCAGAAACTGATACACTTCAGCCAGGAAACACCTCAGCAACTTCTAATACTGGAGCTGAACTTAAGAAAGAAGTAGGGAATTCTGAAAAGGATGTAAGTATTTCGTTATCCACTGAAGAAGAGAATGTGAAGAGTATCGACAGTGGAGTAGCTGGCACAGTTGATTTGACATCTGAACCTGCAGACACTCAGATGGGAGTTACACATGACGATGCATCTATTAGTGTTGAAGGAAATTTTCCTGTTTCTGCAAACTTAGCGGAGGGGGAAGGAGTTGAAGCTGAAAGTGGGTCTGGGAATGTGGAAACGCCGCATCAGCCATCCTCTCTGCATGAGTTTATTCCTGATGTTTCCTTGATTCGTGCAAGGGGAGATCAGGTAACTGATGTAGGTTGTTCTCTCCTTCTCTTCATGCTTCTCTCTTCAGTAATTTTCTTTATTGCTTGCTCTTTTATAGGGGTAGAGAGATTAGGTCAATTGCGTGCGGCCTTTTGATGTATAATTCAATTTTCATTTGTTTCTGGGTAGGGGAAATGCGGGAAGACGATGGTTCACACAAGGAGGATAGGATTGTAACTGAAGAAACGCAAATAAGCTATCCAGCGATTGTGGATTCATCTGCGTCTACTTCTCATTATTCAGAGGGACCCTCAGTTACAGTTGATTCAGTTGAACCAGTAGGAGTAAATGGCGAAGTTAGAAGCCAACAGACTGGGGAAGCTTCAGAGAATACAGAAGAGAAACCAGAAACATCTATTGGTTTTCATAATAATAGAGATCACTTGTCGTCAGCTGAACCTGAGCAAAGCTCTGTTGCAGATGTGGCTAGTCAGCTGCAATTACCTGAGGGCGTCAGTATATCTGGATTTTTGAGCCATGACGAACCTCGTGAAATGGACACATTGAATCAATCTGGAGAAATTGCTGCTCCTCATGTTCATGAAGGCAGCTCAGTTGGCTTCTTACAGCTTATTGATATTGTACAGGGCCTTAGTCAAGATGAATATCAAGTTTTGTGCAACGCAAGAGAGGCTGCTTCCAGTACTGAGCCAGGAACAACTCCGTTGGAGCGATTAAGAGAAGAACTGACTGTTACGAGTACCATGGAAAATATACTCCATGTGCAACTCACAGAACAATCTCATCTACAAAACGACTTTGATCATCAACATAACCAATTGGTGGCTGAAATGTCGCAGCTTCGTGCGTCATATAATGCAGTAACAGAGAGGAATAATTCTCTTGTGGAGGAACTATCAGAGTGCCAGTCTAAACTTTATGCTGCCACAAGCTCAAATATGAAGCTTGAAAACCAGCTTCTTGCTACAGAGGCACAAGTGGAGGATTTCACTGCTAAGATGAATGGGTTGCAGCTTAGTCTAGAAAAGTCCCTATTGGATCTATCTGAGGCAAAAGAAAAGTTCATCAATCTTCAGGTGGAGAATGATACGTTGGTTGCAATTATTTCTGCTTGGAATGATGAGAAAAAGGAGCTTCTTGAAGAAAGAGAATCCAAGAACTATGAGATTAAGCATCTTTCATCTGAGTTAAGCAGTTGCAAGAACTCAGCGACCATACTAAAGGCAGAAGTTGAGAAATTGGAAAAAACTATTGGTCCATTGACAGATGAGAAGATAAATCTTGTCGAGGAAAAACATAATGTATTGGGCGAGGCAGCGAAGTTACAGGAAGAATTGGAAAATTTCAAGACTTTGGTCACCTTGCAAGAAGTGGAAAATTCAAACCTAAGGGAGACGCTTTCTTTACTGAAAGGCCAGCAGACTAAGCTTGAAGAGGATAACCTACATCGCACAGAAGAAAATGAGAAAGCACATCAAGAACTGAGTGCACACCTTATCTCGGAGACTTATCTATTGTCTGAGTATTCCAATCTAAAGGAAGGGTACACTTTGTTGAATAATAAACTTTTGAAGTTTCAAGAGGAAAAGGAACAGTTGGTTGAGGACAATGATAAACTTACGCATGAGCTTCTTACTCTTCAAGAGCACATATCTACTTTACAAGAAAAGCGGAGTCATCTAGCAGTTGAGTTAGGAGAAGCAACAGCGCGCCTTGATAAACTGGCTGAAGAAAATACATCTCTAAGTAGCAGCATCGAAGTAGAAAAAGCTAGATTGATAGACATTGGTGCCGAAGATCCTTCAGGATTGATCAATCAGGAAATGTCTGAAACATTTAGCAGAGGTAAACAGAATGTCCCATTTCTTGATCATACCTGCCAAAGTCCCGAGACACAGCATAAAAATTTGGAGGAGGTAGTGGACGATTCTTTTGGGTTTTCTGCCTTGAACAAGAATCTGGAGAAAGGGGAGATAATTGTTCAGAACCTTGAAGAGGCAATTAAGCAGATCCTCACCGATTCTTCATCGAGTAAGTCGAGCGATAAATCTTCTGCGCCAGCAGTATCAAAATTGATTCAGGCTTTTGAGTCAAAGCAGCAACAGGAAGAACATGAATCTGAAAAAGCACAGTTTACTGGTGATCAGTCAGAAGCATCTATTTCTGTGAATGTGCATATTAGAAATTTGAGAGGCTTGCTTGAACAATTGGTGTTGAATGTCAGGAAGGCTGATTTACAATTCAATCAATTAAGTGAAGACAGGACAGCGACAAATCAAAGACTCGAGGAGTTTAATGTTGAATTTGCATCTCATCAGGATCACATCAATCTTTTGGAGGCAGGTACCATTGAGAGTAAGATTTCGTTTGAAGCTCTAAAAAATTATTCTTATGAGTTGCAACACAAAAACCACGAACTTGAACTTCTCTGTGAATCGTTAAAGCTGAGAAATGATAGCATTGGTCTAGAAAACACGGAGCTCAACAAGAAGCTGAATGCTGGCATATCGAGAATTTATGAGCTTGAAATTCAGCTGGAAAGCTTACAGAATGATTTGAGTAGCATGTTGTCCTCAATGGAAGAACAGTTAGTGGCCTTGCAGAATGAATCTGAGAGGGCAATGATTCTAGAACATGAATTGAAATCATCAATGTCTGAATTTGGTGATGCAGTTGTGAGACTTGATGATTGTTTACTCAGATCTAGCACTGCTGGAGCTCACGGTGGCTTAGACTTGACCAGGCGTATGTCTGGTTCTGTTTACATGGCTGTAAAGGTGATTGACGACCTGGAGGAAAAACTGGAAGTTGCTTATGCGAAGCATGAGTCCTCCTCAAACAAATATGAGGAGTTGGAGCAGAGTTTCAACACTCTGCTTGAGAAGAATGAATTTATAATTGCTACAATGCATAAGGTCTATGCTGATTTGACGAAACTGATTACTGAATCATGCGGGTCTGTGGAGATGGCCAAACTAAAAGTTGAAAATCTATCTGTCTCTGATCCTTTCAACGATGGTAATTGTGAGAATCTGTTGGAGGCTGTGCGAAATATTCTTTCCGAGAAGCTCGATCTTCAGTCTGTGATTGATAAGCTACAGTCGGACTTGTTGAGTAAAACAAACGATATGGAGGAACTGACGCAGCGAAGCCTTGATCCCACTTCACTTCGAGAGTTAGTTGAGAAAGTTGAGGGTGTTCTGGAACTTGAAAGCGGTAGAATTACTTTTGAATCCCCTTGTTCATATGTAGAGTTTCTGGTTTCCCAACTTGTTCAGAAGTTTATAGAGGCTGAGGACTTGGCTAATCTCATCAGAAAACAGTTAGAGGCCAAGGAGAAAGAGCTGATGGAGATCCAGAAGAATTTACCGCACCATAAAACTGAAATGGGTGGTCTCAGGGAAAATTTAAGACAGGCAGAGGAGTCCCTTGTGGCTCTACGATCTGAGTTACAAGAAAAATCTAATGAACTTGAACAATCAGAGCAAAGGTTATTATCGACTAGAGAGAAGCTTAGCATAGCCGTTGCAAAAGGAAAAGGTTTGATTGTTCAGCGTGACAATGTCAAGCAGTCGTTGGCCGAAACCTCTGCTGAACTGCAGAGATGCTCAGAGGAATTGAATTTGAAGGACACAAGGCTTCAGGAAATCGAAGCAAAACTCAAAACCTATACAGAGGCAGGCGAACGTGTGGAGGCATTAGAATCTGAGCTTTCTTACATCCGAAACTCAGCTACTGCCCTTCGAGAATCGTTTCTTCTCAAAGACTCTCTGCTTCATAGGATTGAAGAAATTTTGGAAGATTTGGATCTCCCAGAGCATTTTCATGCTCGGGATATACTCGACAAGGTTGAGTGGTTAGCAAGATCAGCTAACGGCAACTCTTTGCGTCCCTCTGATTGGGATCAGAAGAGTTCTGATGGAGGTGCGGGATATGTTCCCTCGGAACCCTGGAGGGAGGATGGTCAAACTGGCACAAATTCTGAGGATGACTTAAGGATCAAGTTCGAGGAGCTCCAGGGGAAGTTTTATGGGTTGGCTGAACAGAATGAAATGCTGGAGCAGTCCTTGATGCACAGGAATAACTTGGTTCAGAGATGGGAAGCACTCCTAGGGAATATTGATCTGCCTCCACAGCTAAAGTCCATGGAAGTGGAAAACAAGATTGAGTGGCTTGCAAGGACAATATCAGAGGCTACACATGACAAGAATACTCTCCAACAGAAGATTGATAACCTTGAAGTCTATTGTCAGTCACTAAGTGCTGATTTGGAAGTCTCACAAAAGCAAGTATGCGATGTCGAGGCAAATCTTCAGTCAGTTGATAATGAGAGGGCGAATCTTTCTGAAAGACTGGAAACTCTGAATGGGGATCACGAGAATCTTTCTGCGAGGGCAATTGACCTTGAAGTTGAGAACGAGAAACTGCAGAACCAAGTTAAGGATCTGCATGGAAACTTGGATGAGAAACTTCGGAATGAGGAACACCTTCAGACTATTGAAAGAGACCTATTGAATTTGAGGTACATGATTAATGATGTCATACAGGAAGAGGGCTTGCAGGATTTGGGCTTGCAGGATTTGGCTTTAGCAAGTAATTCTGAGACCTTGGATGGACTTCTGAGAAAGCTGATAGACTATTATAAAAACTTGGTGAAATCTAATTTGCCACGCGAAAGAGATGACAACATCTGTGAAACTCGTCTATCAGATGCTGATGTTAGAAGCGGAGACTCATTGGGTACACATGAAGCAACTTCTCATGGGCGCCATTCTGAATTGACTGATTCTAATATAGTGGAAGCAACAAGTAGAGACATAGCAGTAGTAGAGACACCTGATGTAGCTTCCCTAACAAAAGATCTGGATGAGGCACTGCATGTGCAAAAGCTGACAAGGGAAGAAAGGGATTTGTATATGGAAAAACAGCAATCCTTGGTTGCTGAAAATGAGGCACTTGATAAGAAAATAATAGAATTGCAGGAGTTTCTTAGACAAGAAGAGGAGAAGTCAGCTTCTGTAAGAGAGAAGTTAAACGTAGCTGTCAGGAAAGGGAAAGCTTTGGTCCAACTAAGAGATAGCCTGAAGCAAACTATTGAGGAGATGAACGCTGAGCATGGTCGCCTGAAATCAGAGATTATCAACCGAGACGAAATGCTCTTGGAAAATGAAAAGAAATTTAGGGAGTTGGAATTTTACACTGTGAGGGTAGAAGCCCTAGAGTCTGAGTGCCAATCGTTGAAAACTCATTTGCAAGAAACAGAAAATATTTTGCAGGAAAGGAGTGGTACATTGAGCATGACACTGAACGAATTGAATAGCATCAATATTGGTGATGAAGGTGAGAGATATGACCCAGTTCTGAAGCTTCAACGAATCTCGCAACTGTTTCAGAATATGAGTACAGATGTGGCTTCTGCTGAGCAGGAATCAAGAAAATCTAGAAGAGCAGCTGAGTTGCTACTTGCTGAGTTGAACGAAGTTCAAGAGAGAAACGATAGTTTGCAAGAGGAGCTATCAAAATTTACATATGAAATTCAGCAACTTTCCAGAGAGAAGGATTCAGCGGAGGCTGCAAAAGTTGAAGCCATATCACATTATGAAAATTTATCAGTGGTCATCAATGAAGAAAAGAAGAAGCTATATGCTCAACTGCTGTCATTTGGAACTAGTGTGAAGACTCTGAGGAAAATACTCGCGGGGACCAACAGTTGCCTAGCTGATATTTTCACCATGGATATGGAGTTTCTGCATCATCTGAAGGCATATATGGAATCATGTGCGAAGCAAACTGGTACCAATTTGTCTGGATGGGCTCAACTTAGTACAGGGAATTTTGTAGACAAGGTAACTTAGGTCCTTTCAACAGCTTATCATAGTATATTTTCAAGGTTTTTTCTGCCACTGACTGTTTCGGAATTTCGTTTTTCCCCTTTCTTTTTAGGAAATCTTTTCACGCTTGACTGCTGCCTTGTCTAACGTCAACTTGCATGAGATTTCAAGTGGTGGAAACATAACCGAAATTTGTGGTTCTCTCTCACGAAACCTTGATCAGTTTGTAGCCGATGTTAGCCATCTCGAAGAGAATGTAAGTAAGCACTGGGCATCATGGAACGAACAGGTCAACATTGTATCCAACAGTATTGACACCTTTTTCAAGTCAGTTGGAACGGGAGCAGACTCAGAAATTGCTGCTTTGGGTGAAAGAATTGCATTGCTACATGGAGCATGTTCTAGCGTGTTGGCGGAAATTGAAGGCCGTAAGGCTGAACTGGTTGGAAATGACAATCACAACATTAGTCTTCATCAAGTAGAAGAGGATTTTTCATCCATGGATTCTGTCAGGTCCATGGTAAATAGGCTATCGTCAGCTGTTAAAGAGCTTGTTGTAGCAAATGCTGAGACTGTGGAGAGAAATGAAAAGGAGATGAAGGTAATCATTGCCAATTTGCAAAGGGAGTTACACGAAAAGGATATCCAAAACGATAGGATGTGCAATGAACTTGTGGGTCAAATTAAGGAAGCCCAGGCTGGTGCTAAGATCTTTGCAGAAGATCTTCAATCTGCAAGTGCCCGGATACGTGATATGCAAGACCAGATGGGTATTCTGTTGCGGGAACGGGATTCTTTGAAGGAGAGCGTGAAAGAGCTGCAAGAAGGGCAGACCTCACACTTAGAATTACAGGAGAAGGTCACATCGCTTAGTAATCTTCTAGCTGCAAAAGACCAAGGTCAAATTTTCCAATCTAAGCCTTTTTTTTTTCCACTGTCACACATATAGCTAATACATAATTGCTTGCTGCAGAAATTGAGGCATTGATGCAAGCGCTTGACGAGGAAGAGTCTCAGATGGAGGATCTGAAACACAGGGTTACAGAATTAGAACAGGAAGTGCAACAGAAGAACCTAGATCTGCAGAAAGCTGAAGCTTCTCGTGGAAAGATTTCGAAAAAGCTAACAATTACTGTAGATAAATTCGATGAGCTCCATCATCTCTCTGAAAATCTTCTTGCTGAAATCGAGAAACTTCAACAGCAAGTGCAAGATCGGGATACGGAGGTTTCTTTCTTAAGACAAGAAGTAACTAGGTGCACCAATGAGGCTCTTGTTGCTTCTCAAATGGACACGAAGAGAGATTCAGAAGAGATCCAAACTGTACTGTCTTGGTTCGACACAATAGCTTCACTACTTGGTCTAGAAGATTCACCTTCCACTGATGGTCACAGTCACGTAAACCGCTACATGGAGACACTTGAGAAAAGGATTGCGTATATACTATCTGAAATAGAAGAATTACGGTTGGTCGGACAAAGCAAGGATTCCTTGCTGGAAGCTGAGAGGAGTAGAGTGGCTGAGCTCAGACATAAAGAAGCAACTCTTGAGAAAATATTACATGAGAAAGAATCCCAACCAGGCATCTCAACAAGCTCGACTTCAGAGATCGTTGAAGTGGAACCTCTGGTAAGATCATTGCTTGTTGGATGATTTCACCATTTCCAGATCCTGCCTCGGAACGATAACATTCAGATTCGATTTCCTTTTTTTTTTTTTTCCGGTATCGCAGATAAACAAGTGGACGATGAGTGGAACATCGATGCCGTCTCAAGTCCGGAGTTTGCGTAAGGGAAATAACGATCAAGTTGCCATTAGTATAGATGCAGATCAAGCTGATCAAAGCCATAGCTTAGAAGAAGATGATGATAAAGGTAACTAAACTAGTCCCTTAATTGTACATTTAGTTAATCGGCTACACATTCTCTTTGTAACACTCCCGTTATGTGTTTTTTCTTCTGTTTTTGCGTTTTAGCTCATGGTTTCAGATCACTCTCTACGTCAAGAATCGTTCCAAGATTCACACGACCAGTGACTAACATGATCGATGGTTTATGGTTAGGCTTTTTACATCCATCGATCTCATTCGATTTGGAAATTGCTCATTTCGGTCTAATTAAAACGATCCTTTTTTTTTCTTTTTTCTTTTCAGGGTCTCTTGTGACAGGACGCTCATGAGACAACCTGCCTTACGGTTAGGCATAATGATTTACTGGGCGATATTACATGCTCTTTTGGCTACTTTCGTGGTCTAACCAAAACTTCTCATTTCGTAAGTGACTTTTTCTTAAATCAATAGCGAACAGTAGCTTCAGTTTTCTAGGCTTTCATACGTGTTTTCATTTTATCTTTCGCAGTTGGTTTCTCGTTATGGCACGGACTCAAAGTGGTGTGTTGTTTCACTATATGTTTTTTTTTTTGTCTTTTTATTCATTGTTCAGCTTTTATTAACCAAGCAAACTGTGGTTTCACCCATTTTTATTGATCTGAATCACAAACTGCTTGGCTTTACAACTGAATAAGAAAAAGGAAGTTTAGTGTAGACTATGTAGTAGCTGTTGAAAAAGATTAGCCAGAGACTATAAATTACTGTTATGTTCTATTTCTTTTTCATTCTTACAACGCAAAATTAAACGATATAAGATAAGAATATTACCAAGTAGAGGAAGGTACTGTGTCCATCATTTGATATTTGTTTGTGTTTGCTTTCCAGTTAATTTAAGTTTTTTTCACCTTTTTTGGTTGCATTTTCAAACCTCACAATCTCTTTTTTTTTTTTAAAAAGAACAATTAGAATTTGAAACTTGATTTTAATTCCTAGTTCGACTATCGTACAACTGTTAAAAAATATATAAATTTTATACTGCCTGAAAACGCCACTGCTGAACCCAACTAATACTTTGGCCCAAACTAATGTAGCTGTGATTAATTTTGGGCTTTCCTTGTTTTGTATTAAGAAAGTTAACGCGCTTACAAACCCCTTTGGAGGTATTTCTTCAATTTCAGATTCAGAAACCCTAGTTTCACCACGACAAGCGAAACACACTCTCTTTTCTTCTTCTTTGCTCTCCTCTCTCGGAGCCGCTCGAGTGCTTTCGCCTATTCTCACTAGGTAGGTGACGCCAATTTTATTTCTCTCTTCTTGCTCTTAAGTTTGTTCTTTGCTAACTTTTTTGTGTGAATTTTCATCCCATCTGATTAATTCGATTGGACGATGAATTCCTTGATCGAGAGATTACTAGTGTTTCCTTTTCTTCTTTCCTCAATCTGTGTTGAAATGTTTTGGTTTCAATAGTGATTAATTCTGTGTGAATTATGATTTTGGAATCTCTTGCTAGAAAAGAGTCTGCTTTATTGACCATAGTTCATGTGCCAGTGACATTTTACAGAACAAAATGTCACGTGTGTACGTGGGGAATTTGGACCCGCGAGTTACTGAGCGTGAACTCGAGGATGAGTTTCGTGTCTATGGAGTTATCAGGAGGTGAGAATCGATCAGTTGGTACTAAAATTCTTCTTTTATCCACTTATTTGATGTGAAGTATCTATTTTTGGTATTTCTTTAGTGTTCATTATCATGTGCAGTGTTTGGGTTGCTCGTAGACCACCTGGCTATGCTTTTCTTGATTTCGAGGATCCTAGGGATGCTCGTGATGCCATCCGTGATTTAGATGGTAATGCATCCACAATCTATTAGATTTTGCTTTATTCTTTACGAACTTGATAACACTCTTTGGGGTTCTAATTAGTCTTATGACATATAAGTTAGGATTTGACATTGATATGGTTGAAACGGATAGGTAAGAATGGCTGGAGGGTGGAACAGTCTCACAACCGAGGAGGTGGAGGCGGCCGTGGTGGTGACCGTGGAGGCGATCGTGGTGGTCGTGGTGGTTCTGATTTGAAGTGCTATGAGTGTGGTGAGCCTGGTCACTTTGCACGTGAATGCCGCAACCGTGGTGGCACAGGGAGGCGTCGCAGCAGGAGTCGCAGTCCAAGATACAGGAGGAGCCCAAGCTATGGACGGAGGTCGGTTCTGCTGATTTGAAATTACATTTGGTTCCCTTTGTGTCTCTTTCTTTATTGGTTCTAGCTTGTCTGAACTGGATTGGTTGATGATCTCTGTGTTTTTTTTTTTTTTGCTGGCTTCAGGAGCTACAGCCCTCGCGCAAGATCTCCTCCTCCTCCAAGGCGCCGCAGTCCATCTCCTCCTCCTGCTCGTGGTCGCAGCTACAGTAGATCACCTCCTCTGTATAGAGGCCGTGAGGAGCTGCCTTATGTCAATGGGTAAAAACTTGTTTTTCCTAATCTCTCTATCTCGTTATACATTTGTTGACTTGATGGTTGACTTGGAAATAAAATTCTCGTTGTTTGGTCGTTGCATCTTGATTCATTCCTAATGCTTTCACTGGCTTATTCAACGCTTGTTCTTGTTTCTGCAGAAATGGCCTGAAAGATAGGCGCAGAAGCCGGAGCTGAGAGTTTATGCTGCGTAACTGGGGATTATCAGAGAGTACTACTTAGCTTTTGAATAGATGAGAAACTATGTTTTTGGTTGAATAATGGAAATTATTAAGAAGATCAATTAATCGTCAGCTATGAAGAAAACGAGGAGACTAAAAACAACCAAAAGTTCCAATTTACAAAGCATCATTGCAATATTAATAGTTTCTTAGCGATATAATAAAATAGCCTAATTGCTGATACAACTGAAGAAATACAAGTCACAAGCCCTTTCGAACATACATTCTGAGCTAATGAACATACCAAAAGCCCCAAGAAAGTTGGCAGTCTCTAGAACCGGAGCAGAAGAAGAGTAGTGAAACCACTCAAATGGTCTTTTGTTTCTTTTCTTCCCCGCTTTTCAGTTTTAAACCAGATTATTGTTGAGAATCTGGCTGATTCCTAATATCCTCTCCCCTGTTTCATCACCAAGAATTTATAAAACAAAAATGATTTCATGAAAAGCAACTAGATCTTTGACTCAAAAACTCACCTAAGGCCTCGATTTCCAGTAACGCAGCTTCCAGTTTCTTTTCCCTTGTCTCGAGCTCTGCGCGGAACTGACTAACAGTTTTCAGAGTATCTAGAATGCCCCGTTTGACGTTAGCCACTTGGTCAGAGACTGAACAAGGTTTTGCTTGCTTGCGCTGCAATTTACTTGAGTTAGTGGTGGGTCTGTTTGAAACCTGAGTGTTTCCTCTCTTCTCTTTTTCGTCATGCTCGGCTCTGCGACTTACTCTCCGTCCCTCTCTTTCTACTCTTCGAGACTTTTCCTCACTGCTTCCCTGTAGATCAGTCCCACAAGCTCTCCTTTTACGAGTTCTTCTGTTTCCTTTCCCCTTGTTTTCATGGTTTTCTTCCTGAAAAGGAACTCAAGAGACGTATTTTAGCTTCTTAAATACAAGTGTTTTAGCTCTAAGTTTAACCAAGAAAGCCAAAAAGCGTTGTATATACACAAAGTTGTGTTGGTGCTTAACCTTAGAGTAGAACTTAAACGTAGGATTTGCATCTTCCCATATCAGTTCCAACACGAACGAGTCATTTACTTTAACTCCGTTCGCCTTGCACATCTCTTTCCAACCTTTTCTCAAATAAAACCATTCAGTTCCGCATTTTCCTGTCATGTGTAGATACGACGACCATTTTCTTCCATCTTTGTTCAGAAGAGTTATCTCCCCAGCGTTGTTAATGCCACTCTCATTCACGAAAACCGATGAAATATACTGAAACATGATTCAATTAGTAACGTTTACAAAAGTCATGGCTATATCCACGCAGTCAAAGGTACAAACTTTCATGACAACAAGAGGAAAAACACTAGTTCTTGAACTTACTAGTTGCCCGCTCTTGAAACGGTTGGGTGTCAACTTTATTTTCAGAAATGTCGAAGGAGTATTCTTCTCCTTTCCCTTTGGAATTTCATCTAGCATGCTCTTCTCTTTGCTGCAGCCTCCTTCAGCAGATACTCGAGGGCATTCTTGTTCTTCATGGCCATTTCCATACTCCTGTGGACACAACCAAAGCACAGGCCTTTCCCCATTCTCGGAGAGTTTAAACTTGCACAAGTCACCTTGACGTAGCTCATTAGAGGAGCAGAAGTTTGTCCAGCCTCGTCTGATGTAAAACACACCAGTTGAGATGTTTCTTCGGAGAAGCAGTGTCCATTTTCTTCCTTTTTCATTCGCTAAATCTATCTCACACGGTTTGTTGTCCTCATCAAAAGACGCAACAGTAAAATTTCTAGAAAGATCCTGAAATATAAAAGACATCATCAAACAATCCATGGTGAAACACTTCAGAATCACAGTATCCTACTCTTTTTCATGTGACAACAAAGGTGAAAGTAGATCTTACCAAACGATCTTTGATGAGGCTATAAGGTGTGACGTGTGCTGTGATGAAACAAGGGTCGCCTGAGGAAGACTCTGCTTCTGGTTTCTTATTCTTACTCACCACAATGTCCCCTGAATCACAACAATCTTCACTTACATTTCACAACCAAACCCGATCAAACCCAAAAATTCAGACACATATCACTTCTGTGATATCAATCAAACACCTTACCTGCGTCATCCTCATCTTCGTCTTCTCCATCATCATGATGATCAGCAGATTCAACATAGTCATCATCAATCTCAGTATCGTCAGTATCAACAATGCTAGGAGATGCGTGCTGCATGTCACAGGAATCGGATCGAGAGCCCACAGAGACATGAAAGTTCTCGTCTTTATCGTGTCTGAAAACTAAAACGTCACCGTCTCTGAATCTATGAACGGCGGCGAACTCTTCCCAGCCGCCGGCGAGCCTGTTTCCGTTCAGTTTTACTTCCCAAATCCTGTCAGACGCGTCCGATCTTAGCAAAACTTTGGTGTAGTGCCTTAAGAACTCATCATCAAGCGTCTGCCAAAAAAAAAGAACAGTTTTTTTAACGACTTCAAAGACAGTGAATTAACAAAAGATCATAAAAGCAACGAGAATGTAGTTACAAGGAGTGGGTTGTCTCCGGTAAGAAATCTCTGGTGAAACAGAGAAATATTCGGAGGATCGGCCATTGTTCAACTCTGTTTCAGAGGAGAGAAAGAGAGAAGGAGAGAAAGAGAGAGAGAGAGCAGGGAAACTCTGTTTAATTATAAAATTTTCTTCTAAAATCTTATGACGTTACAGTTTATTTTATAATTACGTTATAGAAGGAAATAGAATCTATTCAAATCGAAAGTTGATGTGAATCTTTCACATTTTTTAAAAACTTTTTAAACCCGAATCAGCTTTTTTCTTACAAGATATTTACTGGTCCGTCCATCTACTTGCCCATCAGTGCCATCACCTATGACAAAGGACTAGTAGTCTATCTATACTCTACGTATCTTTTCTTTTTTGTCAACAACTACACTCTACATTAGAAACTGAAAAATATAGGACTTGATAAAATGGGTTTTGTTACTTTTGTTTAATTCCATAGAGTTGATCTATATCACGGTATCAGCCAGTATGGCCAAAAGAAAAAAGTAAACTATCTTAGCCGGTACGTGTTCTTGGAAGAAAACAACTTTTTTGTTTGTGTGTCTGATTTCTGAAATAGTTTGATGAACTATGGAATGAAAATGTCATTACTGACTGGATCATGCATTAAATAATTTTGTTTCCAAAAAAAAAAAAACAATTATTTCCAATATTTTTTCAGGCTTTAAGGAGCTAAGCCCAACTTCGTGAGATGAACGGGCAAGACGGTTTAATGGTGGATAAGATCCCTTCTTGCTCAGCCGGAAGGTTATTGACTTTTTAAGTGTTGACTCACTCTTGAACTTCACTCGAGCTTGCAATAGATCCTCAATCCAAGGCAAATCAGAGAGGAGAAAGAAACTAAAAAACAATTGAAATGAAAAAGCTGATAAACAATTCATTGAATCGCACTTTCTTCTCGTAATGCGTTTCTATCACGTTGAAGCCGCCAAGAAACGTGTTTCCTGAGGAAACATTTCGCGATCTTTCTTCAGTTTCCAGGCTTCGTTGATTTCTGTGCATACCAATACTTTTTAATTTCCCATAGATTTATTATATATCTCGAATCGCTCTTCTTTCCATGGAGGTTCAAGCCGAAATGGAGCCTAGCTCGTCCATTAGGTACCCTCTCCCTTCTTTCGTGCTCTGATTTTTCTTATTTGATGATCTCTGCATTTTTTAACTTCCTTTTATTTCCTGGGTTTCGATTAAGTAAGCTTCTGGGATTGAATTTGATCGATTTAGGACGTAGGGGCAGTAATTATTGGTGTATTGATTCGAGTGCTTCTTGAAGTTATGAAATTTGGAAACTTTGATTGCGGTTCTTTAGATTTGGATATCGCGATTTACGCTTAATTACTTGGACTTATCTTTGTTTGATGATGCAGTTTAATCTCAGCAGTTTCATATGGCATTGCTTCAATGGCAATGGTTTTTATCAACAAAGCTGTGATTATGCAGTATCCACATTCGATGACTGTTCTTACACTACAGGTACTGATTTCAACTTTAATTCTTACAGTATTTGGATATCTTGGGTTTTATTATAATCAAGTGATTACTCAATTCCCCAAAATGCTAATTATGAATTAGTCCGTTTTGCTTTTCTTTTGTATTAGCAATTGGCTACTTCTTTGCTTATACACTTTGGTAGACGAATGGGATACACAAGAGCCAAAGGAATCGACATGGCCACTGCGAAAAAGCTTCTCCCTGTTTCCATCTTCTACAATGCTAATGTTGCATTTGCTCTTGCAAGCTTGAAGGGTGTCAATATTCCAATGTATATCGCCATTAAGAGACTCACTCCACTTGCTGTTTTGATTGCCGGGTATCTCTTTGGTAAAGGCAAACCAACAACTCAGGTATATATTCACTATTATGTTTTGGAATTGGGTTCGTCTATTTACTTGTAAAATCTTATGATGTTTCAGGCTCTGAATCTCTTGTTTAAATCTTTCAGGTTGCTCTATCTGTACTACTGACGGCTGCAGGTTGTGTAATTGCAGCTCTTGGAGATTTTTCTTTTGATCTTTTCGGGTATGGTTTGGCTTTAACATCGGTCTTTTTCCAGGTTGGTTTCACTATTCTTCTTCTTCTCTTACATCAATGCTCCAAGAAGATAAGGCAATAACCATTTGATAAAAAAAACAAATATCGTTTCCTCCTCATCGCCTGCAGACAATGTACCTTGTGCTGGTTGAGAAGTCTGGTGCAGAAGAAGGGCTTTCCTCGATCGAGATAATGTTCTATAACAGCTTCCTTTCCCTCCCTTTTTTGTCCTTCCTCATCATAGTTACCGGCGAATTCCCAAACTCCATATCGTTATTACTAGCAAAGGTCAGAGACTTTCATTACTCCAAGCTTGCAGCTTTTCTCAGAAGCTATTCTCTTATCGGTGGAACTATTTTTTTTTTCTTTTTCTCCTGGACAGTGTTCTTATTTGCCGTTCTTGGTGATTCTCATTCTTTCACTGGTTATGGGCATTGTCCTCAACTTCACCATGTTTCTTTGCACCATTGTGAACTCTGCTTTAACAACAACCATCGTTGGTGTCCTCAAAGGCGTTGGTTCCACTGTGAGTATAATAATCTCATTCGACTATTTTGGGAGACGATAGTCTCTTGGTTGTCAAGTCTTCTAGGCAAATCCTTTTCTCAGTCTTGCTTGTTTTCTTTTTTTCTTTGAATCTCCCAGACGCTCGGTTTTGTACTCTTGGGTGGTGTTGAAGTACATGCTTTGAACGTGTCCGGTTTAGTGGTTAACACGGCTGGTGGTGTGTGGTACTCGTACGCCAAGTACCGGCAGAAAAAGGCTAAACCAGCTAAGCTATTGTCTGATTTGGAAGCTCACAAAAAATGAGAATTTTTGGTCCGATTCGGTTTGCACATCAATATGTCCTTGTTGGGAACTTGGGATAGTTATATTTTGATAGTCCTACACTATCGAGATGTAAGAGACTAGAGACTAAAACGAGACATTTTAAACACATCGCGAAATGTTTCCAGATAGTGTAGTGATACAATATATATGTTTTCCTAAACTATATACATATAAAACTGATACCAATAATATAATTTATTATTGCCCAGAAAATTCAGATTTAGAAAAGGATGGATGTTACTTTAGACTAGTTGAAATAAATAAAAACTTGCATTACAATATCAAAGCTTTATTCAAGTAAAATGAATATTGAATGATTGTATCCACTAATTACAATAATTAAACTAAATACCGATAAAGTAGAGACTAGAGAGTGTAAAGCACTGTATGTGGAAAGGAATAATAACATAGTTCAAAGAATATCATAATTGAAAAGTGCTAAATAATTATCATTCATCAAAACATAATCGATCATTTTAATATATATACATGATTAATGGACCGGGTTTGATCTGGAAACATTTTAAAAGACATACTAGATACAATATATCACGACCAATAATTTGTGAATTATTGTTTACCTTAGAATTGTCATAGTTATGTTACTGGACATTTAGGGGGAGGAGCGTGTATGAAATTTTTTATAAACCGAGGGATTTCAAACTAAAAACTGTAGTTAAAGTATTGAAAAAAACCATTTTGTCATCTATTAATGACTAATCATTAGTACTATTAGAAAAAGTGTAGCATTACAATCCACATGACGAACTTTGAACTACATATCATCACGATTGGTTGTGTATGGATATGTAGATGACCCAAACAGAACAAAATTCAAGCTATTACAAAAAAAGGTTTCTAAATCAACAAAACTAATTGGATTTAAACATATAATAACTCTTCTCTCTTTTAGCTTTTACTTTTTTCTTAGTTTTCTTATAATACTTTTGTAAAACGTTAGGTATTGTATAGTAATTAAACCTTAAAAGAATGCCAAAGAATATTCCTATCTTCTAGAGTTCTACATGTGTTAGTATCACCACCGACAAATAACTCGCGTAACCTAATAGTTGGTTTGAAACTTTCCCAATATTTCAAAGGGAATTGAAAAAAATTGTGATTATCCTTCTACGCAATCGGTGACTCATATACTTCTTTTGGTAAAAGACACAAATATATATTTTTTTCTTGTTTTACAAAAGGCTCATAATTAGCGGCAATATTTTTTAAGAGTTTCTTGCTACTATTAGTCAACACTTGACCCTCTTCTGAATTAATCATCCAATGGCAACGAGGATAAAGCCACCAACTAAATGTTTCCCTCCTTACTAATTAGTATACAATCTCTTACATCTTCAAAATACAGATTCTATGTATAATAAAATATCGAATTGATTAAGTTGCATCCATTTGTTCAAAGATTAAGTTACACCGGTCTTCTTCAAATATCAGTACACGTTTTAAAAAACAAAAATAGCTGAAAAGTTATCCTGATTGTTTGTTTAGTAACCATATTTATCGTCTTCACAACATTCCCGTCAAAATTCTAAAGTTGATGACACTTGGTACAAAAAAATAAAATAAATTGAATGGACTAATAAAAAAGGATTTTTACTAAATGAATAAAAATAAAATGAAAGCACATGGAAAGTGACATGGGGAGCACATAGGCGAAGCGGTGAGAACACTAGAGTGATTCACTTGAAACCAATTTGGTAGTATCTTCAAACATTGTGCCAATTTAAGGAGTTTCTCTCACAAATTTGAATTTGTCTTCACTTCAAATTGCCAAACAAGGGTATGGTCCATCATCAATCAATAGATTTTCTAATCTTTTGAAAAAAAAATTATTTTCATTCGTTTGTCAAAAAAGAATTGTAAATTTTAATTTTCTAGGAGGATCCATGACAAGACAAGTGCTGGCGAAAGTTACAGGAGTGTGATAAAAAGGGATGAATTTGCATGCTGAAGCCATCAAAGAAGTAGCTGAACAAGTAACACACACATGAAAGTGTAAGACACATCTTACAAACTTCACAGATACCTTTCTTCTTCCTCTGCTTTGCTTCTCTCTCTCTCTCTCAAAGCCATAATCTTTCTCTCTCTCTCTCTCGAGTCACTCCACTCTCTCACCAACTCATCTCTCTCTCTGTCATTCTCTTAAAAAGGTCCACTATAAATGAGCCTTGAGCTGTGGATGCTTCTTTGTCTGGTTTATAAAAATAAAACAAAAATGGGTCTCTAGATTTCCGATTTCTGGGATCTGTGTGTTGATATTTCTTCCATTATCCGTAGAAAGCTCGCTCCTTTCTTGAAGATTTACTCACTCAAAATCCCTCCATTTTCGTTTCCTATAATGGGTTTTGCTTAATCTTCCATTTTGAGATTTGGGTGTTTTTTGGGATCCTTACCACATTAAGAAATTCAACTACTTTTCTGTTCTTTTTTTTTATCTTTTCGATTTCTCTACTCGTCAGGGAGAAGAGAGTTAGAGAAAAAAGATGGCTCCTAGGTTGGATTTTTCAGATTGGTGGGCGAAAGATACGAGGAAAGGAACACCAGTTGTGGTAAAAATGGAGAATCCAAATTACTCGGTAGTTGAAATCGGAGGTCCAGATTCAGCGTTTAGACCAGTGGAGAAGAGCAGAGGCAAGAACGCAAAGCAAGTGACTTGGGTTTTGCTTCTCAAAGCTCACAGAGCCGTTGGATGTCTCACTTGGCTCGCCACTGTCTTCTGGTCACTCCTTGGTGCTATAAAGAAACGCCTTAGTTTCACTAACCAACTTGGCTCTGAGAAATTGGGCAGAGACAGATGGCTTTTCTCGGCCATTAAGGTTTTCTTAGCTGTTTCCTTAGTGATTCTCGGGTGCGAGATTGTTGCTTATTTCAGAGGATGGCATTACTTCAAAAACCCTAATCTTCACATCCCCACTAGCACACTTGAGATCCAGAGCTTGTTTCATCTTGTGTATGTTGGTTGGTTAAGCCTAAGAGCTGACTATATTGCTCCTCCAATCAAAGCTCTCTCCAAGTTTTGTATTGTGCTCTTCCTTATACAGTCCGTAGATCGTTTGATTCTTTGCTTGGGCTGTTTTTGGATCAAGTACAAGAAAATTAAGCCGAGATTTGATGAGGAGCCATTCCGTCATGATGATGCTGAGGGATCTGGATTTGCGTATCCAATGGTTCTTGTTCAGATTCCAATGTGCAATGAGAGAGAGGTATGCTCACTAAAAAAAAAGATCAAATTTTTTGACTTTGGCATATCGAAGGAAGAAAGTATAGCTTTTTATGGTATAAGTCTTATCTCTCAATGTAATCATCTTTGGTATTCTTCTTTGTCAGGTGTATGAACAATCTATATCTGCTGTGTGTCAACTTGACTGGCCAAAAGATCGAATTTTGGTTCAGGTTCTTGATGACTCGAACGATGAAAGCATCCAACAGTTAATTAAAGCTGAGGTTGCCAAATGGAGCCAAAAGGGAGTCAACATAATCTACAGACATCGCTTGGTTAGAACCGGATATAAAGCTGGTAACCTCAAATCCGCTATGAGCTGTGATTATGTGGAAGCATACGAGTTTGTAGCAATTTTTGATGCGGATTTCCAACCTAATCCTGATTTCCTTAAACTAACAGTTCCACATTTCAAGGTCGGTATCAACATATCAGCTTCATTATCAATTTATCACTGAAAAGTCAAAGTGGAGAGATTTTCTAACTTGTTGAAAATGTGATTAATCTTCAGGATAACCCAGAGTTAGGTCTGGTTCAAGCTAGGTGGACATTTGTGAACAAAGACGAGAACTTGTTGACCCGTCTTCAGAACATCAATCTGTGTTTTCACTTTGAGGTTGAGCAACAAGTCAGCGGCGTGTTCTTGAACTTCTTTGGTTTCAACGGAACAGCTGGAGTTTGGAGAATCAAAGCCCTTGAGGAATCTGGTGGCTGGCTTGAAAGAACCACTGTTGAGGATATGGATATAGCAGTCCGTGCACATCTCCATGGATGGAAGTTCATCTATCTTAACGATGTCAAGGTACTACTATTTGTCAATCATTCCATAAAGAAAAGGGCCCTGTACATGTAACCATTATATTAAACTTGAGTGAAAACAATCTACAGGTCCTTTGTGAAGTTCCTGAGTCATACGAAGCATATAAGAAGCAGCAACACCGTTGGCATTCAGGACCTATGCAGCTTTTTCGCTTGTGTCTTGGTGCAATCTTAACCTCTAAGGTAGTGTACAATTCTTTTCTTCTTCAGAATTATAATTTCTGATCATCCATTCAATGAAATTCTTCTTCTGTTTCTCGTTCTTTCTTCTTGCAGATAGCGATATGGAAGAAGGCAAATCTGATACTTCTCTTCTTCCTTCTTAGGAAACTCATACTTCCTTTCTACTCCTTCACATTGTTCTGCATAATCCTTCCACTCACCATGTTTGTTCCAGAAGCTGAGCTCCCTGTTTGGGTCATCTGCTACATACCGGTTTTCATGTCTTTCCTTAACCTTCTTCCATCTCCAAAATCGTTCCCTTTCATAGTCCCTTACCTCTTGTTCGAGAACACAATGTCCGTCACCAAGTTTAACGCCATGGTGTCCGGATTATTCCAATTGGGTAGCTCTTACGAGTGGATTGTCACAAAGAAAGCTGGAAGATCATCAGAGTCAGATCTTTTATCTATCACCGAGAAAGAAACACCAAACAAGAAAAGCCAATTGCTTAGGGGGGTTTCCGACAGCGAGCTTCTGGAGCTGAGCCATCTTGAAGAGCAGAAACAAGCGGTTTCGAAGAAACCCGTCAAGAAAACCAACAAGATATACCACAAAGAGCTCGCACTAGCCTTTCTTTTGCTCACTGCAGCGATTAGGAGTCTTTTGGCAGCTCAAGGAGTGCATTTCTACTTCCTGTTATTCCAAGGTGTCACCTTTCTTCTCGTGGGTCTCGACCTCATAGGCGAGCAGATGAGTTGAGGAAAAAAAAAATCAGAGAAGCTTCACAGATCCCTTAACTCGGGTCAATAAATGAGTGAGTTTGATTCCCCATTTCCTCTATGTTCAGTGGTATCCTCTGTAATGAGATTGTTGGAACCATAGTGGTAGGCATTAATTTATTTTCCGGTTTGTCTGTTTGTTATGTTTGTTTAATTCCTCCATTGCTAGGGTTAGAGTGTGAGCCAGAAATTCATACATGTATACAATATCTGTAAAGTTGGAACATGTTGTTGGCAGTTAAAAAAGCTTTTTGTCTTGAACTAATACAAGATCCATGTCAAATCATCTACAGAGAATTTAGTAATGCCCAACCTTTGGGGAAAGAGATTGTAACTGTAAATAACTAACAAGAACCAGTTCCTGACTAGATTGAAACAAGAAAGAGAGACCATTTATTGTTAACAAGAACCAGTTCTTAGGAATTTCTCATCTTAGTGTCGGTGAAAAGTGAAGAAACGTGGAGCAAAAAAAGTGTCGGCAGGGGAAAAGTTGGATGAGAAGAAGCATAAAGTATATTGCAGAAAAGCAGAGAGGTTTACGTCATTACGTAACAATCAGTTGAATGATGTGGAAGTGAAGGATGGGACCAAACTGATTTTAATTTGGTGGGTTTGTTGATGATTTGGGACCGAACTAGGATCATGATCTTGTCTCTTTTGCTTTTCTGGGCTTCATTATTTGTGGTCATGCCAATACAATGTCTTTGCTTTGTTACACTTACAAACTTGAAAACGTGGCCAGCGTTTTTCTTCTGGACTCTTTTTAGTGGCGGTAACGGATCGACATTCACTTCAATAAAAGCAAAGTTAAAAACTTTGTCAGTTTTTTTTTTTATATATATATATATATATATATATATTTTGACAACAAAACTTTGTCAGTTTTAGTTAAAAAAAATCGATATAAATATCAGTTACACTTTGTCAGTTCTACTGAAACTACTTTGTCTCCTTTCGTTGAACGAGTCCAAAATACAAATGGGGTTTGCAAACGTCTCTGCTCCATTTTCCTAATCTCCAGCTTTTACTTTAAATTTTATGACTGTTGATTTCCAATACTTTTTCATCTGTTAATTTCCAACAGTTAAAATGCTAGAGACATCGGGACCAAAATAGTACTTAAAAAGAAAGCTAAGTAATCATGAGCGTTCATTCAAATCATACCTAACGCATTGACTTCCTCCAGCGAAGCTTCTATATTTTGTTCATTTATATCTCGATCTGCGTCTGAAACCGTCTTACACCATTTAAGGTAACCACGATACTCTGTTTCACCTTTTTCACGTGATCAGAGATGATGCAATGCTGAAACGGTTGCCTGCGCTGCAAGTTTCCTTGATCAGGACTTGATTTGTTTGATGCAAGTGAGAGGGTCCTCCATAACTTAGCAAAACCAAAAACTTGCCATTTTTGGATTCGCCATTATTGAACAACCTCAAGTAATCTCCAAAGTTCACTGACAATGGAGTAATGAATTTTGTGTTTTGATATTCATCTTTTTTGTCTTTTAGAATTCTTCTTTCCCGTCACTTTGGTTGAATGTTTTTAATTCTTCGAGACTCATAAATTATTATTGTAAATTGAATTGAAGGCGTGCTCTTTAATAGTTTCCATGTAACGGCACTCAAGTTTCTCCTCGGAACCATTGAACGAGTCATAAATTAATTACATTAAGAAGGGGCTTGCAAGAAGAATTGCGCTGAACATTGTATTAGTGTACATAAACATATAAGTATAATCAGTTTGAAACTAAAGAAAAAGTTGAAATTACCTTATCTAGATATTAGAACTATAGGAGTACAAATTAGCCTTTCCAGATCAAGTTCTCACAAGGCACATATCATTTCAATATCTACATGGCGCATTTTGGTGTCTGATGTTTGTCTGGTCCATGACTACTCACTGTATATTTCACTGTATATTTTTTAAAATGTTTAATACAGATTAGGCTTTTACTCAACAATCAGATTTTTGACCCAAGCTTCTCACATGCTAAAGTTGGAAACTTTTTCAATTCCCTTGTGACATCGACTAATATTCTCCACAAGAACACATATATATATCCTTGAAAAACTGAAATGATGAAACCGAGTCCCTCAAAATAATCGCACGTCAAAAAAACTCATAGATATCAACTTAATAACCAAATGGAAATATTTCACAACTACGTAAATCTAGTCATTCACCAAAACACAAACATAATTAGGTTTGCAGGAAGAAGACAACGAAATGTTCTCCAGTGAAGTTTACTTTGATTTGGAAAAGTCCATTTCCGCTTCCTGATCTTCAGTTCACTTTTAAATTTGATGATTACTTGATGATTTTGTTGATTTCCAAAACTTTCTCCCCTGTTTATTTCCAACATAAAAATGTTAGAAACAGAGACCAAAAGAGTTATAGAAAACAAGTGTTTATAAACAGAGGACAAGAAGAGTTATATATAGAAGACAAGTGTTCAGACCATATACCTAACGCACTGAGTTCCTGCAGCAAAGCTTCTAAATTTTGTTCCTTTATCTCAAGCTCCGAGCGGAACCGTCTTACATCAGTTATAATGCCCACACTACACTGTTTCACCTTTGTCAGTTGATCAGAGAATGAGCAAGGTTGAAGTGGTTGCTTGCACTCCAAGTTTTTTGGAGCAGCAGTTGATTTGTTTGATGCCTGAGTGCAGCGAGATGGTCCTCCTTCTGAAGAAACCCGAGCTCTCTTTTGGAACCGAGTCTCTGTTTCTTCTTGAACCTCTTCTTCATCCCGTGATGTTTGACCCATCCCTCGGGGGCCATCAAATGGTGCTTGTACTATCTGAATACAACTCATTTTGTAACAAAAGTTGACACCTTTCTTTAATAATTTAGCAAAAACAAAAACTTGTATCGCAAGGTATATTTGTTCACCGTGATACCTTGGCTTTGGAGCAGAACTTGAGCATAGGAGTTGTGCCTTCTCCTCGAACAAGCTCCAACGTGAAGGTCTCTCCCGTCTCTATCTGGTTGGCTGCCCAAAAATCGATCACCCCTTTTGTTATATATAACCTCCCTTGTACACAAACTACATACGACGGCCACTTTACTCCATTTTTGTCCACAAGAGTTATCTCTCCTTCCTTCTTGATTCCGTTCTTCCTCGAAAAATCACTCGAAAGACGCTGCACAGGTCTCAACCATCCATAACGTAATCCAAGAAAATGCTTAATCATATCAATCTAAAAACCTGAGATGTTCATCAAAAAACTTACAAGTTGTCTTGACTTGAGCATGTAAGGCTTTAAGGTTACCGTCAATGAAGCACTCTCATCTTCCCTACTAGATTTTGCCGAAACTTTAGCTTTTCTATTTGCCTTTGAACAGTTTCCTTGTGAAGTAATATCGGAACACAACTGAAGCAAAGGCCTTGCCCCATTCCGGACAAGTTCAAACCGGTAGAAAATTCCGGTTTTTAGCTCATTTGCACGGCAGAAACTTCTCCAGCCTCCAAGGATATAATCCTGACCAGTTACCTTGTTGTGTCGCAGACCAAGAGCCCATGATTTTCCTCTTTGATTCATCAGATCAATCACGCACCATCTCTTGTTCAGAGCATTTGTTCTCGAAAAACGTTTTGTAAGACTCTGCCAAGAAAAAAGAAAAAAAACACAATTTCAAGATTCATATTTAAATGACTCACGCGAAGTACTCTAGAGAGTTTGAGTCAAAGTACTAACCACTCGATCTTGGCGTAGATTGGAAGGCGTGGGGGCGAGAAAGCACGAGTTTTCCGATGAAGACGACTCTGCTTTTAATCTTGATTTCTCCTTTGACAAAATGTTCTTCGAATCTGAACCATTGTCCCATGTCTCATCATCATCATCATCTTCGTCATCATCATCTTCACTATCATTATCACTATCATCATCATCATCTTCACTATCATCATCATCATCGTCATCATCACTATCGTCAGAGCTAGAAGATATACAGAGTATCTTAGAGAAACTTCTTCCGGAAGGAGTGACGTGAAAGGTCATGTCCCCATGGTGTCTGAAAATCAAAACGTCGTCGTCTTTGAGACAGTGGGCGGCGGAGAAATCTTCCCAGCCGCCGGCGAAACTCCGGCCGTTCAACTTGACTTCCCATGTTCTCTCGAAAGCGTCAGAAGTTAGTTTCAGTTTCACTAGCTCTTTTTTATGCTCTAAGTGAGCGTGAAAAAACGCATCAGGAATTCTCTGCAACAACAACAATGATTAAACAAAATTGACTCTCTTGGTCAGTTGTAACAAAGAGATATACGGAGAGAGCGAGAGAGAGAGAGCTTACGGGAATGGAGTTCTGATCAGCAAGGGATGCGAGGAAGAAGGATGGGTTGTGTTTAGGAGGGATTGATGGATCCGCCATTGTTGAAGAGCTCAAGTGATGTCTGTAAATTTTTCTTCTTCCTTTTCACTCGTTGCTTTTAAGATGTGACGAAGACATGTTGTTTCCAAGACATGTTAGTCTTTTTTAGGGAGTCTAATCAGATGGCTTGGGTCCAATCACTTGGATACAAGAATCCACTTTCTCTCAGTGATATTTTATTATTTTTACTTTATTTCAACGTCATCTTTCTACCTCAGTAACAAAAAAACTTTATCATTATCCGTTTTAATACAAGAATAACCTAAAAACGCATCGGATTGTTGATTTTGTGAAAATATGGAATGTCGTGATTTGTAACATCAAGCGAAGTTTTGCGATAATATTGAAGCGGCGCCGATTGAAATTCTTCTCACCGGACCCGTGTTTGTTGTTTTGGTTTTCCTTGTATTAATTTCATGTGTTTGGATTTTCTTAGGTTTTAATTTGAATTTTTATTGTATCACTTGTAACTGTTTTTATTTTGGTTTTCGAGCTAATGGATTTTCAAGACAAAAGATCATTTTAGCTTCCGTATGTCTTATACCCTGTTATTAATTTTAGATTATCAATAGGACGACCAAAAAAAATTATTATAATTGAAGAAAACATAAGAGGGGATGATCAGCCCATAATAGTATCGTTGTCGTCATTTATAACAAGCTTTTTCCAAATTATTTGAAAATATAATAAGTTAATAAAAACATAAGTAATCGATTAAAATTATATAAAAAATTATGAGTAGTTATAACGAATGATAAATTTTGAGCAAGAACTAAAGAAATATTTTATTCGATCATTATCTGTTAACTGAATATTGTCAGTAACATTGTTTTGATAAAGACTTGTAATCAAAAAGCTCAAAGAAGTGGAAACGGAAAAGAAGAAGGTTTATGTTCTCTTCACCCAAATAAAAAAAAAAGAAAGAAGAAGGAAATGTTCTCATGTGAAATACTCAACTCCATCGTATCAAAAGTCCACTGTCCATTTTCTGATGATCTTTATTTCCGCTTTAAACTTGATTAATGTTGAAGAATTTGCTGATTCCCATTATCTTTTCCCCTGCTTGTTCCAATATCATCATATTTATCAAAATAAAAACACACATATATAAAAAAGACAGTATTTCATTCGTCATTCATATCATACCTAGCTCATCAATTTCCAGCAGCGAAGCTTCTAGGTTCTGTTCCTTTATCTCGAGCTCCGACCGAAACCGTTTAACATCAGTTAAAGTCTCCACAATACTCTGTTTCACCTTTGTCACTTGATCAGAGATTGAGCAAGATTGAAGAGGTTGCTTGCCCTGCAAGTTTTCTGGCTCACCACTTGATTTGTTTGATGCCCTAGTGCAGCGAGATGGTCCACCTTCCACACAAACTCGAGATCTCTTTTGAACTGGAGTCTCCGTCGCTTCTCCAGCCCGTAATGCTTGAACCGTCTGCGGCGTTTTCCTCTCCTGATGATTCTTATCGCCATCAAATGATGTCTGAAAACAATTCGTTTTGACACAGATCAGATTTCTCAACGAATAAAAGGAAGGCCAAGAACAATTGAGAATGTAACTGATTTTGTGTTAACCTCGGTGCAGATCTTGAGAATAGGACTAGTTCCTCCTCGAACAACCTCCAATGTAAAGGAATCATTAATTTTCTTTATGCCATTGGCGACAAAGCAATCTTTAAAACGCCTAATGTAAAACTGTCCACGTCCCTTGATGTTAACGAGATGCAACTTCCACTCTACGCCGAGTTTGTTTACTACAGTTATCTCTCCTGCTTCATTGATCCCGTTACCTCTTGATAATGATGCAGGAAGTCGCTATACAAGTTTCAACCCATTTCAGGAAATAGCCCAAGAAATACAAAAAAAAAAGACTTAGAACCGTTACTTAAACAAAAGGTGTTGGAACTTACAAGTTGACCTGTCCTGAGCATGTAAGGTTTAAGTGCTAATGTAAAAATCCTGTTCTGAACCATTGAAGCTGCAGTCTGTGAGCGATCCGGGGATTCAATCTCATCACCTTCGGTTTCAGAAACATTCCGTTTCTCGTTGACTTTGGAAGAGTTTCCATCTGGAATGCTAGAGGAGTTGGGACACAACTGTAAGACGGGTTTTGTCCCGCTTTGGACACATTCAAATCTACAAAAAGATTCGGCTTTGAGCCCATTTTCTTTGCAGAAACTTCTCCAGCCTCTGCTGATAAATGCCTGACCAGTTGTTTTGTTGTGTCTAAGGTCCATAGTCCAAGATTTGCCTTCTTCATTCCTTAGATCAATCTCACACTGCCTGTTGTTCAGACCATTTGCCCTCGCAAACTTGTTTGTAAGACACTGCAACAAAAAAAAAAATGGCGACTTCATGATAGTGTAGCAAAAGGAGAAAGATGACAATTATATTAAAGAGTCAAGTGAAGTAGTAACAATATGATTTCGGCTCAAGTTTGAAGCTGTGACGTGCGCAACAAGATATGATTTTTCTGATCTTGCTCTCTTCTTCGACGAAGTTTTCTTTGGATACAAATCCTCTTCCGATGTCGAATAGTCATCATCACCATCATCATCATCATCTTTAACATCGGCATTGTCGTCGTCATCGTCATCATCAAAAATATTGTCTTCACTACCACTATCATCGTCGTCATTTTCATCGTCAGAGGTAGAAGAGAGGAACTGTATCTGATGAGAGAAACTGCGTCCCAAGGGTGTGACGTGGAAGACCATATCCCCGTCGTGCCTGAAAATCAAAACGTCGTCGTATCGGACACAGTGGTGGTCAGAGAATGTTTTCCATCCATCGGCAAATCTCTGTCCGTCCAATCCCACTTCCCAGGCTCTGTCCGAAGCGTCCGACGTCAGTTTCAGCTTCGTAGACTGAAATTTGCCATTAAAATGTTTCGAAATAAACGAATCAGGAATCATCTGCGACAAACAACAAAACAACAATTACAAAATGATACGTTATAACAACAGAGATTGTAACAGAGAGATAGTTGTGAGATTAGAGAGAAAAGGTACAGGATTTGAGCTTTGTTCAGACAGATCTATCACAAAGATAGGTTTTTTGGTTGAGGATGAAATGACTCGATCCATTATTATTGAACAAGCAAACTCTAGAAGAATTCTTCTGATTTTTTTGTGTGTCTTGGAATTCTCCTTAGGCTACTCACATACTAGGGTTTTTGCATTCCTTCCAAATTTAGATTCCGTTATGAAACTGCGCTATTCAATGTCATTATTGATATTAATTATTAATTAATGGCAAAGATATTTTCTTAATCTTTCATCAGCAAATGCCTTGCAGTTCCTCATCGGAACCAATGAACAGCACGGTGTCTAGGCATCCTTTTCCTGATTTGACTGGTCGTCATCTCCCAGTTTTCCGTTGTTTGACTCGATCTTTTTTTTTTTTTAACTTTTGGTTTTAAGTTTCTAAAATTCATCGGCTTAGATCTTCATGGATATTGGGCTTTAGTCAACTTCAAAGGCCCAATAATTAAGCCCTATCTTATTTTTTTTATAAAATATTTGCTTTAGTTTATTTAACTAGTGCGGTCGTAATTAATTTGGTTGATGAGTTCTAAGATTGTCGATAAAAATAAAAAAATACATATAAAAAAGCAAGAGTAATTTAATTTGTATTCACTTCCAATCAACCAAAGAAGAGATTCATGCTTCTCTATAGCCTTGTCAGCGAAAAGACAAGACAACTTTTAACTGAGAAAAAGTAATTGATGTTACTCTTAATATCTTTTTTTTTTTTTGTTTACAGCTTTTAAAAGATGTTACTCTTTTTGGCCTCCACAGTCCACACCTAAGAACACCGGCAGCTACTACCAGCGAAGATCATTGCATTGCAACCATAGGAAGGCAAGGTCTAAATTTCATTCAAAACCCAGAAACCATTCCATCTCCATCGTTTAGAGCTTCAATATACACTAAACCAAAAGAAAATTTAAAATCCCAAGTGAATCGGAAATGGCGAATGCATCACTCTTCTCTCCTGCAAACCCGCATTTCTTCCAGCCTCTTCTTTCCCGTTTCCAGAGCCACCTCGTACGAAATCTCTCCATCCTCTGAGTTTTCTCTCTCTCTCTCTCTCTCTCTCTCTCTCTCTCTCTCTCCCTCTCTCTCTCTCTCTCTCTCTCTCTCTCTCTCTCTCTCTCTCTCTCTCTCTTTCTGTCTCAGTGAACATATTAGTCTTATGGTTCTGTTTTTCTCTGTCGTAGAAAATTCCTGTGAAGTTCTTCTCCAAGCACATAGAGGGAAAACACGAGGGCAAGACTGTAACTTTGACGTCAGATTCGTCAAAGAGAACTTGGAAAGTGAAGATGGAAGGCCATAGGCTCACCGACGGTTGGAAAGAGTTCGTCAAGGCACATGATCTCCGAATCGGTGACTTTGTCGTCTTCAGACACGAAGGAGACATGTTGTTCCATGTCACTGCTTTAGGAACCGGTTGCTGTGAGATCCAATACGCACCGTCTCTTAGCCACGACAAAGACGAAGAGAGTGATAAAACTGGTATCTAATGGAGTCATCCTTCAATGAGCATTTACATTTCTAGAGACTCTTAAATTCTGTTTCTGAAAAGTTGGATTTTTTTTTTCGGCTTCAGGAGAATCTTCAAGAAAGGAGAATGATTTGAAAAGAGAATCTGATCAGTCTTCATCAGATCTAACATGTTTTAGCCAAATTGTGACTGCTTCAAATCTATCAAGGGCAGTAGTGGTTAGTTCAACAAGTTTCTTTGTTGTTGTTATTGTGTTCCATAAATGGGTTTTAGAGTTTTAAGTACATATGTGGGTATTTATAAACCCCAATGCCATTTGATGATTGATGCAGGGTGTGCCCATAGATTTCGCAAGACGAAACGGTTTGGACAAAGGTAGGCAAAAGATTGTTTTGATGAACAAGAAAGGAATGTCATGGAAATCAGAAGTGAAGACCTCGACGGCTGGTCAGGTTTTCATATGCCGAAACTGGAGAAGTTTTTGCACCGCAAATAAACTAGAAGTTGGAGATTCGTTCAAGTTTCAACTGCTCCAAAACACGGAAACGCCCGTGTTTCAGCTCTGCTCCCTCGCAGAGGTGAAGCGGAAGAAGAAGATTCGATATGCACAGTCTTGCGACAACGACGATGATCTTGACGATGATAAGAACAACATCAGTAAGTTGTGTTCTGTTTTTATTTCCATTAAATTTACCTTTGTTTTGAATATGAGAACGTTTTACTCGTTGTGAATCAGGAAACTTAAAAGATGATGACGTGGGTAAGTCAATGTATAAATGAATCTTGTTTTGTTGGTGCTTCAAGAATATCTACGAGGTCTAATATTTCGGTGTTTACGAAAATAGCAAAGCTACCGGGAAAGAAACAAGTCAAGAAGAGGATTCTTGAAGCAGAGACAGAGTCTTTTTCATCAGATCCGTCTTGTTTTGTAGCACCGATCACAGTTTCGAACCTAAGAGAGAATAGACTGGTTAGTACTTACAGATCACTTGTTGGTTAAACTTTTTGAACCATGAAAGATCGTGTTATTAATTTCTGAACTTTGCAGTTTCTTCCAAGGAAGTTTGTTAGGCCCGATGGTCTGAATAAAAGTAGCAAGAAGATTAGTCTAATTAATGAAGATGCAAGGATATGGACGCTTATTCTGAAGTTTAGAGAATCAACTAGAACGTTTTACATGAGGTCTGGCTGGAGAAGTTTCTGCCGCGAGAATGGGCTTAAACCAGGAGACTCCGCCACGTTTAAACTAGAGAGTAACAGCACGGGAAGGCCTCTTCTCAGTTTCTCCTCTTCAGAATCAAAGTGTGTTTCCAAAAAACATATCAATAAATGGAAGAGAATTGAAACTGGTGAGAGTAGCCAAAGAGTGTCACCACCATCATCATCATCATCATCATCATCATCATCTTCATCATCATCATCATCTTCATCATCATCATCATCTTCATCATCATCATCATCATGTTCACAAAGTGAAAGCCGATTTGTAACACTAAATGTTACACCAGGCACTTTCAAACATTGTAGGATTGTAAGTTAAAGCAACTCTCTTGGAGTAGTTTTGGTCCCCTGTATTTGGTTATTGATGCTTTGTGAAGTGCAGGTAGTAGAAGCTTATTGTCTCCTTTTTGTGCAGTATCTTCCAAAGAGCTTCACTAGGAATAATGGAATGGAAAATGCACAAGGGAAGAACGTTACACTGTTGGACAACCATAGAGTAGAGTGGCCAGTGAATTTAGTGATGCTAAAAGGAAGTAGGAGGATGCACTTGGGTTCAGGGTTAATAGAATTCTTAAGGGCTATTGGCGTTGAGGCATACAAATCGTTTGTGTTGGAGTTGGTTTGGGAAGACAAAACATCTCCTCCTGTGCTAAAATTCTGCTCCAAGGTCAACATCTGACTCTAGTTTGCATCCAAGTTATTAACAAGTATAACCTGTTTTCGTTTTTCATAATCTATGTTGTATGGATCTAGTGTCTAGTTATGAACTAGTAGGTAAGATTGAATGCGTCTCTTTTGGTAAACAAAATGCCTACTAGATGATTCTGTCATATGAATGACAAACTATTTAGGAAATTCACCAGTAAGAAAAGAACATTTAAATTTCTATATATAATCAGCCTTTGTACCAGAAGTCCTTTTGTTTCTTCAACGCATTTGTTTTTGTAATGTTGATCACTGAGAATATTCAACGTTTGAAAAATGAAAAAATATGTGATTCTTAATTCTCTCTTCACTGATTTCTGGTATACTTGGACTTAGATTTGTGCTATTTCAGGGTATTGCTAAATGGTTCAAGACGGTAATATTACAGAACTGCTTGACGTTTGGATTCTCTACAAATTACTCAGACTCTTTGGTTACCGAAACATTATTAGCAAAAAGATACGTGATGTGGTTTTATTACTTTCTTGAATGAAAGAGAATTAAATGAGTCATTAAGAAAAGGTAGATGGAGCTGTCATAAATAAGAGGAGAAATGAAAAAGTAGGTTGACCATAAATAAGAAAGGAAGATGAAGAAGATCTTTCTCCAACTCTAAAAATGGCAAACTCAGTTCTTCAGTCTCCAAGAAACCCACATTTCTTCCAGCCTCTTCTTCCAGGCTTCCACAACTACCTCGTACTTAACCTCACTTGTTCCTCTCTGTATATCTCTCTCAATATATGTTCTCTTTCTTTACGGTGGTGTGTCTCTTTGTTGCAGAACATTCCGTTGAAGTTCTTCTCGAAACACATACAAGGAAGAAACGAGAGAAATACGGCTGAGGTAAGATCTGATGCGTGTAAGAATACTTGGAAAGTCAAGATGGAAGGTCGGAGACTCACTGACGGCTGGAAAGAGTTCACCATCGCACATGATCTTCGAATCGGAGATATTGTCATTTTCAGACATGAAGGAGATTTGGTGTTCCACGTCACTTGTTTTGGACCCAGTTGCACTGAGATTCAATATGATGTACAGCCACAGGACAACATAGGTAAGTTGTGTTCTTGTTTTCTTCCCATGACATTTAATCACCTTTAGCCGTTTTTGAAGATCAAAACGTTTTACTCGTTGTGACTTGTGAATCAGGAAACTTGTCGGAGAAACAGAATCTGAAAACAGAACGAGAGTCTTTTTCATCAGACCAGTCTTGTTTCGTTGCACGTGTAACATGTTCGAATCTACGAGAGGATACAATGGTTGGCACTTCAGATCCATCGTTGATTCCTTTTGAGAGCCATGAATGTTCTCATTATACTCATCTCTTAAAATTTTTAATTTTGCAGTTTCTTCCACGGAAGTTTGTTAGGCCCGACGGTCTGAAGAAAAGTAGTAACAAGATTAGTCTAATAAATGAAGGAGCAAGGACATGGACGCTTATCCTGAAGTTTAGGGAATCAAGTAGAACGTTTTACATGAGGTCTGGCTGGAGAAGTTTCTGCGGCGAGAATGGGCTCAAACCAGGAGACTCCGTCACGTTTAAACTAGAGGGTAATAGCACGGGAAGGCCTCGTCTCAGTTTCTCCTCTTCAGAATCAAAGTGTGCTTCCAAAAAACATAACAATAAATGGAAGAGAGTTGAAACTGGTGAGAGTACCAAAGAGTGTCACCATCATCATCATCATCATCTTCATCGTCTTCATCATCATCTTCATCGTCTTCATCATCATCTTCATCGTCTTCATCATCATCTTCATCGTCTTCATCATCATCGTCAACTTCACTAAGTGAAAGCCGATTTGTAACACTAAGTGTTACTCCAGCCAGTATCAAACATCGCAGGCTTGTAAGTTAAAGCAACTCTCTTGGACTAGTTTTGTCCCCTGTTTTTGGTTAGTAGAAGCTTATTGTCTCCTTTTTGTGCAGTATCTTCCAAAGAGCTTCACTAGGAATAATGGAATGGAAAATGCAGAAGGGAAGGTTTTACTGTTGGACAAGCATGGAGTAGAGTGGCCAGTGAATTTAGTGTTGTCAAAAAGAGATAGAAGGATGCGCTTGGGTTCAGGGTTAAAAGAATTCTTAAAGGCTATTGACGTTACGGCATACAAATCTTTTGTGTTGGAGTTGGTTTGGGAAGACACAACAACTCCTCCTATGCTCAAGTTCTGCTCCAAAGTCAAGACCTGACTCTAATTTGCATCCACATTGTTAACAAGTACGACCTGTTTTAGTGACCTCATAACCTATGTTGTATGATCCAGAGTCAAGTAATGAACTGTATTTCGGTAAGAGTAAATGTCTCTTTTGGAAAACAAAATATCTACTTTGATGATTCTGTCTTATAAATGGCAAACTATTTGGGAATTCACCAGTAAGAAAAAACATCTCAATTTCTATATATTATCAACCTTTTGTACCATAAGTTTTTGTGGAATACTATCTGCATTCTGAATACTATCTGAATATTATTGTAAGCTACAATCTCCTGTGATTGCCAAATGTTGTAACATTCCAACATCATTGAGCGTCGATCATCTCGGTGTCTTTATGTCTCATCAGAGGTTGGGATTTTGTACAAACCGATGGAGTTGAATCTGTAGGGTCTGAACAAGAATCGACAGCCTGGTCTTTTACCTCTGGATCGCAGTTCCCATTTGCTGCATCCTCTTGATGATCTATTACAGATTCATCGATTGAAGTGTTTGACTCGGAATCCAATGTATCAACCCTTTCTACCTCTGCCAAACATTCAGAGGTCATTACAGATGGTGATGATGACAATGACGAAGATGATGCTGATGACCGTGATTCTTGTTCACATTCAGGGTCTTCAATGGTCGTATGGCTGCTACTTCTGCTGTCAATAGCTCCTACCATTGAACTCTCAACAATCTCTTTTTGGCAAGATTTCGCGTCCAATGTGTCTGTTATCTTCTCGTCTTGAACTTCTGATCTCAGACTCGCACACAATGATGATGACCGAGCTTGAATCCTGCATGGCATCAGAAACAAAAAAAAAAAAACACATAACTCACGAGCTCCATGAAAGGATGGTTAATATTTTCATCTAGTACAATCAATTTACTCAACTCTTAATGGTGAAATAAACAGCCCCAAACTTGTGATTACATATTAAATTACACAGAGATCTTAACAACAGAACCAGAAGAGGAGAAAAGCTAACCTGCTGTAGAGGAGCATATAAGCTCTTTGAGAGAGGACATCTTCTAATTCGACACTTTCTATCTGTGAGTATTTTCAAATAAGGTAAGAAGATCCCTCAAAAGTTATGGATTCATGATAATTTCATGCCGGTATATAAACAAAAAGGGCCAACAGTAAATGATTGTTACCTCGGAGTCATCTATTCTATACCAGTTTCCGCAAAAGTCCTTAATGTAGCATATGTAATGGCCGAAGAATGATGCATTCAGCATGTCTAAATGGACAATCACAGCATAGAGTTTATATACATCTGATCCTTCTCCGCCTTCGCTCATGTAAGGGCTAAGATCCAATGTCTCAGGAAAGCTAATTCTTTTGTTCAGTTTTCCATATCTTCCTCCCTGTACATAATTTCACATATGTATTATACACAACCAATTCCAAAAGAATTTAGCAAAAGCAAGGTGAATGTAATAAATACCTGAAATCTTTTTAAGGCAATCGTAAGAATGTTTGGAGCGCGCCGAATCGTAAGACGCTTACATGCCTTTACATAGTCACAACACCTGGACCAAAGGGAAAAAAATGTCAGGCTTTAGAAACATAGTCATTGTCAACTAATCAACCAAAACTATGAAAATAAAGGCTTTTGGATTTAATTTATATACCTATCACATTTGTACATGTTATCTCCGTGAAGCCATTCTTTGGCTGTGAATTGATCAAGACATTCCTCCAAAGACACGGCATCCCCATGAATCTCAACGGTTAAATCCATCAGATTTTCATATTGGTCAGAAACATTATTGCAAACAGTACACTGAACCTGGAAAGTTAAAAAATGCAGCAATCAGAGGAAAAAGCTCCAGAAAGAGAGAAACATCAGAAACTAACTTAAGTTTATCACAGGAAGAATCATGATCTTTTTGAAAAATTAATTTCAAGCTAAAACAAAAGAAGTGGCATGTTGAATTATACCATTTAAAAAGAAATCTGAAAAGAATATCCACTACAGAAAGACGAGTATTATAGGGAATTTTCTAATATCCCAAACATTTCTAGAGCATGAAAATTCATCTGTTTTTTCGCTTGCCTTAATAAGCTGCCTAATAATCTAATGTTACATGAATAATATATGGCAGTTCACAAGAACAGATCAACATCTGCTACTGGGATCAGGAAATATCACCTGTGATTGAAGGAGACCGCCAAATATATGCTGAATAAGCGTTGTTTCTTGAGAACGAGGAGGCACCAACTTTTCTCCACCAAATTCGTCGAGGCAAACAGACTGCATCATATCAATGGCATACCTGAAGTATATGAATCTTAAATCCATGAGTTGTGAGATTCACAGACTACACCAGTAGGATTTAGCTATATTCAAGAGTAATAGATACTGACCTCATGAACTCATGAGCATCCTCTTGTCTCCCATACCCAAAAGTTCCACCAATATTAGTTAGCCTTGAAATAATGTTCATTGGTGAAAAAGGGAACCGACTCTGGCTCGCTCTCTCAACATGGGATTCAAATTCACAGAAAAAGCACCAATCGTTGCGCATACCTGTCAAACAAAAACAAAACATTGAATCAAAGATGAAGTGCATAATGAAAACCAAACGAAAAAGAGTTTGAGGCATTAGTACTAAGAAAAAAACAGAACGTTACATTCTCTCTTGTGGCCTTTTTCTAGCAGGTATGCAACGAGAGGGCGAGTCCAAGAAAGGCATTGTAGAATCACATTCGCAAAACAACTGAAAGAGGATTAAAAAATCTCATATTAAAGGGAGAGAAAAACAAACTCAACCCATTCAACCGATGCATTCAGGCTACATTAAAAACCAGATGAACACAAACCTGTTTCCACAATTCATGAGTCCACACGGAGCCAATTCTGGATTGTCCCAATTAAAGTAATAAAGAAATTCTTCATATGGGAAAAGAACCTGCAGAAAATGTCAAAACAAAAGTACAAATAAGATTTTCACAATCCTCAATCAAACGAGTTTTAACAGAAGACAAAATAAAGAAAGAAAAGAAACATTACTTCTCCTGGCTTCAGGCTACTCTTGTTTCGGCCCCATTCGGGAATCAATGCAATCTTAGACGCAGAACTATCCCCAAACGTAGAAGCTCTAAACCGTAGGCCATTTTTTCCAGATGGTGTTAAGCTAGTAATCCCAACATCCTTACACTTTCTTTGATGACCGGAACTCCAATCTGACTTTTGGCAGTCTGCTGAGCTGATAACAAAGAGACCATAGGGACAAAGGAACTCACTTTAGAATAAGAGGCACTAAAAGTACAAGCTAAAACCAAACTATATAAAAATCATATAAGTTAAGTACGCATAAATGATCTAACCGACAACTTCCAAACCAAGGACTCTTCTGTCGAAAAGCTCAAAACTTTGAAAGAATTACATAATCCCAAGCTCACAGCAAACACTAATCGTCTCCACAGTAAAGCGATCTTTCAACTACGCAAAATTCGAGAAATAAAGGAAGAGACTTGAGGGCATACCAGTATCGAACGGCTTTGCAGCGGGAGCATTTCTTGGTGGAAAATCTCCCACAGACAGAGCAATACTCCGTATCGACCGCCACAAATTCCCTGTCGAAACCTCCGGCGGCGGCGGCTCCGATGTCGAAGTACTTAGCGGCGGTGTTTCTGAGAAAGTAAAATACACCGACGGCGAGGAAGAATAGAGTAGCTATCAGGCGCGTGAAGACAGAGAGATCCACAGGAAATCCAACCTCATGCATCTAATTCGCAAAGAATATAACTTCTCGTAATCATCGATCTCTTCTTACTTCCTTTCTAGTTTCTTCTGTATCTTTTTTTTTTTTTTTGGGAAGAATCACCTTTTTTTTTGTCTCTTGTGTTACTACTACTACCGCTTCATTGATTTTGTTACTTAGTAGAGAAGACAGAGTGTGTTCTATGTTGGATTGGGCCTCTCTCCAATGCAACACTCATTTCAATTCAAAGATTGGACCTTTTATGCTTTTTTTCTTTTGGTTTTGTCTTTATCGACTAGGCTTTCATTCCTTATCAGTTTATCTCCCAATATTTCTATTTTTGGCTGTCGTTTTTCTTTCCTTTTCTTACAAAAACTAAACTCGTAAGAACTGAATGATACACAACAAAATAGTATGAGAACTTTTTTTTTTTTCATTTCTAAGAAAACAAAAGTAAACAAGTTTTTGATCCAAGGAAAAATAATAATAGAGATTACAAAAGTCGCTGGATGATCTTCGTTCCACATTTAAACTTGATGAATTACTTGAGGATGCTGTTTTATTGCCGTTGTATTCTCCTCTCTGTGTATGCCAACATGGAACTGTTAGAAAATAGAGTAGAGCTAATATTGGAACTAAAGATAAATATAAAAACATATCAAACTACACATCATACCTAAGTTGTCGATTTCCTGCAATGAGTCTTCTAGTTTCTGTTCCATTTTCTCGAGCTCTTCACGAAACAGTCTGATACTAGTTAAAGTATCTGCAACGCTCTGTTTCACCTTAGGCACGAGGTCTGAGACAGAGCAAGGATGCGTGTTCTCTAAGTTTCCTTGATTAGCATTGTTAGATGCCCTAGTGCGACGAAAGGGTTCTCCTTCTTCAGCTGCCTTCTCCCTTATCTCATGCTTCGGTCTAGTCTCCTGACTGATCCATCTCTGAACTCGAGCTCGCTTGTGTGTCCGAGCCTGTGCGTCAAATGGTGATTGCTCCATCTGAAAGCACAAATAGTTGTTGTGTAATTTCTTCAAATTACAAAAACCTAAATCTTGGACTGCAAGTTAGTTAACGTTCTTACTAACCTTGGAGCAGAACTTAAGCAAAGGACTTACGCCTCCTCGGATCAACTCCAAAGTTAGAGACTCCCCTGCGCCTACTTCATTCACGGCACAGAAACGTTTCCAGTGTTTACCACTCATAATGTACATTGTTCCACTTCCTTTCTCAACCTTAAGGTTCATCGACCACTCAGCTCGGTTTTTATCCACCAGAATTACCTTCTCCGGCTTGATGAGCCCGTTCGCTCTCGTGAAACTTACCGGTAGATGCTGCAGAAGATTCAGTTTTTGAGAAATTGAATGCGTTGTAGAAACCTGAGGTAGTAGAAGCGTCGAAAAATTACCTGTTTACCGAGATCAAGGCTGTTTGGTGTTGGAGTTAACTTCACAAACCGGTTTTCTAAGGCTTTTTCAGCAATATTATCTTCCACAGACATAGTCTCCTTCTTCCGCTCTGCCTTTGTGCGGCTGCAGAGCCTAAACACAGGCGTATTCGCGTTTTGGAGAAGTTTAAATGTACAAGAATCTCCAGCTTCTAACTTGTTTGCGGTGCAAAAACTTGTCCAGCCTCGAACTATAACAATCCGATAATCCACAAGTGTCTTTTGTTGTGACGGCCATGACCTTCCTTCTTCGTTCATCAAAATTATCTCTTGACTTCCTTTGTTCAAACCATTTCGCTTTGCGAAAGCTGAGGGCACACCCTGCATCATTGGGGATTATATTATCTAGACACTCACACATACTTAGACTGCATGCAAAATAGACTTTATATATGGAATGCAATAACAACAAAGAAACCACTAAACTATATAATTACTAACCACTGTATCTCTTGATAGGTTTGAAGCTGTAACAAATTGTCTAAAACATGTCAGATCTGATGAAGAGTGATTAGATGTTCCTGACAAGTTCGGCTCAACTTCCTTGTCAGATGTTTCTGAACCTGAAAATGAAACGTTTCAAGAATAGGAAGAGTCTTCAGTAAAAACGTAAGTGTAAATTGAACGGTGAAATAATTATATACCTGTTTCACTAGTCTCTTCTTTGTCTTCGTCGCGGCTACCAGACGGTGCGTATTGGATCTCACAGCAACTTGGTCCTAAAGCTGTGACATGGAACAACATGTCTCCTTCGTGTCTGAAAACGACAAAATCACCGATTCGAAGATCATGTGCCCTGACGAACTCTTTCCAACCTTCAGTGAGTCTTTGGCCTTCCATCTTCACTTTCCATGTTTTCTCCGACGCATCTGATCTCAATGTTACAGTCTTGCCCTCGTATTTTCCTTCTATGTGCTTGGAGAAGAACTTCACAGGGATACTCTGCAGGAGACAAAACAGAATCATAAGACTATCAGGAAAACTCTGCAGGAGACAAAATAGAGCCATAAAGACTATCTATACGTTCAAAGAAATAGATACTGAGATTTCTTACAAGGTGGCTATGGGAACCGGTAAGAAGAGGCTGGAAGAAGTGTGGGTTTGCCGGAGAGAAGAGTGATGCATTCTCCATTTCCTATTTGCTTCAACAAACCCAAAAGTTTTCTAGGCGATTCAATGAAAGTTACAATTTCACAAAGGTACCCAAAAGTTCTCTTCTCTTGTTTCACAATAAATGAATTGTGAGAGACTTAAATTTCTTTCACAATTTTCAAAACTTAAGATGAATATTTATTGAAAATTGATAAAAGATAATGCTTAACAAAATTTAAACAAATGACTAGATTAGACATTCTTGAAATCCTTAGATTTAATTAAAAACTTTGGGGTGAGAGAGGCTCGAACTCTCGACCTCAGGATCACTCAGTAGCTATGAGACCTACGCGCTAGCCAACTGCGCCACCACCCCTTTGATGTTTAGGTTCCTAATTTGTTATTTCAATATAAACGCATCTCAATATACATAACCATAAGACAATCCGCTGTGAAAGGTAATACATTGAATCGAAACAAGTGAAATTTACAGATCCGAATATAAAATGGTCTTTTAAAAGATGGCCATTCATAATTATTCATAATTTCTCTTGAAAGATGGCCAAACTATGTATATGAGTAATGCCTTGATCACAAATTAAAAAAGAGGAACAAAAATCGAATATAAAATGGTCCTTTTAACTAAAAGAGCATAAATTAAGAAACACACGTCGAAAGTGGTTGTGTAACCATGTCATGGATGCAACAACTGAAATATGAACTAGAACCAACTCTTTTGAATTCCGGAGACGCAAAAAGAACACAAAACTAGAAAGATGATTCTCAAACTTTATTAAGCAGTAACGGTGGGCTTGGCAGCAGCAGAAGAGAGTCTCGACCTCTTCTTAGCCAAACTCTCACTCCTCCTGTCACGCTGTTCCTTCAACCTCGAGGCAAGAAGCTTCTGGTACTCAGCAGCATCAGAGTTAGCCTTTGCAATCCTCTTCTTCTTGTCAGCGATTCTAGCTCTCTTCCTCTGAAGAGTCAATGGAGTGACAAGCCTCTGGATCTTAGGCGCTTTGCTCACTTCCTTGCCTGTTTACAAACCCCAAAACAGAAGAAAACAAGTTTCAGAGACCAAAATATTAATTCTCAAGTTCGTTTTTTGGGATTATTTCGATTTTCTCTCACCTTTCTTGTTTGTGAATTTGCGGCGGTAAGTGTTGACGTACTTCCTCACATCATCTTCCTTCGAGAGGTTAAACAGTTTACGGATCTTGGACGCTCTCTTAGGTCCTCTCATTCTTGGCTTCTCGGTATCGGTAAGCCCAGGAAGATCATTCTCACCCTTCTTAACAATGACAAGGTTAAGAACAGAGAGATCATGGCTCACAATGCAGCCACGAACAGACTTTCTTCTCCTCTCTCCAGTCCTCCTTCCGTGTCCCCTGAAGCAAGGTGTTCCTGCTCATGCAAAACTCAAAATTATGTAAATCCACATCAAAACACACACACACACACAAATATAAATGTAAAAGTGTAAAGAGAGAAGCTGATAAATTTACCTCGGTGAAGCAAAAGGCGAACACGGCCTGGAGTTAGAACTCCCTGCTTCATTGGGAAACCTTGCTTATCGCACCCACCCATGATCTTGAAAACGTATCCCTTGAACTCCTGCAATTACAGCAAAATTTTCATCTTTTGCTTGGAAAGTATAAATCTCACACAATCATGGGATTAAATAAGATGGGATGAAAGTGAACCTCGCCCAAAGCATCTCCGCTGACTTCTTGGGAGAGTCTCTTATCATAAAACGCACGGCTGCATCAACACATGTCAAAGCTCAATAACTATTTATATCCATAGCCCATATAATACTTCAACTAGAATCCGACATGTTCTGTTTTGAACATAGAAGAACACTGAACAAGGCACGGTCTTACAGTTTCTGTTCATCGTCGATCTCAAGCTTCTTCTGGCAACCAGTCGTCGGATTGGCGACGTTAAGCTGAAATACGGGAACATGATTAAAATGAGCAAATGTTAATCATAGAAAATGTCAATCAGTGACGTCTAGCATGAGCAAAATGATCTACTCGCCTGTGAAATAGCTGTAAGAGGGAATTTAAACACACAGATGGAAAATGAATTTGGAAGAAATGCAAAAGCTTATTGTAACCCGGCAAAATCTGCTGTCCAAATTTTCACTAGCGTTCTAGAATTCAAAAGCCTATGTTTAACAAGAGCTTTATACTCAAAATTTCGATAATAAATCTACGGAAACAGAAAAAACAATAGAAAATCATGCTAGATGTCACTGAACTGTATAAAAATCCGAAGAAAAATCATTTGAAGAAATGAGCAAAAATGATCTACTCGCCGTTGCGTACCTTCATCTTCTCAGGTCGACTATGAACACAAGAGAAAAACGGCTTTGGCAATCGACGCTTAGGGTTTTCAACAATTGCAAAGCTAGCAATTTATACGACAAATAAGGTTTATTTGGTTTGATTCTAATGGGCCGTTTGGCCCACTTAGTGTCTTTTTTTTTTCTAAAAAAGTGGTTTATCTTTGACAAAATAAGCGTCCGTTGCTAGACGAAATGGACTCTGGATTGTTTTTCTTGTTATTGAAATGCTTTTCGATTTCGGTTCTTCGGTGTAGATTCTGGGTTTATACTGCGCCGAATGTTTGACTTGGTGGTTCTCGGGAAACGAATCGAGCTAAGGGTAGATTTTCCTCTGTAACAAGCTCTTTCCTTGCGCCTTTTTCTTTTGAATGCATAATTTTTGCTGATTCGCTATTATGGTGTTTATACTTTATAGGTAAGGTCATAACGAGAGCAGAATTTAAAACCTTATATATCACAGTAGACAATGATCATCAGGAACCAAGGAAATGTGTCTTCTTGTTTGGAAGTTCAGACAATTCCTTTAAACAAACATATGGTTATTATTATTGCAAGGAAAATGAAGTAGGTGCTAGTTTTGACTGCCATTGTTTGATGAGTTTGCTTCTTCAGGTTTATTCTCTGGCACGCTTGGGATTGAGGAGAATTCACGTTTCGTCACTTTGTTTATGTATGAATTTTGATCTGGCTCAAGGAATCTATCCCACAATGGTCGTGGTGGGTTTCTTTGATCTGGCTTCTCCTTCAAGAAATGAAACACAAATTTCCCCAATGCTATAGCACAAGCTGTGGCGGCAGCAAGAAACAACACCCAAAAACTATCAAAGCCGAGTTGGCGGAAGGATTCATCTGGATTTGGGTTGGGGTTGGTGAGTGGATCTGGGCAACTTTCATCAGTTTTCTTGAACCATGAGTTCTCGAGTTGGATTGCCTTGTTCGACTCTTCCACTTTTAGAATGGCCCTTGAAACATCAGCCACTAGAGGAGATCCAATGGGAAAGACCTGCAAAAAAAAAGAAAAACTTATGGTCTTTAGCATCAGGTGCATCATGACCGGAAGAGAGAGTTTGATGCAAAAGTTTAAGGACTTACGAAGCCTAATCCATCAACCTTGAATGGTGTTTGAACCATTTTATACTTATTACAGTGTTGTCCGAGAAAAAGTCTCACATACGGCACTTCCATGAAAACAGCAGAAATTCCACCCTTTGCTGGTCCTTTGCTCAGTAGCTTGTCACAGTTTTCTAGAGACCCATAGGTTTTGAGATTAGCATCTGAGAAACGTGATTCTCTGAGTCTTTCCAAAATGAAGGTACTCTTTTGATATCCCACATGTTCTCCTTTTGCCAGCAAGCTATTTATGTTGGTTATCGTTGGATGAAGCTGTTGTGATGTAAGAAGCGATGCCAAACTAGCTGTGTAACTCTGAGTCAACACAAGTACTAAGAAGTACCAAATGATAACCACGAGTCTTGCCCAGAAGCTAAGCACTCTTTCTCCTGTTGATGCATTGGGATGTAAAGCAAGATGATGTTAGGAAATAGGTGCGGCACTAAAGTATATGAAAAAACTTAGCTCTGGTATTGTAATGTAAAGGAGAGAGTGAGCATACTCGGCGCAAAGACCATAATGGAGAAAGCAAACCAGAAAATGGTGCTTATTTGATACTCTCCAGGCCCAGCAAAATCTGGGTTTACCCTGTGTTCAAGAACCCATACGACAAGGCCAACAATGAAAAAGGACACAAGGCTGATTAGCCAAAGCACCCATGTCAAAGGCATCAGAAATATGGTGCTGCTTCTTTTAACATGGTCTTTAACAGGGACGACCAGACCTACACCTGATGGTGTGTATGGCAATGAGAAGTCAACATACTTTGACCTATTTGCCGATATTGTTGTATCTGCCACCACAGCATCATATTTCTGCTCCAAACATAAAGAACATGGACATTGTTTAGAACAATAAAGCTTAGTGAAGGTTCGGCATAAAAAGAAGAAATGGTTGGTATGTTTCACCCCGAGATACACTTGGTAGACTAAAGTCTCATAATCGACATCTTCTACCGGAATAAAGTCATAGGAAACATCATAGGGCATCGCTTTAATAACAGCCTCGAAGTAGTCGATGCAGAATCCACTGAAAATTGTTGAATTGGTGATAGGATCTCTTGTAGCCTTAACAAATTCATCGAATCCGCTATTAGTTGGGACTCCAATCTTCAGCCTTTTCCCATTTGTTGGGATCTCCCATCCTTTGGGTACAGAGTTGGTATCTCCAGGCCATAGAATTGGTCTGAGGCGATCTTGCCAAGAAGAGAAAGTGGTCGCGGTACCTTGTTTTTGGTCTACGTTCTTCAAAAGACCATGTTCTTTGGTCCAGAATCCTAAGGTGCTTTCTCCGTGCTCATTCACGTTAACAATCTCAAACACCGAAGGCTGCAGTTCTCCATTGATTAATTGGAAATCACCAGCAAGTCCTTTGAACCGAACTCTAGAAAGTGTCTGGAGAAGTTTTGGACCATATTGAGATACACCTAGATTTTGAAGTTCAGACATGTTCCTCATGGCATCTGTCTTGACAAAAGTCAAATTTGATGTCCCAGCTTCTTCGATGGCCATTGCCAGTGCAGTGGTGGCATCATAAGCCCACAATCCATACACGCTCAGGTCGGAAATCGGGAATCTCTTCTTCCACCGAGTTCTAAACGTTTCAAGCTCTTCGGATCTTGGGACATAAGTCTTTACACCCAATACCCCTCGCATTGTTTCAGTTTCTGTCTCGTTCATGATACTCAGAACATCGGTTATCGCGTTTGTTAGGATCCAAACATAACCTTGTTTCATCAAACCGATTTCCTTAGCTTTGGCAAAAAATCTTGAGGCAAGGAATCTAACAATGTGGACAACAAATACTCTAGTGGGTAGAGTCATCATTCGGAGAAGTTCCACTGATATTTCATCATCCGTGGCATTGGGAGAGATCACTGTCCTATATGGTATACGAACGTTAATCTCTTGCAGCGCATCGGTAAGATGAGGCATTATACCTTCTCCGAAGGTGTTGTCAACGTACACAGGTGCAACCTCTCTCCACCCAAAAAGTTTGATGATTGCTTTAATGGCGTGCACTTGAGATGAATCATCATATGTAGCCCGAAAGAAGTATTTACTACGTATGGAGGCTAGGAAGGGACTTGTTGCAGAATATGAAAGAATCGGCACCTGAGATTTTTGTCCCATCTCAATCACGAATTGAGCCTGCATCGAAGTCCATGGCCCTAGGATCGCTTTCACTTCCTTGTTTGTTATCAGATCAAGAGCTGTGACAAAGTCAATATCAAGGAAAGTTCTGTTATGCAAAAAAAAAAAAAAAAAAAAACTTGGAAGAGACAGCATAAATGTATACAAGAACTGTGCATATGAACTGATGGTTAATGACACATATATTAGCTCAGTGCATGCGTGTACCTGCTGCTGCTGCAGTAACAACATCGTTTTTGGAGTCAACAATGGTGGTTACAAGCCTTGTCCGGGTTTTTGGATGAGAAGAGTAGAAATCAGAGAGAGACATGTTGATACAGAGCAAGGTCGTGTTGGAGTGTGCCAATCCGACATCGTTCACGATTCCCACTTTAACATCAGTTGCCGTATTCTGTCCTTGTCCGACTTTCATCAAGATCAAGACGATGAAAAAGAAGAGAACAAGGCTGTTTTCCCTTTTCATTTTTCTCTCCTTCTTCTTCTTGGTGGTCGATATGGTATGCTATTTTCTTGCAGAGTGAGATGCTTTGGAGATTTGGGTAGTGGAGAAGTCCTGATATGGTAAATTACGTTATTGAGTGTATCACACTCCAACAGGATAATATTTTTAATCAAGGGAATGAACTTGTCTTCTAATATTCTGATTTAGTAAACGATTAATGTCAACTGTTGCCAAGGGGGAGACTTCGTCCAATGCATTTAAAACCATATAGATTATAAATTCTGTCTCAGCTAATCTCAGTTTACTCTTGCTCTCACATTCTCTCTCTCTGGAGAACAATTCTTCCCAATAGAAAAAAAGACGAAGTTTTGTTTCATTTATCGCATGCATAACTGACATGAAAATCTCAGACACCGTCTGGAGAACAATTTTTTTTTGACATTTCAAATGTCTTTTTTTAACGATATAGTAGATGGATTTTCTCTGTTCCCCGCACAAATTGATGACATTTTATTTGCTGAATATTTTGTCCCGGTAAGTTCAAACGTTGACGGGAACTCTCGACAAGATTCCGACCTGAAGACATCTAACCAGACGCAACAGGTGAAACGCTGTCAACAAGCTGAATTTGTTTTTTCTCGATCCTCTCTCCTGCAAATCTGAGGTATACTTAATACTTGCAAGTTTTAAAGCTAACTTGACAGATACGGCAAGTACTTGCACATCAAGCAACGACTTTGTTCGTATGTACATATATATACATACATAGAGCGGGAGAAAATGTGTTCAGACACCACAGGCTTCTCTCTCTCGAGTTGCAAACAGTCTCAAATAGAGTTTGATGCAATACAGATTTTTTTATTTTTTTGGGTAATAATTTGGTACAGAACTTAAGCACAAGACTTGAATCTTTCTCCCAACCGAGTTTCATAACAAATGACTTTCCTATCTCGAAGCCTTGAACTTCACAGAATCCCTCTGCAGACTTTTCTTAATATCGATCCTAAGATGCACCACCCAGTACCTCTTTTCTTATGCAATTTCCTTTTTCTTATACATGTACTTCAGGTAATTAATATAAACAATTCATTATCCCCTTTATATATAAATTGTAACATAATTTTGACAAACTTTTAGACGTTACCTAGCTAGTATCCACAAACGATTATTGTAACCAAATTCAAGTACTTTTATATAGAAGGCCACATATTTTCAAATGTGCGGTAGGCCACTTAAAAATGAAGGGAAGGCTCTGAATTATTAAGCAACAAACATATGCACAAATAAATTACTTCTCTTTGCCTGTCTCCATCGTTATCGTTAGCTGTTGCGCGTGCCCATCGGTCGTTACGAGACTTCTTCCCAACAATGAGATTGATTAGCTACAGTGCTCGTCATGAATTACATTTCGATATTTTATACTGTTGACATGTTTAAATTTAGAAATTTCTCTTTTAATCGAAAAAAAAAAAACATTTCTTTTAAAATCAGAAATTAGGCAAAAGGTCTACAAATGTAGATAAAGATAATGCTTTCATTAATCCCCATGTAAATTAAATATTAGGTTAAAATATGGGAAATCTTGGGACATTGGTAATCAAACCACATGTCGGTATTTTCTCCTATAAAATGGCACAAAGTCTAAATGTTGAAACCACCCTTTCTTTTCATTGATATCTCTAATATTCTTCAATTTTCCAACCAACAAATTAACAACAATGACAAACTATCTTCAAGAGCCCTTAACCAAAGAAGAAGAACAAGTTGACGAAGAAATGACGAGCTTGCAAGCGTTGAGAATCACGATGAGCACATTGGCTTTCCCCATGGTTTTCAAAGCTGCCTTGGAGCTAGGCGTTCTCGACACGATTGCTGCCTTCGGTAATAACGCGTGGCTCTCGTCTTCCGAAATAGCTTTTGGTCTCCCTACTAAGCCCACCAGCCCAGAGGCGCCAGTGTTGCTAGACCGGATGTTACGGTTACTCGTCAGCCACTCGATCTTGAAATGTCGTATAGTTGAATCCGGAGAAAACGATCGAACCGGAAAGACCCAAATGGTATATGCCGCTGGACCAGTTTGCACGTTTTTCTTAAACCGTGGTAATGACTCAGGCTCTCTCAAGTCCTTGTTCATGTTGCTCCAAAGTCAAGTATTTTTTAAGACTTGGTACGTACTTTTCATTATTGGCAAATAAGCCTCATTAGTGGTTGATCCTCAATTATATTAAACCGGTTAATAAGTCAATTTATTTTCAAGACTTGGTACGTACTTCATTATTGGCAAATAAGCCTCATTAGTGGTTGATCCTCAATTATATTAAACCGGTTAATACTCTTCTAACTAAAGCAAATTGCGATATACGCATATATTGACTGAACAACTGGTATTTTTTTTTTGGGTGCATAGGACTAATCTGAAGGATGTGATACAAGAAGAAAAAGATGCATTCAGTTCTGCTCATGGTATGGGACTCTTCGAATATATCGGTTTGGATGAACAATTCGCTGGTATGTTTAACCAGGCAATGTCAGAATCTTCTACTATGATCATGAAGAAAATTTTAGAAGTTTACCGAGGATTCGAAGATGTAAAGACTTTGGTGGATATTGGAGGAGGAACTGGCACCGTACTAAATCTCGTCACTTCCAAGTATCCACAAATAAAGGGTATCAATTTCGACTTAGACGTGGTTTTAGCTCGTGCTCCTCTTTATCCAGGTACAACACTAGTTAATAAGTTGCATTTTCAAGTGCTTCTTTTTCGAAGACCCTCTTAAAGATATTGTTTTTATTTTGTTAAAGGTGTGGAGCATGTGTCAGGAGATATGTTTATAGAAGTTCCAATAGGAGATGCTATCTTCATGAAAGTAAGTGTATACCTTAACTAATATATAATTCCATGATTAACCAATTATTTGAGATGGAAAATTGAATTGCAGTGGATTCTGCATGACTGGACGGACGAAGATTGTGTAAAGATCCTAAAAAACTGTTGGAAGAGTCTTCCGGAAAAGGGAAAAGTAATAGTAGTTGACATTGTTACACCAATAGAACCAAAGAATGACGACGTTTTCTCTAGCATTGTTTTCAGCATGGATATGTTGATGTTAACACAATGCTCCGGTGGTAAAGAGAGGTCTTTTTCTCAGTTTGAAGCTTTAGCCTCTGCTTCAGGTTTTCTTGACTGTGAAATCATTTGTCTTGCTTATACATATTCTGTTATCGAATTCCACAAATAGATTCAAAGTGTACCAAAAAAAAAAATTAGCAAGTCTTGGTTCTGTGAGTGGAAATGATGAAGTCTTAAATGGTTTTTATATTTTTCGTAATAAAGATTTTTTGTATTGGTTGTTTGGTTTTTCATTCAAGATTGTTGTATTTGTTTTTGTTTTTTTTTTCATTCAAGATTTTTATAATATAATCCTGATCAATGTAAGATAATGTGTTTTGCGCATTAAGGCTGTATTTGGGACATTGTACTTTATGCTCGAGCAGAGTTTTAGCTTTTGTCAGAAACGTTCATAGGACAAGACTAGTACTTTTTTTGGTCGGAAAAGTGTCAAATACTGAAAAACTTTTATCAGTGACCTCATAAACCTCACTTTAACGATTAACTCTAAACATCATTGAAAACCTTCAAAGATAAAATCGACATTCCAACTAAATTAACAAATCCTTAATCGCAGTTTTATCAGATTTAGATAAACAAACAGCCATAAGACTTGGTTGTCAATAATCCTCAGACAGAGATCGATTCAATCTTCGAACAAAACTTCAGAACAGGAATGGTATCTTCCCAAATCAACTCCAACTTGAAAGGCTGGCCAATCTTAAATACGTCATTAGCTTTACAAAAATCTTTCCATCCTTTTCCCAATCCTCTTCTTCCATAGTTTGGTCCATCCTTCGTTAACTTCGTTAACCGCTTCACACCATGTTTATCCTTCAGAATTATCTCCTCGTGTTTGTTAATCCCGTTGATCTTCACGAAATTTATAGGAAGTATCTGAAAAAAATTTCCAAAACCAAATAAAAAGGACAGATAAATCAAGAACAGAGAGAAACCAGAAATAAAAACATAAATCAGAAGATCTTGCTTACAAGTTTCGAGTGTCGCATATTGTAATGTGTGAGAATGATTGTGACAAATCGGTTTTGCCTTGAAGATGATGAAGCAACCCATATAGGACGCCTCTTTATCTTCTTCTTGCCCATGTATTTGCTCATTAGCTCCGAACACTCTTCTTCAGGACAGATACAGATCATTGGAGTTGATCTCCCGTCTCCAACCAGATTAAACAGGATTGAATCTCCTGCTTTTCGTTTGTTCTCACGGCAGAATCTCGTCCAGCCTCCTCCGATGTAATAACTTGTGTCTGATTCTCTAAATCTCAAACTCAAAGTCCAAGATTTTCCCTCTTCGTTCACTACTATCATCTTGTGACATCCTCTGTTCAGAGCATTCGAGCTCGTAGCTTCCATTGGAAGACGCTGCAAACCCCAATCCCCAATTATATACATCATGAACATGGTTTATAAGTGTAAAATAGAAGAAAGTACTCACAAGTTTGTCCGATTTTATATTTGAAGCTGTGACTTCTGCTACAAAACAGTAGTCGAATGATAAAGAAGACTTTGGCTCTGTTTTGGGTTTTAGAGTCTTCTTCCTCAAAACATTTCCTGATACATTAGAAACAGTTTCCTTTTTATATCAAAAAGATTTCAACAAAACGCCATCTTCTCTCGGTGATTCTCTGATTCAAACTATAACTAAGACAGAAACACAACTTACTAATATTGTGCTGATTCTCATTGTCATTGTCGTCATCGTCACTCCTGTCGTCTTCTTCCTTGATGATGTTAGCTTGTGTATACTGAATCTCACAACAGCTAGGACCGAAAGGAGTGACATTAAACACCATGTCTCCTTCGTGTTTGAAAACAACGATGTCCCCGATTCGAAGGTCATGTGCTGTGGTGAAGTCTTTCCAGCCTCCAGTTAATCTCCGGCCGTCTAGTTTCACTTCCCAAGTTATCTCTGAAGCGTCCGATCTCAGTTTCGCAGTCTTCAAATCGTTTTTTCCCTCTATGTGCTTTGAAAAGAAGGCAACAGGTATTGTCTGCAACCAACAAGAGGCAAAAATTAAACAAACCACAACATATTCTGAAAGAGAAACAGAAACAGAGAGATACAGAGGCTGAGACTGAGACAGAGAGAGAAAGGGTACGAAGTTAGTGTCGAAACCCGGAAGAAGAGGCTGAAAGAAATGTGGGTTTGTGGGAGATTGAAGTGGTGGATTCGCCATCTCAGACTACAACTCAAACGAAATCTTTGAAACTTTTTCCTGGGCAGGAATAAAAGACTAAACTTTGTTCTTGGATTCTTAGATAATAATATGTCGAGTGCTATAAAACATATTTTGGTTCAAAGTTGTTTACTTTATATTAAAGGTTTAGTTGCTTTTCGAGACTTATTTTTTGTCTTTCATCATGGATTTCGAGGCAACGTCAACAGTAAAAACCTGTAGAATTTTGGTCTTTTCTTTGTATTTTTTTGGGTAATGATAAAGAAGACGAAGACAATTCGCTTCACCAATAAAACAGAGAGATCATTTGGTGACATTCCCAAAGTCATCTATTTTGATTTCCAAGTAAAGACCACTTAATCCTGCGGTTACAAATGATCATCTAATGGGATTATAACACAACGTATTGTGGCATTGAAATTATCAAAAGAATGTTTCAAGTTTGATGCAAAATAGAGAACAGTCTGACCATGCTAATGAGAACTCAGAAACCTTATATCAATACTTGAAGACTCACAAGAATGAAAGATAAGACTGTCGTAGGAAACCCAACAACAACTCAAGAAGCAAACAACAGAACGAATATACAAGTAACTGATGAGAAGAGAAGTGTGTTTTGTTTTAACTGAAACACAACAGGAGATGAGGGATCACACACAAACTATCTTCCTTAGTAGGCAAAGATGATGAAGACTTCCTTGTTTCTATTCGTCCCTAGTCGCAGGATCCATTCCGGTGGAAGGGCTATCAGCAAAATATTCTGGATGCTTCACGTTCACACCATACTGTCAAACCAAGTTTATACATTGGTTAGTTTTCCAGTGGTAGTTAAGACAAGATGGATAAACCTTACATATCTGCCTACATTACTGCAATCAACGATATCAGAACTACTTAGGCATGCTTCTAAACCTTTTAAGTTGATTCTGAGATACTGAATTAGTTTCATGCCGTTTATATGTAGACTAAAGGTGAAAGCCTTATTTGCCTTAACTAAAAACAAGAGGAATCTACGTTTTCTTCACATACTTTGGACGTCTGTGGATCAAAGCCACCATGGGAAGCATTGACTTAGAAAAGAAGGAACATTTACCTCACGCAAAGCTTTTGAAAGGTCTTCCATCGTCAAAACCAAACGCTTCTCCTGTTTCAAGAAAATTAATATTCATGACATAATCCCAAAAAGAAAGACATTTCATAATTGTCGCGCAAACCAAAAGACAAAAGTGCGCCAGATGTTACCTTTTGCTGTTTTTTGTCTTTCATAACCGGTGCTGGCCTCGCCTTGCAGTGCCTGCATATAGGTTTACAATTTGACTCACATAGGAGCTTATGTTTATACGATTATCGGGAAATCTAGCTTATACATCTTTTCATCTCATTTAATCCGAATGTGGTTGTCCAAGTCAACTATGAAAGAGGGTACGAAAGTTTATGCAGAAACGAATGAAAACTTACTGAAGGGCGTCGCTGGCAACATCTGCAACAAACTTTTGGGTAGCCACAGAAACCAGCCTAATTCTGTCAAACCAGTAGCAAATCTCATCAGCAATAACTGGCAAGAATATATACACAATGCTAAGACTCGAGTCGAAAGAAAAAGATGAACTCCCTCACTCTTCCGTACATACAATCTGACGTTCATATATACTAGAACTCAACTAAAGGAGTGCTGACCCATAAAAGTAATATATTAACATATGACAAATCTGAACTGATTCTACCCAGGACTTCTGATCTTACTGCTGTTAAATCATTCTAAACCAAAAAATGATTCTGATACTAGCAACTAATCTGGCTCTTTCGTTATAACTATCACATAAAACTGGACGGAAATACCTACAATCGTACGTCGGGGCATTGAAACCCGCTCTTAGCCAAGTAATGCTCCACTAAATCATCAGGAATCTGAAAAAAAAAAATAACAAATCCAAAACTCAATCAATGCACAGGGTTCAATCATTGGCGAGACGGGAAAAGTTATTAACAGCACAAATAGAAGTCTACCGTAGGAGTATATTCCATTAAAGAAGCAAGGAACTCAGTAAGGGCAGCATCATCTTCATGCTTTGCCTCGCCAGATTGTTGACCATGATTCATCTCTCTCACCAACAGAGTACTGAAGTGAAAGCCACACACCGTTAGGCAAAAAGAGTTTCAAAACCAGAAACATTTATAGAGAACCTCTGAATTCGCTGAATGACCAGATTCAGATATGAGAAATCAACATTACTAGTCTCGAACTAGTATGAGTATCAACCCAAAATTAAACACTTACACGAGCCTAATATAGATTGTCATGACACTATAATACCAAAAACCCAAGAACTTGTATCTTAAGTTTACAAGAATTTTCTACTCCAGTTCAATTTACGTGGTTGAGTTTCTTGATTTCCTAATCTAGTAATTCTCCATTTCAGTTGGTAACAGACGAACTATTCCTGATCATTGTGCTGCAAAAGTCATTACCAAGTTTGAAACGACGTGAATCACAAGCAATAAGAGGGACTCTGTTTTCAAAAACTCCTCGAGAACGAATGATCTATTTCCTGACCAAAATTCGATAGCACCCAACACTAATTCGAAACCAGAGATATAGAAAACTGGACAGAGTTGAGAGAGACTGCGCACCTAAACGAAGCTGTAAAACGTGAAAAAGAGCACAGAATTGAGCTGGGAGGAGGCAATCAATGTTAAGGGAAGAGAAGTTTTGATCGGATTTTGGCCGGGAGAAGAAGGGATCGGAGAGTCGACCACTGAGTCCCCCTTGAAACCTAAATCTCCGACTAGTCCAATACGGAGCCATCTTCACCCGTTGGATTTAATAGTTGAGAAAGACTCCTGAAATGGGCTAATGGGCCTACGAAAATAAATAGGCCCAATAAACCTCTGCTGATCAGCTTAAATCCATTTGTTTGTATTTGCATGATCTTATTTCCTGGGGGATAACTATTAAACTATCCATTTGATTTTTATATATTTTCTTGAAATCGATTTCCAATATGAAAAATATCCCAAAGAATTGTCCATCAATAAAATCTAAGATCGTGACTTAGTGTTCTTCAATCTGCATAATGAACTTTTTTTTTTGTTGGGAGACAAAGAATATGACAATGAAAGCACTCCAATCCACCATCTAGACCGAATATATAATAACTGCAATCCTACAAAAGCACTTTTGTTGTCTCTTTTGTCAACTCATAGTCTTATTAGATAGAAAGAAAAACTAAAAAGAAAGTCTTATGGGAAAGAAAAAAAAAACTTATATAAGGTAGTTTTATTCTACGCGAAGCACGTGGTAAATTCAATAAAAAAAATAATAATAAAAAAAAGAGATACTGTATGAAATATCATTCATCATTTCACAAAATAAAAAGAGATACGACTATATGAGGGTAAGAAAATAAAAGTATCCAGTCTCCTTTGCAGAACTAATATGAGCCAGGATATTTACTATTAGCGTTATAACAACAAAATAATTGTTGAAAATACAACATTTTTACTTTTTCTAAACAATAAACACAAAATGATGTAGCATGCACACTGGTCGCAAGATGATATAAAAAATGGCATTTACAGGACTGTTGTTCTTGGTGGCTGTTGTGACATAAATTATACAAGTTTCCGCTAGCGCGCTAATAGAGTAGACTAATTCCCTTCAACAATTTTAGCTAAAAGACTGTATACGTCAAAAAAAATTAGCTAAAAGATTATATTAGATGATGATCAATAGTACCTCCTACTCTGCTTAAACAAACGAAAGCAAACAAAAAAAAAAAAAAACCAACCGAATGATCGTTTTAACAATAACATCTTTTATGCGTGAATAACACATATCGCTTTCATGATACTTCATAACTTACACAAATTGTGCCTATGTAGTTTGCCAATGCCATTGTCTTACAGTTTTTTTTCCAAAGTTCAAATATTTTTATACACAATACTTAGTATTTCGTAGCTGTAATGACGGATGATAACCAAACTACCAAAGAGAATAGCAGTTTCTCTTAAAAGACGAACTATAATGGCCTATCCAATAAATAACTTTTTTTTGTTAAAGATCCAATAAATAACTTTCGAATTTCGAATCTAAAAAGGATTGTTTAAATAATAACAGAAAATCAAACTCAAATCAGGGAGAGAGGCAAAACATGGTGACCTATCAAACCTGTGTTATTCAGACGAGGCGAATGAACGAAGCAATGTTCATATGATCTAAATGGAATATCCACTATAGTGAATATGATCGTGACCATAATTTAAAGATCATCATTGTATTCTTAATTCCTCACGTAATTTTTATCTTAATTAGTAACTTTCCTTTAGTATTATTTACCACCATTAACGTAATTTTTCGAAAATTGAATTTCTTGCATGATAACATATATATAATATATCATAGTGTATATTTAGATAAATTTCAGTACTTCTTATAAAGTCAAATTTTTCTATAAAAACAAATTATATATTTTAAATTGGTAGGTTAGTCAGCTGTTCGCGTCTAAACTGCTTGACGGATTTTTCTTTAGATGAAAATAAATGGTATTTAGGTGGATTTACACTACGATGAATTCAAGTAAGCTTTTACCTTTGGATAATAGTAGTTAATTAAAAAGTCGTGACTCATGTGATGTTGTAGAGTTACTACTCTAGTCTTCCTTTTTTTAATCCGTCTTTAGAAAATTTGTAGTGCATGATTCCTTATCTAGAAGAATAGCAGTTTGTACGTCACCAAACACCACTAAAACTCAAGTTGGGAATATGTTCATAGCTATTATTTAAATATTGATTATGTTTTCCCTTCCAGTTTGATATTATATCTTTTTCCCTAATCCTCAATTAACTAACTTATAATAAAGTTGGAATATTAACAGCAATGCTGTGTAGTAATTATATATTTTTATGTGGATGTAATCTGACACGAGCTTTCTTTTGTGATTGGTCAGATTTCGCCAACAATTTCTTTTAAACTATATATTAAATCATTAAAAATGATTGAAAGTTACTAATAAGAAATAAATGGCCGTTCAAGTAGAAAAGTGGAACCCGATTAGCCACCGAAATTACAATAAAATATTAGAGATTTGTTATGCAAGATGTTTATATAATAAAGAAAAATTTTGTGGAGTATTTCGAATCCAAGTGGCCTTGCCTCATACGAAACTTGCTCTTTAGAAAAGCAAACAAAAAAAAAAAAGAACATACGAAATGGATATTGCTTAAATAATAACAGAGCTACATGTTTCATATTTTTATACGCCCTATTACTGATAATCTTGTTCTAAGAATCCTCTTAGCGGTCATTAAATTTACTTTTAATTAGCGAATTCTTAAGTTTGATCGAATTAATGGTTTGTACCACCTCAATCACCACGGTCTAACATAATTCGATGTATTTCCTACTACATCTTCATCTTCATCTCGCAGCGAATTCAACATAATATATATATATATATATATATATATAACTGCAAAGCTTGTCCGATGGCTTAGTCCTAATATTTGTTACAAATTCCCCAAATATATACCCTAAGATTTGATCGAAGCTATAGCAACTAGTAGCAACAACAAAAGTTCCCTCCCCGAATTATTTTATCGTGGTCCTATCATTTAAACAAATGTAAATTTGAGTATGTTTTAATTTTTGTTCCTATTTTATTTTATAAAGCGTAAAAAAATTCATTTAATTAAGGTTAGTCCAATATAATTTGTCATCACACCGAATTTGAATTTGGAAGAGATACAAATAGAGTAACTCAGTCGGATATTTCAATGATCGGCTAGCGCCTAACAATAATTTGAACTTTTGTTCATATCACTTCGATTATTTGAACGTTCATTTTACTCATGTACGAGAGTCGAGAAGATAAATACTAAACCGATGAGCGGTGATTGTCCGTGCAGAAAAATTTGTACTATCTATCTACTGCTAAAAAGGTGCAAGTGGAAGCTGACGAAACGTGGGACACAGATAAAATATTCAATATTATTTCTCATGTTAATAATGATTAATGGAATGCCAATGAGCCCTCTCTTATCTCTTGTTATTACTGTTTTGGGTGTTACTTTTTCATTCAGTAATAAACTTGGGAACGGGGGTAACATTAAAACACATGAATCGACGTCTTTTATCTTTATGTTTCTTTTTTCAGTTTGCCTTTCTAGTTTTTTTGTTTTAATTTATATAGGAAAGTTAAAACTTAAGAGGATAACATAACAGAGGAAAGCATTCAAGAGATAAACGTAAGAAAAGTTTGTGGCGGAAAACAAAAAATATGAAGTGGAGAATAGTGTGTGAGGATAAAAATTAGTTAAATAAAAACAATGGAAGACGAAAAAGTCATGATTTTAATTTTTACCGTGGATATTGGATTATTCTACAGTAAAACAAAGATACTACATGCAATTAATAAACATATAGTAAAGTTCGACCAAAAAGACATATAGTAAAGTTGAACCTAATATACTACTAATACACATCTGCTATATAAATGTTACTGTTCTTAACTCAGAGCTACAATTTGCTGAATCGGACTCCAAATTACATAACAATCTTCTCATATGAATATGAATGGTGCTAATTTACCACATAAACAACATGTATAAGATTTTAAGTAAACTTATCCATATCTCATTATACACCGAATGGAATCATCGCAATAGGTTAGATCTGGGCCAAGCCCATTGAAACATTTGTTTAAATCTTTAAATTTTTTTAGTTCACAAAAACTTTTTTTTTTATAAAACAAATTATAAATTCCAATTTTTGTTTTTGTTTCAAAGCCCTTAAAATCTCAAATCCGATTTTGATCACATAGCCTGGCTAGAGAGGGAGAAAAGAGAAGAGAGAGAGAATAATATATATGTCAAATCAAAGCACCAAAGCCAAATGAAATTTTGGAAATGAGGAAGAAAAACAAAATGAGATTGTTGTCACTTTAACCCACAATTTCTCTCAAATCATATTTGTTCGCTCTTATTATCGTGCAAACATTGTCATGTTCCACTATACCCCAAATCTAATATGCTCTTTCACTACGTCTTGATTTACTACATTATAATATTAAAATGTCAATGTGAGCAGATGGATAATACATCGATTTCAAAATATGCCTATATATCTATCTATACGGACTCTGTATATCTCTCGAATCACCGTATTTTATAAATTTTTAAAAATGAAAAGAAAAAAGTGGTTAAGTGTCAAGTTATTTTTGATGCATGAAAAGAAACGATGAATCATACACTCACAAGCCTTTTTTTATTTGTCACTATTGTATTCTAATTGATAAAATTAGTGTTAATTAACACTCCCAATGAGAGATTTAGAGCGCATATCGTGCAACACACCGCCAGTGTAAACTTTTGTTACATATAAGTTTTGAATCGAATTTATATCACAACACTAACATAAACCATACTAGTAGATATGGTATGATTTAAGTTTTTTTTTTTAAAAAAAAAAACTGTATATAATAGGTTATAAAATGATTATCAATGGGGCAAACAAGACTCTTTAAGACTTTATGGTGATGGCGTCTAGAAGCATCTTGAACGTCTTGGTTATATTTACCCTCCGTAAAAGGTAAAATGACCATGTAAGCCAAATATTGAAAAATTATTTCTTTTGGGGTGTTAAGAAATACATTTAGCACTAAAGTTTTTAAAAGAGAAGGTTAATTTTTCATTAAATTCAATTAATTAAAAGATAATCATCACTTTCTTTGTCCCCAAGTTGGTTCTACCTATAAAAATACCTCTCGTTACCTTCTCCATTGTTTCATACTCAGCTTCCCTTTTCCACATTAAGTGACAAATCTAAAAAGAAAAGCTAGCAACTTTTTTTCATCTCCAAAACAACAAATCAGAGACTGCAAGTAAAAAGAAAATGAGATCGTTGAGCGTTCAATCGAGATTGGAAGATGTGTCGATGCACGCCACGTCAGCATCGTCGCAGGTCTCCGTGAATCACAGAGTGGCGCCGCAATCGCCGTGGCACTCGCCGGTTCCTTACCTCTTTGGTGGTTTAGCGGCGATGCTTGGACTCATCGCTTTTGCTCTTCTGATTCTCGCCTGTTCTTACTGGCGTCTGTCTCCCTCCGGCGAAGAAGATGGTCGGAACGGTGGAGGAGTCGACGAAGAGAAAGAGAGTCGGTCTGGGGACAAGGTGGCGAACGGAGCATACGAGGATAATTTTTTGGTCATAATGGCCGGAGAAGACTTGCCGAGGTTTCTTGCGACGCCGGCGATGAAAAAGTGTACGTGCGGTGGTCAAGAGGGTAAAATGGTAATCTCTCAGGAGGATAGTGTTGGGGAAGAGGAGGAGAAGGTGAGGGACGGTGAAGAGAAAGTGAAAGATACCGGAGAACCAACAACAAGTCACTGAGCCTTTTTTTTTTCTTAATTTATGTCTTTTCTTTTTTCTTTTCTTTTTTGAGAGTTCTCTGGAGAATCCTTCTAATGATTCCCAGGAATGTAAATTTTACTAGAGAGCAAAATTTTGAGATTTACTTGTTCTGTTCTGTAATGTTTCTTTTTTTTCTTTTTTTTTTTAGCTATGTACCAATTTTATAACTTCGAGGAAATATTTGATCACTTCACCAACAGAAAGGATTGTCATAAAATGCGGGTTGAAACTTGATCATACATACGTGTAGACCCATATATTTTGTTGGATTCGACTATTTCAACCAATTCCTACATTCGGGTGAATATATTTTCAAAGAAATCAAACAGAACACTTACATTTTAAAGGAATTTAAAAAATATATTTTTGCAAAGTGGAAGCGTCTGGAAAGAATGGTATTAACACGAAAAACAAACGCAGACACAAATACAAAATCTCTAAATATTATAAGTTGTTTTTTAAAATGTCTTTATTAGATGATAAGTTAATTAGGATCGCTTTTAGCAGAAGACAAACAAATGGAAGTTAGGATCGTGTCGACTCTCTTCTAAAGTTAAATTACTCGTTTTATATTTTTCCTTGTATTGGCAAAAGCTAATATGTTCTCTCCTTTTCATTTCGTTATAACCGTCCTCATGGCTCATGACTCATGAGTCATATATGTAACATTTAATACATTTCTTTTGATATTTTAAAGGAAATAACATTTTATGCATTTCTTTTCAACAAATTGATGTTCTCCATTGCTTTTTTTTTTTAAAAAAAAATAAAATTCTCCATTAATAAGAAGAACAGTAGCCTGATTAGCAAATGCTTTTGTGTTGCGTATCTAGTTTAGCTATCCTGTGTGCCAGAGAGTTAGTACATGAAGACACGTGTCGGATAGTGGATCGATTGAGTTATTTAAATAGCAAAAAGAATAGATTCTGTTTTGACATTTTGACACCGTTGAGCTGTCCTTCAATGCGCCGAGTAGCCGCGTCCTTCTTCTAATAAAGAATGTTCCAAACAAATTCTCTTCCATTTGGATTTCTTCTCTCTCTCTCTCACTCTTTTTTTTTTGCTTTAATTTTCTTTTATTTTTCATTTTAAAAAAAACCATTTATTGTACATATTTCCCTACGTTAGAAATAGAAGGCCTCTCGGTTTGAAAACAAGTGCGACAAATTAAGGCTCTAAATTTGACATTATTTCTCGTATTCTTCTCTGTCTGTATTGTCTTTATTTGAAATCAAGAATATAAGTGATAAATTGTTTAAAACTTAGAATATAAAAGTCTATTTTTTTTGTTATCCTAAAATTCGAAAGCTGTTGATGATTAAAAGTGATGGGTAAAAATGATTTTTTTTTTGTTATCCTAACAAGTACGTACCATTCCGATATAAAGAGGAACTGGGAAGTCATGTGGTCTTCATAGGCGAAATTAGTAAAACCCATATCCTTGCACCGGGCTTAGCTGATCATTAGTGGCCCATATGAGATTCGCTAGCTGATTCAGAGTGTTTAGCAAGGACTCAGAAATTGCTTAATCTTGAAATTATTAAATTCTCGTTTTCCACTGCTCTTCTTCTTCCTCTTCCAAGAGTGAAGAGAGCTCGATGGTCCAAGAGACGAATCGCTCTTAGATCGTATGATCTGATCCTAACAGGAAGATGGGAATCGTTTTCACGAAGTTGTTTTCTTTCGTGTTTGGAAACAAAGAAGCTCGCATCCTCGTCCTCGGACTCGACAATGCCGGAAAAACCACTATCCTCTGTAACAAATGGCCTACATCTCTCTCATTTTCACTTCTGATAGATGATTAAGTGGCTGCTGATTTTCATTTTCTTTCTGGTGTCTGTGTTTGCAGATCGGCTTCAAATGGGGGAAGTGGTTTCCACGATTCCGAGTATGTATTTCTGTCGATTTTTGTTTTCCATTTATTTCATCGAATTTATGCGTCAGATCTTTGAGCTGTTGAATCGGATGACTTTCGTAGGCAGCTGATTTGATTTCATGTTTTCCAATTTCGCTTTGTTTCGATCTGCAGCTATTGGATTTAATGTAGAGACTGTGCAGTACAACAACATCAAGTTTCAGGTCTGGGATTTAGGTAAGTTTCCAGTGATGAAGATGCTAAATGTATTAAGCTTCCAATTTTAGTTGCCATATACAGAGAAATAGAGAAGGGAGATACATTGTATTGGCATTAGATTGATCTTAGATCAAAGCGTGTTCTTATGGATCTACTTACTCTTCTTTAATGTTGACTAGTTGTAGAATTCAAGGGCAAGTGATTGAATAAGCCTATGATAGCAGAACCATCTCCAATGACATGAGAAACTAGGATATTGTATATGGAAAGGTAGTAATATGATGTCTTGCATTTTTAACCTCTAAATTGTATCCTTCATATTGATGAATAGTTTTGACTTACTAAGGACTGTCGATATATATGATTCCATGCTATTACATTTTCTGCATAGTCTTGAAGAGGTGCATATTCGAAGATTGGTGACAACGGGTTCTGTTTTTTTTTTTTTCTCTGGAAGGCCGTGACTAGATATGCTGCATATTTCTAGCTTTTTATAGTGGAATTACCTGCATAGGTTTTCATGCACTCTTTGTACCTCAACCTTGCTTACATGTTGATTAATTCATTGGACAACGATTAACTAGTATTTTCTTGTGCAGGTGGACAAACGAGCATCAGGTAGCTTAGTACTACCTTTTCCATTTCCTCTGTTATCCTCGCTAAAGACAAATGAGAAGTGCAATTCGCCCAATTCTTATTGGTGATTGTTACAGGCCATATTGGAGATGCTATTTTCCCAATACTCAGGCAGTGATTTATGTTGTTGATTCGAGTGATACCGATAGAATTGGAGTGGCGAAAGAGGAGTTCCATTCAATTTTGGAGGTAAATTTTTGCCAAGGGAACTGGTGATCATGACTTGCTATATAGAAACAATTTTTTTTTTTTTTGGGAGGCATTTCTGAAGTGCTGTATGGAAATTCAACCTTTTTTTGTTTGGCTCTAGAGAGTGCTGAGCATCTGACTCGGTCCTTTTATTCTTGTGGAGCCTTTTAACAGGAAGAGGAATTGAAAGGTGCAGTGGTTCTCATATTTGCAAACAAGCAGGTTTCTGATAGATTCACCCAGAAATTGTTTAATTTTGAAGCTAATAGAGAGAACCCGTACTGCATGGTTTTGCATATATGCTTAACCATAGTGTCTATCATGAACAGGATCTTCCAGGTGCACTTGACGATGCGGCTGTGACAGAGGCCTTGGAATTGCACAAGATAAAGAGTCGTCAATGGGCAATCTTCAAAACTTGTGCTGTGAATGGCGAAGGACTTTTCGAAGGCCTAGACTGGTAAGCACATGAAGTACCTTGGAAAGTTATGGTCAGCGAAGGCAAAAGCGAAAATCTCATATATTCTTCTTCTCCTTCAGGTTGAGTAACACCCTCAAATCAGGGAGTGGCTAACTTCATCTCTTTACCACAAGAGTTGATAGCAAGCATAGACAATTATAGACCTTTTTCTTATGCTTTTGTCTGAAGAAGATAGTTGAATACGGACTTGTAAGTTGTTGTGACACACAGGATATAACATGAAATTAACCCATAAAGATTACCAATAGGCAATAACACTTGCTTTCTCTCTTCGAGTTCCATGTAGAAGAGTATTTGCACATTGGAAATTAATATTTACTGGGCTGAATTCAGATAAATTAAAATTGATACCAATGTTGTAAAACCATGTGTATGAATCAGAACTTGTATTATTAGGGAATGAAACTCAAATCCACAGATCTGTTCTATGTTTTCTTTACACACCCAAGTAACCAACGTATAACAACAACAAAAGTGACACGAGACCGCAAAAAAACGTTCGTGTAAAAGAGTTTCCTGAGTGTTGTCTATATTCTTTAAAAACCGTTTGACCACCTTTAAACAATACTGTATAATCCCCCAGATTCATTTTGCTTTTTCGGGTGAAATATGAAATCACGAAATCCATAGGGACGTTACCATTGTTAAAATTAGGTTGATATGTCACCGGAGCTTCTGTCCGGTATGATACCGTGATCGATTGGGATACTGTTACTGCTGGAACCTACTCCTCCTGTTTGGTCTGAAAAGAAACGTACGACGACACAAGTTATGTTGTCTGCACTTCCTCTTTGGTAAGCTTCCATCATCAGTCTTTTTGCACCTTCCTCGGGATCTTCTATTGCCTTGATCATGCCTACGGCTTCCTGAGGTTAACATAAGAGTTGAACAGAGATGGGTTTTCAAGTCCGAGGATTGGGAATGCTAAGAAGGGGAGTTTAGAAATCAAACGATAATTCCTACCTCGTTAGATACAACGTCCCAGAGACCATCGCTTGCAAGAATGAGAAACTCGAGAGAGCTATCAACTTTTTCCTCCTGAAATTTCCATATATGTTCATGAGTGAACAAGGCTGAATTGGTGAAGTCACTATAGAAAAGTTATAAGTCTACAATGTGGGTATGAGGTATTACAAATAGTCACTCCCTTAACCCGTAGTTTGAGTTTATTTTACACAAGATAAATTATTAATAGCATATCGTCGTTTTCTTATCTATGGAAGAGGATTATGATGCAAAGCCAATACCTGTATCTCTGGATCAGCAACAACATACTGCTTCAATAACCTATCGCCAAATGCACGAGAAACAGCAAGAACTCCTCCAACTCTCCATGTTCCTTTTAACATAATACCAATTAAGTGAATGATATAAACACATATAGGGGGGAAGGTTTCAATTCAACGTTTTCTTACCAGCCCACATGACAAATCCTCCCGCATCCTCAATTCGTTGGCGCTCATCACTTTGATCAGGCTTGTGATCTCGGGATACAGCAATAGCTATAACACAAGAATTATATTAGTACGAGAGAAACAACACGACTACAGCTTACTCCTAACGCCCTTAAGATATGTTCCTCACGACACATTGCAAATTTCATGTACAAGAGTCACCTAGAAAAGTCTAATAATCTCTATTTTAGCCTTCCCCCAAAAAAACGAAAGAAATAAATTTGAACAAGCATTACCATTGCCACCTCTGCATATAACAGCTCTAGAGTCCCCTACGTTTGCAACAAGTAAACGGTCACCAACTAAGATGGCTGTTGACGCCGTTGAACCAGCATCTCTGTTTTGACTGTTTTCTGATTTAAGAAACTCCGAGTCTGTTTGGTTGTATGCATCAGCTGAAATGAGAAGCAAGCAAATAAAAAAATCAGAACGATAAATTAGGCACCTTGCTGGATCTATTTAGTGGCTAACAAGATTAAAAGTGAACACAACCTATTGCAGCTGTAGTGTCAGAGATGAACTTTGGATGCCTGATCAGGTTGCTGAATAGATTTTGCTTCACGTATTCAGCTGCACGTGCACCTCCATGTCCTGGGCATAAACATTAGCGGCATCACTAAATCGCTCTTATTTATAGTACCTTACCATGTAGAAAGCAAGTAAAGATGATAAATGCTACTAATTACCCAGTAATTTTAATTGTTCACAGATCATATACACGAATGGAAATTTTCTATCAGTAGAAACAACGAATTATGGTTCTTATGTATCATGCAAAACTGAACGTTACTAGTAGTCCAATTTAACCATATCGAGACTAAGAACTTCCTGAGTTATATGTCTATTACTACATAATGATAATTGATAATTCTGCATAATGCCAGACACTGAAAATAGTGCTGAAAATAGTACTGAAAATTTCTACACGCAAAATAGAGTCACCAACACATTTGTTCCTGTATATTAGAGAGACATGTATACCGTCAAAGACTCCAAAGAGACCAACTATTTCCCCTTCAACACCATCGATTCTAGTCTCATAGAAGTCCTCCATTGAAGATCTTTTACCGGGAGAGCTTGCATATCCATAGCTGAACTTCCCGTTTTGACTGTAAATTATAAGTATATGAAGGTCGTCACATTATAATGTTTATTTAAAGTGCTAAAGAGAACTCTAGCGCTAGAGTGTGCAGAAGAAATCAACTAAGAAGAGGTTCAAATCAGAAGGATATAAGAAAAAGGTAGATTGCTAGGACATGATTCTCTACGTTATTCCCAACATAAGAGAGATGTAAGACACTCATAAAGGCAAGAAACTCCACTATCCACCTAACCAGTCCAACCTATATATAATTTCTCTATATCAATCTAGATCAAGACACAGCTACAAAGCTAAAAAGGGTATAAGTCTCAGTAATCTATGGTAATCCTAGAATTTAGACTAAAAGTCACACAAATGATTAAGCTGGGAAAAAGAGAAAAAGTCGACCTGAGGCCACCGCCGCTAACAGGTCCATCGTCGGCGTGAACCTGGCTCGAAGATGACAACACAGAATTCAGATATCCCATACCTCCACAGGGAAAAGTCCCAAACACAAAGATCGAATTCAAATCCGAAGCTGATCCAGCTCCCTTTTCCGCTAATCAAACCCTGTCAAACGTCGAAAACATGTCAATAATACATTACACGAATCAACAAATGCTCACCAGATCGAATCCTGCTTATCCAAAATAACTATGAACAGAGAATTACACGAATCCTGCTCACAAAGAATGAACAGAAATTCGGAATTGGCAATTGATCAAGCACGAACAACAGTAAGATCAGGGGCGCGCGAAATCGATCAGATCGAAAATTTGACAAGATGAGGAGAAAGAGTAGTTGGGCGTACTATGTGAAGAAGAAGAAGAAGCAGATGGAAATTTCAGATTTGACGATAATCACAGCCGGATTTGTAAGCTCGACAAGATTTAGGGATCCTCCAATCGCTCTGGTCTTCGTTGTTGACAAACTGGAGAAAAGGAAGAAATAAATATCGAAGAAACAGGTAGCTTTTGAAATCTGGTACCTCTATATTAAAATCAGTGTTTAATAATGATTTTTGTCGGTAATAAACTAATAATGATTAAATTAAGTTTTTGACAACAATCTTATAAGAGAAATAAAGATATTTATATCCATAAGCAAAGGAGAAATCTCGTGGGCCTAAATGTGCCTAAAAAGATTTCTTTCCCTAATAATTATTCCTATTTCTTGGCTCCTTGTTTTTTTTTCTGGTTATCTATCAACTTTTCGGTGAAACCAAGTTAGATTGAATCAAACGGCCATCTCATTAAGATTTGACACGTGGCAGCCATGCAGATGAGGGTCTACGGTTGATTATCCCACATCCTCCGTACTATAGCCTTTTCATCCCACGTCCTATATAGAAAGTCAAACGTTCACTATAAGTCTATAAGTGATTTCCCAAATTCGTCTGATGCTTCTCGGGTCGTTCCACATTTTGATGGTTAACGTATAAACTTTTTTTTTTTTTTGGTTAAATGTTAAATTTTATACCAAATTTTTTCAAATTTTTTACAGAATACAGAGGTACGACAAAGAAAACAGAAAACTAAAATCTACGACAAACAAAAACCGACATTAAAGCAACAGAAACACAAAGAAAGGCAAAGAACCGGTAAGTAAAACAAAAAAGATAAAACCGAAGCAAAACAAGACGAGAAAGCAGCAATCACGTGCTAAAATACGGACCATCCCGTATTTGCCGCAGCTCAAAGAGCTGGAGTTCACATCATAGTTGCCACGAGCATCAATCCGAGGTGTCTTCCAACCGCCGGAAGGAGACGCCTACAGCTTCTCCGAGAACTAACGCAATCTCCGGAATGCGTAACGGACTAAAATACAACTGGTGACAAGGAAGTCTGAGCGGTAATCGGAGAGGTCACTTCCAAAAACCATTCCCGTAGAAACCGAAATCTCCATAAGGACCAACCTCCACAGTTGCAACCTAACCGAACAACAAACCGGTTAACGTATACACTTGCCATGACATAATCTAATAGGATTATTTACATGAGTTAGAATATTTTGTGTTATGATTACGAATCATGATTTGTCATTAATCATAATTTGGGTTTCCGATAAATTAATGTCTTCACACAAAAGTCACAATGGGCTCTCAAAAAATCAGTAGCATGTACCACCAATATCAACATCAGTTACTTTAAGAAAATGCTAAACCATGATAAATCATCTTTGGTTCAAAAAGTTCAAAAAGTCAGAGATATACGATACTATTTGCAATGATCTATATAGTAACACTCGGTACGGTTTAAACCCTGAACAACATTTACATGTAGCTTTCTTCTGTATCCACTCAGGTGTAATATAACTCGTACTTGCAGCGACCATTACGACAAACAAGACAAATAATCAAATCAATATATGTGAAGAGTAAAACTGACAAATAAACAAATCAATATCAATAACAAATATGTAGTTTAACATTAAAAAAGTAACACACAATATACACAATATAATAATAAAAAAAGTCTATCAGACAATTTATATGAAGTAATAATAGATAAATAGTACATGCAGATCATATGCTTGCAAGTTCAACTCACACATTTTGCAGGTCTTCCATCCATACTTCTCAGTTGGCCAATCAGATGTCTTGTATGACTAGTCTTATGGATCATCTCCCTCTTATATTGGATCATAATTAAAATCGACTATGAATACTAGTTCATTAATCATGTTTTTGAAATCTTAAGTTTATAATTTTTGAAGGAATATCTAATAGATTTATTAATTTTGTTGATTTTAGAAAAATGTAAATATTGAACAAAATCTTAGGTACATCCTTTGTGCAGAAACTCAATTTTTTTCTTGCTTCTAAATCAATTTGTTATCTATCACATAGAAAAATACAAGGTATAAATTTTTTTTTTCTTTTAAATGACATAAAATTCTACTCCGATCTCTTTTTTTTCTTTTGTTTTCTCCTAATTTTTATTTTACTTGATCATGAAGAGTTCAAAGGCCCAAAATGAAGTTGATGATGAAGCTGGATGAAATCAATGTCGACTTAAAGGAAGATGAATCTGATGATGGAGCCGGATGAAATCAATGACCCATACCTTGATTGAAACGGGCATGAATTTTGTTTTCCAAACTCATTTCTACTGAGACAGATTAGTGTGTTTTGCTCGATTCAGCGTATCATATTACGAACCAAACACATGAATTTATTCACCGAATAGTTGATGGTTTTTTTGGTTGAATGTTGTGAATTAATGGTTTTTTTTAGCATTTTTAAAAAAATCAATGGTGAAAAAAGATAAATAAAATTAGAATAATGTGGAGAACCATGTTTTACTCAGAAATTAATGTCTAAATTTTTTTGCTATATGACGCAAATTCTCTTAAAATTATTAAAAAAAACATAGAAAATGTTAGATAACTAATTTTTACTATAATTTTAAATTAGTGGAGATAACTAATTTTTACATAATACTAAAAATAGAAAAAAAAATTATATATTTGTGATAATAATCCTTACTAACTAGTTTTTTTTAATGAATAAAAAATGATTAAATTTAAATTTATAAACAGTCGTCGTCGACCCACAAACAAATAAAAATTTATAAACAATTGTATTTGTTTGGGCCAGTTTGAAGCCCATTCAAAATGTGAAGTATTAGTCACGTCACGTGAGTTACGTTTTAGATCAAAGTCTTAGGGTTTAATTTCAGAACAGTTTTTTAAAACGGCCGCCTAAACCGCCGAACCCCATTAAACGCCGGCGAGCCCGCCAAATAACATGCTCTCTGTCTACTGCCATCGCCTATAGACAAAGCCAATCGGATCCCTAACGGCCGCCTATTCTTTCCTTGATTTTCATCATCAACAGAATACAAAACGAAATCTTCTACAAAATGCCTAACACTCGGATTAAGTCGCGGTGTTTAGAAGATCTTAATGATCACGAAAGGCTTCAGGATAGGTATCGATAGATTCTTCTTCTTCTTCTTTTTTTTTTTTGGTCCTCATAAACTCTCGACTGTATATTTTTTTTGTTTCCCCCGGATTTTCAGGTTGGAGTGGGAAGGTTACTCCGAGGTCAAAGTGAAAAGTGATGGAAATTGCCAGGTAATGTTTCTTAATCCTTATACTCATATCAACTTGATGATTCTTGATCGTATCCGGAAGAATCTTTTGTCTCATTTTTTTTACAATTTTGTTCCAGTTCCGTGCTTTAGCTGATCAACTCTATAATACCTCGGATCTTCATAAACAAGTTAGACAAGAAATCGTAAAGCAGGTAAATCAATCTTGAAAATTTTCTAATTACTTTGCAGATTGTTTTTTTTCACGTCATTTGATGATGACTCTGTTTTGCTTATCACAGCTTAAATCTCGTCCAAAATTGTACAAAGGATTGGTTGGTAAAACTGATTTCTCAGAGTATGTAAAGAACATGTCCAATGACTCGGTGTGGGGAGATGAAGTCACATTGAAAGCAGCTGCAGACGTCTATGGAGTCAAGATATTACTCATTACATCACTCAAAGATGTCCCTTTCACTGTTGTTGTTCCCAGGTCTCAAAAACAACCAGACAGAGTCATTCTTGAGCTATCTTGCAGGGATCCATTTCAATTCCATCCACTTAAACCAAGGTTACCTTTCTCCTTCTTCTCCATTTACAGAAAGCAACATTTTTTGTATCATTCTTCTTATTCTTCGTTCTGTTGGCAGGTTCATCTTCATCTTCAGATACTGCCTCGAGGGGGCCACAGAGCAAAAAGAATTAGGAGAAGGATAAGAATACGGAGAAGGAGAAGGATAAGAATACGGAGAATGAGAAGGAGAAGGAAAAGAAAAACCAGAAAGGGAAGAAGAACAAGAAGAAGAAGGAATTAAATCGTCAATTTGACTCTTCTGATGTCATGTAAATGCCTCTTTGACATGTACTTGTCTGCAAAAAGAAAAATAATAATAATAATAATAACCTACCTGTTACATGAACTTATTATGTCATTTACAGTGTTGAGGATCGGGCGACCAATACTGATTTTCCTCGTCCAAATCACTTGTCACTGTCCACAGAATTGCGAGTAACAGTGTTTGGTCACTGTGATCTTATCTCTTTCTTATGCTTAATTTCCTCATCCCAAATCAATGCTAATATCTATTCCTCATCCTAAATCACATGTACCTGTGTTGTTTGAGTCATTCTTATGCATTTACTGTTGTTGAGATCAGACGTGATGATGAGTCTCTAGGTGGAGGAAGACTCTATCACACGTATAAAGTATAAACAATCGCCATAAGATGGAGGAAGAGTTCTTGTAAAGATCTCTGTTTAGATGAGTTTGCGAGAGAATCTTTTGTCAAGAGGTTTGCTAAGCTTTGGGATTATTTCGACGTTTGGTCGAATTCCAAATAAAAATAAGTCTACAACAAATGGGTCAATCAGCGGAAAACATTCACATAAAAAGGTATATTATATTCTTTTTGCATGTTCCTGCAAAATATAGATCTCCCAAAAAAAAAAAATTGAGTCAATATGTTCCAAAAGAGCCTATCATTAAATTAAATAATAATAATGCATGTATCCATTTGTTTGTTTTTTTGCTAAAGAGTATCCATTTGGTTGGACTTGGCAGATAACTAAACTTTCAAGACGTTACAGCACAAACTTAGAAGCTAATTTGATAGTTTTAGCTGAGATTTCTTTAATTTGATGGTTTAAAATGATTGTGCAAAAGTCTCAAGACATAAAGTACTAGCGAGTCAAACTTTGAATTAAAACTGTGATATTCACTTTACAAAAATATTTTAAAAATGTCACTTTTTCGATTTACTTTCTTGTTTCTACATTGTGTGTCCGCAAAGATAAATAGTCATAAACAATACATAAAATGCTACATTGTGATAGCACTTTAAAGTGCCAAAAAGTGCTTAAATATGCAAATTTCTTTTTATTTTCCAAGGAAGATAGCTTGGTTTAGCTGACCGCAATGGAGACATTGCTGTCATGAGAGAGCATTGGAACTATCTGAAGCAACTCTTCAAAACCTCTTCTTTCAAGACAACCTTCCAATCTTACGACCATCTTCTCTAATCTATGTGTGGATCCCAACATAAGTTTCATGAACGAAGCCACCTCATTTGACTGTACCTCGTGGTTTTCAGACCAACTTCCCATGAACGAGTGTGGATGCAGCAGCCTCAAGCCATGCGGACCCAAGTACTTGTCAATATCCTGCTCCTGTAAACAGAAAAGATATTCATTAATGCAAAACAGATTGTCAGAGTCTACAATCTCAAAGTAAAAGGACATGATTCTTAGGATTATTCAAGCTCAGAAAGAGTTAGGATGGTCAAGAGAAAAAAAGTAAAAGAGGCCTATGACAATACATACCGGTATGAAGTGGCGAACCCTTTTGTGAATTAGGGTTAGCTTCTTTAGTACAGGTGAGTGTTCTAGCACTGCTGCTAATCCAAAAATTACATATGGAGAGATTGTGGTCTCAAGCGTCAAAACTTTAGCCTTGAACATTGGAAAAAGAACAGACCGGAGATCCGCGAGAGATAAAATCTACAAAAAAATACATCGCAATAGTGAATACGAAACACAAATCTCTAGCTCAAGAAAAGAATAATTTTAACAGACATTATCAAGATCGACTTCTTAGAGAGTGCAAATAACATAGACTTATTGAAACCCAAAGATTAACGAAAACTAATCAATTGGCTAAAAGCTGACTTTGTGATTGGGTTTTAAATTGTTCAAGAATGCACCAAGGTCCGTGCTTTGCACCTTGCGATATAGTGCATAAAGTACTTGCCTTACGGATCCAAGACTAGAAACGTATAAAACGTATAGCACGCTTTATAAAACGAAGCTCTGTGTAATTCTGCAAATGACCATATCACATTGAAGTAGACAAAACATACCTTAAGAAAGTTTTCACAAAGCGTAAGCTTCTCCACATTCTGCAACTTGTCTAGTTGCTCTAGGGCCATGACTTGAAGAAAATCAGCCTTCAATAGTTCATTATATGCGGAGAAGTAAATGTCTAGTTTAGCTTCAATTAAAGAGGAAACATCAACTAAAGAACATGGTAGCTGAGTGTTTTCCAATATTAGATAATGTAAATGTGGTGCCACAATCTCCACAATCTCCACTGACTGAGGAGACCAAGTTTCAGGACTGAATTCTAATACTCTCACACGCGGTGATTTAGTGAGATCAAGAACCATAAATTCACGGCAGGATTCCAATGTTAAACTTTCTAGAATCGGACAACCAGAGAGAATCTTAGCAAGAGCTTCATCAGAGAGGTTGCAAGCAATCAAAGACAGTTTCTTCAGGGATGTCCAAGACACGGAGCATCTTGGGATCAGATCATTAAACTCTAGGTGAAGGCTGAGTTGCTTGACAGAAGAATTGGTGTAGAAAAAATCAGGAAGACTATAATTATCCTCGGAATGGTGACAATAACAACCGAGGTCCAACGTCAGATTCTCCGTGTCTCGGGACATGGCTAACTCGAGCCACCAGTGAATGTGAGTGAGATTGCTCAGAATTTCGGTATCGATGTAAAAACTCGTCATCTTGGGAGCTGTGTAGCGAGCTAGGGTTTTGTCAATCGAATCAGCATCCAGCATACGATACGTATCGCAATAATCAAAGGAGAGGGAAGGTGTACCGGACCATACATGCCTCCATCGTCTGGACAATACGGAGGTTCTGATGGCTTCTTCGGTCTGAATAAAGGAGAGGATTTGTTGGAGGATCTCATCAGGCAGAGAGCTGATTGAATCTAAATCTTCACTTGAATCTCTTCCTCCTTCCACAACCGCGGTGGCGCCGTCGCCTGCCATTACGTTCTTATCCACCGATAAACCTAGAATTTTGCCGATGTCAAAAAAGATAAAAATAAAACCTTGCTTTAAAAAAAAATACAAATACTATATCCCCAAAATAGGTTTTAGAAAAGCCCACTATATACTACAAGTCTAAGTTTAGAAGAGGTTTTAGTGAATGAAAATCTGGTTAGTGTGTTTAGAATTGTCAATGTAATAATTCTCATAATTTGTAATAGAATAATAGATTAGTGTAAAAAAATTTTATTTAAATATTATCTTCAAATGTAAAGAAGATTCAAATGTAAAGAAGATAATCTAAAAAGAAAAAAAAAAGAATATAAAAAGAAAATTACATTTCATTATTGTTCATAGTTCGAAGGGAATGACTTCCTCAGAGACATCGATCAACTCCTCAATGGTCTCATAATAAAACTCTTCTTCTTCTTCGTCACCAATAAGGTTTTGCCTCTGAATTTTTTCTTCCTCGTTAAGCTTCTTCCACTTGTTTAGCCAAATCTCCCATTCCTCTATCATCATTCTCCTTTTCTCCTTCTCTTGTTTTCTCAACAACACCGACACGTCACCGTCTTCTTCCTCGTACCTCTCGAGGTACTGCTTCAGATTCTTTTCCACTTCTTCTTCTTTTTGGTTCGACAACAAAGACGGTGGTCTTGGACGCCAAGAAAACTGAAAACCGATACGGAAAATCATCAGAGATGTATCACTATTGTTGACTTGTTTCTCTTCATTGCTCTATAAGTTAATAGTTTTCGAATTATACCTGAAAGAGTTGTTCCTTCAGTGTTTGGTAAAGCAACTTCCCACAGAAAGACCAAATGTAAAACCCATTCTCCATCTCGTGGACCGATGATGTCACTGCAGTTGCAACGTACCTGGAAAAAAAAAAAAAAAAACAGAGAAGAAATTAGAGACCCAATAAACAGAGAAACAGAGAAGAAAAACACCTAATTAATATGAAGTGATGATGTGTTAAGGTACCTTCCAGTTGGGTCCCACTCGATATCTGTGGCCATGAAGTTCTCAACTGTTGCCATAGTCACAAGCTCGTCCACATTGTAAAACTCAAGCTTGCCATTGAATCCACTTAACCCATCAGCTAAGATTATGTATTTACCAGTGGGAGACCAGAAGAGAGCATTGGCTTGCTTGGACTTGAGAGTAACGAGCTTTGAAACTCTGCCAGTGTGTTGTGTCGTCCTCATTGAGTAGAAACTGACATCTGGTCTCGGTAGTTCACCGTGGATCACGGCGAATCTGTGACCGTTGGGCTCCCAAGCGAAATCAATGATCTGATCGTTCTTGTTGTCAAGCTCAAGAACCTCTATTGGAATATCTTTCTCTTTGACTCGGAAAATCTCGAATCCTGAATGTGTGCTCTTCTTCGATTTCGATGAGTATCGATCCACCTTGACAGCGAGATAGTCTCCATTGCTCTGCCAGTACATTTTGCAGCCACTCACATTGAAAAGATTCTTCTGCCTTATCTCCACCTTGCTAGGGAGTTGAATAAGAGCGACCTGAATCAAACAGAGAGATCAAACATGTCAAATGCAAGAGAAAAAAAAAACGAAACCAAGGGTTTTAAAAAGGCCTTGTAACATACCCTGGCAGGCTGGTTACCATCAACTTGTTCAGGAACAAACAGTGCAAGAATGGAATCAGTAGGAGACCAAGAGATGTCCACAACATTGTCAACTTTCATTGATTTCTTTCCAATTAAGCTGAAAGTCTCTGTCTCATAGACAGAAACAGTGTTCTTTCTAAGTCTGGCAAAGTATTTATCATCTCTTCCACCAGCCCATCTGCAGAAAATGATTCACAAATTATAAAAAAAAAAAAAAAGTTGAGCAGAGAATACAGATCTTGACAGAAAAGTTTCATCTGTTTAGAAATTACTTGAAGACAGGCCATGAGACGCTGCTTCCTCCAACTGAAAACTCATCAGCACTTCCCATGAAACATCTCATTAGTCTACCACTTCTCACATTAAAGATCTTGATCTCAGCTTGCTGTAAAATGGGTACATATACATCATTGACTTTCCATCCATAAGAAATCAAACAAAGATAGAAGCAAAAGATGCACTCACACTTGCATTTGAATCCTGCGGATTGTTTGGTTTCTGATTTTGGTAGGTTACCAAGTAATTCTCACCTGGGGAAACATCAACTAATTCTACCTTCAAAAGAATCAACATACAAAGTCAAACTTCATTCCACCAAAGATAACCAGAAAAGTTAATGAAAGCACCATTTAGCAATAATAATAATAATTAAAAAAAAAACAGACCATGGGATGCTTATAATGCATGAGAGGTTTAAAAGTACTAGCACCACCGCAAAAAGCTACCCCTGGCTTGTGAAGTGTCACTAGGTATGAACCTAAAGGAGACCATTGCACAAAACTCTCTGTCCAGTTCTGCGCAAGTGAACATCATAAGTTCAAACCATAATAGCATTACATGTACCCAATAAGGTATGTATATATACACGGTAATACAAGTTTTAACTTACTTGAAGCGTATGAACAGATTCAGACTTCAAATGCCTTGTATCGTTCCATAAAACTTCAGTATCAGAGCCACATCTTATAACAAACTGATCCCGAGCCTTTTCATCAGTAAGCCACTTTTGCAGATTTACCTAAAAAAAAATGTACATGCCATAAGCAACAGAACATATATGGGTAGATTTTAAATTCTTGACTAAAAGCAAGAGATATCATATCATACATTGGGTGCATAAGGCTTGATTTGAGGAGGCTCCCACTCCTCCTTCACATTCATCAACCTTTCAATATCATCAAACATATAAACGGCCAAGATGTGAGACTTGCCAAACTTGCAGCCATGAGTTTTTTCTTTAGCTTTTTGAGCTTCCTGCACACAAAAAACCAAGACATTTGCAACAAAGCTTGAGCAAAACATATGGTAACAGTCAAAACATTACTATTTTCCTCTTATTCACATCTGAAAAGTAAGGATCGGATATAATTATAATAAACCAACCTGAGGGGTATTGAACTCAATAAAACAATATCCGTTGGTCGTGTTGGTGTCTGAATCAACGGGCATCGAGAATCCATCTTCCTTGATGACTACTCCTAACTGATTGTATAATTTGCGAATGGCACCTTCAAGTTTCTCAAACCTATCCATACCAACAACTGGGAGTTGATCAACCACGATGACATTACCAAACTCTGTCTCATCAAGTTCAACAAGATGATCTTCATCTTCGTAATAGTTTTTTTAACTAATAACTATGGTCAGTCATAGTTTTTTTTTTTTTTAACTAATAAGTGTTATTATTTTTGCCTTTTAGTCATCATTATCTGTTGACCAAAAAAATTAAATAATAATATTATCATTGTCTACTGTTGTTTACCTATACTTCTATCTATTTATAAATAATATAGAGCTCTATGATGAAATTTCTCTGAATGTCATCAGATAACATTGGAGCAAAAAATTGAATGGTTATTATTATTCATAGAACTGGATATTAAAAAAAGAAAAGAAAAAGTACTTAACAACTAAACAAAGACATTTACGTACATGATCATAGAAAACTAATGAAAAGCAGAGCAACCAAACTAGTAAACGAATATAAATATCCCCAAATCGGACAAATTAATTAAAACAAACACAAAATGTGTTTAATTAACGGAAGAACAAGAGCGCCTTATTTCACCATCTTCACCAAATCTGACACCAACCATACTCAGCTTCACAAACGACTCTCTCCATCTCTGAAAAAAGCTTTCCTCATCACTCGCCAGATCCTCCACCATCTTCCTCGTCCGTTCATCCTCCATCAGAGCAGAATCCGTCTGGAACAAACCCTTGTGCGCTTCCAGATTCTTGTAGTACTGATTATCGAACCTCGACGATGTCTCTGGATCGTTGCTCACCGTCAGTGAAGACGAAGACGATGACGATGAACACTTGTTCATTAGTGTCTCTGCGTAGGAGTTGTCGAGAGACGCATCGATTAGCTCTAAGTTTCCTTTCGGGTCTCGTTTAAACCTTCCATCGAATGCATTACAGTGGGAAGCCCCAATCGTGTGTGCTCCTGATGCAAATTATATTTTATTTGAGCTTATCCAAAACATTTTGGTGAAATTGATTATTTTACAGAGATATATCAAAGAAACATTTGATACCAGAGAGAACGACGAGATCTTGAATCGACAAGCCTTTAGAGGAGAAGGCATCGATCATTTTGTCAAGACTGAAGTCTGTGTCAATTATGTTCGGTCTTACGTCTGCAGCCACCGACACTTTCCCGTCTCTCCTCCCTGTCGGAATCTCAACCACCGGTCCTCCCGCCTTTCCCACCAAAAGAAACAAAAATTCACATTTATTAGTATAACCGGTTTATCGTCGGTTTAATGTATTTTCCAATCCGGTTCTCTTTGGTTTGGATAAATTATATAGAAAAAAACTGGAATTGTACATCCGGTGATCTTGGTTTATGTTCTGTTTTCTATTTGACGTTTCAGATTATTCCCTTTTTGTTTTATATGGTTTCGGTTCAGTTCAGATTGGTTAAACCGAATTGGAGCGATATACAAGATAGAAAGAGAGTGAAGTGAGAGTGGGGGAGAATGTTACAGCTTCGACGGCGTCTCGAGCAGCAAGTGCGACGATGTCAGCGCATGAAACAGTGGCCGGACAGAAAATCTCGATGGCATTCTTAGCTCTCTCTATGACTGAGAATCCTCCAAGTGACGCGTTTCCTGGATCGCTTCTCTCCGTGCTATTCCCTTGTATCAACACTGACGCATCACAACCCTTGCAAGTTGCAACAACAACAGAATTCTCAGCTCAAATTTTTTGTTTTCCTCTGTAACATCTTGAAAAATTGTAATGATTGAGATGCGTAGTGAGTGTGCGTGTTTATACCTGGACGAAACAGTCGTGGAAGAGGAGACGGAGGAGTTTCCCGGGGATAGTTGGATCGGAAGAGGAAGCAGATCTAACGGTGTTTCTGACGAGAAACTCTGCTACTGGACAAGAAGCGGCGTAGAAGTTAAAAGAGAGGTCGGAAGAGGCAGTGAGAAAGCTAGACAGAAACACAAGGAGATTAAGAAGATAGGAATAGTTTATTCGGTAAGAGGCAACCGTTGACGCCATTTTTTTGTGTCTCGGTGTTTGACTCAAGAAGGAAAGTGGCAATAATGGTAATTGGTACGAGAGAGAGAGTGAGAAGGATACTGGTAGTTGCAGTGATAAATAATTAACTGTTCATTGTATTTGATGTTCGTGTCAGAGACAGAGAGAGAAAAATGGTTGAGGTGATGAAATTGAGTCAACGCATTAATGAAGATGGTCGGGTTTAGTTGAATCCCATTATACATCGTCATTCCAAGACGATTTCGCAAAAACCGGATTTGTGTTTAAGCATAAAACGTCAAATGTTTTAAATATGAATCCGACATATTAATGGTATTGTCGGAGAGTAACTTTCCAAGCCAATGCATGGCAGAGTACTTCAGGTAAGAAAAACTGCCCAGCTTTCTTGAAAAATGGGTGTACCTTTAGTGTTTCCAACAGTTTCGAGACATTTTTATGATTCACTTTTCTTTAATATCACAAACAAAACTTATGCTGATAATTTTCTAATCACAAAAACCCCACTAATGTGGTTGTTTTCCAGCTTAACGATTAACAGAGATTCCGATCACTAGAATGGAGGGATTCATACCTAGTCTCTCGTAGGGTCTTCCGCTTTTGCTTCCTCTATCTCTTCTATATCATCAATGTCATCGATCGGGATTTCTTCACTATCAAATGTCGGAAAATCTGCAATACACAACAGACATGTTTGATTCTTGGCAGTGCACAAAACATATCTGCCATTGGTGCTCAATGCAGTTCTACGACAAGGCAGAAGATATAGCCAGAATATATGTCTGATTCTTTCAAACCAAGTCCTTAATTACCAAGAAAGCTATGGTCCTACCTGATGGAGCCGGAGAAGCAGGGACCTCGATTCTTTCCCCTGTTACTGGTGATGCATCAAGGAGATATGGGAGACCAAGGAGCTCTAACAAAGACAGTGTCTGTGGATTCCGTGGGAGCTCTACATAATTCCAGGAGAATAAAACACTTTTTAACTGATTATCCTTATACTTCACATCCTCATAGCTCTCTTTGGTTATTCATCAACTTTAAATGATCCTCTATATCCAGTACATTAGCTTACCAGGTATGGAATCAGAGATACGTTGTGAAGGGTTATATGCAGGGACAGTCCTCGCAAACTCAAAAGGTTTAAAGTTCCTTTCCTCTAGCTTCGTCCTCACCCACTCGCGGTTCTCTTGCTTATTCATTGAAGCAGAGCTATTTTCTCTAAACAATACGTAAGTGGGTAGAAAAATGAATGGGAGAATATAAACATGTCTTAATATGTAACTTGCTCAAGATTGTATACCTGAAATTTGCATATCTCTTTGTTAGCGGGAATATAGGATTGAACTTTCGTGTAATTGCTAGCCACTCTTCATCGTATAGGACCTCAAAAGGGCCAGGTTCTGATTCGATGTCAATAATCTAATGAACATCCTAAGAAATTATAAGATACCCTTCGTTTCAAAAAGAAAAAAAAAAAGCACAAAGTGGACAGGAAAGAAGAAGACCTGTAGAAACTTTTTCCCAGGAAGACATTTATCTAGAGCAAGAAACTTTGTCACTGAGCCATCAGTCCCGTGTTGAACAGCAGCAGCAAATTTGCAGTGTAAGTGAGCTGAAAACCAGTACCGAGGCTTCAGTTTTTCTAGCAGTAGAGCTGCTGGTTTACTTCCAAGCGTTCTCTTCTCAATCTGTGAGAGAAAGCTGGTCCAGTTAAATTGCAACTATTCTAAAAACCAAAAATGAAGAAATCGAAACATTTTTCCCAAATTGATCACTTTATACCTCTTCACGAAAGTATGGTTTTTGCTGACAAAGTGCTTTTGAGTCTCCATAATCAGTGATTCCAACAGGCCAATCGTGTGAGAGAAATATATCAAGCGGCTCTTCAAGTTGCATCAACTTCTGGACATCATACTCACGAACATGATACACCGATTTGACGGTGCTTTCGTTATACGGCGGCCGCTCATAGTGCCCTACTCACAAAAAACGACTGATTTCACTTTACTGACAACAAAAAAAGAACATTTTTCAATAAAGACAACTCAGAAATCAAAGTTTTATCTTTTTCTATATCAAAAGCCAGACTATTGTTCTTGATCTGAGAGATGAAGAACAAACCTAAACGGTAATCGTGGTCCTTGTAAATACCCGAAAGGCCTCCAATTCGCACATTACCGAACTTGACAACCCCCGCATAACCTAGAAAGTAAATATTGGTGGAAGCCCAACCACCATAATACCTAGAGCAGCAAGCAACCAAAACCATCAAGAACACATTTTTGAAGCCTCTTAATTCCTAGTCAAGGTACGAGTAAAACAATAGTAGTAGAAAACTTACAATTCCCACAAGTAGTTAGAAGCCTCGTGATTCCCACCGATGAAAATTGTAGGAATCGGGGCAACTTCTTGGCTGGAGTAGTACTTCCAGAATGATTTCATCTCTCTGTATTTTCTAGGTACGCTAAGGCTATCCATGTCTTTCTCATTTCTTACAGCCTAATTTATTAAACCAAGACGAGATTTTTCACACCTAAGAAGCAGAATCGAATGGAATTAGTTTTTTCCCTGGAAGACTAATATCCATACCTGGAAATCGCCGCAGCAGAGGAGGAGATCGACTTTTGTGTTGTGAAGCTGTTCATGATGTTGAATTGTCTTGTACACAATGTCAAGGTCTCCGTGCATACACCCTTCAATAGCAATCTTCATCTCTCTCAGTTTTGCCTCTCTGGATCCTAGCCCTTTTTGCAAACGATGTAAAAGCATGTATATTTATTAATAAAAACTAAAATTCGAAAGAAAAAAAAGAACAAAAGCGCAGCTCATCAAATCCCTCCAGGCCCAACATAAACAGACTGATGAATCAACTGAAGTTTAAGAAAGCATCAAACTTTTATCATCAATGAAATAAAAACCAATAGGAATAACACAAACTAAATTGTAACTTAATGTATATCGAAAGTCACAAATACCCAAAATAGTTATGTATTTTAAAGCTTAGAGCTTTACTGAAAAGTCATGCTAGAGTGAAAATCGTCATAAACCGGAAAAAAAAAAGGGAACATGAAAAAGCTTCTGAAATCGAGTGAAACAATGGAGTAAGCAAAATCCGAGAGAAACCTCGGACTCGGGGGCAATTTCAAACAGGGAGAAAGAAGCACTAACTGATCAGTAGTGTCCGATATTCGAAAGGCGAGAAACGTATGCCTGACCCAGGTGTGAAATCCAAATTCGAAACGATTTAAGCAAACAATTTAGGGCTCTTGAGAATCAAATTGCGAGAGGGGCTCTACAAAAACAAATTGCTTGTTCTGACAATCGAGGGGGACTGAGTGTGTGTCCGTGTGAATAAGCCAACGACGTCGTTCGTTGTAAGGAAACGATGTCGTTTAAATAATGATAAAAAAAATTCGCGGGTAAACCAGTTTCAGAATCAGACCGCGGTAAATCAAATTGGCCGTTTTAAACCTGTTTATAATCCAATGCAATAATGCATAGGTGTTAGTACACCTTTTTTAGGATTATTCTCAATATAACTAAGATGTGTTAACATGGAAGGGAAACAATTGGATTACTTTTTTGTACACTAGTATTTGTGGTTAAACCTGGTCAAGGGCATCAACTATGGATGCAAATGCATGGTTGAAACATTGGAAAAAAGTAATTCAGTTGAATTAAGGATTTCTTCGAATTCTTCTAACCACGATTTCCTTGTTAGATCCCGCTAAATAAAGTAAAATAAAGTTTATTTTCTCTAGAAATTGTTACTCATCAAAAGTGGAGAGAAAGTAAAAAACCCTAACTATATCCATTTTTAGTTCATTCATTATTATTCTTCATCTTCAACATATTACATTCACCCACCAAAATGCCCCATGTAAAAAGCACATTTTTTCCTTTTTTTTTTATAGAACATGGGAAAACCTTAAACCAAAAATGTAAAGTGATTGTAGACCCAACGGACTTGTTAGTGATATCGACGGGCTTGAACATGTCTGAAGTTTCGACGAATCAGCTTTTACCGGGCCGGACAGAGCAAAGATTTGTTTTAACCCGTTTTCACATCCCTAGACCCTAGGCGCATGCCCCCACTATCTTTGAGTTCACACGAACACGCACTAATAACGAATTCTATTCCCCAACGATTTCCTTTTGACTTTTGTCCTAAACGAGTTGACAATTAGAAAGCATGAATCACATGTGAAACGAGCAGCAGCCACCAGGAAGCCTACGTTGATTCTTGTGTTTTTAAACTTTAGTTATTGCAATAATTCGTCCGAATGGGATAACTCTTTTGAATAAAATAAGAATCGTTGTTTCGTGTATCACCTTATAATTGTTTGGTCGAGTTTCTTCATTCGAGGATTTAAAATGTATCTAGTAGTCAATGTAACTTCAGACAACAAAATATTAGAAATATCAATATTGAAAAATGATAATCTCTTCTTGGCTACCGAGTAGTTAGCCTATAGTCTCTATTGACTCGCAAGTGACTAATTGATTGTTCATACAATCGAGCTTAGAAAAATGATAATGGAACTAGTCTATTTAATTGGATCCCAAACAAAAAAAAAAACTAGTCTATTACTATATAAAATACATATTGGTTTTGAATTGCATATTGCAACGTGTAAGGAATCTCTTATCATAAATAAAAATGAACCTATCTGTACTAAATACTTATACAAAGAACATGAACGAGTTTGGTATAAAAAGTCCATTTGTTAAAATAATTGACATCAATATAATCTGTCCATTCGCTGACCATTTTTTATGCTATAATATAATCTGACGACGCAGAGATACATACAACCTACAAATACGTATATATATATATATTATTTTTTTTTCAATTAAAAAATAATAATATGTACACGATATTTACATTTTCCATAAATTAGTTGATTGGTCACTTAAATTTTGGTAAGAGTTGCGCATAGAATATTCGGATAAGTTTCTCGGTTTAGCGAAAGCAGTCATCTTCTTATATCAAACAACAAAACTCCATCTTCATCTTCCTCAATCCATCCACTCTGCTCCCAAAAATCCTATCTTGTGTGGCTGGAATCCGTTCTTGATCATTCATGGCGCCAAATTACTCCATTAATTGAAATCTCTCTCTCCATCTCTAGCAGAGACACTCTTCTATATATCAACAATGCAAAACCCTTCAACGGTTACACAGGAATCAGCAGCATCCACCTTTGATTTCTTCACACGGCTTAGCGGTTTAGCCTCAAGAAATCGATCTCCGTGTTCGAATTCGGATGGGTATGCTTTCTCAACGCCCAATGCCCTGTTCTTCAATGGTTCCCGGACTTTACCCGCTCAAAGGACGCGAAAAGCCCTAGCGTCCCTGAGCTTGAACACTAGGAGCAGTGCCTGTTCGAGCCTTCGTAGGTTTATCGGCGATTTCAACAGCTTTATTAAGTTTCACTGCGAGAAGGTGGTTCCTGAGAGCTTCGCCTCCGTCGGAGGAATAGGGGTTTCGAGCGACGAGAACGGGGTTAGGGAAGATGGGACTTGTGGGGTTTTGGGGGAGGAGGGTTTGCCATTGAATGGCGTCGAAGCTGATCGGCCCAAGAAAGTGTTGATTTTGATGAGTGATACTGGTGGTGGTCACAGAGCTTCTGCGGAAGCCATTAAAGCTGCATTTAACGAGGAGTTTGGGGATGAGTACCAGGTTCGTTAAGAAAACTCCTTTCATTTTTTGGGTAGATTCACGATTGATTGATGACTCGTGGCTAGATTTCTCTACAGATTCTCAGTTTCATTGTAGTTGGGTTTGGAGTTTTCCTTGAGTTAGAGAATTTGCATCTGGTGGAAAAGTTTTTAGCTGTTTGGATCACTGAAGAAGATAAATTGACATAGTGTTACATTCATTTGGTTGCTTAAGAAAGTCTCAGCTGAAGAATGTGGGACTGACTTTAAATTAAATTTAGCTCTTAAAACTAATCAACCAAATACATTGAAAGTCTGAATCTAAGTACATCATATATGTAATAATAGTGTGAGTTGTTGTTGATTACTTCCCGTACATTAAGAGTGCTTGCGCAGGTGTTTATTACGGATTTGTGGACAGATCATACGCCCTGGCCTTTCAACCAGCTTCCCAGGAGCTATAATTTTCTTGTGAAACATGGAACTCTATGGAAAATGACTTACTATGGTACGGCTCCACGCGTTATTCACCAATCTAATTTTGCAGCAACTTCGACTTTTATTGCCAGGTGAGGCTTAAGGTCTATAGTTTGGTTTCTCCTTCAAACTAATTCATTTCTCTGTTCCAACTTAAACATACACAGAGGGGTTTAGCGTCTAGTTTTCCATGGCCTTTGCTTCGCTTATGGAGTTTTCTTATCCAGTCTGATACCGTTGCCTTGAAACTTACAGGGAAATCGCCCAAGGGTTGATGAAATATCAACCAGACATTATAATCAGTGTTCACCCATTGATGCAACATGTCCCACTTCGTGTCCTAAGATCAAAGGGGTTGCTTAAGAAAATCGTCTTCACCACTGTTATTACAGACTTGAGCACTTGCCATCCAACATGGTTAGTTTATTTACCAAATTTTTCATGCTCGGAGACTCTATGGCTCGTTTGTAAAAAAAACAAATTTACATGATGCTTGTTTTGATGTTTAGGTTTCATAAGCTTGTGACAAGATGTTATTGCCCATCAACGGAAGTGGCTAAAAGGGCGCAAAAAGCTGGACTTGAAACATCACAAGTCAAAGTTTACGGGCTTCCTGTTCGACCTTCCTTTGTAAAACCAGTTCGCCCAAAGGTCAGTCTTTGTCCTTAGACTCCTTCCTTGGCTTTATTGTTGTTCCAAAACATAGCCAAATTCAATAGTATCAATTTGACAATTTACAGGTTGAATTAAGAAGAGAACTAGGGATGGATGAGAATCTTCCAGCTGTATTGTTAATGGGCGGAGGAGAAGGAATGGGTCCCATCGAGGCAACAGCAAGAGCACTTGGAGATGCTTTGTATGATGAGAGTCTTGGTGAAGCAGTTGGTCAGGTTCTTATTATCTGTGGACGGAACAAGAAACTCCAAAACACATTAAGTTCCATAGATTGGAAAGTACCAGTCCAGGTACTCTCTAGGCTTTCTTACCCTTCAGACCAAATCAGCAATCTTAAGCATTCAATGGAAGTCACTGAAACGGTTTTCTTTTTCTCGCAGGTTAAGGGGTTCGTAACGAAAATGGAGGAGTGTATGGGTGCCTGTGACTGCATCATAACAAAGGTAAACCTATATATAGTAGATATACTTTTACACTAATTTCTTGAATCTGAACAGTCCTAGTCTCTCTTGTACCTGAAACAAGAGTGACATTAGAGTGATTGTTTCTTATCTTTGTTTTATCGCTTGGGGTTGTGCAGGCTGGTCCAGGAACAATAGCTGAAGCGATGATAAGAGGGCTACCGATAATCTTAAACGGCTACATCGCTGGTCAAGTAAGTCCAACTTTTCACCTCTTACATTATTTTTCTATTTCAGGTTTTTCAATTTATGTGGTTTTGATTTTTGGAGCGCAGGAGGCGGGGAATGTGCCGTACGTGGTGGAGAACGGATGTGGGAAATTCTCGAAATCACCAAAAGAGATATCCAAGATTGTAGCGAATTGGTTCGGACCGGGATCGAAACAGTTGGAGATAATGTCACAGAATGCATTGAGGCTGGCTAGACCAGAAGCAGTGTTCAAGATAGTCAGAGATATGCACGAGCTTGTCCGACAGAGAAATTGTCTTCCTCAGCTCTCTTGCACTGCCTCCTAATACTATGCTGTTGTAACTTGTATAACTCCATTCATTCAAATCAAAAATCTTCTTTTCTTTTTGTTCTAGACAAGAGTGTAACGATATATCATAGTATTTTTTTTTTTTTTTGCCCTTAATGCAAATGCTTAAGGCCGATTACTCACTTTTGAATAATGATAATTTTGAAATTAAATTCCCAATGTATTAGATAAATTTATATCCCGACTTGATACCTTCTTTCGTGTGTTAGCGTCGGATTGATTACGCGTTTGAATTATTTTTTAGTTGTTAAAATGCAACAACAAAAGCTAACTCCAAAAACGATTGTTTACAAAAAGTATGTAATAATATTAAAGCAGCCAAAAAAAAATAAACAGCAAAAGGGTTTTAAGTCTTCTTCTTCTTCTTCACCTTACTGTATCGGCCGTTCGCTGAGGTTTATCCAGTGAGCCTCCTCTTTTCCGGATTTTCTACGCACTTCATCAGGTAAAACACTGATTTCAACTTCTCTTATTTCTCTGGTATAATTCGAATGATTTCAACTTCTCTTATTTCTCTGGTATAATTCGAATTCAGCTGTTTGATCCTCCAATTCCATGGATTCATGGATTCATTATAAAAAATATCGTATTTACTTCCCCACTCACTTCTTTTGATTCTGTTGGTGAAAGAAGCAATAGATTGTCTTTTTCTTAGATATAGTTCATTAAAGGCAGAAGCTTTTAATTTTTAGCTCACGTATTACTCAATTTTATGTGACTATTTGATTTGAGTGATTAATTCATGTTTTAAGGTTAGCTTTCTCTGTTGTCGAAAAAGCAGAAGAGTAGCAGAGATGTTGTACATTATAGGGTTAGGTTTAGGAGATGAAAAGGACATAACTTTGAGAGGACTCGAGGCCGTAAAGAAATCTCAGAAAGTATACATGGAAGCTTACACTTCTCTTTTGTCCTTTGGTCTCTCTCCTGATGGTCTTTCCAATCTTGTAAGACTCTCAAAGCCCCGTAATTTAGATTCACTAGCTTCCCGATTTTATAGCCTGATCTTCTTCTCTTTTTCTGGGATTTGTCTCAGGAAAAGTTTTATGGGAAACCAATTATACTTGCTGATAGAGAAATGGTGGAAGAAAAGGCAGGCCATATGATTGAAGAAGCCATTCATAACGATGTCGCTTTTCTCGTTGTTGGTGATCCTTTCGGGTATGTTGAATCATGGTTTTGCTATACTTGATTCGAGCTTTAACAATGTCTTAATATTCAATTTATAGCAGATAAAGTTAGTGAAATGGTTTTTGTGTGTGTTTTGCAAATGCATTTTGGCAGAGCTACAACGCACAGCGATCTTGTTGTTCGAGCTAAGAAACTCGGTGTAAAAGTAGAGGTAGTGCACAACGCATCTGTCATGAATGCTGTTGGGATTTGTGGTCTGCAGCTTTACCATTATGGAGAGACGGTTTCGATCCCGTTCTTCACGGAAACTTGGAGACCTGATAGCTTTTACGAGAAGATCAAGAAGAACCGTGCTCTTGGACTGCACACTCTCTGTTTGCTGGATATCCGTGTGAAAGAGCCTACTTTTGAATCTCTTTGCAGAGGAGGGAAGAAACAGTATGAACCACCTAGGTATATGACTGTTAATACAGCGATCGAGCAGCTTCTAGAAGTTGAGCAGAAGCATGGAGAGTCTGTTTATGGTGAAGAGACAGAGTGTGTGGGGTTTGCACGGCTTGGCTCTGAGGACCAGACGATAGTTGCAGGGACGATGAAGCAACTCGAGAGTGTTGATTTTGGAGCACCACTGCACTGCCTTGTGATAGTAGGCGAGACTCATCCCGTGGAAGAAGAGATGTTAGAGTTTTACAGACACAAAAATGCAGATTAAAGACCACAGGACTGAAGAAGGCTCTTCATTTTCGCAAGAACAATGAAGATATCTCTCTGAGGAGTTGATTGAAACTAGTTTTCTTCATCTCTATCTACTTTTGTGGTTACATAAGCATAACTATGATGTGATCTTGAATATGAGATATTCATTTGGCTCTAGTTTGAGGCGCACTTTGTATTAGAGCTTTGTTTCAGAGTAAATTTTAGTTTCGGATATATTTTGGTTTTGGTTTGATTTGAGGAACTTGACACCAAATGAGAACTTGTTTCGGTTTGTTTTTGTTCGGTCTGGTTCTTGTGGGTGGATTGACTCCTTACATCACTTGTCCAAACTCCAAAGATTGTATTTCTTTTTTCCTAACACTGAAGGAAAAAGTTTATAATGTTAACTTTTAATAGTGATTTAAAAAAAAAAGTACACGGTAGGTTGAGCGGGGATTTAAAACCTGACTTTTCAACAATTCTACTCCAAGTCATTTTAAAATCTGACAAAGAAGCTTTTTGACAAAGAAAATAAAAAAAAGTTGAGACTAGGATAAGGCGTATGCATACGTGATGCACAAACGATGACGTAGGGGTTACTTGCGTAACGAAGCTGATGATTAACGAATGCATCACCACACTATTCACAAAAAGACACATGCATAGATTATTATGTTTTGCTAAAAGTCCCATGACTTGAGCAACTAGTCTCTAGTTATACTTACTAGTTATCATATAACTTCACACCAGAAAACAAAAAAAAAGTTGTCATAAAACCAAAACAAAACAAAAAACTGGTCAGAGTTGTACTTGCATTATCTAATTGTTCCATCTTTTATATTATTTATTTTGGGAAGAAATCCGCAATGATATTTCGAAAATTCTCCAACAAATACATTATTCTATTTGATTATAACTTTTTACTAGCTTGACTCATCATCGACTTAAGTCTTTCTCAAAGATAGTATATACTAATACATAGATAATTTAGAGTCAAGCAATTGCTTGTTTCGTACACATTAATAGCGTCTTTTTTTTTTGTGATGACGATTTTTTTTAAGGTAATAATACCTTTTTGATAATTTGTGCACTGCTCTCCTGGGTGAAGCCATTTATTCAACAATTCAAGTAAATTTTTTACCTAAGAATTATCCAAAATAGATGTTCTATTTTAGAAAAACCAAGTAAAGTTGCTGATTTGATCGGTTAAATGAATATTATTAGCATATACGAGTTCAAATAAAATTTGAAGACGAAAAACAAATTCCTGGTAAAACATTTTGAGTAGACTCCGATATGCAAATGAAAAATACGCATAATGTGAAATCATTCAAGTTTTCCTTCTCAATTTCGGTATTTTTTTTATTTCGCTGAATAATTCGGGAGCACAATTTTTCAGAAACTAAAGACAACGACAAAAAAAAAATAAGGTTATTGCATCATGCTAATAGATGCAGAGTAATGACGTCATCAAGTTGACGTCGTCGTGTAGAATATCCGAGAGGAGGTTTTTTAGACGATGACTTAAAGATGGTCTTATATTATAAAGGTCTTATCGTTTCACCTAGAATCAATAAACTACAAGTGTACAACTATCTGAATTTTCCCACCATGAAAGACTTCTTTGTAAATAACTTTTCCATGCATGAGCCCTCCTAACTATTTTCTTCATCAACAACAATATTATCAATTTTCAGAGACTGTTAACAATATCCAGCATGACCAATATCTTTGTCGTGGTCAATTGGCAGCGATATATTACATTTTCTAGGTTCAACTAACAATATGGTATAAAAAGACTAAGACTTTTGGACCAAATTAACCAAGTCATAATGGGTGAATGGTTTTGCCTTGTTGAATATTGACCAGGAAATTTATCTCTTCACACGTGGATTATCCGCTTGGTTACCTTAGAGTGATGACTATATTCGAAACAGGACAAATGAATCGTCATAATTTTTTTCCAACATTAAGAATCCTCATTTCGAAATAGCGTGTTTAGAATCTCACCTCAAAAAATATGATAGGACTTAAATAACATCTATGAATGGTATAGAGTAGACCAATCTATTTATTGTCAAGCCCATAACGTTTAGCAATGCTTTGTTGATTTGGTTGTTTTCATGAATATATTTTGGTTCTAAGAAAGAAAACTCGTCTTTTCTCCCTCCATTTATTTGTAATGTTGACTATTCTCTAGCTACTTATTTATTAACCAATTTTACAAACTCATATTTTTTAAAAACGATATGAATCCACAAATTGTATGTTAAAACTTTACAAACTCATATCGTCAGCATCAAATTGCACAAACCTATAAAATTGTTTGTTTGACCGATTAAATAAAGACTTAAACGGTTTATAGTTTAGCATATATCGATAATTGTTGAGCTTTCTTTGTAAACTACGTGTAACTTCTAATCTCCCATCATTGTGTTATTTAATTCTTCAACTATTTAATTATTTGCCTCGCAACACAATACTAAAATCAGTCATTTACCATGTACATACCATGCAAATTAATTCTAAATGTCCTTAGTCAAAAAAGTATATATTAACCCGGGACATTCTAACTCCAAGGATAAGCTTGAAACAAGTGAAAATACGTGCGTTTTGCAATCTAAATTTGAAAATTTTGTTCAAAAAGAAGTCACGATAGATCTTTAAACTTGATTCAGTTCATCAAGATCGCTTATATTTTCTTCACTGCCGTGCATGTTTCATGAAATTTATGTATTGAACAGTTGAAGTGAAAATCGCATATCTTAGAGATATATTAACCTGAAAAACAATACCTTATATTTATATATTAATTGAAACAACTTGGAACCGGTATCTCAACCGGTTATAACCGAAGCCGGGCCATATCAGGAAACCGAACATCAATTCCGGAAAAAATGGACTACGGTCGAAGACTCCTCTAAGGAAAATAAAAAACTTATTTGAAACCATATGTTTAAAATTGGTTCTATTAGAAAAAAAAAATAACTCAGACGGATTGATAATAAGTTCGAATATTTCTCATAATTCTCATATAGGATTCCGTCACAATCTGAATTGTCAAGCTACAGCAATAAAAGTAAATCTCCCAGTATGTAAGAATTTTATCGGACAAGAGAATCTTAATGGAATAGTGGTTAGATTTTTTTTTTTTTTTTTGTATCCTTGTGCTTGAAAGAACTGGAGATAAACTAAATTAGTAAATATGCATGCACTGAAGATGACACTAAATTACTAACTTTGAAAAAAAAAAAAAGTGGATATAAAGGACAAGAGAAAGAGAGGTCGGTGTCGGAGCCGCCCAAGGTGGCAACTTGTTCACACCAATAAGGCCTCTCAAGTTGGAAGTCGTGGTCGAGTCCGGTCAAGATTTTGTTGCCCTTTTCCCGTGTGGCCCCTCTTCTTTATTGTCTTTTCTCCCAAAACTTTCCACGTTTTTGTATCATCCCTAATTTATTTATTTTTTTGTCGTCTATCATCCCTAATTTGTATATCTTTATATTTGGTTTTGGTCTATATTTTTGTTTACATCTTTCATTTTTTTATACAAAGTAAACAATAAGTTAGGAGTTCAAATAATTTCAATTTAAATATTCGTTAACATTAAATAGTACTCCGCTTTTCACTACTCTGCTGTGCTGTATAAATTAAGTATCAACAACTAGGACAAACAACTATCGGAGAATATACAGCTAAACAGATTTTTCTTTATTTTTGTATTTGTTTATTTATTTTTTTTTTGTAAATAAACGAAGGATATATAATAGAAAAAGAATTGCCGACTTCCGAATCAAAGTCAATAAGTCAATCAAGTCAAGGGAAAGTTCGTAACTGTTATGGTCATTATGGATCTAGTAGACGAACATATTATTTTTTATTTAAAAAAAAAAAATAAATTGCATAAAACTGAACAGAATATTAAAGGAAACACGGATCCGACCATATTGAAAATTTATGTATGACGAACAATTTTTTCTTCGGCATGGGGCAATGCCGCCGAAATTATTGATTTTTTCTGCCCTCCTTTTACTTGCTTCTTTTATAATATAACTAATTTTTCTATCATTTATTTTAGATTGAGACTAAATAGTTGTGATTTTCAAGTCTTTGGACGGTTTATTTGAGTTGTCTCATTAGTCGATTTATCAGGTACTTACCAGTTAGTTACTAAAGGAAAAATATTATGCTATTTGCACCTTTTAATTTTGATATTATTTAAAAAAATATTCAAAAACTCATTAGTAATTTATTTATATCTTGATGTGCATATATATATATATATATATATATCAATTATGATCATCAGTTAATATATAAACTAAACCCAGGTTAGTAGATGGATTTTTGTACCTTTTTTGGCTAATCTAGTACATCATGAAACTGTGTCAGATTAAAATTTGATGTAACTTCAGCTGATTTAATCTTTTATACTTTTACAAGTCCATATTCATTTTCCAAGTCAGTTCACCACTATGATCATAGCGTGTCGTGTCTTGCAATCTTTTATACTTTTACTAAAAGGGAATATAATTTTCTACATCCCATAAATAATTAATAACCCCTAATTAACGAACAAATCGTAACATAATAACCTTATACAGTATATAATTACGATGGATAGACTCATAGACAATGTATACGTAGTACACACGAAAGTACGATAGATCACTCGTTTTTTTTGTACTACAAAACCCATTGATTTAGCCAATCACTGTAATTCCCATAGACAGTGAGTTTTTTTATGTCTTGTTTTGCTTTTCTTCTTCTTCTTTTTTTCCCCAAAAGTCTTTAATGTCTTGTGGACTTTATCGAAGACAGCTTTTTAGATATATCGTCACTTTCCAACGACTTTCCTTCCTAACAAATCCAAAACCTCTTTCTTTAATTTTGTTTATTTTTACGCACACAGACACTCTTTTCTAGTTTTTGTGTATTATATAAAGAAGCCCATTTTTCTCTCAAGAACCTACTCATTTACTCGGACCACCAACTTGCGACCGAAGAAAACAAAACAAGACTTGGTCTCTAAGAACCAACCACTCCTTTGGTCCGTGTCTTCATCAGAATTAGATTCTTAATGGCTTATTCTTCGTTTCTAGACATATCTCTCGATCTCAACACTAACCCTTTCGATCGTAATTTCCCCGAAAATTTTCCGGTGAGTCCGGATTCCCTCCGATCCATTTCCGTTATGTTAAATTTGGGTTCCATTGTTGAAAATTAATCATGGGTTCGTTTGAAATTTTTCAAATTTCAGAAGAAGGAGGTCAACGTTTCGACTTCTGCTGATTTGGAAAGGAAATGCTTGGTGAAAGAAGAGGTTTGTTATTTCGTCGAACACGTGATTTGCTATGCCTTCGACTTCTAAAATTCACTTCCTCACTCAATTAGGAATTTAGGATGGATCTGAATCTGAATCTCTTAATCGTATTATATCCCCTTTTATCGAAATAATCCGAGATGATGTATCATCGAATTGTTTGCAACAAGCAAGAAGAGTTCTTGGTGGTGATGGTGATTTTTTTATCTTTGTGGTAATGAACAGAGCGCAAATGAGCTAAGAGAGGAGCTAAACAGAGTCAACTCAGAGAACAAGAAGCTAACAGAGATGCTAGCAACAGTCTGGGAGAACTACTACGCACTTCATCATCATCTCGAAAAACTTCAGAGTCGAAATAGCCCTGAAATCGATGAACAACCAACAAAGAAAAGAAAACAAGATCCGGATGATTTCCTATTAGGCTTTCCTGTTGGACTCAGCAGTGGCAAAACTGACAACAGCTCTAGCAACGAAGATCATCATCATCATCATCAACATGAGCAAAAAAATCAGCTTCTTCCATGCAAAAGACCAGTCACTGATAGCTTCAACAAAGCAAAGGTTTCAACAGTCTACGTGCCTGCTGATTCTACCGACACAAGCTTGGTAAGCGTTTTGTCTGAATATCTTGTCTATAAATTTTTCAAAGCAATCATTTTGGTATTGTTGTTGTGTATGTTTTTTTTTAGAGACATAAGAATTAAACAGAGTGTTTTGTTGTTTTGGAACGTTTTGCAGACAGTAAAAGATGGATATCAATGGAGGAAATACGGACAAAAGGTTACAAGAGATAACCCGTCTCCTAGAGCTTACTTTAGATGCTCGTTTGCGCCGTCTTGTCCAGTGAAAAAGAAGGTATTTGAGTTTGATATGTCTTTAGCTTTCATTTGTAAAATCGGTTTCCTCTGCTTCTTCAGTTGTTTAATGGATCTGTTGCTTTGTTCAGGTGCAACGCAGCGCAGAGGATCCGTCCTTACTGGTAGCGACATATGAAGGGACGCATAATCACTTGGGTCCGAACGCTTCTGAAGGAGATGCTACAAGTCAGGTTGGGACAAGCACTGTGACGTTGGATCTTGTTCATGGTGGTCATAGATTAGCTTTGGAGAAGAATGAAAGGGGAACGATGCAAGACGTTTTGGTTCAACAAATGGCGTCTTCGTTAACGAAAGATTCAAAATTCACAGCTGCTCTTGCTGCTGCTATATCTGGGAGGTTGATGGAACAGGCTAGAACATGAAGGTTCCAGTGAATGTTTTTGTTTTGGTTTCTCATCCCTGGAAAAAAAAAGGGTTTTTTTCTTAAAAAGGAAAATTGTATCTTTGATTAGGAGATTAAAGATGGAAACTTTAGTGTACATAAAATTTATAAGTACATGAAAAATCATAAGCATTTGAGAAAAAAATTATATGTTAATAGATTATTAACTGGTTAGACAAACGTTGATTCATTTGAGTTCGGTTTAGAGAAAAGGTTCACGAAAAATCTTTGAATTCTTCAAAACATTTGAAATTAATTTCAAAATCTGTCCAGAATTTTGAAAACGTGAGTTTTCCCAAATTATTTGTACAAAAGCGGATAAGAAACAAGCAATGATTGAAGAAGAAGATTCTCAACAAACATTCAAATCAAAGTTTCCCTCCATATTTTTTCTCTCTCTCTCTCTGCTCTGCAACTCTCGTGATTCTCATTTATTTCCTCTCCCCATCTGTTCATCGCTCTCTGTTACGACTCCGTCCCACCATTATCAATGTCAACCCGATCTCGGTCCCTCCTACTACCAAACTGTCTTCCTTTTAAATCTCCTCTCCTCACTCAAATCTCAAAAACCCATGATTCGTTTCAATGGAAGGCCATGGACACTCGCGGCGGAGAAGGGGAGATGGGTGCACAGTCGTGGAGTGTTATACGCCTCGTAGGGTCGTCCTTCGGTGGCTTTCTGGCCTGAGAAGTTCCAAGGGGAAGAGAGAGGCAGGGGATGAACAAGACTCGGTAGGGTACCATTTGGCGCCCATAAGGTGCTCGACGAAACGCCTCAACGAGAGTAGGCCGTTGGATGAAAATCTCGAGACTCCTAGTCCTAGATTTGGTGAGAAGTTTGCATTTTTCCTTTGTTCTAAGGGAAATGTTACATTATAATTTATGAAGTTTTTTTTGTTTGTTTGTATCTTTGTGCAGAAACACAAAGCAGGGAAGCACCTTTGGAGATGGGGATTGGCTCTTTCTTGCTCTATCTTGTTGTTGCAAGTAAAACCGAGCTTGACAAATTGGCAGACCTGCGAATGCAAATGGAGAAGTTTCTTCTAAATGCAAAAGAAGAGTTACAGAAGAGAGAATTACAGGAAAATCCACCTTTGTCTTCCAACGATGAATATGAAATAGAACCAAGCGGTAAAGAGTTTTCTCCTCAAGTCATTTCGAATTTGGCATCATCCATTTTCCAGGGGTCATCAACGAGTGTTCTTCAAGATGAGAACACAGAATGTGAGGTCTCAAAACCAGAGGATTACCATCGAGGAACAGAGCGCAATCCAAAACTCCAGGCTGAAGTAGGTAGTTTACCTCTGTATGAATTTGCAGGGGACAGATATACAATGCATCAGATTCAAAAACAACGCAAACTTAAAGTAGTATTACACAGACCACCTAGTTTTCTTCTTTACATTGTCTTTCAACTGTTTAAGCGAAAATGAAGCTGGCTCTTGATTTCTCAGACTGTAATCTTTGGGTGTTTGTAGGACAATGAGGGCACGAAGAATCATATACCAGAGATCGTGGAAGACGAAAGATATGGAGTAAGTCCGTACGAACTGGAAAAAAAGCTGCATGAACTACTAGTGACAAGGCAACAAGAAGAGTTACTGAAGCTTGAGACTGCTCTGAGTCGTGTTGAACGAAGGCTACAGGAGAAAGAAACCGAGGTTTCATGGTGGAAAGACGCAGCCCGCCTGCTTGCTCAGCGTGTTCCTGAATCTTCTCGAGCGGGACTAGAATGGTGCAACCCTGAATCTTCTTCTATAACATGTTCGGAACTCTCTGTCTCAAGATCTTTTAAAGCATGTCCAGAACACCGCATCAGTTTCTCTAGATGAAACTGTAAGGGAAACTGGGAAAATGTCTAGCTTTGGAGTTACAGCGCTTGTCTGATAAGTTCTTTAGCATTTGTGTGAAGCTTGCTTTTACTTAGACTAGTTGCCACTGTCTCTGTTTCGTGCATGGCATACATGTCATCTGAAAATCACTAAGGTAGGAATTGCACTGTATCTGTGTTCAACTGTATCTGTTGTATTCAATTAAGTTCCTTTGTGAATCCTAAACTTGAGGCATTTTCAGAATTATAGTGGTTTACTCTCACTGTCTTACATAATAAAAATAAACAAACTATCACAAGACAGTTACAAACTTGACACTCCTACTTAAGAAGATAATCCCTCGCCTCAGTGAAGAAAAAAAGAGTTTAACAGCAAAAGAAGGTCATTGCAGGGATCTCATTTGATCTTTGACCGGTGGAATTCTTTATTGCACGCAAGGAGTATCAGTAGTTTCCTCAGAAGTAAGGCTCTCGTTGAGCTGTAGGAAGCTTCAGCTCAGAATCTGAATCATCGGCATCTGTGGCTGGCGAGAAGTAGCAATCCACCATGTCTTTGCTCACATCTTCTAGGCGAGGAGGATCCCACTGCAGATTTGGAGGGAAACAAACCAGAAATTTTCAGAAAAAGTAAACATTGAACATCCAGAACCAAAAGGAGCTGTAAATGTATAGTTTAAGGCTGATCTGTTTGTTTATGGTTTCTACACCTTTGGAGCAAAGTCTTTATCCACCAAACGGGCTCGAATACCCTATCAACAACGACAAAAATTCAATATATGAAGAGGAATAATGCTGCTATTGTTGAGAAATTGGTGATTGACTTTACCTCGCAGAAGTCACCAGAGACTGTCTTTGAGACTCCACATAGAGATATACGATACTCACGTGTGAGACATTGATCAAGAGTTTGAAATCTACCTTCTCGTATCTAAGAAGAGAAGAAACCGCTAAAGTCAGAAAATTGAGGTGCTTGTTGACAAAGAAGAAGAAGAAGAAACAAAAAAGACTCACGGATTGTAAAGTAATCTTTAAGCTCAACGGAGAAGCTTCTTTGACTTGTTTGAGAGTTTTGTTACACCATTCATTGCGAGAATTAGCAACCTCATTTTCCTGAAGCCACGGATAGAATGTTAAAGCTTAGCACTTGACATAATTCTCAAGCCAAATCGTTCAAGAGGCCTCAAGTTAAAACATATCACGCCTATGCTAGGGCAAAGACCTCTCACCATAGCCTCAATGATTTCTTCAACCGTATCAAGCCCAAAATATTTATCGATCATCTCAATCCTGAGAAAAGAATTTTCTGGTTACACCCTCCTACGATATAATTCAAAAAGAATTTAAGATTTGGAGACAAGGTAAAAATTACCTGTGAAGTACACTGCTATTGTCAGGATAAACTAGATCACCATATTGAGCAAGAGAATCCTCAATGACAGTAGGATCATCGCTCAACAGTTTACCAATCCTCTCTTCGATCAACCCAAGTCTCTGCCATAACAGGTTATATAAAGAAATGCGCTCAAGAGGGAGACAAAACATGGGACAAGGTTAGAAAAAGGCATCAAACCGAGTGTAAGCAATAGTGGGTAGCAAGGCCACAGGCTATCATTTCGACACCATTAAGTTTCTGCCCTGTTAGAGCCAGGTATTCCCCTGAACAAGAAAGCACAAAACCCGCTTCAGAAACACCAAAACATTTGCAGTTGAAAGTATTTGTATGTCTATCAGATTCATATCTACTATCAGGACCATCATTTTACTTTACAGACATGCATTGAATACGAATCTGGTGAAGGGACCAGCCAAAAGTGAAGTTCACCTAAATAACCAGGAAGCCGTGAAAGGTAATACGAAGCTCCTGCATCAGGATGAAAACCAATTTGAACCTCTGGATGGGCCAACACCTGCATTCGCACGGTTGGTCAGAACATTTTAACCACTAAATATTAAAATGTATAAGAGAAGAAACAGATTCAAATAAAAGAGAAAAACGCTACAGATAAATGACTAAGACAATATTTAAAATACAGATAAAACTGGCTTAAATAACCACTCAATGGATATTTTTTTAGTTGATTACAGCGTCCACCTATCTCAAAGTAAAAAATCAGTGATTCGTAATAGTAAAGCGTGCCACGTACAGTTTTATCTGTTGCCACGCGAAACATCCCTGGAATTGAAATTCCACCACCACACCCCATGGTTACACCATCCATTATAGCTATCTGCAGTAAAGCAATAAAGTTTAAATTATTTCAAAATCAGCTTCAGCCTTCATGTATTATCGAGTGGAAGCAAATAAGCAAGTCAAGCTCTTTTTAGTCACTTGTGGTCATACGATCCACTCCCATCTGGTATTAACATATAGCATCGACGAAAAGTCTAGGAGTCTCACATTTGGTTTCAAATATGTTCCTTGGAGGTATACAAACTTGTACAAATTCCCGAAAAAGTGTTTACATTCTTCAGTATTCCCTGTGCAAAGGAAAGTGGCAATACATAAGCAATTTTTCTAAGTAACTTCACCAAAATAAGTCTGGTGAAAGCGACTTCAAGCTATGGAATGGCTTGCGCTGAACCTCACAAAACCATTCCAAGTATTTAACAATGGAAACTAGTAAATGAGATGGACCTTCATTGATCGAGTGATAAAGAGGCAAAACATCTGCACCAGAACAGAACGTTTTTCCGCTACCCTTCAGGAAAAAAATCGAAACAGTAGCTTAACCGAGGGATTTTGTGCTATAAAAAAAGGACACAAGATCTCATGAGGAGCATTAGTGAATCTCATAAATGAAGCTAAGGAAAAGCATACCTTCATCAAAACAAACGAAATAGCTGGGTTCTCTTCCCATGATTCGTATAGCCTCTTTAACCGACCTACCTAGAAAGACAAAAAAAAACAAAATTTGAAGCAAACCAAAAAAACTAAATGATCAGGTACACTTAAATCCCAAAAGATTACAATGCTAAAGACAATACCATAGGCGCAGAAAGAGCATTTAGAGCAGAGGGTCTGTCGAGAATGGCAGCTCTTGATTTAACTTTTCCTTCCACCAGAACCTTCCAAGTACAGCAAAATACACATTTACATATACATCAAAGGAAGTAGATTTCATTTGAGAGAGTATCAAAAACAAATTTCAACCGAGCATATAGTATCGACTCAGTTACATAGTTCTGTTCTAACTATCTTGAGAACCAAACCCAAACTCATAATTCAATTAAGTGTTTCCCTAATTCATATTATTAGCATTTTCTTATGATTAATTAACTAAACATCGTAAAAGAGTTCTACAATCAAGCACATTTAAAGAAGATCCAAAACTAAGGAGAAGATGAAAACCTGGTCTTCGATATCGGCATCTGAAGCGGAATAGTTTGGCAGAGCAGAGAAGCTTCTTCCATGAGAAACAGACCGAGCCCACTTTAATGGTTCAGTCACTCTCCTCAAAGCTTTCACGGCTTGCATCTCTCTCTATCTCTCTCTCCGTCGGGAAGACGCCTCTGTGTCACGAGGAGGAGGGTTTTGGGTTTTTTGCTCTGAAGTTATGGCCGACGGCGGTTCCTAGCCGTCAGATCGATCATTCGACACTCGAAATGACACCGTAAAACGTTAGGACCATTTATGGCCCTATATTGAGCCCATCTGAGGCCCAATAGTTCACAGCTCACTAATCTCTCACTTATGCTTACGCATGCGCATTACGGATCTTCGATTTTGTAGAGACTGGACAGAGTAACTAACGTGAAATTCTCCAAACAACGACGAAAGTAAAGAGATTGCTGATAGTTGTCTATCGGTGCTCTCAACATTTGTATTTCATTTATATATAGTATGCGTAAGTTTCGTTTGCTTTTCAGAAATTAATTCGCTTATTCAATAAAACTTGTGCTTCTACACTCAGAGAAATAACTGTCCAGAAATCCAAATTCACTAGAAAATAGTCTTACAGTGAAAATGTTAACGTAGCTATGATTGGTAATCAAAGGACTAGACTTTCACATTAAAGGGAAAAGCGAAAGAAAGGAAGAAAAGAACACACAGAACAGAAACTTCTTAACTTCATCAGTTTTTTAGATTAACTACCACAAATCCTAAAACCACTTATATAAGTTAATGACCATAATAATAATACCTTAACTCTTTACAAATTTTTGATCTCCCAACGCTTTAAAAATAGACCCTTTCACGATATGGAATGTCTCCGGCGCCGGGAGGAAGAGCTCGACGACTTTGCCGGCGGACTCTGCGAGCTACCAGACGAAACCTCAGAGCTTTTGTTACTACTCTCACCTTTCCCTGGCCATATCTTCTCAAAGATCCTCCTTGACCTCGACGGCATCAGCTGTGCTCCACCACCACTCCTCGTGCTCTTGCTTCCTCTGCTTTTCTTGCTCAGCCCCACCTTCTTCGTCGCTTCCTCTCTTTCTCCGACAACGACTTCGTTCTCCTCCGTCTTCTTCACCGGCGGCAGCGGCGAGTGCGACGAAGCTGCAACAGAACCAACAGGGCTGTGGTTAGCTCGGAGCTGCTCAAAGTAGAGAACTTGCACCACCACTCGTAAAGGAAGTCGCTCGTTCTGTGCTGCGTGCGTTGATGCCTCACTCGTCAGTTTCCTCACATCCATTAACCCGCAAAGTCTCTTCTTTTCCGATTTCATTAGCTCCGGATGTTCCTACAAAACCCAATTTTCAGTCAGATTTGCAAAGTTCCACTCAAGAATGTCTCAAAATGCTAAATAATACCTTCAAGAAAGTGTCAATGGCTTTGTATAGACCGTCGTGGATAGGTCTAGCTGATTCCGGGATAAGTTCAGATAACTCGATGAAGCTAGAGAGTGTAAGATTAGAGTTAAGTGCGAGATACGCATCTATCAATCTTCCTACGCTCAACAAAACCCCGTTTCCTAAAACAAACTCCTTGTACCGATCAGCTTCCGAGACACGTTTCTCATTAGCCATGAACTGATCCATAATCCGATGAACCAACTCAACTTCATGGATCAACAGATCCTTAACCGAGGCCTCGTGCAGCTTCAAGCTCACGTTTTCAACCAAATCTTCTTTAACCATCTCATCAGCTCCAACCAAGATCGAAACTTTAAGGAGTTTCAGCAAGAAGCTGCAAGTAGAGTAGCTCATCGCTCTGTTCACTCTCGGCAGCAAGAAAACAACCGTCTCAACGAGATGTTTGTTTGAAGAAGCTTCTGATGTTAAAGACTCCATAGATTCAGGTAACCACCTTGCAACATAGTATCTAAGAGCTTCACCAATTACGCCATTGTTCATCCTTCCACTCGATTTCACAGCGCTCATAACTCGCTTGAACATATCGATTTCAAGCTCACACACATCTTCGACCCACCAATCTTTCGGAATCACATTTTCTTCTCTCTTCTCCCGATGATACTCGATTATCTTATCGGGTCCAGATAACTTCCTGTTGTGAGTATAAGACCAAGTGATAGTCTCGGGGTTCACCAAAATCTTAGCTGAAACAGAGTCTATGCACCTACCAGCAAGTTTCAGATCTTCAGACCATGGAAGAAGAGATTTTGTAGTCTGAAGCACATTGATTGAGTCTTTCCAGCTTCTGAATATCCCCGAGTTGAGGAAAACCTCGATCTTGTATATGAGGTTACCACGATCAACATCTTCAGTCATTTCAAGATACTCAGCTGCACATCGAACAGCTGTTATGTTGTAAGCGTTGAGCGTAACAGTCATCCCATAGCAAAACTTAGCACAGATCTCAAACGCTTTGTGTCCTCCTGGGATGTCGAATATAGTGATCTCAGAGGTTTTCTCCTCACTGGCTTGAAAGACCAGTCTTTGCATCCGATTGCTCTTCGATAGCAGCGGGAACTGAAAAAGATAACATTGCAACAACAAGAAAAAGAGGAATCGTCCATTAGAATTGTATCACTTAAGAATCCATCCTACTTCTGTTGTGAGGATTACAGAAATGTACCTTATGGAGGTAAAATGTAACCTCCCCAACATTGACAGTAACATCACTGTCTAGATCCGAAACTGCGTACCTGCGGAGGAAGAAATCGATGGTCGGATTAAACACTGAGACAAAGAACACAGTCAGCTAAACAACAACTCTACATATTGACTAGTAGAAATTCCTTTAAACGTCACAGATGTTATGTCACATTCAAAACCATAGGCAGAGGCGGATTTGTCATGCTTAAAACTCAACAACCTAAGAATAGTCCGAATCTTGCCTAAAAGAAAACATTTTTTTTTTCTTTTCACATACTGAACAAAACAAAGGAAGCAAGATTCTTTAGCCTAGTTTAGAATATCCAGATGTCGAAAAGTGGAAGAGATGTCCCATATATTTACAGAAACAAAGCATAAGTAACAAAAGCTAAGAGAGAATCTTCGCTTTCATTTGACATGTTATTTACAGAAACAAAGCATAAGTAACATGTGGAGAACAATGAATAGAAGGGAGAATAGAACAGAACAAAAATCAGACAAAAACATAGAGAACAAACAGTAAGGGTTTCATTTGACCCATCATCAATTTAAAAATAAGAAGAAGAAAAAAACAAAATATTAGAATTTCCTTACTTGTGGAATTGGCCATCAGATTCAAATGTATCAGGCTTAGACCCTAGCTTCATGAACTTCATATTTCTTCGTCTTCTTTACCACACTTTTTTGTTTGACTCTTCAGCAGCTTAATACTAAAAAAGCTCAAAGCTTTACTCTTTCTTTTTGTCTTAACAGACAAAATCAAACCAGAACCAGAAGAGTAGAGAAAAAGAAAGAAAAAGCAAAATGTTGATTTCTTTTAAGTTGAGCTCTGTTGGGAGGGGGAGAGACCATTAATGGAAATGGATGTTTGAAGAGAGACAAGAGAAACCAAACCCATGTTTTGCCTCACTATCCTTTTGCAATAACCCAACTCCTCGGACTACGGGATTTTCTTTTCCTCCCATCTCAACTAACCATTACAAACGCATTTATTGTCTCTCTGTGCAAACAGAGAAAACCATATAAAGTTCCAAACTTTTCTTTTTTATTTTATTTTTCTCACTTCTCTCTAAACTTTCCAGGAAAATAAAAGCATCAGAAAGGAAAATCGCATCATCATAATCACACACAAAGAAAAAAGCAAAACCCAAATTGCGTAAGAGAGAGAGAGATAGATAGAGAGAAGAAAGGGGCGTTGTGTAGCGAGTAAAATTGAGAGAGAGAGAGGGAGAGAGAATATTTAAGGAGGAAGAGGAGAGAGATGGAAATCAGTCGCCGCCAATGCTTTTAAAGCGGGACTGATCCGCTGGAGATCTTCTCGTTCCCTCTTCTATTCTTCTTCTTCTTCTCTCTCTTTATGGCTCAAATCTCAATAAAAGCTTTTATTTTTTTCTCTGTTTTTATAATGGAGTAATGAATATAGTTCTTTGGCTTTGAGCTTGGGAAGGGATGAGGAATGATGATGATTTATTTCCGGTCTGACGAAGTTGTCTCTCCTACAATCCTACTCGGAGAAAGTATTTTTAAAAGATAAAAGAATGTTGAAATTAAAAAAAAAAAAAAGAGAGGAAAAAAGAGAGTGGGAATCTAGCTGCAAATATTCTAAATTAGCCAGCTAAGTTGTTTGAAATGTTTGATTAACAACTGGTTTATCATTTTTCCCATTTTTATAATCACTTCATTTTATCATTTCTTACGTCAAGTTTATGCGCGTTTAAACAACGAAAACAAGGTCTGTGTGTGTATGTGGGTGTATGTGGGAATCCTACATAGTACACATGAATAACAAAATACGTACATCAATCAATAGAAAAATGTGGCTTTCGTTGGTCGAAATTTAGTATGTGATTTTAAGAAAGGTGAAGAAGTTAAGCAAACTGATGCGTTACAAATCTTCTCTTTTTTTCTACAACACATTACTTACTGGATGATAATCTTAGTTTTTTTTTCTTTCAAATTCCCTCGTAACAAAATATTTTACTTGTTTTTATGGTATATTCAATCGTTTTTCTAAAAATAGCAATACTACATTGATGTGCCCTCTTTCATATTACAAGTTAGTTTTTGATAGCTAGCAGAAATTTTAGATCGAACCGCTTTATAATTGCTTACGAACATCAATCAGTTACAAGTTCAGTAGTCAAGATTTGTACAAAACTACAAACATCTAGTTTAAATCACGGGATATATTAATTAAAATTGTGCAACAAAACGGTGGGTGAACCCAAATGATATAAGAGGTCGTATAATACTCTAAACTTTACTGATTATATGTCCACACACAAATCATGGTTGAGACTTGAGACCATAATCTCAAAATCTTGACAAACGAGGTTGTCTCTCTCAAGTTACTCGAAGGAGGCCATGTTGTGTGTCATTCGCGACCCAAAACCTTTTCCATAATAATCAATCTTTCTTTCTATTAGTCGCCTAGTCTGTACGAGTACCATCCTTTTTTTTTTTTTTGTGCTTGTTGTTGTTGTGCCATCCTTTGATAAGGAATCATTGAAGAAAAAAAACGAAAATTTCCTAAACTCTCGCTCGTATCCTTAGAACAAGAGGGACTGCATATGAGACACGTGGTAGCGCGTGAAATATACGCAATCGCGTGAGAGGTTTGCATTACCTGACTCGCTTTGACTTGTTCCCTTTCTCTCTTTTGCTTCTTCCCGACGCGCGAGTCGTACTCCGTTTCTTTTACAACATCCAATGAAAAATTAACACGTGTAATCAATATACTTTTCTAGTTGGTGCGTGGGACCAAGACGGCGTGAAGTCGACGCGCCAAAACACTCTGTAGTAGAGTCCGTCCCAACGGAACCGAACCCGCTTGCCGAGAGAGAGACACTTTGACATTTTGCATTCCGTTATTCTAGATGCCCACACGAAGCCGCTCAGACTTTGCATTTCCTAATTACATTATTTGACTTTCCATGCAAAAAGCTTTCTAATACACACTATCTTTTCTTTACAACTTTGACTCCTTCTAGATCTGAGACTATAATAGACTGTATCCAAAAGTCAATAATTGTAACTATATAATAAATATCACTAAGAGGAATTACACTTATACAAAAGGTTAACTTGCATTGCTAAAAAAAGACAGAATTAATTGAGTCGGTACTCGACAAATCCAAAAAAAAAAAAAAAAAAAAACTAAACTAAAGCTGATCCCGACCAAGCTTGATGATCTAACTTCTCAGTGGCCGGATCGATTGGAAGAGACACTGGATGGTAGTTTTACACGTTTACTTGGTAGTATTCTCTTTTTTAATCAGATATATAGACGATTACATACCTTGTAAATTTGTAATGATTCCTTATATTATCTGGAAAGAACATACATATATGTCTATCTAAACGTGTAAGTTGTGTATTCTCATGCAGTTTTTCTATTGAAAAAGTATTTATCACATTAAAAAAGATAATGAATAATTACATGGAAAATGGCGTTTCTTTTTTTAAACTGCAAAAGTTAGTTTTGATTTTTATCGACCGTAATTCTGTATAGAGAGACGACTCTGATAATTATATTAGTCGCTTATTTTTTAAAGCAAATTTCATATTTTTTTCCAAAAAGAGAAGCTTCATGTAAAGTTTACATTACAAGAAAACATCACATATTCCTACCAGATATTTCATCAAAAAATCATAGGAAACCAGTTTTTCCTACCAATTTCCTACCAAATATTTTTGTAGGTTTTATGCCGTCAGAAATTTTCAAAGGTAGAAAAATCGTAGGAAATTTCCTACGAAAATTTTGGTAGAAAAATTTTGGCGATAAGATATTCGTAGGAAAATACCTACCAAATTACTTATACCTTTCTACGAAATATTCCTATCATTTTCTAATCACTTGCCAGATTTTGTAAAAAATAAAATTAATTTTATAAATTAAAAAATTAAATTAATTTCAGAAATTAAATTTAAAATAAACGATGAATTAACTATTAATTTGTTTATTAATATATATATATATATAGAAACAAATTAATTAAAAGAGAGATGAAAATCTTATTTATAGAGCAGCTTCATCATCCAAATTGTCTCAGACCATCGATGTGGGACAAAACCAAAGTTGAAATGTTCCTACAAAATTCCTACGATTTTCTTACACATAATATTTCGTTAGAAATTGGTAGGAAATTTCTTACGAAATACTTACCAGTATAATGGTCAATTGTATCTTACGATTTTCCTTTCAAATTTTGACCGCGTGGTAGGTTATTGGTAAGAAATATCCTATGAAATTTTGACAAAATTTTTGGTAGGAAATTTCCTACCAATTTCTTATCACTTTTACTTTTTGTCAAAATTATGTAGAAAATTGGTTATAAAAATTTCTTACCAAAAATTTCGTCAAAATTTTTATAGGAATATGAGATGTTTTCTTGTAGTGTTATCCTTTTGATCTCACTATTTTTTTTTCTACTAGTAATATTTTAACACCCATGAATATATCGTGCCTCGTATTATAATCCCAATATAAATAACCAAACACAATGTTCATATTGTATACAGTCGGTTGGAATAATGTAATTGCAAAACCATATAGTCGATACATATAGTTATTAGGAATTCATAATTATATTTCCATTTTGGTTTATGCAAACTGACAAATCAACAAATCATGTATGTTAATTTGGTTGTTTTTGCTCGCTATAAATAAAAGGTCTAATCTGTTACTTGTGGTGGCAATTTCTTCAAGACAATAACAAAAATGCTATAGTCAAGATCTAAAATGGACCCGTTTTGGTTTAGAAGGTATTAATGTTTTTGGCCATTTTATTGTAGTATGTAATTTTGTGGGGTCTGCATGTCAATTTTCTTTACGTGCCGTAGCTGTTTCCAAGTGATTAATAGCTCAATTATATATGAACGTAAAACACGTATCGTAAGAGTCTCAACGTAGTTATGGATAGATGTATATATATGGTCCCAGAAGCTAAGTAGACTAAGTAGTAAATGAAGGTTGACATGCATGCAGGCTTGCTCGATCTAGCTACTGGCTTAATTGTATATCAATGTTGACTTAATGTCTGCGTCTTCGCTAAAGGATAAGCACATATATTTGACTTATCTTTTCAGTTGGTGCCGGTCATGTAACTCTTACTTTATATGCTCTTCAAAAAAAAAACAAAACAAAACAAAAACTCATTATATATATGCTCCGTTATCTCCGTCCTCTTCAAAGTCTTTGAGTTGGATAATATAAGAATATATATTTGTTAGCAAAGATCAACTAACGAATATTTTGAGTTTGTTTCACTATTCTTCATGCTACCTTTCTGGCTTTCTTACAACGAAAGACTTAAATTTATGGTCTCACTCTCAAAGACACGAATCTTGAATAGAATTTATACTTTAAAAAAAATACTTAATAGCCTGTCCTAATACCAAAAATATTCAATATAAAATAAAAAAACAATCAGTACATGCAGATACATCCAAAGGCAATGCTATACATAGACATGAAACGAGTTTTAATGTTTGGCGCAGACCAAGCCTCCAAAATATAATCGTTTAATCGGTTAGGGTTGATAACTAGTGGATTTATCAAATTATAATGTCAGATCTACTGGTCTAGCGCTGTTATTCAACATGTACCGTATTTAAAACTATACATATATAGATCGACGGCTACATAATTTATGATTTTTTTGTTTGCTATAGTTTTGAAATAAATAAAAAGTGTCAAAAGAAACGTACGCCCTTTAAAACTTCAAAATCGTTTATTCGGAAAAATAAAGAACCAAAACAAAACAAAAACAGTTGTAGAGGCTATGTTTTAGATTGAGTTAACAATAACGCCTATTCCGTCTAATACGAAACTTACTTTTCCATAAACCAATAACAGTTGTTGACCAAGCTATAATTTTACCAGAAATTTAACCTTCGAACCCTATCTTCCAATCTAGTACCACATGAAGTTAACTATTTCCCTCCTACTACGAGAGCCATGTTGTAATCGGTCGATGTTAATGTCGTAGTGGTGGATCTTAACAAATTTTGTATGCATGGTTGGTATGGTTATACAGGGTTCAAAAATTATTAGGAACTCTCAGTCTCTCACACTCACTCCGTTCATTACAAAAACAAAATAGCGTCCACCACGTAGCCAAAAATAGTTGCACGTACGGACATTATCATGGGGTCTAAGAGGGGTATATTTGTGAGTTTTATGCCTAAGTGTCACGAAGACTCTAACCCGAGCAGAAGGTTTCAGTTATCAGTTTGAAGAGAAGTCACGCAGAGCTCACGTGATCTTCTTATACAACTCATGAGGACAAAGGAGTAATTAACCTCTGTCTAAAGTGAAGTGGTGTTTGTCTTCTTCCTCTGTCGAAGAAACAGAGTACGGAGGTTGGATGCAGAATCAGCAGAGCCGTTTTGTCGGCACCACGCGTAAGAAGTTATATAAAAGGTGAAGCAGACTGAAACGTTAGGGTTAAGAGTGGTTGTAGAAGAGAGAGGCGAATGTGGGTTTTAC